GAGCGTGCTAAGCCCGGTCACGTGGACTAGTGGCGAGATGGCTCAGCACGCAGGGCCGCCTGCAAGGGAGTCCCGGCCCGCTGATGACATACACGTTTCCCATCTTCAACTTCTTGAACTCACTTGACTTGCCTCATCAACGCACCACGTGCCATCGTGCGCGACTGCACTCAAACAACCTCATCACATTGCGAAAATCTTTGTGCTCCTCAGCACGAGACAGGACACCATAAATACCGCCCGTCTGACTGGGCGTACATTCATTGCGCAGGCGGCAAGTCCGCATCACGGAGCCATACACCCGCCAAAATGTCACCCGCAACATTTGCGCCCGCGGGCTTGAACAAGATCGCGGCGACGACGAGCGAAATCTGGCCTTCGGTGGCAGCGAAGTTGAGAACAGTCTCGAAGGGTGTAGTTGGCGCTAGGCAGCAGAGAGGCGCTGGGAGAAGGCACGAGACACCAGGACAAGAGAAGGATATACATATACTACGGAATCATATCAAAACCGCCAACACGACGGGATATATGGCATCTGTTCCGCTGCACGTCCTCCGCCCACACTCAATAGTGCCGAGTGGATTGCAGGGTGACTTCTCCGCCACTTCGATGCTCTCCGCCATGCCACGAGGCACATTACGATATGCAACTCCACTTCGCACTTTCTCTTCGTTCTCACCGATCTCGCGATCTTTCTCTACAGCCACTCGACCTGGGCCCCTCATGATCCGCGCACAGCCCAAGACCAGCTTCGTCGGCTTCTACCAGCAGCGAACACTTTTCGGCACTTCCTGGGGCTCGTCGAACAACTCTAACAGTAATCGAAACATTCTTGCACATATGGAACAAACGGCCAATAATAACCCGGGCAGTGCGACTGCACAGAATGCCTTCTATCAGGCACTTTTGAGGGCCAACATGCCCGAGATTGTTGTGGAACGCTATCAAACCGGTCGATACGCCTCGAACGCCGTCGTCGAGCAAGCCTATCACCGCGCACTTGAGCGGATTGGTGCCGCAGAAGTTGGCAACATGGGCGTTGGAAGCATGACCGGGAGAACACCAGGCGGTCAGAGCAACCAGATGAGCAACGAGCAACTCCAGGCTATTGGACAGGCAGTTTCTGCGAAAACCCATGGCGGTAATGTTAGCATATCCAAGCCAGGCTCTGGCGGGAAGAGCGAGCCACTTTACGTTGTCGTGGACGAAAGCTTGGGCAGTACCATCTTCAAGTGGGTCAAGTTCTTGGTCATCTTCGGCTTTATCGCATACGCTTCTCTGGTAGTCTTCACACTGCTGATAGAAGCAACGGGTGTACTCAAGAAGGTGAGTGGAGCGCAGAATGCCGAAGCAAAGCCTGAGCTCCAGACTACCCGGTTCAGCGACGTTCACGGCTGCGATGAAGCGAAGGAGGAATTGCAAGAGCTCGTGGAGTTTTTGAAAGCACCGGAAAAGTTCAGCACGCTAGGTGGCAAGCTGCCAAAAGGAGTGCTTTTGGTTGGACCCCCCGGTACCGGCAAGACATTGTTGGCTCGGGCTGTTGCCGGAGAAGCTGGAGTTCCCTTCTTTTACATGTCCGGATCCGAGTTTGACGAGGTATACGTTGGTGTTGGAGCCAAGCGTGTCCGCGATCTTTTCAATGCGGCAAGAGCGAAGAGCCCGGCCATCATTTTTATCGATGAGTTGGATGCTATTGGCAGCAAGCGACACGAAAGAGATGCAGCCTACGCCAAGCAAACCCTCAACCAGCTTCTCACTGAGCTCGATGGATTCGACCAAGGCTCTAACGTCATTGTCATGGGCGCGACCAATTTCCCGCAATCTCTCGACAAGGCTCTCACTCGACCTGGACGATTTGATCGTAACGTGACTGTACCACTCCCAGATGTGCGAGGCCGCATTGCCATTCTCAAACACCACCTGAAAAACATCCGTATCGACGCCGCTGTCGACCCGGCGGTCATTGCTCGAGGATGCCCCGGGTTCTCTGGTGCTGAGTTGGAGAACGTGGTCAATCAAGCTGCTGTCCGTGCGTCTAAAAACAAGGCACAGAAGGTCACAATTGAGGATCTTGTGTGGGCGAAGGACAAGATCATGATGGGTGCCGAGAGAAAAAGCGCCATCATTCAACAAAAGGATAAAGTCATGACTGCTTATCACGAGGGAGGCCACGCACTCGTCGCTTTGATGACCGAGGCGTCTACGCCATTATACAAGGCCACCATCATGCCCCGCGGACATGCTCTTGGAATTACATTCATGCTGCCGGAGATCGACAAAGTCAGCGAGTCCAAGAAAGAACTGATGGCACAAATTGATGTTGCAATGGGAGGCAAAGTTGCGGAAGAGCTGGTGTATGGTGCAGAGAATGTCACCACTGGAGCAAGCTCAGATATCACAAACGCAACTCGGTTGGCGTACTACATGGTTACGAGAGCAGGCATGTCAGACAAGCTGGGAAATGTCGATTTGGAAACAGAGTATAACCGACTTTCCAGCGAGACGAAGCAACAGATTGAGAACGAGGTGCGGAGACTGGTAGAAGACGGCAGAGAACGTGCGACAAAGCTTCTCACAACTAACCGAGAAGGGTTGGAGCGTCTTGCCAAGGCACTAGTAGAGTACGAGACCTTGAGCAAGGAGGAGATCGAGAAGGTCGTCAAGGGCGAGTCGCTGCCAGACAAGCTGAAAGTCGACGTCGACACACCTGTCAAGATGCCTGAGCCAGGCAAAACTCTACCACCGCCGCCTCCCATCCAAATTCCACCTCTGGGATCGCCGGGTGGAGGCTCTCCAAGCCCAGGGGGTAGTGATGGACAGCCTGTCGGCGGAAGCCCATAGGATGGACCGCACGAAGGTGGCCCTCTACCGAATTTCTGAGGCCCTTTCTTGTCTGCAATGAAAGATGGTCACTGCCCACCATCCACCCAACACCATGCCCCCAAAACTTTCGCGCGGGCGTGGGAAACGCACTGGACCCATTCGGGTGCCGAGGAAACGATCCAAGAATCGCTACAGCGCTGGGGTGGTGGATGGGACGACGAGTATTGTCATTGCCCGCCGTAGATGGAACGGGGAAGGAGCGAACTTCCCTTTGTATTGAATAGCATAACAGCGTCATGAGCGAATTTTCTGTACAGCACCCGCTAGGATGATGAAATCCCGAAAAGATCAGTTCATTGCGACGATTGCTTCCCATCGCACTTGTTTTGTTGCTGTGCTCGCAGTAAGTCTGCCGTGCCGCACAGCGTAGCATCTTCTCACATCGAAGTGGTATCTCAACGGCCGCTTCCTCTAGAATTGCGCTGTGTGAGTTGCTGTTGCCCAGGTTGCCGGGATTTTCTCGAGAAGACATCAACATTCCGCTGGGGAGAAGACTGTAGGCAGCGCAAGGCCACAAGGCAGCAGCGGCGGGCGGATGCCTGGGAGCTCTGTTGCTGGCTGAATAATCTACCTTATAACCCGCATTTCTTCTCGTAGAAGTCCACTTCTTCTCTGTCTCCTCATTCTACACAGAGTCCCATCTCAGCTGTACTTTCGGCAATCGTGCGTGCCCTGAGCTTCATCGTGACTGTCGCCGCCTTTGGAAGCGAAGCTCTGAGTGACGTGGTGAATGTAGAGCGTCAATTGGCTGGCTGGTGCGGCGTCGGGGCCCTCCCGCGATCCGAGCCCCAGTTCTCCCGATTGGTTGATCAGGCAAGCTGCAATCCTCGTCAGCGAACCTCTTTCCCTCCACCAGCACAGCGCACACCAGCTCCGCGTTTCTTATATTGTCACCTTACTTTCCCTTCTTCGCGCCATTGCAGCGCCCTGCGACAATTGTTACTGCCCGCATCCTTGAATGACGCGTGACTCTTGACTCACTCGGCCCTCAGACGTGAATCTGCGCGTCTCGGAGCCTGTCTTGCACGGCCGCCACGGAACGACCAGGTACGAGGAACATTCTTCCCACCCACACACTCATCCTCCGCGCCCAGTTCGATCATCGCCCTCCTTCAATTCGCCTTGACTAAACGCTGGTGTTGCGAATCGAGGCTGGGACGACAGAACACGCGCAACGACACGCGCGTTCTATTGACAGCACGAGCTGAGACTGACAAGGTTATCGAAACATAGTCATATCCTCTTCACACAATACCTCGAGCATCATTGCGTCGCATACAGCGCACATTTGACGACGGCGACAGCGCACGAGCGCGCAACGCTCCTACCTTGACGCGCCCGTAGCGCACGCACCGCTGCCAACATGTCGTTCTTCGGAAACAACAATACGAACACCTCGACGGGCTTCGGTGGTTTTGGTGCCTCGAACACGGGCTTTGGCGGCAGCAACAACAATACCTCATCAGGCGGCGGCCTGTTTGGAGGCAGCGCGGCCACGTCGGGTGGCTTTGGTAGCGGTGGTGGTTTTGGCGCCAACAATACCAGCTCGCCATTCGCGAGGCCCGCATCTACAGGCTTCGGCAACACGACCGCGGCCACCACGAGCGGTGGCGGTCTCTTTGGGGCCAACACAAGCACAAGCGGTGGCTTTGGAGGCGGTGGGTTCGGAAACAGCAACCAAACGAGCACGGGTTTTGGCGCGCAACAGAACACAGGTGGATGTAAGTCTGAACGAAGCTCTGATGAGATTCGCGAGCAAAACGCTTTCAATACAAAACTCCTGGCTAACGACTATGCAGCACTTTTCGGACAGAGCAAGCCCGCGACAACTGGGTTTGGATCCACTACGACAGGATCGATCTTTGGTGGTGGTGGTGGTAGTAGCAACACCGGGGGTGGATTCGGTGGTAGCAACACTACCTCAGGCAACCCATTCGCGAGCAACACCGGGAGCACTGGATTTGGTGCATCGAACACGAACACGAATGCGAGTACTGGAGGATTTGGAGGCTTTGGCGGGGCGAACACTGCTGCCACCACCAACAATGGCACCGCAAGTGTACCCTTCCAGCCATTCAATGAGAAGGACCAGACCTCGAACCAGACGTCACTCTACCAATCTCTTACGTTCCAGCAACCGTATCAGAACAAGAGTTTTGAAGAGCTGAGAGTGGAGGACTATCTGCAGGGCAGACGATACGGCAACGCCAATGGCCAGGCTGGTAGCTTCGGCCAGTCTACTGGGTTCGGTGGTAGCGTCTTTGGTGGTGGAAATACTACGAACACCAGCACTGGTGGCTCGCTCTTTGGTGGACAGAGCAACACCAATACGAGCACCGGCTTTGGCGCGAATCAACCCCAAACCCAGAGCACTAGCGGTTTTGGCAGCAATACTGGCAGCTCGCTGTTCGGCGCGAACAAGCCAGCAGGCGGTGGTCTCTTCGGCTCGAACCAGACTTCGGGAACAGCAACCGGAGGCTTTGGCAACACAACATCTGGCAGCACTGGTGGCCTGTTTGGTGGTGGCGGTACTGGCTTCGGTGCGAGCAACCAAACCCAGAACTCAGGAGGCTTGTTTGGGAACAACCAGCAACAGAACAAGCCGGCCTTTGGTGGATTTGGAGCCAGCAACAACAACACGTCAACCGGATTTGGCGGCGCGTCGAACACTGGTGGCGGCTTGTTTGGCAGCAATACCAACAACAACACGAGCACGGGAGGTGGGTTGTTCGGCTCAAACAACCAACAGCCCCAACAACAACAACAAAGCAATCCATTCGGTGGCAGCACGAACACTGGTGGTGGGCTCTTCGGAGGCAACCAGAGCAAGCCTGCAACAGGTGGACTTTTCGGTAGCAGCACCAACACTGGCAACACGGGCGGCGGACTTTTTGGCTCGAACAACAATCAGCAGCAACAACAGTCTGGTGGTTTGTTCGGTTCAAATGCCAACAATCAGCAAGGTGGCGGTCTCTTCGGCGGCAACAACCAGGCTAGAGCTCCAGCAGCAGGAGGTCTTTTTGGGGGCAGCACTTCCAATACCGGTACAGGAGGAGGCCTGTTTGGTGGACAAAACACCCAGCAACAGCAATCTGGTAGCAGCCTTTTTGGCGGAGGCAACACGGGCGGTTCCTCGCTGTTCGGTGGAAACAACCAAAACAAGCCTGCTGGCGGTAGCCTGTTCGGAGGCAATACGAGCACTAACACTAGCGGTGGACTATTTGGCAACGGTGGTCAGAACAATCAGAACCAGCAAAACAACACTGGTGGAGGTCTGTTTGGCGGAAGTCTGGGACAGAGCAACAACAACCAGCAACAGAATGCGAACTCTCTCTTCGGCGGCACTAGCTTCGGCGGCCAAAGCCAGGCTCCTCAACAGAACCAGCTGCACGCCAGTCTCACCATGTCGCCCTACGGCAACGACCAGCTCTTCAGCTCAGTTGGCCAGAGCTCAGCTTCTGTTGGACCCCTTGTCACCCCATTGCATGGCGCCCGTCCCGCTCAATCCAAAGCGCCCAGCTTGCTGTCAAGCACGCGACTCAATTCTCCGGTCTACACACCTCGAGCGAGCTCCTTCAATCGTGGAGGCACCTACGGTCTCAACTACTCTTCCACCCTTACGACGCCGGGATCTGCCTACTCGATCAGCCTGACTCCACAGCAGAGCAGTCTTTTGAAGCCGACAGGCAGCCTGGGCAGTGCGCTATCTAGCAAGCTTGCTAAGAGCATGAGCACGAGCAATCTGCGTGGGGATGGAACGCCTCGAGAGGGCGAGAGTTTGCTTCGTCCAACTCCAGGCGGCGGATCACGCAGCTTTCTTAAGTCTGGCAGTATGCGAAAATTGACCATCAATCGCGAACTGAGCAGCAGACTGTTTGACTCGCCATCCGAGCAGCGGCAGATTGAGCCTGCTCGTGGTGGTACAGAGTCTGAGGGATCGAGCCTTAAGAAGAGAGTGAGCTTCGACGACACGGCGGAGCGTGAGTCCATATCTGCGCCGAGCGAGTCGAATGCTCTGGTGCGGACGGAAGATGACGAGGCCGAGGAGCCCAATGCTCTTTTTCGGGCGAAGCCTGGTGCGAGGTCTCACGTCAATGGTACGCCAGAAATGCAACAGGTCAACGGATCTCCGTTGTCCACCGTGCCCGAGAATACCGTAGCGCAGCGGTCGAAGTCAGTACCGACAACGAACAAGAAGGCCGCAGAAAATGATGCTGTCGAGGAGGAAATCGTTGTTGGTGATTACTGGACGAAGCCGGCCATCAAGGACCTGAAGAATATGTCCCGGACGCAATTGTCCAAGATTGGGAAGCTGACCGTTGGCTGCAAGGGATTGGGCTCAGTGGACTTTGGCCCATGCGACCTCTCGAGCACCAACCTTGACGACATTTGCGGCAAGATTGTCAAGTTCAGCAAGCGCTCGGTTACCGTCTACCCGGATGAGAGCACTAAGCCGTCCCGTGGCCAGGGTCTCAATGTACCTGCTACTATTCATCTCCATAACTCCTACCCCAGCGACCGCCACCATCGTCGCAAGATTCAGGAGGGCAGTACCACAGCGTATGAGAGGCACGTCGCCCAGCTCAAGAAATTGAGGAACACCGAGTTCGTGGACTATGATATCTCCACCGCGACGTGGACGTTTCGTGTCCAGCACTTTACGACGTACGGGATGGAAGAGAGCGATGACGACGCAGAATACTCGGAAGAGGACGCGGACGTCCAGCAAGCGTCGAGCGGTTTGAGTGAGCTCCCCGAGGATGAAACAATGCAGAGCACGGAGATGGCCGCAAACGACGATGAATCTTCTCAAGACGATACATTCGGCCACAAGAAGCGCTCGTTCCCTGCCATCCAGGTACCCGGTGGTTTTGAGGAATCGGAGGTCATCACCTACGACTACGATGACTCAAGCGCAGATGAAGGTGTCGAGGGGCAGTTTATGATGTCCGGCGGTCTCGGGGGAGCAGGTGACGACGGTGTCTCCACTTCAAAGGGCGGTGCAGTGCAGCCGCCGTCTCCGGAGGTCCTGCGCCACTCTCATTCCAGTATGGCATATGAAGACAATATCGGCGCTGTTGACATTGCTGAGCAAATGCAGGACGAACCGGCAAAGGAAGTTCCTGGCTCATTCACTATTGAAGAGCCAAAATTTCCCCGATCGATCCTCAAACCAACCGCCGGTTACTCGACCTTCGCCTCACCAGAAAAGCTGGCTACCCATTCCTGGGAAGACCAGTTGCATGCTACCATCAGCCCGAAGAAGCGAGATCGTCAGGCCTTGAGAAACATTCAACAAAGCGTGCTCCGGGAGTCATCCAGAGACCCAGTTGAGAGCCCATTCAAGCGCAGCATGCTCGGCCAGAGCACCTTCGGCCAGAGCGCATTTGGAGAGAGCTACCTTGTACAGAAGAGCGCGAAGAAGGTCGGTTTTGGTGCAAGCACGCTGGGCGGCAGCAAGAATGACCTTACCAAGAGCCAAGCTTTCCGTACCTCAATGGACATCATGAATTCGCTGTGGGCGCAAGAGAAGTCGACCAAGAAGGCCCATGGCGCCGCAGCAAACGGCTTTGAGGTATGATGATTTGCCCCCTCCCCTTCCCCAATGCACATCGTTCAATCTCTCCCATCCATTTGCACCTTGTCAGTTCATGTTCAGCATTTGGCTGAGTTGGAGGATGTTATGATAACTTTGGGCGTTCCACTTCCACACCGGCTTGCATTGATTCACGATCCGCGTCGCATTTTCCCATTGCAACGTACATAGCTGAGAATGAGAATAGAACCCATACCCCAAGAAGCCTCGCCTTTCGACCTCCAGCAACCTCAACGAGGAGGAAGCCGCCTTCCACGAAAGCGTCAAGCCTCACTTCGCCAACACTGGCCACATTATTTACTCCGTGCCTGGCTCTGCCCGCCATGTCGAGGCGCCCTTAATGCCGGCTATGCAGCCACTGGTAGGGGAGCACAAAGAGGTTCGCTTTGCGAGATGGAGCGCCAAGGCAGATGAGCTCAACACAGAAACACTCAGCGCTCAGAAGGACTCGACAGTCTTGCAGAAAGTGAATGGCTTTCCCTTCGCTTCTCCGGCGGCAGACACGCTTTTCCAGGACCTCGAAACAAAGTCGGTCGACTTGCGCGAGAAAGCCATCTGGAAGCTTTCAGACATTCTATTTGATACTGTCGTTGTGGCTTGTAAAGAAGTCGCTGGCAACATGTCTGCAGATGGCATGGTGGCATTCGAGCCACGTCTGCGCAAGGATACTTTCGCAGTCCTCTGGAACCAGCTTGTGGCGGCCGATGTTGAGCGGCAGATCGCGCTTGCGCAGACCAATGAGGAGAAGGCATTGTTGCGCTTGACCATGAATGACATACAAGGTGCTGCCGAGCTGCTTGTCGCAGCAAAGGACTTCAAGCTGGCAACTCTTGTTGCCCAGCTTCCTGGCGATGGGATCAGCAGAGATATGATGCATGCGCAGATCCAAATCTGGCGCGACCGCAACGACTGGAGCGACATGTCTGAGCCAATTAGGGCTCTCTACACCCTCACCGCCGGAGAAGTTTGTACTGTCGCTGGAAAGAATGGACCGGCCGAGCACCGTGCGAGTACCTTCAGCATATGCGAGCGCTTCGGCCTCGACTGGAAACAGAGCTTCGGATTGCGAGTCTTCTTTGGGGGCTACTACAGGTTAGAAGATGCTGTCGAGGCTTACATCAAGGCCTTGCAAGAAGGCCACGAAAAAGTACTCCCGACGCCATCCTGGGTCCAGGGTCTAACTGAAGGAGAAGGCAGAGAAGACACTCTCCTGGGTCTCCTCCGTCTGTCTGTATCAAATACGGACCTTGAGGCGCTATTTGACCCCAAAACCGTCTCTGGCAGCGCGGTCGATTCTCGTGTCGCTTGGCAACTAGCCACCTACCTCCGAGCAAAGGGATACGCAGCTGCGTTGCCCGAAGAAAAGCTCGATCAACTCACGCTGGGTTTCGCAGCTGAGTTGGAGGCTGCTAACACATTCGTCACTGCCGTTTGGGTGTTGCTCCACCTTCACAATGAAGCAGACCGTCGAAAGCTCGTTGCAGACCTGCTATTCCGGAACGCCAAGAACATTAGCGATCCAAAGTATGCGGAAGCAGATCCCGATGGCACTTGGGAGCGACTGGCTGACAACCTCGCCATACCTGAGGAGCTGCTCTGGCGAGCTAAAGCGCAACACGCCCGAGCTGAGCAGAATGATGCTCCAATGCAAGCGAAGTTCCTCCTACACGCGGGTGCCTACGACGAGGCCCACCAGGTTCTTCGTGAGGTCATTGGACCTCAGGCTGTTATTGAAGAGGAATTTGATGTGCTGTCGGTGCTCATCAACGACTTCGTCGGCTTACCGGAAGAGGACCATCCCGCGGGCTGGGAAGCTGGCGGTATGGTCTACTCGGACTTCGTCACTCTGCAGGAGATGTCTACTGCACGTAAGAACAGCAAAGCAGGAAAGCATCTCATGGAGAGGTTGAGCAATGGACTTCAGAACATGAAGAATGCGGAAGGCAAGAGGACCTTGGAGGCTATGGTTGCCATTGTCGAGATGGAGAGGGTGCTGAAGGAAGAAATGCGCGATGCTGGGGTAAACATGCCGCAGGGGCATTCGAGTATGATGGACGTCGATGGCGTCACGGGGCCTGACAACGATGCTGGTATGGATGCATTCCTGAGATATAAGGCGGCGATGGGTGTTGTTGCTTGATGTCAAAGCATGAGGTGGCAAATGAGATAGCCAGCGGGCGCTTCTAGTTCACGTTAGCGGTGCATTGCATTGTATGAAAGAGCATGTGCATTTCGCAGAGGGAGAAGAAAGCGCGTTCTGTAAGAAAATGCATCTTGCTTCAAGTGAGCGTATGTATGCCTGCTTCTTACTGCCATTACGAATGACTCATGGCACTGTTCGCGTCGCCCTTCAGCTCAAATCAAAGCTTCGTCAACCGACAAATTAAAAACTCCCTTCCCTTCCCAATTCCTTTCTTCCCGCCTGGGCCGACGCCCAGTGGCTCAGCCATATATCCTCCATTTGGCACCATGCCCTCATCTCTCACAGTTTCAGTCTTGAACTTCCCCCAAACCCCAGCAATCGTAGCTTTCATATCCAGCATCGCCAAGTTCGACCCGACGCACATCCTCCCTCCGGATCCGAAAGCCCAGAACCACCGAGTCATATCTTTTGAAGGGGTAGGGAGCCAGCGCGACGGATCCCATTTTTCGGGATCAGGGAAGATTTTGGGGTTGCGATGGAGCGTCCAGGCTTGAGATTGGACACGCACGTTGCTGGGCAGGTTCGGGTAGAGGATTCCTTGTTCAGCGTCGCCGAGGGAGGTGTTGGGTGGTGTGATGCGAGGTTGGTTTCCTGGGATTGCGGCATGGAGGCGGAGGGTTTCCATGGAGATGGCGTGGAGAATGGGGAGAGAATCGAGAGCTTTGGCATCGTGTGTGGAAGGGACGGAAGATTTGAGCTCCTGGTGGAGATTTTTTTGCCAGTGGGAGTTCTCCGGACGGCTGAGTTGCCAGGCGAGCCAGGTTAGGGTGATGCTAGAAGTATCGAAGCCTGCTAGGGTATGATCAATCAGTTCGCTTGCGATTTCTAGGCGAAGAGATTGGACCGTGTCCTCCACACACAGATCTTGTTCCGATTTTGAAAGATCCTTCAGTAGACTGTTTCGGAGCTGGGCGTAGACGGTGGGATAATCCTCGACATTCTCTTTATCGCCATTATCGATGGATCGGAGTGTTTTCTCGGCATTGTCGCACATCCTCATGAGCCAGGCTTCAAGATCGTTGTTCGCTTTGCCGACCCACTCCGGCACCAACAGCCACTTGAGCCCAATGCGACTCATGAAGCTGGTGAAACTCGGCAACTCTTGTGGCCAGAAGGTATACTTCTGCCTTGCTTTGAAGTCGCGAAATAATTTCGTGCCCTCTTCTACATTCTGTACGAAGTTTGTGCCGTTCTTCATGCCAAACACGTATTCCGATACAAAGTCCATCGTGACTGCAGCAAAGACATCGTACATTTCAATGGGGGTTTCGGACTCTGCTGCAGCCTTCAGACGTGGATATAGTCGGTCATCGAGTATAATGTCCGTCTGCTTCGCCAGCGCCGGGCTCGCTCGTAGTGTTGACTTGGCATAGACGTTGCTCAGCATTCGTTTCCTCTTGGAATGCTCGGAGTGCCCTTCCATTGCGAACATTGGCTCCACGCCATAATTAGAAAAGTAGTTGGAGTACCAAGTGCCCTTCTCGAATCCGCCAGCATATATGGTTCGAATACCGCCTTCAACAGAGTTGACTGACAGCTCATTCGGTGCGAGGCGGATAATGGGCCCTAGCCTTTGGTGTGCCGCGTGGACGGCAACAGTATCATTCTGCTGTAGCCGATGGTAGTAGATCCAAAGCGGAGAGACTCTTGAAGTCCAGTGCGCGCTCGGAACCTTGGATAGAGGAGAGAGGAAAGCCGGATGAACGATGAACTTGTAGAGTGCAAGAGCGATAAGGGCGCATCCTGCTGTCAGAGGAATGACTGGCAGAGGCATTGTGTCGTCCGTTGAATTCTACATATGTGAGTATGCCAGAGGGGAGGAGCAGATTGTAAGATGCGATTTGAATCGTGATTCTTTGTTGTCCAAGGCAAAGTGCTAAGTGCTCGTGTTCACGCGCCGTTAGCATGTGAGGTCAAGATAGGGCACCGGCTAAATGGCGGCTAAACCTTTAGCCGCCCAAAGCATTCACCAAAGACGGCTAACTAGACGCTAGTGAACAGTACGGCATCCATGCACCTTTTCACTACCGGAGATCTCAGCAGGAGCTAGGCTCACGGCGATTGAGGCACAGTGAGATCGCCAGTGGTGCCCGTGCAGATATCCCTCGATGTGCGATGACGATGCATAGTACCTGCCTTGTGAGACACTACATGTAGCATTTAGGTCCGCCGGTCTTTCTGATCAATACTCGACAGGCATAGTGAAGAGGCTCTACAGGTGCTGCTTGCCGACTGTGTCACTGGATCAGGATGAAGTGAAATTCCCCTAGTATGTTATGAAATAGCAGCTTAGGAGGAAAGTAGGAGCAGGCCTGGCAGTAAGCTGAGTGGTCACGTGACCAGGTCACGTGACACGCCAAGCTTAGTGATGCCAGCTAGAAGGGGGAGAGCGGGCTTCTCTCTCTCTCTTACCTTCTACTATCCTTTACTCTATACTCTACTTTAGATATACTATACTATTACGGGTCCTTCTTCTTCGATTATTAAGTCCTTACTTCCGCTACAAACTATATAACTATATCCTATTAATAATAGGTTATAAGCCCGGGTTTATAAGACAGGTCTTAAATCAAGTAAGAAGTATAAGTTATTCCTTACCTTATAAGACCTTACGGGAGGTAGAAAAGGAAGGCCGACTAGAGGCTCGCTACCGCAGTGTACCTAGAAGACATAGCTCTTACTATAAGTGTATATAAGTCGTGAAAGTAGCCTAGTAAGAGAGTAACCGGTCTGCTCTTAATACCCTATAACGGTCTTAGGAAGAGTCTATCTAGACTACTATAAATTCGAACCCCTCTATATGTCTAGGAGATACATACCTATAAGAATCCGCCCTTCCTACCGATATCCGGCACTTCTTTATATATTATCTAACATATACCTTTTCACTAATAACTGTTTTACTATAAAGCTATAGTATCTACTTATTAAAGAAAAGTATAGAGTTAGATTCTAGGTCTTTTAGAAAGAGGAGGGTAGTACTATTATTAATAAAGGAAAACTATAAAATATAGTTCCGGATAATAAGGATACACCTTAAGTTAAATAAGTTAACTAGGTCCTAAGTAAGGTTATTACAGACATACCTATATCTATACCTTTAGAGCATATATTAATAGAATTATTATAAACACTTAATTCGGCTATAAGGAGAGCATTATATAAGAGGCATAATATAATAGCCTTATATAAGATATATATCTGCCTCTCCTAAGATAATTAAGAGATAACATAAGAGATAATATATATAAAGGAGCTATAGGACTAGGCTAAGGGCAAGTATAAAAGGAAACTCTAGGTAACTAGTAGAAGCTTACTCTAGTAGTATATTAATTTTTAGATATAGGAGGACTAGGCTATTAATAATATATAGTAGGAGTTAAGTATAATTATAAGGAGAGTAGTAGCTGCCTCCCCCTAGTTTAAGGAGATTAAGACTAAGGAGAGAAAGATTTACTAGCTCCTTACAGCTTTACTAGCCTCCTTTAATATAGTTAGAGATAGAATTAATATAAGGTAGGACCTAAAACCCTAAGACATCCTAAGCATTTTAAGAGAAAAGTAAGAACAAATAACTTAGGAGGGGACTACTATGTTTACTAGGAGAAAAGGGAGCTTTACCTACTACCTATATAAAGGACAGCACTTAATTAAAGACTGTCCCTACCTCTAGTAGGCAAAGCAGTCTCTTAAAGGAAAAGAGAGGGGCAGGTCCCCTCTAAGGAAGAATAGATCACTATTAAGGATAAGCCTATCTAATCTCTAAAAGGAGATAAGATCGTTAAAATCCTTAGTAGAGAAGTCTCTAACCTAGAAGAAGTCTAGTTAGAGAGCTAAGAAACCTTAGAGAGCTTATGCCTCCTAAGAGGCTAAGGACTCTATAGCTAAGTTAGAATCCCTATCTAATAATAAGGAAACTAATAAGGTTGCCTACTCTATAGTAGAAGTAAAGGGCAAGTACCTATCTAAATAGTTGCTTAACTCCTATGTATTATCCTATATAACTAACTAACCTTCTCTCTTTAGAACTATAAAGCCTCTTTAGAGGCCTAGATAGATTAAGGTTAGTAGTAGCTTTATAAAAGCTACCTATATAGGAGAAGTAGAGATAGGAGGGGACCTTAGGAAACAAATTGTTCTAAGAGATATTCTTCTTGTTCCTAGTCTTAGTATTAGTCTTGTTTTATAGAACTAGTTTAGCTAACAGTTTGCTATCTAACTACCTAGTTTCACCCTTAGATCTATGTCTAGTAAACTAGTTATCTAGACCAAAATTTATAGAGGTATGCCCTTTATTTTATCTCTATTAGATAACCTATAGGCTATATTAGTAATAGATGCAATAGAGGAGCACACATATGCCTTACTTTTAGCTAAGGAATAGGCTTAGTAGGAGTTATAGTATAGGAGATTTGCATACCTTAGAAGTAGTAGCTTAAGAAGCTTATATAAGGTTACTATATTAAATTCTCCTATTCTAGTACTAAGTAAAAAGCACCTATACACAAAGGTGTGTTACTTACAAACCAAACGAAAATATAAAGGGTCTGTTTTACTAAAGGAAAGGTAAAAGACAGCCCTTATATCTATTAATATCTATAGGTCTTTTAATAAGTACTGTCTTAAGGCTTAGTTTTAAGTACTAGCTAAGTGATGAACAACTTCTCTAGAAGAGTGGATCTCCCCTCAAAAGCTAGGACAGATGCTCTAATAGTACTAGAGGAATAGAAAAAGAAAGTAGAGAGGCAGGTGGGCTGCTTTCTAAATTCAATTAGGAGTAATAGTATAAGGGAGACTCCTTACTATTTTTTAAATAGTAGGAGAAGATTTTAGCATTTAGGTTAACATAACTAATGCCTATAACTCTCTCTAAAATAGTGTAGTAGAAAGGTTAATCCAGACCTCTAAGTAGACAGTACGTATAATACTCTAGGATTTAGGCATACCTATAGAGAGTTCTAGCTAGAAGTACTACTTACTTAGGTAGAGATAAGAACAAGCTCCAAATAGTTCCTCTAATTAATAGAAATTTAAGTGTTACCTAATAAAGCATTTTATAGGTAAGGTCCTATTAGTTAACTATTTTAGGGTTTGGGATACAAAGTAGTAGTCTATATAGATCTAAGGTCTAAGCCTTAAGGTCTAAAGAGACAAATTAACAAATGGGGAAAGAGGTTGTCTTTATAGGTTATATAGATAGAACTATAAAGTAATAGTTATTTTAGGAGCTAATATAAAGAGCTAATAAAGCTCACTCCTGGGTGATTTCTTTAAAAAGAGGAGGGATATAGATTTAGGCATTTTAACTTTAAACCAATCTGGTAAAGCCCCCTAGAGGAATCTAGTTAGGAGACTAAAACAACTAGTACCTCCTACCTTATTATTAGGGCTAATAGATTAGCTACTACCTGAAAATTGTTTATATAGCTCCCTCTACCCCTATTAGACGGTAGGGAGTGCTGAAGATAGATCAGAGAGAGCTTAAGAAAATTTAGAGAAAGGAACCTAAGGCTATACCTTGGGAGTTATCTGAAATTCCACCTTAGGGAGAATCTATGAAGTTAGCTAACCTAGATACTAGCTATTAGGGACCTACCCTAAGGAGCTAAGCTAGAAAAGGAGAAGGGGATCTAGATAATAAAGGAGACTAGAGTATAAAGTACTATAGTTTATTTATCTCTATAATATTCTATCTAGATCTAAGTATAAGCTAGGCTAAGGAATTTTTAAATAATATAGAGAATATACATTTACTACAGTGAGCTAACTATTACTATATAGTAGTAAGTACTAATCCCTAAAAACATATAGGAAGCTATATCTAACCCTACCCAGGTTATATATAGAGAAGCAATCTAAAAGGAGCTTTAGGCTTTAGAGATAAGCAGCACTTAGGAGCTAGCTGCTACTATGGTGCCAACCTAGTTACTTCTAAGTAGGTCTTTAATATAAAAAGGAATAATTAGTAGAGCTATTAAAAGTTTAAGGCAAGACTAGTTATAAGGGTTTTTTAGAAGTTTAGTATTAACTTTATAGACACCTTTGTACCTATAGTTAGGCATAATATACTAAGAGTGTTTATAGCTGGCTTATATAAGAAGGATCTAGAACTGTACTAGATTAATATAAACATATATTTACTAAAAGCACTCTCTTAGAAGACATCTATAAATCACCTAGGTGTTAAGATTCCTCTAAACATAGTCCCTAAAGATTCTAAGGAGCTATATAGACTAAAATAGGTAGCTAGAGATTGAGACAAAACTCTATATTACTAACTAGAGTGAGTTAAGTTTATATAGTTAGAAGTGGACCTATACCTTCTTATCTATAGGGAGGAACATAATAGTCCTTACCTATATAGATAATATCCTATTATAGCTTTAAAGCTGTTAGATATTCTCTAGTTTAAGGGAGGTTTAGAAAGGTCTTTAGAATTAAAGACCTTCAGGGAACCAAAAAGATCCTTGAGTATAAAAATTATAAGGGACAGAGTATGGGCACTCTAAAACTTAACTAAGGACATTTTATCTAAACAAACCTTACTAAGATAAGCATAACTAAAGACCAAGGCCTATATTATACACTTACCTCTAGACAGCATATAGAGCCTAAAACCTTTGAGGCCTCTAGGATAGAGGTGTAACAAATAGGAGTACTAGAGTTATACTAGTACCTAGATATAGCTAATAATAATAACAAGGCTAGACATTACTTTCCTACTTGGGAGACTAAGCATATATTATAGACCCTATTAAAGTAACATATAAAGGCACTAAAGAAGCTTGTAGGTACCTAAGATTATACCTAGATCTTAGCCTTTACTATAGGAGAGGAGGAGGTTGCCTTTAAGGCTACTCTAACTTAGACTATATAATAGACAAGGTAGACAGAGTGTCTGTCCTTAGGTATGTCTAGTTCCTTTATAGCTTACTAGTCTCCTAGATAAGTAGAAAGCAAAAGTCTGTTACAATATTAACTATAGAAGCTAAGTATATAGTAATAACTCGTATATAAAGCAGTTATAGTTCTAGCTACATTGCATTCAATAGATAAGCTGTCCTAAGCTTGTTAGAGAGTGCCTATTTTAGCTAAAGATTAAGGCTAACAATAACACTACCTAATTACTTAGACCTATCCTTATTAAAGGAGACAATTAGTTAGCTCTAACCCTTATTAAAGATACTTATATCTATAAGAGATTAAAACATATTAATATTATATACAACTTTATTAGAAATCTTTAGTAGTAGAGGAAGGTTATAGTAGAGTATTACCTAACAAAAGAGATAGTAGCTAATAGACTAACTAAACCCCTAAATAGTCTATAGTTCTAGAATTTTGTAAAGCAACTCTAGCTAGCCTAGTAAAAGAATAGCTAAACTAGGAATTAAACCTAGGTCTTTAGATCCCTATCGTATACTCTAATTATTAGGTAGAGCCTAAGAGCGCGGGGACGCTTCGCGGATGTCTATTTAGGAGTGACTTTATAGGCCTAATATTCTAACCCCTAAACTATCTAGCTAGAACTAAGAAGTATCCTAATTAGGTAATAGAAGACCTAGAGTTTGTTCTTATATTGCTTTAGTTAAAGGGTTTCAATTCTTTCCTCCGGACCTAAGTAGGAGTGTTATAAAATAGTAGCTTAGGAGGAAAGTAGGAGTAGGCCTAGTAGTAAGCTAAGTAGTTACGTAACCAGGTCACGTGACACGCTAAGCTTAGTGATGCTAGCTAGAAGGGGGAGAGCGGGCTTCTCTCTCTCTCTTACCTTCTACTATCCTTTACTCTATACTCTACTTTAGATATACTATACTATTACGGGTCCTTCTTCTTCGATTATTAAGTCCTTACTTCCGCTACAAACTGTATAACTATATCCTATTAACAATATAGTAGATTAATTCCTACCTCCAATCAGGCGCCCCGCCGGAGAAACGTTTTTCCGCTAGGCGGGGCTGTTACGAAGTAAAGGGGCAAGCGAGCGGTCTGTACGGAGATAGCAGAGGACCAGAACGAGTATACGATTTTTCCACCTGCATTGAGTCTCAGTTTCGTACATCACGACGTCCCGCAAGCAGGCCCATTCGACTACCACGAATATCAGCCTCTTACAGGCGTGATCTCGAAAACGCAACCAAAAGATTGGGCGAAGGCTCACAAGAAAAGAAAGGTAAGATGACGAATTCATAACTTTCGGCTTTAACACGCATCAGGCCTGTTCATTCCGACCATTCGCCTCCCGAGTCAAACTCATCTCTTCGAATCCCTCCACACGACACAGCCAGTCCGTGCCCGCTGCGTTCTTCATCGCATCTTGACTCAAATGCTTTTACTTTCTCACATTCGGCTGGTAGAGAGCAGAGATATCGAAATCGCACAAGTATTGTCACATAGCCAGGGATACTTTCCCTCCTCCGTCACAATCTGCCTGAAGAACGTCGCGCGCTTAGTCTGGGTACGTGCCGTTCATGAGCGTGGCCTAAGAGACGGGAACCTGCGCCCAGCATGGAGTGCCGCCAAGGGTACTATTCGCTCAGTCGGACGTTACTGCTTGGCGAGCGACGGATAGTGTGAGGCGCAGCCCCTTTTGAGAGACCTTGAGAGGCCCCTGAGAGGCCCTTGAGAGGCCCTTGAGAGGCCCTTGAGAGGCATAACTGTGAAAGTTATGTCTGAGATAGGATGCTGCGGGCCGCATGATGAGATGATTTCTCCGTTTTCTCGCAAAGTCACAGATGGACATGAAGTTCTGGACTTTCGACTTTCGGGAATTCCGAATCACGAGGTGGACCGAGCGCCCGGTGTGCTACTCAAGGCTACCTCCAATCAGTCGCTCCGTCCGGAAGAACTTTTCCCTGCTAGCGGGGGCTTCCTGCGAAGCAAACTCAACGTTGCTTGCGATAGCACAGTCAGTAGTAAAGTAGCTTAGTGATAGCACTGCAGGAACAGTCATTCACATTGCCACATCCATCCATGGAATCCGAACCTACCACAATCGTTAATATGATAAATGCAGTGCAGATGCATGCCACCAAGACCGCCAAGCCCTTTGCACTGTTACATTCGGCTTAGCGGGCTGATATCAGATAACGGCCTTATACACCGGGCTTGGCTGCCATGGGAAGCACGCGACGCTTGGCAGTCAGCGTGACGCCCTGCAGCGCCTCATAAGGCAATCGCCTTCGTCGTGTCCATAAAGGCCTCCGTCATCTAGGCTGCTCAGGTCCTCTGTCCAGCAAGCTCTTCCGCCTGGACGCTGCCACCCGGCCTCCATCTCACCTCCGGCAAGCAGAAAAATATGGCGTGGGGACGCAAATCATCCATCGCGGCCGCGCACCAGCAATCTACTGTCGACAGCGAGAAGCTGCCATACGAGTACGAGCAATATGAATCAGAATCGCCCATCGCTGAGGCGGGCCACCTCGCAGATCCAGCAGACGAGGATCACAGTCTGCAGCGTGGCCTTAAAGCTCGACAGGTCACCATGATTGCCATTGGAGGAGCAATAGGGACCGGGCTCATCATTGGAACAGGCTCAGCCCTTGCAAATACTGGCCCTGCTTCGATTCTGATCTCCTACACTATCGTGGGTATGCTGGTTTACGTCGTCATGGCTGCGCTTGGAGAGATGGCGACCTGGTTGCCTGCGGCTGGCGGTTTCGCTGTCTACGCTTCTCGTTTCGTTGACCCGGCTCTCGGTTTCTCATTGGGATACACGTATTGGTTCAAATACATCATCACAACGCCAAATCAGTTGACCGCCGGTGCACTGGTCATTTCGTACTGGATCGATCGAGATCGTGTGAATCCTGGAGTCTGGATCACCATCTTCCTCGTTGCAATCGTTGCTATAAACTTTCTGGGAATCAAAGTGCGTCAACTTAGCGCCATACAAGTCGGACGAGCTGCTGACGATTGCTAGTACTTTGGAGAGCTTGAATTCTGGCTGAGCTCTGTCAAGGTCTTGGTCATTATCGGACTGATCATTCTCACTCTAGTGCTTGCGCTCGGGGGAGGACCAAATGGCGACCGAACCGGCTTTAGATACTGGAACAACCCGGGTGCTTTCAAGGAGTTCGTAGGCCATGGAGCTGTCGGACGCTTCACTGCTGTCTGGCAGAGTATGGTCACCGCCGTGTTCGCTTTCCTTGGCACGGAGCTTGTCGGTGTCACTGTTGGTATGTAGACCTGTGTATGGGCAGAGTATGCCGGGCTAACTTGGTGCAGGCGAGGCTCAAAATCCCCGCAAGAACATCCCACGAGCCATCAAGCTTACGTTCTGGCGCATCGCTGTCTTTTACATTATTTCTGTGCTCCTCCTAGGAATGGTGGTACCGTACAACAGCGACGAGCTTGTCTTCGCTACCAAGTCGAGCACCTCCGCCGCTGCTTCACCTGTATGTACACTTGCAAGGATTATGCTGAAAGTGTCAGCTAACAACGTGCAGTTTGTCGTCGCAATCAAAATCGCAGGTATTGGAGGTCTTCCTGGCTTTCTCAACGCTTGTATCCTCATCTTCGTCTTCAGCGCAGCAAATTCCGATCTTTACATCGCTTCGCGCACGCTGCACGGTCTGGCCTTGAAGAATCATGCTCCGAAGATCCTCGCCACTACCAACAAACGAGGAGTACCATTCTACGCCCTCGGTCTCTCGGCCTCAATCTGCTGCATCGCCTTTATGAACGTGTCCACGTCTTCCACGACAGTCTTCGGCTACTTCGTGAACCTGGTGTCGATTTTCGGGCTCCTCACCTGGATCTCTATCCTGGTCTCGCACATCTACTTCGTTAAGGCTAGAAGGGCACAGGGTGTCCCAGACGACAGCAGTCAACTGCGCTACAAGTCTCCTTTCGGCTTATGGGGGTCTTACGTCGCACTTGTGTTCTGTTGCCTTATTGCATTGACCAAGAACTTCACCGTCTTTGTGCCGAAGCCTTCGACATATGGCAATTTTGACTACAAGAACTTCATTGTAAGGTCTGGCAATCATCTGATGTTGACACATGCTGACTTGATGCACAGACCGGATACCTTGGCATTCCTCTTTATCTAATCATGATTGTGGGATACAAGTTCCTCAGGAAGACACACCAAGTCAAGCCTGAAGAGGCTGACCTGTGGTCAGGCAAAGACGTCATTGATGCCGACGAGCAGGAATGGATTGCCAAGGAAGCGGCAGACAAGGCGAATGGTCGTGGCAAACGTGGGCTCTACGATCGTACGCTTGGGTACATTTTCTAGGCGAGACCAAACAATGAATCGGTTGAATGGGACGACGCGCAAGATGGATAACATTCCTTTCCATTTCAATTCCATCAGCAAATGTTTCAGCTACCGACGCTAATTGAGAACTTACAGAAGTCGCCTCCCTTCTGATCAATTTTTTGCTGCCAGGGGCCAAAAATTCCGAATAAAGACCCAGAACGACGTAGAATTGGACGCGGGCACGATGCCATGGATGGCGCTGTACCTCCTGCAGATGTATTAAATGCCTTCAGTCGAAACACATAGCATGCACTGGATATGGCGGGCGCGGTGTGCCAGAAATAGGCAGAATGCTAAATCGTCTTCCTGGCCGGAATTAGCGGAGCGAATTTCCACTGCTATCAGTCAACGCACTAGTCGCGAAGTCGGTGTCAAACCTCCATCCATGTCTTCCGTCTCAATCTCATGAATCTGACACTCAAGAGACGCTGATCTTCCGCGGACGGCGGGAGGCACATGCACAGGAACTACGTCTGAACTTGGCGCGGCGATGCAGAATAGATCCAGAAAAGTGCGTGCACGGGGATTACGATACCGCGGCGACGGTTTCCGGTTGGCTTGTGAAGGCCGAGATTCTGCATGGCTTTCTCTTCGATACGAGTCGATACCGCAGTCCGGCGGCTGTGGTTATTGATGTTGTTGGTGTTGTCTGAGGCGGTCAGGGAGGGGTTGCGTGAGGTCGGAAAAAAATCTAGGCCGCGCGAGGAACGCTGGCGAGGTGAGGTGAGGTGGAGTGGATAGGTGTGAAGTCACGTCACGTGCACTTGCAAACTATATATATCACCTGCAACCTTGCACCGGGGGGGCTGTGGCTAGATACTCCTCACGAAGCCAGTGTTGAGAACGAAAGTCGTTACCTATTCATTCACTTACCCTAGCTTGGCAATCCGCACATGCCAAAGAAGCCGAAGTTTTGCCGATCTCCAGCAGACTTTGCATCCGTGAGCTTTCCATGCAATATATTGCAAATACACGAGAAAACATCTTGTCCATGAACTTTAGAATCCGAAATAAATTCATCGAGAAATCCTCCTCCGGCTCCCGCACATCCCACTACAACTTTTTTTTTTTCTTTTCAACAAGCACTCACAGTCTTCGTGACACTAGCCGTCACCTGCGACGTGTGATACACCGTCGACGTCTCCACGGGGACGAAGAAGTATTGCGTGAACGTGAAGCCGCTCGCGGTGACCGTGGTGACTGGCTGCCCTCGGGCCACAGTAACCGTCGGTGTGGTAGTCACTGTCCGAAGAATTGTGGTCGTTCCAGTAACGTGCTGCGTGGAGCCAGTGATGATGGAAGTCGTGGTGGACGCCGGGATGTTATTGTCGACGATGGTCGTGGTGGGGGAATCGGGATGACGCTTTGCAATGGCGTTGCGGACCTCGACGACTTGTCGACGTTCCATGAGAGCGCGTTTGACGCGGGAAGTCGGCGTTTTCAGGAATGCATGGGGGCCGACGGTGGGGAAGATGTCGCGATTGACGCGGTCTGGGATTTTCAATGCAGGCTGTTGGATGGCGTTGAAAGCGAAAGGTTGGTTTGCTGTTGGCTGGCAGGGTTCCGAATTCGTGATCGTGCTGGTAGCGACAATGTCTGCGATTTGAGATGTTTGAACGTAGGTGTAGACACCTTTGGTAACGATGGTGACAACCGGGCCTGCGACTGGTTAGCTTCTGTGTCTCGTGCGTTCCAGCGACTGAGGATGTACCTGGAATGACAGTGACTGTCGCTTGGGCACGACCGCCATTCGCAGTGGTGATGACAGGCGGTGCGGGAGATTCCAGCGTGATGGTGGACGTCACAATCGTACTGGAGATAGGAGTCGTGGTCGAAGTGAACGTGACAGTCGGGCCCACACTGACAGTAGACTGCTCGCCGACACTCAGACTGAACTGTCGAACATAGTCGATCGGCTGGCATTGCCCGTTGTTGCTAATCACAATCATGGACCAGTTTCCAGAAACAAGTTGATCTTTGTTGATGGGACTACACGTAAAGATCAATACCGAGGGCGCCAGAGAAGGCTCAGTGCAGCTCACCATGTGACGAGTTGCTGACTGTCGGATGGCTGCATCTGCGTCAGGTTGCATTCATATTGCGTGCCACTCGGATCGACAAGGATGTTGTCGGCAGTGTCGTTCTGGCAGCCTTGGAACTCCTCAAAGGCGGTAAAGGGGTTCGTAGATTCGATGTTTTGAAAATATGAGCCTCCGTCGACGAAGTCTACCCCAAAGCTCTCGCATGTTGTCGAGCAGTCTTGCGCGTTAGCAACTGAAAAAACGAAAATCGAGAGAAAAAGACTGGTAGAGAGAGGTAGAGACGGCATGATGAATCAGAATAGCGATGTTCTTTGAAATTGAATGTTGGCAACGAAAGCCAACAAGCAGCCGGCAGTAAAGAGTATCTAAAACTCCAGCAAGAGCGATGGGAGTCTTCAATCTTTGTCAAAAATCATTGCTATGCGGCCCGTTCGGCGAAATCATGAGTAGCACGGTAGTGACGTGCCGTGCGGTGCAGACATTTGTGATGCAGCGCAAATAGTGATGCGCTTGTTGCCTTACGCAGAACTTTGGCGATCGGTATAGCATTAGCTCCTCTCGGAAGTACGTGCACTCGTTCAGGAGAGGGACCCGATGTCGAGCTGAGTTAGTACCGGGCCCAGTTGCGATGCTTCTGCCTGGTCTTGCAGACGCGATCGAAGGCCAAAATGCGTATAAAAGCCAGCCTTCCAGTCGAAGCCTCAGAAGGGAGACAGAACCTTGGTTCACAGGTGGGCGGAGGAAAACCACGCCCGCCAGGTATTTCAATAGACCCTTCACTTCAGACTATCGTCTGTGGTCGGCAGGTTCGGCAAGTTCGGCATCATCACGTCGTGGGATCCAGCGGGTTAAGGTTTGGAACCGGCACGGTGCCTTAGTGTGGTTATGATCAGCAACGCTTCCACCCCGTACGGGCAAACAGACAGAATAATAGTGGTTCCGATGATCATACTCCGAGACATGGTGGGTACGCGGCTCGAAGTGGATTGAACGCCCGCCGCTCGGGTGGCTGAGTCGCGGACATGTGATCAATCGTACACATCAAAATATGTCTCGCTCATGGGATTGAGAGCCAGGGTAGTATCCAAGGTCGTCGTCACGGCTATTGTTTGTGCAGGCGGTGTCTTTGTTCACGGGTCCGAGGTTGACAGGCTAGTTTTTGAGAGGATTGGAAGTGAGAAAAGGCGCAATCCGGGCGTGACGAGGTCCACTACCGGAGATAGAACTTCCGGAGTCGTCCAACATTGCCCAGGTAGATATTTCTTGGCCGATCTAGCGACCATAGTCCCAGTACGGATGGCCTAGGAGGATGGATCAGGAAAGTATGCTTCGTGAATGCTTGTGCGGCGTTCCGCGCACACGGTACCATATCTGTAGCCAGACTCTTCTCGAAGACTCTTCTCCAAATTATACGCGCAGTCCCGATGCCACGATAGCAGGATTGGTGTGCGGTGGATGTACGCTGTGTTCGTGATGTGCGCCGCTACCTGCGGGTCGAAAGTCTGAGTCTAGAATCTGGTGCTTGTCGATTGGTCTCGTGGAAAGTCGTTCCGCCTCGTCCTCGTGCCTGGAGCATAGTCTCGCGAACTTTTCGCTGGCTTCGACGCGAGGCGCATGACCGCGCGCAAGTATCTCAGACGCTCGTCGCGGCTCATATCTCCCCTATAACACTCATTAGCGATCCTCGGATAGCCTCGCATCAAGAACCTACCACTCCTCCCTCACGACGATTTCCTTGCCAGCCCAAAGATCACTCCTCTCCACTTTGGCCCTAATATTCCTCTCACATGTCTCACTCGACCTCTTCATCGCGACTGCACGCGTCGATGGATCATCCTGCACCCCTCTCATGGCCGTGACATCCATCTACTCGGCTTCTCGACCAAGTAAAGCCAGGACATTCGCGTCTATTCCTTCCCCAGACAGAGCCGCACCACCACTCTCGAGCAGCGGCGAAGACTCATGATCGGCTGATCACAACAAAAGTGCGTTGATAAGGGCGTGCCCACGACGAAGACCAGCCATAAAGATGAGAGACAAGAAGCATTCCAAAAATCGGGCAAGGAGAGGATGAACGAATCCGAGATGCATTGCAAAGTGAAGATTGACATACGTAAGGTAGATGGGAAATCAGTGCGATGATTCCTCATCATTCGTCATTCTTCTCCGCGGGCTGTAGCATACATGTCCTTGTCCATGGACAAACTTATTACCAAAAAAACAACGATGCTTTTTTGTCTTGGTCTCGAGTTGCGTTATAGATTGGGAGCCCTAGAGTTGGCCTTCTGAATAAGGAAATTCAACGTTCAAGCTCCCATTGCTCCTGATTTCGGTCCTGCGCGGGTTTAGAAGACACCAATCGTGCTCGCTCTGATGTCCAAAGCCAACTGAATACCGGGCAAGAAATTTATCCGTCGATGCAGAGCGTCAAGGAATGCTAATTCCAGGGGAACAAGACCAGGAGTCCGACTGCATCGCGAATGGCTCAGGGGGGGTTCAACAGCAGAAGAAGAGAGTCTTTCCCCTCGTGCATTTCGACCTCACGGCGTCAGTAGGTAGCGAGATGTGATTTTTCCTGAGCTTCCAGTCCTGACTAGATCTGACTCGGTCGGAGCTACTTCGCAAGTCAGCGAGTAAGTAAGTAAGTTCGGAGTGGAAGCCTCGCCAGTAGAAGACCCTAGATAGGCGACGTATCATCGGGGTACAAGGCCATATATAAAGGCTTTCCACGATGTTGCGTGTCGGGTGTTCTCCGCGAGAGAGTGCAGTGGTGATATTTCCGGTCGAAGTTAGCAGGACAAGGAGATAGGGGCGAAGATTGCTGTGGAGGAAACTCGGCATCGGGGAAACGAATTTCCACTAAAGGATGTGCCTCCAGATCTGGGTTTCGGGGGAGAACATGATCCACTAGAACTTCGAGGTCGTATTCCGAAAAGGAGGAATACTACTATGGTAGGCTGTGAGCACATAGGAGCTGCACAGCCGAGAAAAAGTAAAGGAATTGCGATTCCGGGAGCACAAGCTAAAGCCGAGCTAGGTCATTTTTCACATGCCGAAACCTCACGCCGAGAAGAAAGTCTCTATCAGCCATATCGCGACAACGCTACTGCTTAGCTACAGCTAACCCTCACGAATATTTGTGCTCGAAAGCGTTGCCAGATGTGTCTGAATCAAGAAGCAGAATTGGCTTCCGCCACTTCACTTGGCATTGGCATGTGATCGAGCCTGAGCCGTCAATCACATGCAAAGCTCGCCCCTGAAGTTCCACAGCACATGGCATAGAGCTTTTTCAAATTCAAAAACTCGATCGAACCTCGATTCATTTCACGAACCAATCCCATCACAGCCTCTCGACGTCGAATCGAGCACATCATCACGTCGACGAGCGTCACAAGCCGGCTAGCCGTTGACCCGCCACAGGCTTGCGACAGCTCCATCACGCGAAGCCCGATTGTCACGAGCTAGATCCACGCCAAGAGACATATTGAGCGTGTGGTCAGTGGGAAAGGCACGACCCAGCAGAGCAAAGCAAAGCAACAAGTCAAATCCCCAGCGACGGACAAAAAAAAAAGTCAAGCATCCAAAGCAAAGCGAGAAAAGCCTTTCCCGAACAGATCGAGCAGACCAAACCAGACCAGACCAAACCTCTTCCCATGGATTCCCAGCCCAACAACAACAACAACGCGCCCCCCTCCACCTCACCCCCCTCTCCCCCTCCCCCTCCCAAGCTCTCGTCCAACTACCCAACGCACTTCACAACCGCGACAAACGGCTACCGCACTTCCTTCCTCGCCTCCATCAACACCTCCTACAAAACCTCCTGGTCAGCCTTCCAGCGCGAATGCGACGCACACCAAATCGCCATCCATCAGAACCTGCAGCGTGCCATTGCGGAACTTACAGCCCAAGCGCAACGGGAGGAGGCGGTGCTGCGGGAGCGTTTTGATGTGAGATCGGCGGAGATGGTGGAGCAGAGGAGGGAGGAGATGAGGGATTTTGTGGAGAGGTTTGAGAGGGATCCGGTGGGGGTTATTATGCGGCATGAGGAGGTTGCTGCAGGTGGGGGGATGGAGGGGAGAGACTTGGAAGGCGAGGGGGAGGGGGAGGGGGAGGGGGGTGGGGATGGGGATGTGGTGGGATATGCGAGAGCAGCGGCGGCGGCGGCGGCGGTGGTGCAGAGTGGTTCTTCTATCCCGTCGTCGCGACAATACACGGATATGGCCATGAACCGATCAACAACTGCGCTGACGCCGGCAGCGATGGCAAGATTTCCTCCCTCGGCCAATGCAACGGGTCCTCACCACCCGCACACTCCATCCAATCAGACCATAACTGCGGCTTCCACCCCATTGCTTACGGAGACCTCACTCGTCCCTAGTCTCCATGCAGTTGCAGCAAATATCCCCCGAGCATGGCGACCGCCGGCAGAGACTCCCGAGCCCTCCGAGAGCCTGCTCAGAGCAGCACGACCACAACCAGAAACCACCCGCCCTCAGCCAAAACCTCCGCGCGGCGGCAAGACGAGAACAAGAATCCCACCACGAGGCGCTCTCGACAGCTCCCCATCCTCCCAAGTCAACACCCCTCTCCAACCCCCAACCCCACCCATCCCCATCCCCATCCCGCAACCAGTACCACCCAAACCATCCCCCTACCCAACCCACCCCCTCACACCCTCGCAAAAAACCTTCCTCCCTGCAAAAACTCCAACTCCTCCGCTCCGAACCCTACACCAAACCCTTCCTTGCCGCCATCGACGAAGTCCCCCTCCACCCCCCCAAATTCCACATGCCCATCCCCACCGAGAATAATTCCACCGACAACCTCATCCAGAAAAAGAAAAAGAAGAAGAAAAACCCCCATGTACATCGCCCTACTAGCCTTCCGCCTCCGACACGACAAGTACAAATCCGTGGCGGCTTTCATGGGGGATTTCGCGGTTATAGCCGCAAATGCGAGGTTTTGGCATGGGGAGGGGCATAAGGTTACGCGCATAGCGGGGGCTATGGAGGGGGAGTTTCGAGGGATGATAATAGAGGGGTTGCCTGGAGGATGTATGGAGGGGGGTGGGGAGGGAACGAGAGGTGCTCCGATTGAGATTGATTGATTGATTGATTGATTGATTGATTGATTGATTGATTGAGGAAAGATGGCGGGCTGGGGCTCGGCGGGTAAGGTAAGGTAAGGTAAGGTAGCATCAGGACTGGAAATGGGAAAAATCGGCGAGCAACTTCCGTTGATAGTTGACTTTTGACTTCCGTAGCTAAACCTCTTTTTTTTTTCTGGAATCTGCAACCTTAACCGTACCCAACAAGCATATCTCAATCTCCCACGGAAGAAAGAAAAAAAAAAAAAAAGAACGTTACAGTTACAAATCCCCCCCGAGCAAATCCTTCTTGCTCGGTCTCTGTCCCGCTTCCGGTTCATGTCGCAGCTCTTCGACGGATCGCGACGCAGTCAATTTCTCGTACCCACCACCACCACCACCACCACCACCGCCCAGATTCGGCGCGAAAGTGACGTTCCGCGAGGGCATGGGAGGTCGCGTGGTGGAAGGGCCTGCCACTCCCGGCGGCGCTGGTGGAAACGCCGTCGTCGGGAAGGGAGGATTCATGGAAGAAGCTCCGGGGAACGCAGCGCCGAGATCTGCGTGCAAGGGAGCGCCCAGGGGAGCTTCTGGGCGCATGAAGCCGTGTCCGTTTCCGTTTCCGGAAGTGTCGGGGCGAGGGGAGGGAGGTCTGCCGGGAGTCATGCCGAGAGGTGAAGGCATACGGCCGGGGACGGCGGTGAATCTCGGGTCGGCATACAGACCCGTGACATCGGGCGGAGGGCGGTACATGTAGTGATCTGCTGTCGGATGCGGAGGCATGTCATGGCCGGCGAAAGCATGATCGGCATCAAGGCCTCCTGCTGGCCCGAAGTCGGATGGAGGGGGAGGGTGAGGATGAGGGTGAGGACGAGGACGACGTCCCGGTCCCGGTCCCGGTCCACCGCCGAGAGGGCCGGGCGGTGGTCTAGGCGAATGCGGACCTAGCTAAACCGTTAGACGTGAGAGGAAGAACATTTGAAATGAATATTGCCTCGGTCGGCGGAGATGGTACGTACTCACCACCATTTCCCAGCCCGCCGAGCATATCGTCCTCATCGTCCCATCGGCGACGTCGTCCTCCGTAGGGGAACCGCCGCCCACCACCAAACATCGGTTCGTCGTCGAAGCCGTCGTCCAGAGCAATCCGCCGTCCCCGTCCCCGGCCCGGCCGTCGAGGCTGGTACTCTTCCGGCATCATACCGGGCGGGTATGCCATGGCAGGATGGAACATGTTCATGTTCGCATTCATCGCCCCTACACCCGCCATGGGATTCATGCCGGGCATTCCGTTCATCATCGGGTTCATCGCCGGCATCGGAGCAGGCAACGCAGCGCCCATCTGCGGCGGCATACCAAACGCACCCGCTTGCGGCGGCGCAGGCATATTGATTCCCCCAGCACCCATTCCCATCCCATTCGGCGGCCAGCCCATCCCACCCGGCCCACCAGGCCACGGAGCATTCGGCTGCGGGCCCGGGCCCGGCCCCTGCATCAACCCCGGCAAAACCTCCCGCAGAGTCTTGAGCATCCGATCCTTATACATCTCCCTCCTCCGCTCCCCCTCCGTGCCAAACAAGAACGCATCCCTCTCTTCCAAATGCCCCTTATACTCCTCCGCCATCCGCCGAAACTTCTCCTCCACACTCTCCTGAAACCGTTCCAGATCCCCCCTCCTTAGCCTCCCCCCCCTTCGATCCCCTTCATACCCCCACCCTCCCCCTCCCCCTCCACCACCACTCCGTCTCCCCCGCTCCCGCATCTGCCACTCATTCATAATCTCCCCAAGCCGCTCATAGTCCCTCACAGTCCACTCGCGCGCATCCTTCCACATGCCCACGGCACCAGGAAGACCAGAAGGCGAGGGCCCCCCACCACCGTACATGAAATCGTCCATGAGATCCACCGGGTCCCGGAAACTGCCTCCGACTTCTTTGTACACGTATCGCGACGAGCGATGGGATTGGCCGCAGAAGCAGGACGGGCCCGGGTGGCAGACGCGGAGCGAGTCGGAGGGCAGGATGAGTTCGGTTTTGGAGGGGCAGACGCCCATTTTTTTCGTCTTCTCTCTCTCTCTCTCTCTCTCTCTCTTCCTGAGTTTGTGATCCGGGAGGTTTTGGAGAGGCGGATCCAATGAGGATGTTTGATGAGCACGATGTTTATCTTTCCAGCAGCACAAGGAATTTGCCGAGGGTGTAAGGAATCGATGGAATTGAAGGGGCAAGAAAAAAAGGACAAAGAAACGACACAGCAATCAAATGCTCGAGGGCAAAGCGATTTTGAAGAAGCCCGGAAGGCGGCACCTGACCGCATGAAACTTGCGGTGAGGTGTACCACACAATGACAAAGTAGCAAACAATCACAAGAGAAGCGAGGGAAAGGAGAAGGGAGGGGGATAGAGGTGATGTGGTCGATTTCGCCGGGCACTATCGAAAAGAAGCAAGCAGAATGGCTCCGGCGGCTGTAGAAGCCGCAGCCGGAACGGATGTCTGCATGGTCCTACAACACCCCCCAGCTACTCTCGTGCTCCCTGGGCAGAAGTCCACCCGCCTCGATGCTCGGAATGCAAGCGTCCACTGTTTCCTATGCTCTCTCTGGAATCCGTCATCTCCGTTATGCTGGTTATCTTTACCGCTCAATTGCTCTGATTGGAAAATGCATGCATGCATGCATGAGTGCGGACGTGCGTGCGTGTGCGCGTCCAGTTCTTTCCCCCCTGGATGTCCCGGTACACTCAAATCAGAACCGACCCGAACGCCGCCGCTGTGCAGTGCTGACTCAATGTCAGAAAACGCCTCCCGTCTCTGTGCTGTTGAAGTAATGTGTATGGTGTAGTGGACACCGCCGACTTGATCGATCCATCTGATCACATCGTAATTCTCGGTCTCATCCGCCGACTCTCACTGCGTCGAGGGCTGTTGCGGAAACGTCGACTCATCCCGTTCGGAACGCTGTCCGACTCCTCGCTCTCCTGCCGCTCGCTCATGCCCTTCTCCTTCTCTCGTAACACATCAGCAAGCGCCTTACGGCCCTTGCGCTCCATCCGCTCCTCTTCCGGGTCGATAAACCGGTGGATGGTGCGATGATCAAGCACCCGCTCTTCCTTGTCATGCTTGCCCTCTTTGTCCGTCTTGGGCCAGTAGTAGCCATACAGCTTGCTGTGCCGCTCGCAGCGTGGACAGGCGATGCGGGTGTGGTACGCGTCGCCTTGCACGAAGAACTGATCGCAGTTGCGACATTCGACCCAGCGGTGATACTGCGTGCATAGCAACGCCTCGCAAAGATGATAGTCGCCGGGCTTGCGGGGAGTGCCTCGCTTGACATCCTCCTCATCCTCGCTGTCGGCCGCCCCCTTCTCGATGCTTCGAACGGGACCTCCCTCCAACTCCGCCAACATAGAACGTGGACTCTTGCGCAGCACTTCCTTCGCATTCTCAGCTTTTTCCGGCGACAAGAATTGAGTCTGTTCGGTGGTCTTCTGCTGTCGTATGGCGCTGCGAGTGCGGGTGGCTCTGGTTTCGACCTTTTCAACAACTTCCTCCTCGACTTCCTCCTTCTCATCGTCTTGTCCATTTGTCAACATGTCACAGATACCCTGAGCGATGTTACCGTTCCCAAAGGTGTCTAGAGAGGTCGCGCTGGATGCTTGCGATGCAGCTGAAGAATGATCCGTGCCCATGGACGATGGCGAGCTGATGTCGGCAGAGTCCGTCACGTCGTCGAGCTGTGGGTATTTTCTGGGCCGTCCTCTGCCCCTCTTGCTCGACTCTGCCGCAGGTGCTGGTGAAGGTCGGATGCTGTATGGATCTGACTGGGAGTCCTCTGCGTTGACAACATTGCGAAGGCTCGAAAAGCTGCGATGCTTCTTGATAGATGGTAGCTTGGACTTCGATGACACTTCCACAATCTCAACATCGCGCCGAGTCTTCTCGACTCTTTCGCTGTCGGCACGAGAGGTCTTCTTTTGAGCAAAACGTCCCCGCGCACCTCGCACCACCAACCTGTTGTTGCGCATCAGTTGACCGTCATCTTCGTCTCCCGATTCAAGCTGATCCTCAATCGCTGGCGCGTCGCTCATTCGCACATCAAGATCTGGTTCTGTTCGAATGATGGGAGCTGCTGGCGTAGCGGATTGCGATGAGCCCAGACCTGCTTCCCAGGTCCGCATCTGCCGGTCTCTCCGATCGGCGACACTTCCCAACATGCGCAAGATCTTGTCCAGAATAGGATCGCGGCGCTCTTCGGAAGTGGTAAATGTGCGTGGAAGACTCATGCGGGCAAATGAGCCTCCATTGCTCAACGTCGCCTGCGCGGCAGCCGGTTGAGAAGGCATTCGTAAATCCGCAAATGGTCGGCGCTCTTGCGTCTTCTTCATGAACCGACCACCGTATCCTCGCTGGCCATCTTCATCGTCAGAATCATCATCTTCGCTCTCCTCAGGTCGCAAATGCTTCCTAGGTCTCCCGATTGGGCGCTTGTCAGGCGCAGAGGTGGTTTCTCCACGCTTTCTCTTGCCCAGTGTGGTTCGATCCGGCGCAGGTGCTGGTGTCGTCGGCTTGGACGTCCCCTCCTCTTGGGACTCTTCATCGCTGCTGTCGCTGTCGTGCACGATTGGCCCTCTTGGATCCCACCCATTGCGCAGATACCGCTCACAGGTGGCGCACAAACATTCGCAGTTACCCTCACCGAAGTAGTTTACGCCGTATGTGACCGTAATCTCCTCGCCCACCGCGATATCTCTGCGCGCGACGATGTGAATGCCGTGGGGACCAGTAGTATTAAGACTGGCATTGGATTCACAGTCGTGGTTCGCAAAGCGTGCTGGGCCTAGGAAAAGCGACGGCCGCTTTCTGCGGCTCGAAACGACAACACTGAAAGCCGTGCGCTCGGTCAATTCCTCCTCTTCTTTCTCCGTCATCTCCACTTGAATTCCAAGCAAATATTTGATCGGCTCGCCTTTGCGGATTCGCTTGCGGGCAACCGCGGCAGCCTCGGCCGTCTCGATAGTGTAGCGGTTGGTCGTGACAACCTCGAATGGGCAATCGGGAAGATACATGTTGATGTATTTGCGCAGATGCCGTACAAAGTGTTCCTTTTCATCCGTCGTCTTGAGAGACCTGTGGTACTTTTGGAGACCAGCCAGCTGCAGCAGCTTCTCCTGCGCCGTCCCAGGATCTTTATTTATGATTACATGCTTCTGTAGTAAGTCGACGACGTGTTGTTCTTGGACACCTCGGCAGGGGTGGTAGTTGGTCTTCAGCTTGCGGATCGTCGACCAAAAATATACCTGTGTAAGACAATGTCAGCCAACTGAAACCGAAAGGCGGGTGCGCACGAGGCGGAGGAAGTCATACTCGGTCGACAAGTGCGTCGGTTATGATGTCGTCGTAGTTGGCCAGCTGAGACAGGGTGAGGCCGCCCTTTTTCTTGAGAGCCTCCTCAAGGTCGGCGGCCTGGTGAGGGGGCATGGTGATGGTGGTATAAGCAAGCGCAGTAGTGACCGACGGACGACAATGGCCCAGCAACAGCCCGCGACGCCGGTGCGTATGTGTATGGGTATATTCTTCTCCTTCAATGTCCCCAGCAAAAGCAAAAGCACGCAAATGCAAACAAGGCGCAGATGTCCTTCAGTGCCGCGGCATTCCCAGTAATAGCGGTATTCGATGTCGAGGGTGTCGGCGTGGAAGTGGGTATTGTGTGGAATACAGGCGACAGCGCCGGTGAGACTCTTTCTTTCAGCGCAATCCTCTTGCGCGCGCGTGCAGCCCTCAGCGTGGTCCTAATAAGCATGCGGTCTGGCCAGCCCGCGACACATGGTCTTTGTTGTGGTTGTTGTGTCGATAGCAATTCCGGTCGTTGTTCGTGGTCAAAGAAAGGGAAAGAAGAAACTTGTCAGCGACGACGGCGCATGTTCTTTGGTGGGCTATTGTCGCGTGGCACACAATAGCAGTCGGCGGTGCGGCAAATGAAGCGGTACTCGATGCGAAGAGGACGCCAAAGAGCGCGCGTTCCAGCCACCACTTCGTAATCGACGGAAGTGCAAGGGGGGCCCGCCCGCTCCGCAAAGCTGAGCTAAGCTAAGCTAAGCTAAGCCGAGCAAGCCCTAGTATGATAGGCCGTATCCGACTTCCTTCAATTGCAATCCCATACTATCACCATCGATCTCGCCGCGCGCATCCGACGTCTCTGGCCTACGCACTGGAGTACGAGGCCGTTGAGAGCCTGCAGCTGTCAAGATGATCCAACTCAAGGTACGCACGAGCACGGGACGCGGCTGCACAAGCCCGCGACAAACCCTGCAATCGCAGAAGCACAATGCTCATACAAGATACAGACCATGATGAACGTCATCGACAACTCCGGAGCCGCCGTAGCAGAATGCATCAAGGTCCTCAAAATGAAACGAGCAGCAAAGATCGGTATGCGCATCTCATCTCATCTCACCAACTGCTTCTCTCTAAACTTTCTCCTTCTAGGTGACCGCGTAATAGTAGTCGTCCAGAAACAACGCAACTTCGGCGCAGAATCCAACGCCGTCACCGTCAGCGCCGCGAACAAAGTCCGAAGAGGAGACATTCGACACGCAGTCGTAGTGCGAACGAAAAAGAAGGTGCAGCGACCGGACGGCAGCGTTGTGAACTTTGACGATAACGCCTGTGTTCTGATAAATAAGGGCGGAGAACCGATCGGAACAAGACTGAACGGAGTGGTAGGGAAAGAGTTGAGGAATCATAAATGGAGTAAGATTTTGAGTTTGGCGCCCATGCATTTGTAGGACATCAGGCAAGAGCAGGGCGAGAGATGAAGAGATTAGGACAATCAATGAGCGGCTCGTGAGGAGCATATGGTAAAGAGTATGGGGCGATCAAGAAGGGGAAGACGTGTACATTGAATGCATGGAAGGCACAGCGAGGAGTCCTGGAGCAAGAACGGGGAATTCGAACTGGGAGAATCTCGTCTTTTTGCATGTGTATAGGGCTGGAGTGGCCTTCTTCTGGCCTGCTTATTTGGATCCACACCTCAAATCAGAACACCACCAACACCAACGCCTCGCTAATATCTATTTCAAAAGTGTGCTTCTTCGTAGCTTTCGGCCGCTTCTTCCCAGCTCTGGAACCTAAGCCGGCTGGTGCGGGTTCTACTCAGATCGATTGACGCATTCCCATTCGTGGCACGACCCGAACGACCCGAATCTCTCCTGCGGTCCTGCGAACCATGCGTTTGGCCCGCCTTTGTTGCTAAGCCACGCTACTGCTTAGCTTCGAGCGTGTTCCAAACGTGCTGGCAGTTGCAGCAGACGTAGAAGAGAGACTAGGCGTCATTAGCTTTGGGTGTTAGAAGGGAAGGAACGTAGAGGGCATACCATTCCGGTCTCGGCTGTCCGCTGCTGGCTCTGAAAGAAGACCGCGTCGCGCGTTCCACACTTCTTGCACTCTTCCTCGGCATGTGGGAGCTACAAGAAAACCCTCTGTCAGCACAAGTTGCTGTACAGATATAGACAAAGACACCCGTGATGTAGAACGTATGCGATGTATGATGGACCAGCTCTTGCCTCCCTTCTCAACCCCTGTATCCGGCTCCTGACAGAGCACGCTCGCGCTTCTCTGCCTCGATAAGCTCCTCGCTCTTTTGTCCCTTCGGCTCAGGGTCGTCCACCTCGAGCGCCACTCCCCCATCAGAAGGGCCTTCACAAATCGGACAAAGGATCTCCTGGCCGCAGAGTGTGCACAGCTCCGGCACGACGTCTTCACCCTCGAATTCTACATCCTCCATCTGGGCGTCTGGAAGTTGCATCTCGGAGTCATTACCCACCGTTGGATCTTGGGCGACGTCGTCGACGTTGCCCGCAGTATCCTGGACGTCCTCCATGAGCGAGTTGCGCCAGATGCAAGATGCCGTCGCCTTCTCGCTGTACTGGCAGGTGCGGCAGGCGAACATGAGCTCGTTGGCGGAGCGGTCTTCTTTCGGGTAGAGCATGTTGGAGCTGCGGGACTGTTAGCTATTGCGTCGAGTTTCCTGTGAAGGTATTGCTTGCCACTCGCGACAGAACTTGAAGGTAATCTTCTTGGCCTCCTCGGCTTGCGCGGCGTGGGCGTTCGCGTCCATATCGTAGTCCGCCATGATGGACCGAGGCGTGGTGCGGAGGTCGAAGGTGTGCGGGGATCGGAGACGTGGTTTATTCTTTGTTGTGGGAGACTGAAAGGCGCGAAGTTACGACATCGGGATTAGAATTGGGCATATGGCTGTAGCCGTGCCGGCTCACGCGGCGCCGTTTGCGACCGGGACTAGCCGGCGGGGAAGGCACCCGAGACGCTGTTCCAGCAGGTGGCCTCCTCTCGTAAGCAAGTTTTGCATAGCAACCAGCGACAGGGCCACGCACGGTATTGTTCGCAGCAAACAGCAGCCACCACGGGCAGCTGAGCAGACGGCACGACAGCTCCCCGCAACCAGCAGCGCCGCAGACAAAGGTCGCCCGCCCACCGCCTACCTCATCGACAGGAAGGAGACCCCCCACGAAAGATAGGCGTTTTCTAACCCCTCACGCTCAGACTCGCCGCCACGCTTCCCCACAGATTTCATCAAGATGGTGAGCCCGCCTTCCTGGCTTCCATCGCGAAGGCCCATGTCATATCGCTTCTTGATCTCTCCTGACGTGTGGTGTCGCAATGTAGGCTACTGGTCTGCCGCCAGGCTGGGAGGTCCGCCACTCCAACAGCAAGAATCTCCCTTACTATTTCAATCCGACCACCAAGGAGTCGCGATGGGAGCCTCCGCCACAGACCGACAGTGAGACGCTGAAGCACTACATGGGCCAGTACCACACGGCTAACCTCCGACCTGACACTGCCGCCAACTCAAACCTTGATGGCAAGATCCGCTGTGCCCATCTCCTGGTCAAGCACGCGGGCTCGCGCAGACCGTCGTCCTGGCGCGAGGCCGACATCACTCGTTCCAAGGACGAAGCCTTCAACATCATTCGCGGCTACGACGCCAAGATCAAGAATGGAGAGACGAGCCTCGGTGACCTGGCCGTGACGGAGAGTGACTGCAGCTCTGCGAGGAAGCGAGGTGATTTGTACGTCAATCCCGTTCTACCATCCGTCTCGACATCATCCGTGCAATGCTGCACCACGGTTTCGGCCGACTACGATACACACCCTCGAGCACAACGTTCGATCTGCTGACTCTTTTCATCCAGGGGCTTCTTCGGGAAGGGCGACATGCAGAGCGAGTTCGAGCAGGCGTCATTCGCACTGAAGCCGGGAGAAGTTTCGCAGATCATCGAGACGCAATCCGGACTTCATATCATCGAGAGGTAAGCAACATCACATGTGGATGATGGATCCCGTCCGGTTCCGATTTCACGTGGCACGATGACGCGCGTTCACACCTAGCGCGTGCAGCCCTTTTGTCGCCGCACGTTTGCATGCGACCGAACATTCCAATCGCTAATTGTCTTTGTTTAGGCTGGAGTGATCTCCGACTGCGACCAGGTTTGCGGTAGTGTAGCGATGGCTTTGGTCACAGCGGGCACAGTGTAGCAGAACGCGCACCAGGGTAGTTCTTGAGTCACCAGATGTATAGCCTGAGCATGGGCAAGAACCCCAAGTCCCATCTCGCTGCCAAGTCCTTGAAGGCGGTGCCTTTTTGCATGGAGCCAATGGGCTGTTACTTGACCGGATTGTAAGCAGGGCTATGAGGCCCGGGTAATGCCATCCCGGCAAGCCGAGCGGCTTTGTGTCGAACCAGCTCGTCAACTCGTGTGCCCGAATTTGACCATCCATGGATGCGTTGCTCAGTTCTCACAATCCGTGTCTCGTACTGGCATCATCCGGACGCTGCAGCCTACCTTACCTACTGCCTAGGTAGCATGCTTCGTCATCATCATCCGGAGGCTAACCTTTGGCATCACGGGCACGCCTCGTGCAGTGCGCAATCACCCAATTGGCGCATGCTGGCTACGCAGAGCCAGTGGGCCATCAGCAGCAGCAGAAGCAAACAGGAGGAGGTGAGGCCTGTCCGGGACTCATTCACCAGCAGACCAGGGGCGATCCACGCTAAAGTCTATATTTGTGGGGAAGTCGCATCCACTGACCAGTACGAGCGTCACGGCAGCCGGCAGGCACAGGCACCCTCGACCGATTTCTTCTCACGAGCGTCACGTTAGCTGACCCTTCCGCCTTCCACCACAACCTTCTCGTCGACTCGACACCACCCACGCGCGCGATACGTGACCTCAGCTTATCAAACGATTACGCCCACGCTCCTTCGTCCAGCTCGACTCGCCACTCGTTCTTCCAACTAAACTCCACACGCTCCTTTGCACCACCCTCCAACCAAACCAACTAAGCACATACAAACCACTCCAATCCAACACACCCAGCAAACCATCCGTGGCACGTCCCTCGCCGCCATTACTTCTCCGAGCCCATATACCTAGGAACCCCATCCACTCTGGCCTCGACCGCCCAGACTCGCTCGCTCCTGCCCTACCGCAACCCCAGACGACCACTATAGCATCCGCACTCTGCAACCATGTCGGCCACCAACCAGCCGCTCTACCGCCGCCCTTCGTGGGCCCGCAAGTCAGCCTCATACAAGCACTACATGCGCACGGACCTTGCCGCCGACCGCTCTCCGGGAGCAGATCACGGCTTAGGCAGCTTCTCCTACGACGAGGCCCATGTCTCCAAGTGGCAGTGCCCACCCGACCTCGCTGCCCGCCTGCCGCCTCCAATCCAGAGCCAAGTCGAGGAGTGGGCGTGTGCCGGAGCTGCCATCTGCACCGCGCTCGAGCGTATCAAGAAGCTCGACGACATGGCCATCCATCGCGCCTACCCCGAGAAGTCCATCGGCCATCTCTCTCGCCAGTCTCCCGCTGCTGCTAGCGCCGAGACCCCGCCGATGAGCTCGCCCATTTCGCCGGCTCCCAGCATGCCGCAATCGGTGCTCCCACTCGACAAGCTGAACTTCGAGAGTCTGCCACATCGTGCCATTGGGATGGAGTCACCACCCTTCACCCCAATCGACACCCAAGGCTGCCCAACGCCCAACATCTCAGATCAGGACAGGGGCATGCCGGACGCCACCCAACTCACCCGTCAGCTGTCGCCCATCTCGATGATCAGCCGCGGGTCCACCTCTTTCTCCTCTGACCACACCACGTCCTCATCCAACTTTGACGAGAACGCCTGGGAGACCTACCTTGGATTCTACAACGCGGAGCTCCATGACATCCAGAAGATCGCCTTGAGCCGCTTCAAGGGCGCCGGCTACAGCATCGACCGCAGCCGTGTCGAGCTGGGCCAGTGCCAGGAGCAGCAGGCCCTGTTCGAGGACTTCAGCAAGTGGTGGGCGGAGATGAAGCCACAGGTTGCCGAGTACGACAAGAAAGTCGGAGAGCTCGAGGCGCCGTCGTCGGAGTACGTGCGCATGGAGCGCCAGGCCCAGGGATTGCCGATCTGAGCAGGGCTCGATCGGACGGACGGACGGCGATTTCTCTGCTGTGCGATGCGACAACCGTCTCCCCTCGACAACGCGTATAAGACACAGCGACATGGTGGAACGTGGTCCGAGGGTTTTTCCTTTTCTTTTCTTTTCTTTTGGCTGCAAATGGGTTATGATGAAGAAAGTTTGATTGATCGGCAGAGGCTTGAGGGCTTTTAGCGAAGGCGCAACGGGATTTTTTGTTTCGCTGTTTCTCCCTCCCTCCCTCTCATACCCCAATTTCCTAGACGATACCACTTTATCGAGACTACTGTACATGCATGGCCACGACCGACGCAGGCTCGTCGGTCGGTCTTTGCGCCGCTTCCAGATTAGTATAGAGCCCCGAGTGTGTTAGAATGACATGACATGACATGGCCCCAAAGCTTTTTTTTTTTTTTTTTTTTGGCAGTCAGTCACATATTTCATTTTCATCACATGCGTTTCAGAAGGGCATAGATAATCGTCTTCGGGGGAATCGGTATGATACATACTATCACAGCCAGCCATCACATGTTTCGTTCCCGGGCCCCCCCACCTCAGCTTTCTTTCGGGGGGTGTGGAATTGTTGCTTGTCACTCACTCACACCCTTGCTTGTAGCCTGCCTGCCAGCCAGGCATTCGGGAAAATTTGCAGTCAAAGAAGCGAGGACGGCTTGCTTCTGAAAGACAGCGGGGAGGATTGGAAAATCCGGCACGGGAGTCTGCGATGGGGGAAGGTCAGGGAAGGCATATGATAGTCGGGCAGATTCCATTCGTACTTGGAACTGGGGAGAAAGAAAGAAAGAAAGAAAGAAAGAAAGAAAGAAAGAAAGAAAAAAAAAACCCCCCGGCGCGCTATGCTGTCTGTTCTGTTCCGTCTGTCCCGTCTGACTGTCTGAAAATGCTAGAGATTATATGTGATGGAGTATCATCAGCTCATCCATTCATTCGGTCATGACATCTTTTATTTCTCCTGAAAAATCCTGTTTCCTCAACTTTGACGAGACCCGACTTCAACAGTTCTATCCCTTGCACATCATAGCCTCCGCGTATGATTCCTCGGGAAAACTCCTACTCTCCCACCATAAACGCCGACGCTCCAATCTTCATTGAGGTCCTCTCCTTCTTTGATCTCCGCGTTCTTGGGGAAGGCCAGTTCGTCTCGGTTGGCTTCTGCGGGCCACCAACTCCATGTTGCAAGGTACCTCGGACCGTTCGAGAGTTGTGAGGCAGGCGGGCCGGAGGGCAGTTCTGCTGGGTTTTCCTTGAGACGCCAGCCGCCGACGGGGTCGCGGAGAGTTGTTCGGACTTGGCCGTCGTTTTGATAGGAGATGGTTGCCATTCGATGGTTTTGGAGGCAGCGTCGCCATCCGTTGGGGCCGTCGATGGACGAGATCTTTCCCTGGCTGACGAGGGAGTGGTAGCAGGTGTTGCAGATGTCGTAGTCTCCGCTGCCGCATTGGTAACAGTGATACCGCGCATCGGCATTGGGGATCTGCTGCTTGCAGATGTCGCAGTATGTCTCTACCGGTTTGAGGACGTAGCTATGTGATTTGAGGTGCGGCAGTGGTAAGAAGGCCAATTTGGAAGGATCGTGAGAGGGATTGCGGCGGGCGGAGATGTGCGCGGCAGGTAACAGAGGATGGGTACAGTGCTTTCCTTGCATCACGCAGGAATCGCAATAGCCCCAAGCTCCCTGGAGACATATCTCGCAGTACCAGTACGTATCATTCGTGAAAGCTAGGCATGACTCGCAGAATGCTCCCTCCTGGAGGAAAGTATCCGGATACGGAGCGGAGGATGTGTTGGTGGAAGGCGTGGTGTAGCGGCGAGAGACGAGCGTATGAGGGTACTCATTGCCTGTGCCTGATCCTCCTGCTGGCGCGCTGTGCTCCCAACGGTGCATGGCGGCAAATCCGAAGCCGAACCAGTGGTTGCAGCCCTGGCCAGAGCGATAGCACTGGAGGCAGAGGTTGAAAGCACCTCGGGCGCATTTCGGGCAGTTGTAATGCAGTTGGGTCTCGATGTGAGGGCGTTCGCAGCGGGAGCAGGATATCGAAGGAGCTTTAACGTTTTGGGGAGGCGGAGGGTGGACTGAGCTTGAAGTAGGCTCTGGTGCCAATGCCGAGTGTGATGGCGCGGGTCGTATGGCCATGGCCGGTTGAGGTGAGATATCCACCGAGGTCGCGTCAAGGGCTGATGTGGATTGGATGGATCTGTTGTTGCTCGACGGCCCCGTCTGCCGCCGATGGGGGTCGGAGTCGCGGCTACGAGGTCGTGGGGAAGTAGCGACCCCCTCTGGTCTCAGGTTCATGTTGGCAGAGAGATCACGCGGGTGCACGGTGTCATAGCGCAGGTGGGAGGGATCAGTGGAGCTTCGATTGTTGCCGGATAAGGCTCGTAGTCTCGGTGTCGGGCGTTGGGCATCCTCACTCGTTGGTGCTTGTGACAAGTCTGTCGCTGATCGGGCGGCTGGAGCGGCTTGGTTCCTAGAGCTAGAGCGTGAGTGAGGGTCGGAGCGTTGTCTGTGGTGACCAGTCGAGCTCGCGCATCTTCGCTGGCTGCGCTCGGCATCGGCATCGGCGGTCGATTGTTCGAAGAGATGTGGCCGGGAAATGGGCGGCCGTGCCCGTGCCCGTGACTGCTGCTGCTGTTGCTGTTGCTGTGCTTGCCGTGGCGGAGAGCTTCTCGACGGATTCTGACTCGGTCCTCGTGCTGCAGATGCCGGTCGTGGACGATGAGATGCTCGTTCCTCTCGCTCGCCGTTGCTCGATCTGCCTCGGTCTCGAGACCTGTCCCGATTCCGTTGGCGCCGTCGATACGCCTCGGCGATGCGTTCGGTGAGCTCTTCCTCCTGCTGAGGCGTGAGATTGTCAAGGTCGATGTCGTCGAGAAGGCCTTCGGAGTAGATGGACTGCAGAATTTCCTGCTGAACATCCTCCGACGTGATCTGGGAGTCGCTGAGCAGGCTCCGGAGAGACTCGGACGGTTGATGCTCGACTTGTCGCTCGTCGCCGCCTTCCTGCATCACGTGTCCAGGTCCACCAGCGCCTTCCGCTTCCGCTTCCTGTCCTCTCTCCGTTCGCGCCTGCGCCTGCCGTGCAATGGATCGATCTGGCCTGCTTCGCTCCTGCCGTCTCCGTTGTCTCTCCCCGGACGCTCTTTCCGCCGCCGCCGCCCTTCGTCTTGCCGTTTCCGGATCGACGTGGGCCATGCTCCGCTCTCGCCGAGTCTCCCGGTCGTCCTCGCCCTCGCTGTCGTCCCCCTCCCGCGCAATCTCCACCACCCGCAGCACATCTTCCCCCGCCTTGTAGTTCCGCCGCATCTCCTCCTTCTCCTGCTCCGTCTTGCCGCGATCCGGATGCGCCTTCAGGAATCCCTCCAGCAGCGTCGTCGACCTCCAGTCCGCCTTGGTCCCCCTCACCGACTCGCGACATTGCGGGCAGGTATACGGGTGCCGCCTCGTCCTCCTGTTGCTGCTGCTGCTGCTGCTGCTGCTGCTGCTGCTGCTGACCGCCGCCGCGGCTTGCCAGGCGAACCATTCCTTCAGGCAGCCCCCGCAGAATGTGTGTAGACAGTCGAGTAGAGTCAGAGGTTGATACAGAATGTCCGTGCATATCTGTCGAGTCTCGTTAGTACACAGTTCGTCTCACATGATTGCCTGCCTCGACGGCCAGCCGCCGTGCCCATACCGCACATGTCAACTCCCGCTCCAGGTCCAGCAGTCCCGCTCCGCTACCGCCTCCGCCTCCGCCTCCGCCGTTAGCCCCGTTACCGCCGGCCTTGCCCTCCTCCGCCATCTTCACGTGCGTAATATCGAGAGGATCTTCCAGGCAACAGGAACGCGCACGCGTCAGGTTCCGTTTCAGCGCTCTGCCAAGGGGTGTCGATCGCTGTCAGCTGCACCTCCTCTCCTTCTGCATCACACCACATCACACCGCGCGAAACTTGTCGCTCGCTATGCGTCTCGCAACGTGGGAGAAGAGGGGTACACAAGGATTGGGAAGAAAGCAGGAAAACACTTGTCAATGCACTTGTCAATGTGCTTGTCAATGAGCTTGTCAATGAAACAGCCTCGGGTTCGTACGCCAGCTCAGCATGACTACCTGCGGCTCCTGAAGCGGCTGTCGGAGGGCTTGCAACCACTCAGCCACACGACCCCACCGACCAAAGAACAATCTCACTGTGCACTTACTACCACAGTAACAGCACGGCGTTGCTACGACGGTGAATGAAAAGCGACGGGGAGATGCACGGACCCGGGGATTTCAAGTACGGGGGATTTTCCCGCTTTTCGGAATCGTCCAGAAACCTGGGAGCCGGCATCATCCATCTGACAACAGCAACGCGTTCACGCCGTTTGATGCATCTACTCTGACCTCATCCTTCAACGCCTGCATGTCGGTTGTGACACTTCCAGCGTTGCAAGACTATGTCTTGGAGCAACTCGACATCGTCCTGTTTCGAGACTGACTAGTCCCCGTGATTATAGCCATATAACCCTTGGTGGCGGAGTCCTCCATCGACGTTCGCTCTACGTACCTGAACCTGCGCCCACATTCTCTGGGCGATACACGAACGCATGATGGCAGCAAACACATGTTCGAACCACTGGAGACCGGACGAGACCGGACTGCCTGTCGCGACCCGCGGTGACCCCCAGGCCTGCCATACTCTAGAGGCAATCTTGATTATTTTGGTGCAGTCAACAGGGAGCACAGCCTGGGCCATCCTGAGCTGCTAGTTCCACCCAAATCTGCCGTTCTGCTCGCTCTAGCAGGGATATCTATAGCTGAACAACATACTCCTGGCTGTAAATCGTGATCAAGTAAAGATGCGGTCCTTTCCCTCCTTCGCAGTCAAGTGCCCGACTCTCTGCTCTTCCTCTCGATCATCAACAAACCACTAGGCCATCATGACCGTTCTTTCGCTCTTGCTCACTCTCTTCGCGGTCCAGTCTGTCACATCTGCGAATCCATCTCCTCAAGTCTTGGACCCACGAGCACTGAACGAATATGCGCCTGTTTCGGCTTCGTGTCCAAGCACGCAAATTGTGCGTGGTGCGACCAACATCAGCTCAGATGAGGCGCGATACATAACTTCCCGCAAGCAAAATGCAGATCGATCTCTGGCAGGTTGGTTACAGAAGCAAGGCGACTTCCACCCAGGCTGTCTGCCCTCTGTTGGATTTGCGGCGTCTGGTGGCGGCTATCGAGCTTTGCTAGAGGCGGCTGGTGTCATGCAAGCATTCGATGCGCGAGACACGAAGGCCAGCACTGGTGGGCTGTACCAAGGCTTTACCTACCAGGCAGGATTATCTGGTGAGCAGTCCCGAGGCGCGTTGGAAAGTTGGATTGAAACTAACTTCAGTCAGGCGGGGCCTGGTTTACATCTTCATTGGCTGGAAACAATTGGCCTACGGTATCCTATCTCCACGAGAAATTTTGGAAAGATGCATTTGAGAGAAGCTTGCTTGTTCCGGCAACGTTGCTCAAAGCAGCAGAATACCCGGAAATCCTCTCCGATCTTGTTGCCAAAGAAGCTGCCGGGTTTCAGACCACCATCGTCGATGCATACGGCCAACTGGTCTCGTACCAGCTTCTGCCAGGCAATACGGGAGGCGACAGCATCCGTATGTCTGGGCTCAAAGATCTGAGCAACTTCACCAGTGCCAGCGTCCCATACCCAATCCTTACGGCTCTCGGAGTCGACATGAGCTACGAGGGTCAATGCGACGCCTACTTGAACGCCACGCAGTACGAGTTCCATCCGTACGAGTGGGGTTCATGGGACAAGGGCGTATCTGCATTCGCCAGGACCCAATATATGGGCAGCAATCTGACCAACGGCTCTCCCACGCACAGTGGCAAATGCATCGAACACTACGATAATCTCGGCTACATCCTCGGCACTTCCAGTGACGTCTTCACGTACGCGCTCTGCGGTATTCTCGCGCCTGTAGCAAACGTTGACGAGGGCCTCGAAAACACTCTCAAAGTTGTTCTCAACGGCAGCGGGATTCCGCAACCCTTGAAAACTGCCGCCGCGCCGCTTGGGAACATCCTGGAAGCCATTGTCAATGACACGAGCGAGGAACGTGAACCTAGGTATATGGATCTGTTTGGCAGTTACCCGAACCCATTCTATCAGTACCCGCAGAGTACGACGGTGAACCAACACGAGCTCATCACCATGGTAGACGGCGGACTTTCATTCCAGAATGTTCCTGTCTGGCCTTTCATCCAGCCTGGCCGTGACCTCGACGTCCTCATCGCCGTCGACTGCACCGCCGACACGGACCAGAGCTTCCCCAACGGAACGGCAATCCGCCGAACATACTTGAACGCCCAGGCAGCCGGTCTTACCAGGATGCCTGCCATTCCACCCGCGGAGACTTTCGTTTCTCAGGGCCTGAACAAGCATGCGGTCTTCTTTGGATGTAACGATCCACACGTATTGACACTGATCTGGTTGCCCAACGTGGATTACGTTTATCCTTCTAACCAAAGCACCTTCAAATTTGAATACACCCAAAAAGAAACTGCCGGGATGTTACTGAACGGGAATGCCATTGCGACACAGAACGGAACGGAAGGATGGGGTTTCTGTTTGGCGTGTGGAATCATGAATGGGAAAGCTGACCTTCCTAGTGGGTGTGCTGAGTGTCTGGAGAAGTATTGTTATAAGAGTAAATAGTGTGGAATGATCTGAGTACACAGATAAATGCAATGTGTCTGTCTGCCTTGGATATGCCAAGAATAAGTGGATCGTCGAGTTTGGTGGAAGAGGGCTACGTCCTGACATAAAGTCGTTCGCGTCATGGGGGAAATAGAGTTATGTTCTTCCAACCGCCACTTATTCTACCCCTTCGTTCAACTTCACATCGTGACACCCCATTTCAACATCCCATCTTAACAGTCGAAAGCCCTCCATTCCCTAACAACAATGTCTCAGCCGCTCGTAATCATCGTCACAGGCGCCGTAAGTGCCCCCTCATCCCTGCCCTCCACACTCCTCTCACCGCCTCTCCCCCCCCAAACCCCTAATAAACAATTCAAATAGAATCGCGGCATCGGCCGCGCCATCTGCGAACAGATCCTCTCTCGCCCCAACTCGCCTCCCCTCCAGCTCTTCGCGACTTCCCGGAAAGGCGAAGATCTCAACCTCGACGCAGGTGGCGGAGCCAAGGGAGAAATCGTCTATCCGAAACTGGACATTTCCAGTCGAGAGAGTATCGCCGCCCTCCGCGATCGTATCGAAAGCGAGACGGATGGCCACGTTTCCGTTTTGGTGAATAATGCGGGCGTCAATCTGGATGCGCCCGGGAGTTATGGGCCGGAGAATGCGAAGAAGACGTTGGATGTGAATTTTAGGGGGACGGTGGAGGTAAGTAAATGTCTTGCCCTTTTTCTCTTTTCTATGCTGTATTGACTTTTGTTTTCTTTTCTTTTTCTTTTTCTTATTCTTGGCTTGACTTGATTTGTTGTTTGTTGATTGACTTTTGTGTGGAATATCTATCTAGATGTGCCAGGCTTTCCTCCCCTTCCTCTCACGAGCAGGCAACCAGGGAGGAGGAAGAATTGTGAATCTGGCTTCGGTTGCTTCTTCCATCAAGGCCTACAGCCCGGAAATCCAAGCGCGGATTCGAGATGCCTCGGATCTCAAGGAGCTGGAACAGCTCGCGAGGGAATTCGAGGTATTCATCTGCCCTGCCCTGCCCTTTTCCCATCATCATCCAATCGATCATCCTTCCCGCTGACCCTTTTTGTCTGTCCGTCCCACCAAGTCCTCCGTCTCCACCTCCACCGAACAATCCACCGGTTTCGGCCCCCCAGGACGCTCCTATTCCGTCTCCAAAGCCCTCCTCCGCTCGGCAACCAATCTCCTCGCCCGGCAAAACCCTTCCCTCCTCATCAACAGCTGCTGCCCAGGCTGGATCTCCACGGACATGGGCAAACTCGTTGGGTCCCGTCCGCCCAAGACGCCCCAACAAGGAGCCCAGATCCCCGTCCGGCTAGCCGTTGACGGCGATTTCAATGGCGTGTCCGGTGCCTACTTTGCTAACGATAGTGTTCGCTCAAAGGAACGGGGACGTGTTCAGGAATGGGATGCTTGATCCTGAGAGGGAGAGAGAGAGAGAGAGCTCTATCGACCATCCTGGATGAAGAACCCTCCACCCCACCTCTGCATCCGAGCGAGCGAGATATCTCCCTCTCCAAACCTCATCCGCGCTTGGCAGTTCCCCCCATCCGTAGGGAGGGATACGTCTGGCAAGGTATGGCATGTCACATGTGGCATGGTCCAAAATCAAATCTCATCATCACCCGTGCAGACCTAGGTTTTTGCGACAGCCCGCACCAATCAGACAACCCTACTACAACACCCAAGACGGAGGAAGTTCACAGGAAAAAAAAAACCCCCCCAACAGGGATGGAAAACCTCATTCCGGCTTCCCGGAATTACGATACCACCCACACACCACACCACACCAAAAGAAGAAAGAAGGAAGAAGCCATACCGATTCTTCATCAAATTTCCGGGCCAGGACAGGGCCAGGGCAAGTGCACTCGAACGGGACGCAGGCGATCGCTAGGACCTGCAACGTTCGAGAAATAATGTTCGACGGATCCAATGTGACTCTCCAGCGCTCAGTGACTCTCCAGCGCTCTGTGCTCCCCCCATCCCCCCCCCCAAAAAAAGCAACCGCGATACCATTCGTGGGATGGTGACCGAACGAACGAACGAAACCCCCTTTTTTACTTTTTTCCCGTCGCGTCAGTGATGGATGACACACTCGTCATGATCAATGGTGTGTCTTAGAGCATCAACGATGATCATCACTACTGTACTCTGGCCTAGCAACCGCCGAAGAAACAGAGAACAGACCAGACCACACCACAACCGAGGGAGGAGGAAAATAACACGAGACACGCTGCTGCAATATGTACTTTCTTCCCCATGTTGCTCATTTTCGCAGAACAAAAGCTATCACATTACACTCGTTTCTTCTTGTTCCCAAAAGTCTGTTCTGTTCCAAGAAACTCCCTGCCGTCCCCCCCTCCCACTCATCCGATCCGGATCCCAACCATCCATCCCAAAGAAAGACGTTCAAAAAGACTGCACATATAATGTACAACAGCACGACTGTTGCGCTGCTTCATGCGAAAGATAAGAGATACTCATTGACAGTCGACATCCCCCCATAATACCTCATACTCAACGAACAAGAATCGGAAAGAGAAAGAAAAGAAAGAAGAAGAAGACAGAGGGAATCCAACCCATCAGGACGATGAGCTATCCCCGCCACCTCCTCCGACCGAACTCCCTTGCCTCCTCGATATCCTCCTAGAAAATCATACTCTTGACAGCGTCTCTCGCCCGATGGCCTCGTCGCGGATTCATGGGCGGTGTCTTCGGTCTCAAGCCGTCGTCGACAGTGGGCGACGGTGGCATGGGCGCCGTACGTTCCGGAGGTGCCTGCTTCATGGGACTAATGGGCAGACTCTTTGAAGCCGTGATTGCCTTGCGATCGCTGGGCTTCCGCGCTGGAGCAGGGGGCTTCGTGAAGTCGCGGACGTCCGTGGTGGTCGGTGGAGCGTGGTGAGCAGAGTCGATGCCCTCCACGCGTTCCCGGGCAAGGACAAGGTCCGTCCACGTTGCAGCCTTCTTGCCAGGATCAGGCCTGCCGATGACTTGGCTCAGCATCTTCATCCATGCGTCCTTCTCGGCGGCGCTGTCGGCGTAAAAGTCGATGGTCTCGCCATTTGCAAACCGGATTCGGAATCCTTCTTCGACATACTGGTATCCCTCGTCTTCAGCGAACGCCGACTTGCGACGGCCGTGCTTGCTGGATGGATTGCCGGACTTAGGATCCGCCACGAGCGTACTCTTGTCATCTACCAGGCGAGTGGCTTTGCTGAGGTTGATGACAGCTCGCTTCTGGTGTGTATGCTCATGGTATGCCGTCAGACGAGCACCTTGTAGCCGGAAGAAGCGGCGACGCCAATGCACACAGTCACCCCCCTGCTGGCTCAGATGGCTCTCGTGGACAACCTCCTTGACTTCGCTAGCCTTGTTCATCTCGCGAATGGCACTGCTCATGCTCTTTGGCATCTCATCGTCTGCAGCGCCGGCAGGCTTGGGCACATAGAGTAACTGCAGCTCCAACTGACCGACCACATACGGCGGCTTACGAATCGGACCAGCGTTGCCACGCTTGCTTCGCACACTGTTCACCACTGCGGAATCCTTCTCAAGAGCCCACTCGTTGTAACAGGGCACATCGACCGTCAGTTGTCGGCCGAAGCACTGCTTCTCATGCGCCTTCAAGTTGATGTAAGCTCGTGCGAATGCGCCATCTGAGCCATTGACGAGTTCATGCAGCATGTTCCAGGCCGTTGGCTGCATGGAGGCTCGGTGTCGCTGCGCCTCCTCCTGAAGTCTGCGCTCCTCTGCCTCAGCCGCTTCTCGCTCCTGACGTTCACGTTCGGCACGCTTCTTCGGACTCGATAAGAAGCGTGAAAGGCTGCTAGACTTCTGGTGCTTTGGAGTTCTGAGTGGCGATGAAGGCATGGGAGTGTTCACCTTTGGCGGAGATGGCAGCTTGGTCGTCAATGTAAGCTGGAATTCCAGGTCATTCAGGACAACCAGCTCGAATTCTTGTCCAATCGGCGCTGCCTTGCCAAGCTCCATTTTGGAGGTTGTAACGCAATGCATGCCATTGTCGAGAGTCATCTGGAAATATAGCCGGTCGTTGCGTGGCATCGGCAGATCCAGGTTCTTCACACCGACAACCTTGACAAACAACCGGCCGCGTTCGACGCCGTCAGCCACATCGTCCTCCAAACTGCCAGTACCCGCCGCGAAGTCCTCATTCACGACGCCAAGCGCGCTTGGCTGACCCGGCAAGGGAGGAACGGCTCCTGTACCATGCTGTGCTGCGGAAGCCTTGCGTTGGCTCTCGCGTCTCGCCTTCCCATTCCACGGCTCGGTCTTGAGGAACTGATCGGCGCTGCCTTTCCGACTACTATTGCTGCGACTAGGCTTCCCTCTCGAATTCGGTCGAGAGTCTCCTGTGGGTGACATTGGTCCTGCATTTTCGTTCGAGGAGACAGTGCCCCTACTCGAGTTGGAAAAGTTTCGATTCGAGGCCACGACGACTTTCGTGTTCTGCCGCATCAGGTATCCCTTCTGCTTGCGTACGTTAGTACCAGCGCCGGTACTTGCCGATTGGGGGGAATACGAGGTTGAAGCATGCGAGAGATGATGTTCCGCTGCGCGCAAGCCTCCAGCTGGGTTGAAAGGGGAGAGTCCGCCAAATTGTCTCTGCTGTGCAGGATCAAATCTAGCGGACGAGGATAAAGGAAAGGGAGAGCCCACCTTCTGGTTCTCAATAACACGATCGAACTCCTGGTCCAACCCAAGACCGTCTTCACCAATTTCCGCGCTAAAGGCCGGTATGTCCAAGTTGAGCTTGGCAACCTTCTTGCTTTCCCGGCGCTTTGGACTACGCTCTACCGTCGGCTCGGCTGTGGATTCAATGGCCGAATCTGCCTTCGACTCATTGCCTTCGGACGAATATGTCGATGTCTTGGTGTCCTCGAGCTCGTTCTCAGCGATGTATTCAGACTCGGGGTGGTAGGCTTGCGGGATGGCAGGTACCGGTCGCTCGGCACTAACGAGACGTCGCTGTTCTGCCATCATGCGCATATCTGCCGGCGTTGCAGATGGTCGGGCTTTCAACTGACCGTTTGTTCGAATTGTTGCTCTCCGCTCAGGGATCTCCGGGCTGTCTTCGTGCTGGGTCTCTATTGGGATGCTTGGTTCCTCGAGGGCAGAGGCCTCGCTGTCGTGATGAATGACGGAGCTGACAGAGTCTGGAGTAGCCGATGGTGAGAACTCTGCACCATCATATGCAGGACGAGGCAGATCTTTGATCGCTGGCTTGATTTCGGCTGCAGGCTGAAGAGAGGGAGCACTGGCAGTGACATCCAGCTTCTTTGTGTTCTCGTTGGATGGTGGGGGAGAAGGCTGGATGTATCGGCCCATATCGAAGTCGAAGTCATCCATGGCAGCATATGCAGGCAAGCCCATGAACTCGCCACTGACGGATCTTTTCACAGGCTTCGATTCCGGTCCACCATAATCTTTCACAGTGAGCAACTGCATTGCGTCTTGCAGAGTCTCCTTGCCGTCATCAATCTCATCGGCTTCTTGGGAATTGAGCACGGTGCTTTCAGCCTCTGGTTCCGCAGAAGAATAACGACTGCCCGAATCGTCATTGTCCTCGTCCTGGAACCGGGTGTCGTGACGCAGAACAGAAGACTCGCGATTGTAGTCCTCCATGCGAGAGGGTGAGCGAGGTGCTCCTGGCTGGGCCTCCTCAACAACAGGAATGGAAGCCAGGTCGATTTCTTCTTCGGTAGGCTCCTCCTTGATCTCAACCTCTTCGCTGACCTCTCGCTCGCGGATACGAACGCCGAGGTAATGATCGCTCGTCTCGCGGCTGTTCTCTCGAGATGGTATTGGCTGGTCGGGATCCATCATTGCCATCGCAGTGTACGACGGTCTCTCAGGGCTCTCGTCGTCGAACTCTGACGCGTCCACGTCTTCCTCGAGGTCGTACTTGCTATTTCTAACTCTACGCAGAATACTCTCCCTTGAAATCTTGGGTGGTGAGTTGGAGAAATCAGCCAAGTCAGCAACGACCGAGTCGCCCTCGGCCTCCCCATCTTTGACGGCCAGGTCCACCTTCTCGCCAGTGTCCAGATTGGTAATGGTTAGCTCTTCGTGCACAGCACCGCTGTCCGAATGCTTTGATGATGGACGTTCGCTGCCCATGAGCTTCATGCGATCTTCCAGAGAAAGCGACGACCGACGTGTCATGTTGAGAATGTCGTCCTTGCTGCACGAAGCACGCTTCGGTGGCGAACGCAAGTTGCGAGCAGCCAATGCAGCCCTCTCCGCAGCCGCGCTAATGCCCGAGTTGCGGCGCTCTTTGGGGATAAGTCCCGGCAGCGGTGGCAGCGGTCGAGACTCGCCGTCGGATGCAACGCTCTCAGAACGACCCAGGATCGGACGCTCAGGCGATCGAGAACCTTCGAAGACATCGTCGCCGTCGTCAATGAGATCGGTTCTGGCTTCCTCTGGAGACATGCGAGACCAGTCCTCTGGCAAGACGACCGGCGTCTTGTCAGCGTTCTCAAGATCTTCGTCGAAACTGTCATCGCGATTGTTGTCTGCAGAGCTGCCGCGCTCGAAGCTATATTCAGGATCCCATTCTTCGGAGTCGAAGCTCCCTTCTCGAGAGTCCGAGGCAGCTGATACGGATGGCTCTGGGGTCGGCTGCTCGTACTCGTTGATTACAGGTGGGTCGTCGTGGAAAGTGACACTCTTGTTGTGACGATGCAGGGCACGTGGTGTGGGTGCGCGCTCATCTCCACTAGACCATGTCGCGCTCACAGCCTGTTCCAGGGGAGAGCCGAATTGGCTGTTTCGAGCGAGCGACGATTTGGATGGTGACGGCGTTCCTTCTTTCTTGCTGGGGCTACTGAAAATTGGCAGTGCGACCTTGCTGGGACTAGCAGGATTGCTCAGGATCTGCACAGCATTCTGGCTCTGTGTTCGCTGGTGACTGGGTCTGCCCGGGCTACTCAAGGGATTGTTTTCCTTGCGCAGGCTATCGAAGCGGGTGAAGCTGTTGTTCAGCAAGTTCTGGCTCATTGGACGACTGTTGGTGGGTCTCTCGACGATCGGCAAGCTGCTCGGGTCGTAGGCGTCCTTGTTCTCGAGGGCGAAGATGTTGCTGGCCTTGACACGGCCGGCCTGCTTCAGCTTCTCGATGCTGGCGCGCCTCTTAGGCGACAGCAGGTTGGGAGAAGGCGAGCGCTCAATGGTGTTCTCGGATTCGTCGAAGCGAGAGGGCGACATGGGGTCTCGTCCCCGCCAGAATGCGCGCGGTGAGGCGGTGTCCTTGACGGAGGAGAAGGAGTTTTCGGTGTATGGCGAGGAATCGCGGGAGACGATCATCTTCTGGGAGGCGGGCACGTCAACAAGCAAAACACGGAATTATGGAAACAACCCGAAATGCGGGGGAGGGAAAGGACAGGACAGGACAGGACAGGACAGGGCAGGACAGTGCAGATATCAGATATGCGGTAGGAACGTACCCTCGTGGCCTGGTTGTAGGAAGGCGAGTTGCGGCGGCGTTCCGTGCTGCCGATTTCAGACAGCGGCCGCGGACTCGTCATACTGCTGCCGCCGTTGTTGCTGCTGCAGCTCGAGTGGTTGCTTCCGTCCTTGTCTTTGCTCGGCGTCGACTTGCTGATGCGCAGCGGCTGCGGCTGCACCTGGCGAACCATGGTGTAAGTAAGCGACGACGATTACTCAGTACAATAGTGGCGGGATCATCAGGTGCGTACAGAGTCCATGACAGCGGTAGTCGACAACCGCTGGAATGTTTCGTGCGTGGGTGAGATGCCGAAGATCAACAGTGGAACGCGCGCTCCGGCGCCGTGAGAACGTGACCGCGGCACCAGCCCAGGGGTCGACGTGAATTGCTCAACGGTGATGTGCGTGTGAGAACGAACGGTGATGATCGCATGAAGCGGCCAAACGAGAGCGCCGCCAAAGAAGTGAAGTTGAGGTGTAGATATCAAATTGCGCGGGCGATGCTGATGCTGATGCTGTGTGATGTGCTGGACGCGCTGGCCGCTCCTAGTGTTGACACGGGTGGAGCTGCAGCTCTCGCGTCGCCTGGGCAACTCGCCTCGGCCCGGCACTAGCGAAACCTTCGGCGGGCACGCAGCTTCCCGTTTTCTGAGAACAGAAATCCACGTGAAGACCTCACTCCCTCTCCCTACAATCATGCTACGAATATCCCACCGATGTCCATTGTGGGATCCCGGCGCCCTCGCAAAGGCATTCAACCTGCCATGGCAGCCTTCACGTACGGCGGCAACGCTACGGACGCGCAGACCGTCTCGAATGACCCTTTCGGAGCGAGTGGCTAAAGGACCAGCCTCAGCGGATAGCGGAGGCAGAGCAGTGAAGAAGTCCAGGAATACTCCCTTTGGTGGCATGAATGTGACCGAGGCACCACGGCAGTTGCAGTATGAGCTTGGAAGGAACAAGATCTCGGCCGCGGAGCGCAAACGCCAAACGAGAATGAAGCCCGGGAAGGACAAGGAGCAGAAGACGAAAGATCCTATGAAAGCGTTGAAGATGCAGCGTCGATTGACAAGCGTCTCCTACGAGAAGCGCAACAGGATTAAACAAGAGCTCACGAGCCGCGATAGCTTTGATGAATTCGATCTGCTTCCGTCCATCCTCACTTCCATCTCTTCACAGGCTTTGGGTGGATTGGTGGACGTGTCTCCTACTCCGATCCAAAGGCTTGCGATACCAGTGCTGCGAGGAACCGAGGATGGCAAGAGACGGAAGAAGAAGGGCAAAGTTGTAGTTGAGAAGCCGAAGGAGATGGCGCAGTTCTTGTTGGCCGCAGAGACAGGGTCAGGAAAGACCTTGGCATACGTGCTTCCCATCATTGATGCGATCAAGCGTGCGGAAATGGCCGAGAAGGAGCAAGAAGCAGCTGAAGAAGCGGAAAAGGAGGCCGATAAAACCCGATTTGGAAAGACATTTGAATTGGAGTCTCCTGAGGTCAATGAGCCGCACTCGTCTGCTGGCCGCCCAAGAGCGATCATCCTGCTTCCCACCGCTGAGTTGGTCGCTCAGGTTGGCGCGCTGGTTAAAAGCCTGTCCCACACGGTCAAGTTTCGCTCTGCCATGATCAGCGCCGCCTTCTCGGGCACCATCATTCGCAACCGACTGTTTTCTCCGGGGGGCATCGACGTTGTCATCTCCACGCCGCACTTGCTGAGCAGCATCACTGAGAGCGACCCAAACATACTTTCGCGCGTCACCCATCTCGTCATCGATGAAGCCGACAGCTTGTTAGACAGATCCTTCAGCCCAATCACTTCTGCAATCATCGACCGCGCAACGCCTTCTCTGGAACAACTTATCCTGTGCTCTGCAACCATTCCCCGTAGCCTAGATTCTTACTTGAACAAGCGATACCCCGAGACTAAACGCCTTGCAACGCCAAATCTGCACGCTATTCCTCGTCGTGTACAGCTAAGCGTTGTTGACATCGAAAAGATTCCCTACCAAGGAAACCGCGACCTAGCCTGTGCGCAAACCATCTGGGATATCGGCAAGGAAGCCGCGACGGACGGCGAAGACCTTGAGAAGAAAATCGTCGTATTTGTCAACGAACGCGAGAAGACCATTGAGCTGGCCAACTACCTCCATTCAAAAGGCATCAGCGCCAACGCGTTGTCAAGAGATAGTGACGACCGCAAGCAGGCAGAGACTCTGGCTGCCTTCACTACGGGTAAGCTGGCGAAGGACAACAACGAAAACAAGAAGAGCGACAAACGTGAGCGCCCAGAACCTTTCCCTTTCGCGATCAGTCCCAGCGAGCTCGGCGAGACTCCACGCCAACCTGCCCGCCGCCTTCAAAACACTAGAGTCCTCGTCATGACAGACATTGGCTCTCGCGGTATCGACACTCTTCTCGTCAAACATGTCATTCTGTACGATGTACCCCACACGAGTATCGATTTCATCCATCGTCTTGGCCGTGTTGGCCGTATGGGCAGGAGAGGACGAGGAATCGTACTTGTGGGCAAGAACGATCGCAAAGACGTTGTGAAGGAAGTGCGAGAGGGAATGTTTAAAGGACAAGCCCTTATCTGAGCTTGTCAGCGCATATATGCTTGAAGGAGGATACCCTGTATAACTATCGTGCTACGCAGTTATTGTACAAACTACTCAGCTCCCACTCGGGCTTGGCGTGCGTGATGCAGTGTTGTTTTCATCGCCTGACACTGATACGAGCGCATCGAATTGATTCAATTCAGTGGTGCGACTTCGCTCAATATCATGGCGAAAGATGATGCTCTGAATCGTTTGCATCGACTCGGATATCGTCTTCAGCCTTTCTCTCTTTCTCATCTTGTGAATGACTGCGCTACATTCTTTTCCCTTGTACCAAGATCACACATTTTCCCCTTACATCACTCCTTTTCATCAAAGATCGCTTTTGGAGAGTCATTTCGCATCCTTCCCAAACCATCTCGCTTTTCCCCCCTTTCCATCCGCATCTTCCAATCCTTCGTAGAGGTCCACACCCCAACTCTTACTTGGGTTGTTATATCTCTTCCGCTCTTCGCCTAGCTTGGCGAGCTTCTTCAGATCCTTCTTCTTCAGAACGCATTCCGGAGCATGGAAGTTTTGGGAAATGTAGTCTCTGTGAATACTCTTGGGAATCACACTGGTTCCGCGACTCATGCCCCATTGTAGAGCCACCTGCGCGGGTGTACAGCCTCTCTTCTTGGCAATTTTGTTCACGGTTTTGGATTTCAGGAGTGCTTCGGGTCCTTCGGACTCGTCATAGGTGGGATTTGTTCCACCTAGAGGGGAGTACGCTGTTACATGGATACTGTGATTTCTATGCCACTCTAGGTAGGCTTCCTGTTGGAGATACGGATGGGATTCCATCTGATGGACGGCTGGCGGGGAAGAAGTGTGTTTCAGAAGATCTTCGAGTTGTGCTGGAGAGAAATTGGAAACACCGATGTGTCGGGTTTTGCCTTTTTGGGGGAGGAGAGCCATTGCGCCCCAGGTATCGAGGTAGGAGACTTCCTTTCCGCCGAAGAGAGTATCTGCTACCGGCCAATGCATGTGGTAGAGATCGAGGTATTGAAGGCCTAGCTTTTGGAGGGAGGCGTCGATACCGGATTCAACTTTGTTAGGGTCGTGTCTGTTATCATTACTCTGTCAGTATTGTGTGCATTCGCAGATCTGCGATTCGTCAAGCACGTACTTGTCATTCCACAGTTTACTTGTGATCCAAAGATCTTCTCTCGTCAATCCAGTCTTGAGCAGCCCATCCGCAATGCCCTTTCCGACTTCTTCCTCATTGTTGTATGCAGCAGCACAGTCGATATGCCTATAACCAACTTGGATAGCCCAGGATACAGCGTCGCTGGTGTTCTTCTCTTTCAAGTTCCAGGTTCCGAAGCCGAGGAGAGGGATTGCGTCGAGAGTCAGCGGTTCGGAGGGAGACTCGAGGGGAGAAAGTGGGATCTGGTCTTGTGCGAGAGCTAGAGCTGCCACCGGCAGCAAGGTGAGGATAGACTTCATCTTGAGCTGATTGATGAAGAATGAAGAGAGGATACCAAAAGATCTCACATGCTATGTTCGGATGGAATGGTGATGCAATGCGTGTACGATCGTCATCATCGAGAGTAGACGGACGGAGAGCTGCAGCTTCCTGTTTCAGGGTCGCTGCTTGCCCGCATTATTTTGTCATCTTGCCTATCTCCAAGAATGCGATCGCATCTAACAGAGCCACATGTCATCCTTCATCGCAGCTTCGCAGTCGTTCACTCACAAGCACTTAAGAAGGAGTCTTGTCCACTGGTAAGAATTGAGTTGGCCAATGACGATACGTCACATGTGAATTTGCCCAATGCAGTCTAGCCACTGCACAGACCTACGATGACCCCCGCGTCGCGTCTCTGCTCAGAATTTCGCGTCTAGTCTTTCTCTTCTTCTTTTCCTTTCTTTCTTTCCTTCCCCTCGACAGTGTCGAGGAAGGCCACCACAAGGTGCAACACCACAACTAACGCAAAGATGAAGTACGTTCTAGTGTCTGGAGGTAGGTTCTTTGCAAATTTTGCTCTTTGATTGGGGTTTCACAGCCTGCTGGACAATGCCACGCTGTGAGACTGGAAGCCTGGGATGGCTTCGGGGGACTGCGCACGAGGAGGCCGAACTGCTGTTGATAAGAAGCTAACCATACCTGCAGGTGTCATCAGCGGCGTCGGCAAAGGCATCATTGGTATGAACTCGAATTCGTGCCGCTTCCGGTCTTCAGCTAGCTCACACAATATGAAGCCTCTTCCGCAGGCCTGCTGCTCAAGACTATGGGTCTCAAGGTCTCCAGCATCAAGATCGATCCCTACATCAACGTCGATGCTGGCCTCATGAACCCACGCGAGCATGGCGAGGTCTACGTCCTGGACGATGGCGGTGAAGTCGACCTCGACTTGGGCAACTACGAGCGATACCTCAACATCACATTGACGCGCCAGAACAATATCACACTTGGCAAGATCTTCGAGAGAGTCATTTCGAAAGAGCGAGAGGGCAGATACTTAGGCAAGACGGTCCAGATGGTACCGCATGTGACCGGCGAGATCGAGCAGTGGATCGAGAGAGTCGCCAAGGTCCCGGTAGATGACACTGGAGAGGAGCCGGACGTCTGCATTGTCGAGCTCGGAGGGACGGTTGGAGATATGGAGAGCATGGCCTTTGTTGAAGCTCTTTGCGAGCTGCGGAGAAAAGCAGGACGTGACAACTTCATGCAGATCCACGTCTCCTACGTTCCGGTCGTTCACGGAGAGCAGAAAACGAAGCCGACGCAGATGGCGATCAAGGCAGTACGCATGGCTGGCCTCGTTCCGGATCTCATTGCGTGTCGATGTGAGTATCCGCTCGAAGCTGGTGCCATTGAAAAGATTGCGCGCTTTTGCCAGGTCGAGACCGAGAACGTGCTTGCTGTCCGCGATATGCCTTCCACTTACCAAGTACCCATTCTACTATACGAACAGAACCTAGTAAAGGCCATGAAAGAGGTTCTACGATTGGACGCAGTTCAGCTCGACCCAAGCCTTGTGAAGAAGGGATTGCGCATCTGGGACACCTGGAAGCGGCTCACGCTTGGGCTGGAGCACATCCACGAGCAACTCGAGATTGTTCTTGTCGGCAAATATCTCGACCAACCTGATGCTTATTGTTCCGTCATCAAGTCACTCGAACACGCCTCGATGTACTGCCGAAAGAAGCTGAAGGTCAAGAACGTAGATGCCGAACATCTGGAGCTTTCTACCAGCAAAAGTGACCCGGCATCCTTCCACAAAGCCTGGCACAATGTCTGCACAGCATCCGGCATCCTCGTCCCTGGTGGTTTTGGCAGTCGCGGAACGGAAGGTATGATAGCGGCTGCGAGATGGGCACGAGAGAACAAGACTCCCTATCTTGGAGTCTGCCTGGGCATGCAGATTGCGGTCATTGAGTTTGCACGTTCCGTGTGCAACGTTCCCTTGCCACAAGCCACCTCCTCTGAGTTCGATGGAACCGACAGTGATCGCGTGATCATCGACATGCCAGAGCATCATGGAGAGAAGATGGGAGCCACCATGCGACTCGGAATCAAGCCTACCTATTGGCAACCAGGAACTGAATGGAGCAAGCTCCGCGCGCTTTATGGCATCAAGAGCGACAGTGTCACTGAGCGCCATCGCCACCGATATGAGGTCAACCCAGCGTACATCACACAACTCGAGGAGAACGGCATGACTTTCATCGGCAAGGACGAGACCGGCGTGCGACAAGAAGTCATCGAGCTGAAGGAGCACCCTTGGTTCGTGGGCGTCCAATTCCATCCCGAGTACCTCTCACGCGTCCTTCATCCATCAAAGCCGTATCTGGGCTTCATCGCCTCATCCGCGGGTATGCTGGACGAAGTCATGCGCGGCGGAAGCCCGACTGGACGACTATCGCCCACGACCGGTCTGTACGAAGAGTTCAATCAGACCGATGGCGGCGCGGTCGTGAACGGGCTCGTGAAGGGTGCCGAGAAAGCTGCCTTCTAGCGTCCTCGATTCTCATGAGTGCTATTGTTCCTGAAACAGCATCGGCTGGCGCTTGGGCGGCATCGAACTCTTTCTCGGCGTTCTGGAAGTACAGGCGAGCGTCACAGACGAATAGAATGCTGGAGTTGATCAGGGTATGATCAGGGTATGAGGATGGGTCTTCATGAAATTGTGTTCTGATATCCCCAGTGAGTAAAGTATAGTAACTTCGGCAATGCTTCTTAGCATATACCTCCTCCCAAGTCGAACCCGTCTCTCGGTCTATTGTCAAGCAACATCGAGGACCATTGGATAGAATACGAGAGTCATAACGACGGCGTACTACCACTGTGGACATCTCTGAAACATCTGGAGGGGGCGTGGGGGCTTCTTCGCGGGCGAAAAGCGCTCCAAGACTGGGTCTCCCGCACTGCAATTCAATCGAGTCGAGGAAGTCGGGAAAGAAGGAGGGCGACCCTAGCTTTTAGCTCTAACAGCGAACAGCTAGTTTCAGGCGAAAGCAGTAACCACATAACTTTAAACAGGCTAATCGCCAAAACCCCTTGGCGTTGAGGAACAGGCTCTTGCGTTGTGCCACGACAACTCCACTGCTATGTCTTGTCACCAAGCTTCACAGATCCTATCCAAGCTTCCCTTGTCGTTTGGGATTGAAAGACAGTGCTTCGGAAAGAAGAGCGCAGAGCCGTGACTCGGTCCTTAGAGAATCTAATACTCAGATGGCATAGAGCTTGTTCGTTCATCAAATGTAAATATTCAACATGGGATTTCTGGGGGCAGAACGGTTCCCTGGCTGGCCAAGAGCAAGGACTTCCTAGGTGGGATCTCGACCGGTCTTCGTTCCACGCCGCGCGACTTGAAAAGAAATTGCTGATTGCTGGATGCTGTTTGGCGAAGGGAGGGTCGGGTCACCAGGACACTGAGGTGGTGGCTTTTTGTCGGATATCGTCTTTTTCCGATTCCCGGAGGACGGATACGAGGGAAGATTCTAGGCTCTGGAGCACGCTCATGGATTTACACCATAAGCCTTAGGCGGACACCCTAATCCTCATCCAGGGCAAAAGGCCGCCAACGCCACGATGAGTTGAAACGAAGATGTGGCGTGGGCGCCTCTTGCCTGCCTGCCTACAACAAGAATGCGTCCGGACATTGGCATGTCTCCTAGAACTCACAGGTTCCCATCAACAAGGGTTCCTCGCTGTGGCTTTTCCCGCATCTCTGAGATTGTTGCTCCGGCACGAAAGGCTATCGCGCCCCACAACCGACTTGCTGGGAAAGTCTGGGAGGTGTCAGTCATGATCCTTACACGGCGCCGGTAAGGTAGGGAACAGCGCTGTTCGACTTCCTGGGCCTTCCATCAAGTCCGTCCATGCGGGCGGCAATTCTGGCTCCTCTGCGGCGCATGGAAAAGGTGCCGAATGCCCTTCTTCCCATTTAATGCCTCATCAATGGAGACAAGCAAGGAAGTGCCGCGTGTTGCAACAGGAGTGTTCAAAGATGGAGCGTGTGAAAGGACTTTCTAAAACTACCCAAGCTTAGCCAGCTCGACAAGTTATTATTCCCGTGGGATTGAATGCTTTGCGACTTCAAGCAAACAAAAAGCGAAAAAAGAAAAAGTAAGATCCTCGTCCTAAAGGCCCCGCCTCAGAAATCTCCCATGATAAAGTATCATCATCCCAAAAGTCAACAAAATACTAATGTAATCTCATCTCTCCCTCCATCTACTCAGCAGCATTGACTTTTTCTTTTCCTCTTTTGCGCCAACTCGTTCAAACCTTGGACTGGCCAGAGCTTTCCTGGCAGACGTCGATGAACACCAGGGATCGTCAAATCGGCCATCGGGAAAGTCGTCATCCGCATGTTGCCTTTTGCCTTTGGTCCCGGATTGCTCCCTGCTAGTAGAGCATCACGACTTCACCCCGTCCGTACCTGTCCACATGTCTCAGTACGGCAACAGCTCCGGGAAAATCTTGATGATGATCGGGTGTCTTTCTCGAACCAGAAAGCGAACAATGACAAGCAATGTGAAACAAACAACAAACTTGCTCGTACATCTACGAAGGGAGAGAAAAACACCCCTCCTAAATCTCCCTATCCCTTTCCGCTGACTCGCGCGTCACGAACCACGGAGAATCTTCGAATCGAGTCAAAACAAGGATTCCACAGCCGGAGCACTGGTAGCTGTAAAACCGTTCGTATACTTCGTATACGACACAAGGTGAAATTACCAAACAAGCTCATACCTTAGGCTTCTTCTAGGGGAGAAGAAAATCGAGTTAGCTAGCTCTAGGGGCAAAAAAAAAGGTAAAGGTAAAGGTAGAAAATTAGGTGTACAGAGAACGACGTATGCGTTAGCTACGAAACGAAACGGGGAAAGACTAAGGTAGGTAGGTAGGTAGGTAGTAGGAGGGAGGGCAAGATTCCATCAAAAAACCAAGACGTCCCTTATCGAATTGCATCATTCACTCACTGGTCTAGATCCACAAATGGTCCAACACGTTATATGGAGTCGAGAGGAGAGAGCAAAAAAGGCTACAATTACAGAAATCCTCATTGCCCCCCTTCCCCCTCCCCCCGAAGTCAGCTGGATTCAGAATTCCCCTCCCCCTCCCCCCTCCATCTCAAACGTCGGAAGAAAGTTGCCGACATCAGGGTGGTGATTGATAGTTGTAGCCGCGCCGCGCCTTGCTTGCTTGCAAATGCTTTCCGCACACCCGCCTCGCACGCTTTGCTTTGCTTTGCTGTGCACATTCAACGCCAGAGATAGGTTATATGTTGTTGTTACTGTTGTTGTTGTTGTTCTCCTCCTCCTTCTGCCTCTTCTTCTTCTTTCTTCGTCGTCATCAGTGATCATCAACAAATGATAAGGAAAAACCCCTCGAAAACGCCATCATCATCACACCATCCATGGCCCTGTGCGACAAGGAGCGACGAAAGCGATATCGATAGTTCAATGTAAAAATCGAGAAAAACACCTGTTCATCCAATGCGTAGTGGTGGTGGCGTAGCCTGCAATTCCGTGCCGATCATCCATCCATCCCAACAGATTGCCGCCATTCGGATTTTTCCTTCTCGTGCGTGCAACGTCGTACAGTCTCAGATACAGTGGGACCGTGGTCGAGGAGGGAGGAGTTCTAGCCTCGTCCGTCGTGTGGTCGGAGCGAATGTCCGCAAGGTGAAAAGATACACCAGACCCGCTGTTTGTTGTCCGTCTCGTCCTCGTCCTCAATCCTGTTCTGTTCTTCTGCTTCTTCTAATTCATCCGTCTCGCTCTCTTCTTCCTGGCTTTCGTCCGCGGACTCGCTCCGACTGAGCTCGAGTTGTCGCTCTCGTCGTCATCGGAAGATGAGCCCGAGCTTTCTTCCTTCTTCGCCTTGCCTTTGCCCTTTCGCGCTTCCGAGCCTTTCTTCACGCCGACGTTCAGTCCCTGCCGACGGAGAGCTTTCAGCAACGCGCTGCTGGCACGCATGCCTACAACAGGGAGAAAATGTCAGCAGGCAGGCCGCGGAGAGCGGAGAGGATGCATGTAGCAGCTTACCTGGGAAGTCTTTGGCAGTGTAGACACTGAAGACGTCGGTGATGATGCTGGCCACGACGTTGTGGATACCTTGCATGTTCGTCGGGTCGATACGAAGCAGCTTGAAGCGGAGACGGTACTTGCCTGGCGATCTACAGCTCAGGTCTGGAAACACGAAGAAGGTACCGGCGATTCCATGTTCGTCTTTGGCTTGATACGGCGATGCGACTAGAGTTCCCATCAGGCGACGAGTGTATGGCGCATCTGGCTGGGCCGGCGGCAGCTCCGTCTCGTCATCGTTTCCGTCGGGACTCATCAGGATGCAATGCAGAGCGAACATTGCATTGCAGTCCAATTCAGGAGCGCCGGTTGCACGGTCGGTGATCTTGAGTTCTAGGATCGGAGGCGGATCGATCACGCGACGGTCGCGCTCTCCAAAGCCACAGGCTCGCGCAGCGGCCGGCTGTTGGCGTATGTTCAGGTTGTATTCAAGCGGCGGCACCTGACTTACACGGGCTTTGGGCGTGAACCCTGCTTGGCTCGAAGGTCCTATAGACGAGCGTGGTGAGATCTCGGAGTGCGTGTAGCTCGGCGAAGAGTATGCGCTGACTGCGGGACTGTAATGCCGCGGCGGTCCCGGTTCGGCTTGGACAGGCGGGTGCGCAGGCGCAAACTGGACCTGTGAGTACGGCTGAGGCTGATGCTGAGGCTGATACATGGGCTGCTGCAATTGCTGTTGTCGAAATGGCATGGGTCCTTGCTCCAATGGATGTTGCGGTGCTCGCGGGTACGACGACGGCTGCGCTCGATATTGGGCAGCTGGGTTACTGTAACTGCTTGATGGCGATCGACGGTGTACAGATTGCTGTGCTGGAGCGGCCGCTTGTGATCGAGGTGGTGAGGGAGGGTTGGTTGAGAGGAGTTGAGCTACTGGTATAGCCCTCGTTCCCTGGGCCTTTGGAGAGGTGAGCTCATTCGGCGACAATTGCATTGGAGGTAGTTGCACGGGACGACCATTGTCGTACGCTGACCGGTTGGGCGGTATCGAGTGGATTGGAGGTAGTTGTGGTCCAGGTTGACGTTGTTCTGGTCTTGCGAAGAAGTTCGAAGTCGGAAAATTCGATGCCCGCTGTGCTTGTGCCATATCGATTGCTCCGCTGCTCGCAAAGGGCGGCTGGATGGGAGCAGGTCGGCTGGACTGCGACATAGAGAGTCTGCTACAGCTGACTGGCGTCCTATAAAGCTGAACTCGTCACAAGCTCAAAAGAAGTGTAACAGGAATGCCCCGACGGAAGCCAGATCGCCAGGTAAGTAGTGCCTTGAGGCTGTCGTGGGAGGCGTGAAAGGGAGTGGCGTGAGAAGGCGGCAGTAGATGCTTGGAAGGCTGCGTCGAAAGATTCGCCAACCAAGCCAGCTGACCCTCCTGCTGATATGTGATTATCATGCATGCATATACAGAGCAAAGTTCCCTTAGGACCGGGACACGGTATTTGAGAGGACTCGCGGGGCCTGTAGTGATACCAAACTCGGCGCGGAAAGAATGCTGTGCGAGGTCTTTTGATGATGCGTGTAATGTGGGAACGAGAACAGACGGTCCTCGTCTCGTCGAGAGTATGTGCCACGGGGAGGAGAATGCACGGCGGCGACTGTGAATGAAAGAGCGGTCGGTACAGTAGTGACCTCCGCCAGGGATCGTATAACTTATGTCTGTCGCCGCTGCGCGCAGGCGCTAAAGCAAGAAGAGGCGGATCTAGATAGGTACCCTGGTTTCGAGAGAGCTGCACCTGCACGAAGGCGTAAAGGAGCACGACGACAAACGGCCGCTCGGTAGCGAGGTGCTGGGGTCGTGCAGGCCGGTCGGCCTTGGTCAGAACGTGAAGAGGAAAAGAGGCATCTTCCGTTTGCCAGCGCTCGCGTTCGGGTGTCGTTCATCGGCCTGAGAGGTCGAGTACAGCACACCCCAGCAACCTTGACAGCGAGAGCAGCGCCGGGTTCTCAGTAGTGGGTCATGCCGCTGGTCCACCAGACAGCGTGACGGCGCGAAACCGCGAGGGGAGGGGAGTGGGGTGCGGTAAGTAAGAGACCGTAAGGATGTAATAATGCGGCCCTGGGATGCGCCGCACTGCTGCACCGCACACTCCTCCATCACCGACCGACCGTACACTGCTTGTGCGGTGGGACGTGCGGGGCAGGGCCGGGTGCATATGTATGTATGGGAATGTGCACTCGTAGCAGCAATCGAACGAACGCGTGAATGCTCAGTCCGTCGTTGTCGTTGTCGCTGTGCGATGCTGTTGCTGGTGCTGGTGCTGCGGCACGCCGGCAGAGTCGCGGCGGATGAGTAGATTGGGAGAGTGTTGAACAGAGGAGTAGACAGTGGACACCAGCCCGAGATGTGCTACAAGCCAAGCTGGAGGGGCAGGCTTACCGCTCTCAAGGGCGTTCCGTTCCCTCTCATCAAGGCGTGGCCACAACAACCGGGCTCTCGGCGATGCTGGCGCAAACACACGCTGGCCGCGCGCGAATCTTGATTATTGCTGCGGTGCAACGGTGAGCGCGCCGCATGAACGATTCAGGCCTACAGTCTCGATGTTTGTTCGCGACATACGTACGCTTTACGGCGCGCACAGGTGAGGCAGGCGAACGACTCCCCCCGATCCGCTGCTCCATCTTCCATTCAGCGCACTCTAACCGAATGGGCGCACTCTGCTCGTTGGCCGGACCGGGTTCAGCCGTTCGGCTCCCGTCTCACGTCGGTTTCGCGCTTGATCTCGTCAGATCCAGAGGAGGGTCTGCTCCGGCGCTCATGCGGACAAGACTCGCATTTGACAGCATTGTACGACCACACGAGCCAGATTCTGCACCTTCTCTGCGCAGAAGCGGCCGCTTAAACACGGATCACAGGACCCATCTGGGGCCAGTGGTGGTGTGCTGCCATCGAATGAGGCGTGCTGCGCTGTGACGACGTGACCTGCCTGGTGAGTATCAAGCAGAGCAGGGGATGAAGAGTCGACGCGAGACTGGAATAGGCCAAGGCCGGTGCCATTCTGGTCGAGTGGAGCGGGCAGACTCCAGAGAGGCGAGGACTCCTGCCCGGTTGGGAAGAAGGAAGAAGAAGAAAGGAATGAAATCGCGCCCTCGGTTGCAAGCTCCGGGCGAAGATGCTTGATCCTGGCAAAATACGGAGAAATACTAGGGGCCGCGATCTGGGTGCAGGGTGGCGGGCACGCGAGCGCTCGTATGATTATTGCGCGGTCGACTCAGCGCAGAAAGATCAGCCGGTACACGGCGCGCAATATATGTGCCGAGTTTAAAGCAGTCGGTGGTGATGGTACGCCCGTCGCTGCTGTGCTTGGCGAGTGCGGTGTCCATGTCGCCAGAGCTGGACGCGTCATACCGTACGGCGCGCGCTATGGCAGACCGCTCCCCATGCAAGCGGCTGGGATGCTCAATGGTGGTGAGTGGTCCAGACTCCGGATAGCAGATGGCTTAGCGGTGATACTGCAGTACACTACTCCGAATGGACGGGATAGGTGTGCTGCAGAAGGTGAACCCGGCTTTTCCACGCCGGCGACGCGTCGCGATCGAGCAGGACTGTGTGCCATGACACGCGTGACACGAGGTCAGGATAGGCCCGGAAAGGATGGGACACAATGCGGGATCGGACCGGTTGATGTGAGTTGGCAGGAGGGATGTTGACGAGGAGGGAGATGTCGTCGAAACAGCGCCTCCCCCATCTCCCGTGACTTTTTGATTAAACATTTTACATTTCGTGGAGCCGGGCTGCTGGACGGCCGCACGTGGAAGAAGCTTTCGGAGTCTGCCCGTCCCGACCGTCGATGGGGCCGAGTCCATGGCGGGCCGTCCTCGCCGGGCCGCCCTTGCCGGTCCGCTCTCGCCGGATCATGCGGATCGTATCCGGGTTCTGTCTCTACTGTACGTCGGTCAGTGCGGCCGCATTACATTATCGCGTCGCCTTCTCCCATCATCCCCGGGAGATTCTCCGTTGTAGCGCCAAGTTCGGACCGCCGAAGCTGCCCGTGCCCTTCTTACATACAGACGCCCATGCTCCGTCTTCTTATGGATTATTACTGTATGCCCATACCCATTTCTTATGCCCATGTCCATGCCCACGCCCATGTCCATGTCCATGCCCGTGATGCGCGCCCTGAACGATCCACTTCCACTTCTCGTCACCTTCCCAGCAATACGGTCACGGTGGAGGCCGCACGCCGCACTCATTTATTTATTACCATCCGCTGTACCTCTCATGCTCATCACACCCACGCTCACGGCTCACAGCTCATCCGCTCTGTGGAACACTGGCATTGTCTCGAGATGCCCACCCCCGGGCCGAAGTGGCGGCGCCTTCTTCCGAACAAGCCTCTCTGCTCTGGTCTCAGTCACGTTGCTAATCATCGTTTTTGGTCATCGCCTTTGCTCATCGCCTTTGCTCATCGCCTTTGCTCATCGCCTTCAAGTTGCTTATCCCCTAAGAGACCCGTTCTTCATCCTGGCGGACTCCACTAACAACCACGGACTGCTTTAACCACTCACTTGTGCCGTGACTCGTGAGAGACATATCAACCCCCGTGACTAGGCTGATCCCGAGTCTCCAGTTATCGAGGAGTGACATCTTTGCTCAGAGGCGGGCGGACAAGACACCCGCTCGCTACTGCAACTACACTGGATAGCTCTCCTATCCACGCAGCCCGCGTAACCAGTGAGCATCTAGCTTGGATGCTCCGGCTCTCAACAATGCACCAATGCGTAATCCTTGCCCTGAATTCGGTCGTTTGCATTGCCCTTCACCCGTGCTCTCGCATCCAGTCTGGCATCACGGGACGCTGGCATGCAATACCTTCCCTAGCAGTCGATGCTCACGACGTCGACGCTTTAGGATGGAATATGGAGTTGCGATCCGCCCGACGCTGCACTACTTGGGCTGGAGCGTGCGGACCTGGCCTATCTCGAGCGTCGACCCTGCACCGGCAAGGACGGTGCCGGAAGTACACGATGCGGAACCCCATGACGAGCGTACAATACTGTGAAGATGTTGGGCAACAATAAAAAAAACGTGCCCACAACGTGCGCGTACCATCACATGCGTTCAAGGATTTAAGGGCTGGCGCGACTGTGGAAAGCTTCTTTGGAACGGCTGACGAGAACAGGGAGTCCATAAGCGGAGGGTGCACCTCATCTGGCTTCTTGCAGAGCCCGAACCAACTTACTCGGTATGGAGCCCTTGCTGCAGCGCCGACCCAGCACCATGGCCTGATATGTAACTCATCCAATTTGGACCCGCTGACTGGAGTGAAGGATACTCTCGCCCTGCCTCACCTTTGTACGAGAGGCTTCAGACCCCCAACATTACAGCAGTGAATTGAACCCAGTGGGCAGGAAGAGCGTTAGTTGTTGTCGTCGCCTTGCGATGCTCTCGGAGCCAGACAGTTACGGCATCCATGGCGTATGCTTCATCACTTGCCAAGTCGTCAAGACTCAGCCCTCGGAAAGAGTCCAAAGTGAAGGCCAGGGACATACAGAGGATCATAGCGTTCGATGGAAGAGCTCTTACCGACGTGACGGTGGTCTCGGCGCAACTACCTGGAGTAGTATGACGGGCAGGACCCAAGTCAGACCCTCGCCTCGCTTATGATCGGCCTATCCGGACTTGCGCGACGACATCCACAATTAATCCTTGTGTGATCGCTGCTGGGGCACAGGATACACATGGTTCACCGTCAACTCCGAGGAGAAGGTTGTTGATTTCAAAATCAAACGTCTCTCCGAGTAGAGATGAAGATGACGGATCCCGCGCTGCGTAAACGAGACCTGCCACGTCCGTCTGATAAGGCCGGCTGCAGACGCGTAACCAGCACTTCGTACATTGTTAGCCATGGCGCTGGAGCAGTGAAATGGATCCGATTACCCACTATGCCAGCGAGGAGACGCTGAGGTGATATTGCCGTGCGCCAGGAACAAGTCCAACGAAGCGATAGGTCCTGCAATAATACACGGCTGTCATTCGATCGATGCCGTGCAGTGCGGTGCGAGACCATCAGGAAGAGGCAGCAGTCGCAGGCAACAAACTTGCAGATTGTCTCCTCAAGCACCTCCCAGGCTGACGTGATGAAGGAACGAACTTCGTACCCGGAGTACACACCTTCTAGGTACGCCAGTAACTAGTAGTAGTGGATCGACAACGCGGCACGAAGCCCGCGGTCTAGTCTGTGCGTCCATGTCGGCCTCGTCACGGACGCACGCCTGCATGCGTTGACAGCTCGGTTCCACATTTCTTTCCTGGCCATCGTTTGAGGTGGTGATTCGTCATGAACTTCCACCCTCCCGGCGCATTTTGGGGGGATGATGATGACCAAGAAGCGAAGGCATCATAATCATAACGAATTCTCCCAGGTATTCTCCCGCGGCTAACGCAGGAATCCGAATGCGACACAAAATGCTGTTACACAACGACCGAAGGCGAAGACGACGACGCGCCAGCCAGCTCACCACGCATCCACGCATCCACGCATCCACAACAACATTTCCCAGCGGAGAAAAGAAAAGCCGCTCTTCTCATCCATCATCATCGTCGTCATCATCATCATCATCATCATCCGTATATGTGTGCACAGCGCACAGCGCAGCATCGCGTGTTGCCCTTACTCCACCGCACTGCCAGAAACGTGTGTCTGCACACATCATGCTGCATGCCATGTACAGTAACAGTAACAGTACCCTCCCATCTCGACCTGGCCTGGGCTTGCGTGCGTGTTAAATGGAAGTAGCACAAATCTGCACTTTCCGTGCTCCCGTCGTCCGAATGACAGCTGCACGACCAGCGACATCGGGAAAAGGCCGCGCAGCTGCGCTCAAAACGTCTGCACGGGAAACCATTTCCGGCCAAGAAACGTGCTGAGTTCGGATTTCGAAACAAAACAGACAACCGCCATCGCGGAGATCCTCGCACTGCCACGCGTGATGAGGGGAGGGGGGCAAGTCGGAGGTAGAGGGCGAGGAAAGTTGGAGATCATGGGGAACTTGAAGACAAAAAATCCCAAAATGGGGGCCAACGTCATACGTCGTACATCATGCAATCCCATCATTTCGGACTGGAATCTCTTTCGTGTCCGCGAGAAGGTCATCCATCCATCCTCTCGCGCCTCTTGTCAAGTGACCCTCCCTGCAAGCGTGCTAAAAAAACTACAGACAAGAAGCAAAGAACATCATCATCTCATAGCCGCGAGGAAAAGCGAGGAGCAGGGGGTGGGGGAAGAAGAATCTGCCTCTTCCCTTTTCCCATGCAAATCAAACAATCATCAAGCCTTTCTTTCATCATCCTGCTTATCTCGGAACCGTCTCGATGACACTATCATCCGAGGCCCATTCCTCGTCGCTGGAAAGCTCTTCATCCTCGTCCAGCCCAACCTGTCCTCCGCCCTCCTGCACGCCAGTCCCGGGAAGTCCAGCGTCCTCTGACCAGTCCTCCAGGATATCCGTCTCGAGCGCTTCGATCTCGTCGGTCGCGCTGTGCGATTCGTCAATCTCGAGCTGGAGCGCCCTTCCCACCTCAAGGTCGTCCGTCTCTTGGAGTGCGCTCATGTACTTTCCCATCTGCAGCACAACATCGATCATGGGTTGGAAACGAGCTCTCGGCCGATATTCTTGCTGCGCATTGGTGAGGTGGAGTACTAGCATAGGCGCGAGTTTTCGCGCAATATTCACCCGGGTTCGGTCCAGGTTTGGTCGTTCGCTCAGCGGTACCTCACGTCCGTACACCTCTTCCACCAGCCACTTCGCTGTGGCCTGCCGGACTGCGTGGACCTTGTTGTGGTTCAAGAGTTTAACGAGCCATTCGTCCTGTGTTGCAAGCACTGTGCAAGGAGCGTAGCGATAGACCTCTTGAACGGTAGCCAGGAAGTCGAGCTCATAGCTGTCCCACATGTGGACCACCTTCACAAGGGCCTTGAAAACGGCCTGTCCTCTGGCGTCGGGCTGCTCGAAGTTGGCGTAGAAGTGTATGACAAGATGGAGGAGCGTGTTCAGGGACTCCTCCTCGGTGTCAATATGCTTGATAAGGCTCGCCGTGATGGAGTAGCGGAGCGCTTCATCTGCTTTGTTCGAAACGAGCAAGCCCAGAACTTTCCCAGGAGCAGATTCTCTCCAATCCTGTCCCTTGTCCGCGAGCTTTGCTGCGCGGAGCAGCCATGCAACCTGAACATCATCGCTCGGTTTTACCAAGTCCTGGAATTCTCGCTGACGTAAGAGAACTCCCATTTCGGAGAACCGTCGCGGCTCGGTATCACGCAGGCTTCGATCGTAGCTCGAAAAGTCCACGTAGCCATTGAGAATGTTGTATATGAATTGATAGAGAGCAGCAACGTTGCCAGAGTTGTGCTTCATGTGGTCAAACACTCCAATGTGTCGCTTGCGAATTTCAGGATCAAAGGGAACGGCCAGCATTTCAAAGACCCAATTCCAATAGTACTCTTCCAGTATCGAGGCCGTCTCCACACGACCAAAGCCTGCAAAATCGCTCACCAGCTTGAGATAGCTACTCCAATCGAAAAGTGGCTGGTCTTTGTCCTTCGTAATCCAGCTTGAGTGAGTTTCTCGCAGCTTCGTGAAGACGTCGTCGTGAGCAGTCGGATCATGTTCCCGGAGACGTACACTGCACTTAGCAATGAGGTTGTTGATCCAATTCCGCACCATTCTGTTTTCATGCTTGATGAGTCCAGTGTACCATTTGGGATCGTCGGCGATTTGCTCCAAGAGATAGAGCGAATGATGGTCTGGGCGTTGCATCAACGGCTCCAGTGCGGTGATGCATCGCTTCATCCGTCCCACTGGGTGAGAATTACACACCGCAACACGCTTCACATAAGTCATGACAGCCTCACTGATTCTCCGGCCAAGCTCTTCACCAGTGTTGCTGTCACGAGGAGACTCAACCATGGTTGAATTGTCCTCGTCTGGCGCCTCTAGCACAGAGTCGACAGGAGAAGCAATATCTGACTTGACATACTTTGAAAGAAGCCATTCAATCAGCAGTGCAAAATCTTCGTCGAATAGGTGCGCAATACGCTGGGCCCATGCGTTGTTGGTGTGAATGCTTTCGCCAAGTATCGGATCAATGGGTACTTTTGGAGGCAGCAACAGTCCAGTCTCAGGGTCAAAGACTTGCTCGGGAAGAGCGATTTGTTCTTCAAGGGACGACTGTCTCTGGTAGAACAGGACGTATGCGTTGTCTGCTCTCTCCTGCCCGTTGGCAGACTGGCCGCCAAAGCACTCTTGTTGCACAGCCACGACGCCCCCGTCAACCAGCGTAACATTCTTGTCTTCGAGCTTCACCCAAGTGCGCAAGTCCGGACGAGCTGTGTTTCGCAATAGAGTGTAGGACCAATAATGTCCAAGATTGAGGGTGCCTTGATGAACAATGACACCAACGAGCTCGAAGATATCTTCTTCGACCGGGGCCGTCGGATTCTCCAAGTGGACGCGCTGGTATCGCGACATATCGATATTCTGTGGGAATTCGAACCGATCATTGACCTTCCCTTCCATTCCAAACATTGCCTCAAACGTAAAGCGTTTGAGACAGAACGTGAGGTTGTCCGGCATCTCATCTGGGCACGCTCGTCTCATTGCATTGACCAGACGACCGCCATCTGCGGTGTCGCAACCCAGACATTTATATTTGTTGGCCCCCTCCATTGGTTCGCCTTGGACGAGTTCATCTAAGCTCTCTGGCAAGCACGCCTTGTTCTTCACGTTCACAGGAAGGTCAACGAACGGCTCCGATGACGGCGATACATGTCCGCATTCGCCCTTGATCTGTGAGATGAGCTTGCCGGTAAAGAATTTTGCCAACTTCGCTTTCCAAGTTGCGTCAGGCATCTCGCTCTCAAGTCTGGTAAGAAAATCCTCGTAGAAGCCGTGAACGTCTTCCTGACTATCGGTCTGGATATTCAGTACTCGCGCCAGGTCGCCAGTCTGGACCTGGCTGTAGGAGCTTTGCATATTCGCATACAGAAGCTGCACTTGGTAGAGTAGTGCTTGCTCCTGAGAATTGACAATCGGAACCTCGAATAGGAATTTTCGGAATTGAACGTTAGCGAAGAGCTGCTGTAACAGCGAGTTCATGTAACACGTCATGCCCAAATTCGGAAGTCCGCTGCAAGAAACTGCAGGCCGAAGCCATGTCGCACGGCCAGGATACTGTGACGATGGATCATCGCTCGCGTCCTGTAATGCATGGAGAGTCCCATCTAGTAGCTCGTTGAACTCCTCGAGACCTTCGCACGTGGCCTTGACTAGGTCCAGAGCTAGCTTGCGGGATGTCTGATGGACGAGCGGGTGTGATGAAAGCTCACGGTAAGGGGGGAACAGCAGAGTCGTGAATAACTTTGCCGCGAGATGGTCCAATTCAAGCGGTCTCTTGAAGCTCTTCAAGACATTGACAGTCTCAGTCAGAAGCCTTAAAAGCCCGGCCATCACAGTGTCGGCGATTGGCAGGTCCACGGACTCAATGTGGTTATAGGTCCAAAGGGAATTGACCAAAGTATCTGTAATGTCGCGAACTCTAGCTTCATCGACTCTAAGCGTCCCGTTGCTGAGCAGCACCTGGGTGACTAGGTCGAAATATGGCTTCGCACGGTCCGCCCTGTCTCGAGCTTGAGGCAGAATCTCCAGTAGGGCTTTCATGAAGAAGTCGGCAACTTCCGGGCCCGAGTCTTCATCTCGGCAGGATGTCGAAATCGTCTCCACTGCGAGTTGCGCGAAACCCGGTTCAGCATGGAACATTGACTGCTTGATGATTTGGGTGGCATTTGGGTCGTTGCTGAAGCTTAGCCACACTGAGCTTTGTCGTCGGAAAGCTTGAAGCAGGGCTCGGAAGGCCAATGAAGCCAGATTGAAGCGCTGATGGCCACCGTTGCTGGAGGGCGACAGCTCTACAGCGAACAGAACAAGTTCAACCATGCGACTTGCGTACCGTGTAGGATCCTCGATCGGATGAGCGATACTCGACGTCTGCGGTTTCTCTGAAGCTTTATTAGTATTAGTCACAATGCCTAAAAACAACAACACATCGAACTGACCCAACAGGAACTCGAGCATGCAGTCCAACGCCCAGATCATGACGTCGGGCTGAACGGGACGCTCCGAGTCGGTGATGACTGCTAAATGGAGGCGGAGTCCCTGGAGGATGAATGCCTCGTCCGCGACGCCGATGCGAGCATAGTCCTTGAGGTTGGTTTTGAGCACGTGGAAGGTGAAGGCGCACCTCCACGGTTTGTCGAGAGGACATAACTCAAGCACTGGCGTCTGACGCGCTGCCACATGACGCCGAGTTTGGATCGGCGGTCGAACTTTGGTCAAGAACATGTAGGCCTCCAAAAGTTAGCAAGCAATACGCAATGCAATTTGATGGGAACTTACTTGGCATGCAACGTCGTCAGGGCCGTCGAGAAGCTTTTCGAGTTCGCTGTACTGTTCCAACACCTCATGCTCAACAGCGCCAGGAGAAGTCAGCACAAGTCCAAGGTCACTGTCTGAGGTGTGTCTGGGACAAATAGGAATGATGGCTTCCTCGGGGATCCCGAGATCGGCCAGGGTTGTCTCTCCATCCACTTTCAATTCAAATTCTTTGCCTCGAAATAGCACTCGATTTTCCGCTGCGCCTGTCGCATTCGGTAGCATACTCGCCAATTCAGACAGCTTGTTTGACCCCTTCGCCCGCAAGACGAGGGTTTTAGGTTGCGTTTGGCCAGTTCCGTGAATTTGCAGCGTGTATTTCGATGTCACGTCCGCTGGCTCGCTTGCTAGGTTGATGTTGGCCTGTAGGTCGACAGCAGATGATTCGACGAAAGTCCTGCTTTGAGAGAGAACAGCGTCAAGTAGTCCGAGCTTCTGACAAATGGACCCAGTGCCGGAATCGGTAGTTTTCTGGAACTCTTCACGTATGCGATCGATCTGCTGTCGCGCAAATTCGGCGTGGCATCTGGTCGCTGACGTGCCCTTCTGTTGCTGGTTGGTGTTCCCAAAGAGCACCTGACATATCATTTGAGCCGCTTGTTGCCTCACCAGTAGGTTGTCGGCGCTTTCAGCTGCAAGGACCAATTTCTGCCAGATCGGAGTATGGAGGGCTGAGGAGTAGTCAGCTGGTGACTCGCTGCAAAGCAGGTGATTTTGCAGATGTATTCCACAGATTTTGATGAGCTCTGGGGTGACAAAATCCAGAGGAAGCCCTGCAATCTCCTTCGCAAGGAATCGCTCGAGCATGTCTGAGGCGACATCCTCGCTCTCGTTTGTGTCGAGCATGTGCATCAACAGCCGCCAAGCACGATCTCTGGCTTCGTTGTTGAGTGCCTCGTCCCCAACAGCGTACTTGAAGAATCGCGAAAGGTCTTCCGCGCTCAGGTCGACAATGGGTAGCGACAAGAGGCGCACGATGAGTTCCAGACGCAGCTCAATGGCAGCTATCTGCGCGATCCCGGAGGAAGAAGCACCAGCGCGACAACTTTCAAGGAAGCGACCCATCTCGTCGATGGCACCTTGAACCGGTAAGGCCTCTAGCAAGTGTTCAGCTTCCCTTTTGGACACCGTTCCTTGTAGAAATAGCACAATAATGTCAACAGCCGTTGAGGCTTGTCCGCTGGACTTCACTATGTGAGGTGCACAGCGCAAGTATATCTCCACTCGGTCGTGTGCATTGTAAGCAGGATTGGTAAATCGGCGAAGCTCTTGCTTTGCTGTCTCGCGTAGTCTTGAGAGAGAACCATTGGACTCGGCCTCATCGGCTTTCATCATGACATTAATGCTAATGAAAGCAGTGGCCAATCGATGCCCTTGGTCGAGTGAGCTGTCGTTCTTGAGCTGAACCTTCGCGAAGAGTTCGGAAAGCGAGTCCACCGCATCGTTTCCAAGCTTTGATGGAGGCGTGTCCACATACTTGTTTGCAACATACAGTAACTGATCAAGGTCCATGTAGCGACAAATCTCGGATAAGACTGCAAGGGAGGCCTTGGCGAATTCCACCTCGACGCTACTTGTGCAGGCATGCCAGATTATGTCGGTCTCCAGATGCGTATAAGCCTTTGTTGCAGCTAGAAACCCAATGATGTTGCCGCTGTGATGAACCAGACTTGCGTGTGAATTTGGTCCAAAGATGTATTTGGTCACTTCGTTCAACCGCACAAAGCGAGCAACGTACTGAAGGACAGGATGCTCGAATTGTTCCGGAGAAGAGGAGTGGAGCTTGTGCAGTTGAACAAAGGTCTTTCCCAGAGACATGATGCCACAAGTCCTGACATCCATGATGTCGCTGTAGATGAAGGACTTGAGTGATTGCAGAGACCAGGCTGTCGTCAGAAGCTGGGCCAACAAGTCCTTGTCGCCTTCACAGATGTGTTGCAGCTTTGCGGCGATAGGTTCGTCCTCTGCCAGCTCGGAAAGTAAAGCATCGTGGTCACTTGTTATGTATCGCGCGTAGAGAGCCGCTGCAGCTTGATCATCGGAGTTGAGCGAGAGCTTCTCGACGACGATCCCGGCCATGTGGATGATGAAGTCGTGAAAGCCCTCCGGCAAGGCTCTCGGGTGCTTCTCGCAGATCAAAGGCATGATGTTGTGATGGATCACACCGATGACAACGTGGAGGTCCTCGATCCGCAACAGGTCCAGAGAGTGGAGGATTCGAAGAATGGCATCGATGCCGTCCCAAGAATTCGAAATTTCACGATGATTCTGCACCAGCTTCTGGAGCAACTCCAGAAGGACTGCGATCAAGCTCGGGTCCCGCTGGAATTCTTCTTTTAGTTTGATGGCATGGCCCTTGGGTTTGTAACTGAAGTGATTCCGAAAGAAGTCCATCGAAGCTGCTTTGTTCAGGGTCATCGTCTTTGCGAGGATCTCCACATAGCAGATATCATCGAGTTGCTGGCGTGTCTTAGGAGCCTGGCCAGAGTCTCGCCTCGCGAACATGCCATCAACGACGCCTGGCAGGAAGCGAAGAATGCGAATGGCTAATTCACCGATAGCAGGCCATAGACCGTACAAGCTCTGGCCCAGGTAATCGACGCCATACTGTTGCATCTGCTTGTAGTCAAACAGATCTCCTGCGTAGGCTAGGAAGTCGCGACCAAACACGGCCAGTCGGGCGAAGAATTCGCGCTCGTCGTCCAGATATGCATAGTGCCACCGATCTTGCATTTCGCGGGTCAGGACAAGGTGACTCTGTAGCCATCGACAGAAATTGTCCATGTGATTTGGCTGAAGCGGTACGCCTTGCCGCAGGCAATCAATCAGGTGGTGGAGTTGCTTGACCGGGATCACGTTACAGCCCGGCTCGAGGTCGAAATCGGCGCTGAAGGCCTCCATTGCAGACTCGTCGTGCAGTTGGATTGCGTTGTGATAGCTGTTGCCGGCGCCGTCGTCTTCGAGCGGCAAGGCCTCGACGAGCACACTGTCGTCAGTGGCCAGCGGCGAGGCGTCGTCCTTTTCCTCGCTGAGACGCTCTCGCTTGCGCGGTAGGTCTGGATTAGCATCGGCGACGTGGTCGCGGGCCCACGAGTCGGTGTTTGCAGATGTCATGTTGCGCGGACGAGGCAATCATGAGGCAGTCGTTTGCGTGGTGGGCATATTCCGGTGTGGTGCAGCAGGCGCAAAGGGCAAATAGATTTATCGACGGGCGATCCTGGCAGGCTGTGGCGTGAAGTGGAAGTGCTCTGAAGCAGCACCTGCACCAACCAGGCAAGGCAAGGCAGCCTGGAGCGGTCCGCTTCGTCGCGGGCGCAGCGCGGCTTTCACGTGCTTCTCTTCTCCTCAGCCGCAACGCCCGACGCCCAACGCTGCAGGTGAAGCAAAGTGAAGTGCAGAGGAGCGATATGGATGGGATGAGATGGTTTGATCAAAGGGGTATCGCGATGGATGGATTGGCACCTCACACGTGTGCTGCTTGCACAGTGCTTGTGCTTGCTTGCTGTGCTTGCTTGCTTTGCTAGGAACGCGTCCGCTGGTTCGTGTCTTGATCCAAGCTCCACTCCACCCGTCCACCGCATGCAGGGAACGGAACGACGGGAAGGAGCGAGCACGGAGATCCACCGCCAAGCCCCGCGAAATCTTGACGTCACTTCTGTCTGCCTGAGGCACAACTGCTCGCTCGCTGCATTCACCTCCACTGCCGATCACAAGCATAGCGCCGCTTTCTCATGCCTGAGCTACCTCCACCGCGACATGGGCGAGCAAAGCAAGCAAGACAAGGCTCACCGGCCCATTCATCGCACCGCCTCTGCGTACGACGTCTCCAATATGTATTTCTCCCCCCAGTCGCACGACCCTGTACGCTCATGTCGCGCTTCCCTGAGCCTTCATCAAAACCTGCTGGTCTGACTCTGTCGACAAACCTAGATCAACGATTGTACAACCGCATCACAATGCCATTCTCGAACTCCTCATCCATGTTTCGACACCGATTGGAGCATGGCGAGACCAGCTCCCAAGACCTGCAAAGAGGTCAAGCAAGAAGCGAAAGCGGAAGGCTGCATCAGAAACCAAAAAGTCGGAATCTGATTCAAAGCCAATGCAAGACATACCGCAAGCACCTCCAATACGGAACCACATACTTCTGGGCTTCAACGCAGTTACCCGTCATCTGGAAGATCTCTCAAAACACTCTAGTCCAACTTCAACGGGAGAAAAAGACAACGCACAAAGCAAACCGCGCCAAGTCGCCGTCGTCTTCCTCTTTCGAGCTATGGACGACCTGATCTATTCTCATCTCCCAACGCTTTGCCAAACTGCATCATTGGCATACCCAGACCTGCCACGCACACGACTCATACTTCTCGACCAGTCGGTAGAAAAGAAAGTCGTGGCATCGATCGGGCAAGCCAGAGGAGCCAGCATGCTAGCCATTCTGCACGATGCATCTGAAGCAGAGGGAGTGACCGCCCTGCTAGACTACGTACGAGGGAACGTCGAGCCAGTGGAAGTGCCGTGGATAAAGCAAGCTTCGGAAGCCAAATGGCTGGGGATTAGAGTAGAAGTACAGTAACGACGACATCTTCTCGATGGCCTCCTTTGCCCAATCTCGAAGCATTCGCCGACACACGCACCGGAGCCATCCATGCCCAAAATCATCTCTTAAGCACGACGTTTGAACAAAGTATCGTCCATCCTCTCCTTCACAAGTTTGTGCGCAAAAGTCTGCTCGATCGCCTCCGCACCAACCCGGAAATTTCCAATCGCAGCCTGAACATCAAACTCCTCACCAGCCCACACCTCCTCCTCCGTGTTCAACAATATCGTAACTTCGACACCAGGCTCCTCAGTCAGCTCTTCCCCACCAGAAACGCCGCACTCGTCTTCGCTGGCACGAATGGACAAATCACTACCTCCATCAATGCTATCGTGCTCCTCTTCTTCGTCATCAGCCTGACTGGCTTCGTCCTTTTGAAGCACGATTTTCCAAACGCACAGCCAGAACAAAAGTGCAGAACGAAGATGATAGTTTCAGACAAAGACAGTCGTGCAATTCTAAAAGCAGAATGAACCAGAAAGATAAACATACAGCGTGCGCGTTTTCTCAGCCGTCACAACTATGAGGTCAGTCGTCGGAGTCCCAGCACTCGCCGAAGAGGGTAAGTGGGGCCTTAGAGAGGAAGGCGGGAAAGAAACTTCTGGCGAGGCGTTCGACCTACGATCAGCCTGCAGTTTGATCCAGCCAATACTAAGGCGCCGGTGGAGGGCAAATTCAAGAGCGTGTACGTGCTGAGTAGCTCGCTGAAAAGTTCTTCGTCACATGGGTGGAAGCAGTGTGCTGACGACAGCGGTTGTTCTCTCCAAGAATGGGTGATAGATTCACGATGCCTCCGGACAGTGATTCGCGTCCTCTCTGGCAACTGATCATCCCTACGCACTTCGTCCACAAGTGTCACCGCTGCATCCAGCATTGGCGAATATCTATGTGGGAGCGGTGAATGCGTTTGCCGAAGTCGGAAAGGGCTATCACAGTATATCGTCGAGACGTGGCGCGTGATAGAGTCTTCCGACTTCACATTCTCCATATCATTGCTCTGTGGTGTTCGTCCTAGAAGATTTGGTGGGGCATGGAGACGGGCAGCGAGCAGTCGACAGCCTCGTGTGGTCACCTCCACTTTCAACGACGCATGCAGGCGATCGAATCGATGCAAGACTCCAGCGTTCTGGAGTCCATGCCTGATGACATCCAACGGTAATTTTGCGCACCCACCATGCTCCTGTCTTCCCGACTCCTGAAAACGTCTGTGCGAGCTCTTTCACGGGGTTCTGGCTCTCATGTCAGAGTTCGTCTCGATAAATGCTTCGAAGGTGATTTGCATGCAGTTCGTAACGTTACAGCGGCGACAAGGGCGGGATCGTTCGTGGGTAGAGAGATGTAAAGGCACAGGTGAGGTGGAACCAGGCACGGCAAGGGAACGTCCGCGCGGCTCCACACGGACCTAGTCATCCTTCGAAGTGCCTTGTGCGCGGGTCCCTCCTCTAATAACACCCGCATTGGATCCGCGTGTAATATTCGTAAGATCTCACAATCTCTTTCTGGTATCTACCCGCGTTGGACCTTTATGCTGCCGTGAATCCCATTCGGCTCGATAACCCCTCCCTGCGACATCTCTCGAGCTCCACCAGCGGACACGGCACCAGGATTCCCGACCCCGGAGAACCATGATCTTCAGAGGATGAGAGAATAATTCGAATTACCTCCCCTCCGTATGCCCAGCCCAGGCTGCTACCAATGAGACATCCTCCATGAGCTGGAACCTGCTTGAGCGTTTCATCGAGTCCGAGCACTTCAACAAAGACCCATCCCTCACCGTCGCCTACCTTGCGTGAGCCCGCCTATACCATCCTCCCCACGAACACTCAGAGAGACATGCTGACGCCTGCGCAGTCGGTACGCCGAGCATGTCGGCATTCACTATGTGCTCTGCTCGAAGTTGCGCGGCTTCAGCTACGAGGAGATCGAATTCTTCCTCCCGCAGCTCTGCCACCTGGTCATTTCCATCGACAATGAGTCCATGGCGCTGGAGGAGTTCTTGATTGACCTATGCGAAGAGTCCGTCAACGGCGCACTACTGGTGGGTCTAACAATGCAACAGAACGCCAGCACTAGCTAATGAGCAGTTCTAGACCTTCTGGCTCTTCCAGACCTACCTACATGATTTAGGGAACGTACCAGCTTCGAATGCCTTCCAAACATGTCGTCGAATATACAATCGAGTCCAGCGGATAGTGTTTGGTAGCGGAGAGCCTTTGCGAAGAGAGCGAATACAAGAGAACGTGCTCCCAGTGACGGTCTTGTCGAGCCTGCTAGTGGCTAGTATTGGGCTACCTTTGCTGCCACAATATGCCGGGCCCTTGGCTATCGCACAAGCAAGAAGACCACGCCCGATTGAAGACATGATATCGGACACCCCTATCGCTGTGCAGCAACTGGGCAGAAGCGCCACGGTATCGGGAGCGAGTAGTGCTTCGAAGCGGACACGACCAGTATCTGGAGATCCGAGGGAACGGGTGCGGCGCAAATCTAGGAAACCGCAGGACATCCAAACAAACGGAGCTAAGCTATCGGCCTCCCAACCAGGCACGCCGGCACTTTCGACTCCAGATGCCCGCAAACTGTCTCCTCATCACCGCGGTCACTCACTAGCTGTTTCTAAAAGCAGCGAGGCTCTCGTGAATCCTTCATCCACGGCGAACATCCAAAGGAAGTCAGGCGTACCGGCAGCGAGCTTACCTACCTCACCTGGAGTTCCACGGCGCCTTATTGAAGGGGAACTTCCACGTCGGCACTCGCAAACCACACGTCCCTCCCTACCCTTGGCCATGCCGAGAAGCCAAAAGATTCGGACATTGCGGCAGAACTACTTCCGCAACCAGTCGCAGTTCCTCACAGCTCTCGAGGGCATATCGAACAGACTAGTCTCGGTTCCAAAGCCTGCTAGGCTGAGTGCACTCCGCGCGGAATTGGGCCTCATTGCACAGGATCTCCCTTCAGAAGTTGACATACCTCTCATCTGTCCTGCCACTCTGGTTGATGGCTCTGCGAGTAGAAGCCGTCATCACCGCATCGTCAGGCTCAACCCAGCTGAGGCAACGAGTCTCAACAGCGCTGAAAAGGTGCCATACCTCCTCATGCTAGAGGTACTTCGCGAAGACTTTGACTTCGATCCAAATAGCCAGCAAAATCAAGAGCTCCTAGCAAAACTTTCATCAGAGAGAGGGTTGCCAAAGCGGCGGCTTTTCGATACGACTGATGCTGCCCGGGAAGCGGCTATCCAAGCTCCTTATGGCGAGGGCCAATCCGACAGCGTTCTAGAGCCTACGAATGGAGATCTTTCAAGTGCATCGCTCTTACAGGACCTCGATGATATCACCAAGAATTCGAAAGGTAGTCCGCGAACTCGACCTCAGCATAGCGGCAAGGAGCCTCCTCGATTGTCGAGCGGCGTGAGCACCATATCTACGGTAGCGAGCTTACCAACTCCGCGCGACTCGGAATCGCTATCCAGTAAACCGAACGGATCGCCATACCTCCGACCTCAAAATTCAAACCAAGCCGATGTCTCAGCGCTCGCTGACCACATGCGGACAGCATCGCAAATGCTCGCACAGCTTGAGCTGAGCGCAGCGAAACGACCAAAAGCTGAAGTAGCTGCTATCAGAACGAGGATCATTGCGAGCATGCAGTCTCTGGAGGAGCAAAGTTTCCTTGCAGAGGACATACAAGCGCCTAGCTTTGAGACAATCATGGCCAAATCTGGACACACCGTGTCCGAAGAGACTGAGGAAGAGTCGGAGGCAAATATTGAAGGTCCAACCGACCCGAAGCTGAACACTGGCAAAGGTGCTGACCGAATGGAGAACGATGCCATGACTGGAGGTATCCAACGAAAGGGCGACCGGGATGACCCATCCGCGGCGACTTTTGGAGAAGCGTGGGAGCAGAAGAAGGAGCGCATCAGACGCTCTTCGCCTTACGGTTGGATCAAGCACTGGGACCTCGTCTCCGTCATCGTAAAGACCGGCGGCGACCTTAGGCAAGAAGCATTTGCCTGCCAGATGATTGCTGTCTGCTCCAAGATCTTCGCGGAACACAATGTTAACGTGTGGGTAAAAAACATGCGGATTCTCGTGACTGGCGAGACGTCAGGCCTCATCGAAACCATTACCAATGCAGTCTCGTTGCACTCTTTAAAACGGTCGTTGACACTTGCCTCGATCGCCACGGGTGCGAATCCAAAGAAAAGAATTGCTACCCTGCAAGATCACTACATCAAGACCTTTGGCGACGCGGAATCAACTGCGTACAGACGAGCAATCGACTGCTTCGTCCGCAGTCTCGCGGCATACAGCATCATCAGCTACGTCTTGCAGCTCAAAGATCGACACAACGGCAACATCTTGATCGACTCGGATGGCCACGTCATTCACATCGATTTTGGCTTCATGCTGTCCAATTCGCCTGGTAATATGGGCTTCGAAGCTGCACCCTTCAAGTTGACGTTCGAATACGTCGAGCTTCTCGGCGGCCAAGAAGGTGAGGCGTTTGTTCAGTTTAAAGAACTGATGAAAGATGCTTTCCAAGCCCTGCGCCGTGAAGCCGAACGCATCGTTACGCTTGTCGAACTCATGGGTCGAGAGAGCAAGATGCCTTGTTACGGCGGCGGTGTGATGAATGTCGTGTCGGCGTTGCGAGCAAGGTTCGTTCTGGAGAAGAGTAAAGAAGAAGCACGAGATTTTGTGGAGGAATTGGTTGCGAAGAGTGTTGGAAGTTACTACACCAGGCTTTATGATACGTTCCAGTACCGGACGCAAGGAATTTACTGATGATGGAGAACAGTGAGCCTGAGCGGAGACGACGTTCTATTCCCTCACGCAAAAGGGTGGCATGTGGGTGGGGTCTGAATAGAGTGGCGTTCGAGACGGGAAACAGAGTGAGTGAGTTGCATGGGGACTCGTGCCTTACTCAAGCAATGCGAGTCAATGTTCACACGTTCAAGACCGCTCTAACATCTGCAAATCGGCGGAACATTGAGGAAGGGCCCAAGATGTGAAAAGTTATGGTTCCACGCTTTAAAAAGTTCTTCAAGTTTCTTACTTCTTACCTATCCTTCAAGTGGCATGTGACTGGAGATCTTATGTCGACTCCGGGGATGGGAGATTTTCCAAAGCTTCCAGGGAGCATACATTGCTTGAGAACGGGACGGGCTTCACATCTTTGGAAGAAATGAACAAGATTACGCCATTGCAACGGGACAGTCTTTGGCTGATAAGGGCATCCTGATCTAGTGGACTGAACGTGTGACTGACATTCCTGCACAGGCTGAAACGTTGAATGACTTGTACTTGCTATTCTCGCCTTCCGATTGTTTGCCGTTGACGAAGGCCGAACCGCATTGGTGGGAGCGAGATCGAATTGGCCAATTCCAGCACTGGGTGGGAGCGAAACCGTTAGTCGCATTGGTAAGCCTTGGGTTAGAGATACAAGAGAGATCTATCTAGCTTTCTCATTTGTGCATGTGGCCTCACAAGTTAGTGCGATGTGTTGTGGCGCGTGTCTTTACAGGAAATACAAAATCGGCATGTGATGGCGCGATGCCAAGACTGCAGCCTGGAATCCGCTTCCGTTTTGGGAAGGTGCATCATGGTGCCTAGATATTGTTAATCCCGACGTTTCTGCCTTCAATCAATACTTAACCTCACTTCTGCCTTCCGTCAAAGAGATTAAATCAATCTGGAAGATCTAACCGCAATGGTCCAGTTCCACGATTCTTTCAGTTCCGAAAGTTGCATCGGCGACGAGAACTGCTGGAAACTACGAAACCCAATGTTAAGGAGCAAGGAACAGCTTCTGGCATCCCTTTCATGCTATGGAATAGAAGCAAAATTGGAAATACCCCAACATCGCCTAGAGGCAATGTTTGTCTGCTCTCAACGCGGGATGCTCGTGTACGACACATGCAATGCTGCAGAATTGTCCAAGTTTTGCGCGACTCGAGGCATCTTGTTCAGATCTCCACACAATCCAGCGCACAAGAAAGATCGATTCATCAGAGCTCTGGAAGCAAAAGACGAGGAGGATGGCATCGGGAGTGGCTTCACAGACCTGCCTCCTGAGTTGCGGATGAGAGTATACGAATGGTACAAAGCTTCTCTCCCGTCCTCGATCGAAGATTACAACGTCGTACCTCCAATCGCGCAGGTCTGTCGCGAAGCACTTCCCGTCTTCTTCCGAGAGAAAATGCTCATCTTTTGCAACGAGAACGACACGTCCATTGGCGAGAAGGGCAAATTGATAGTCAGGACGAAGTACCTCCAGAACGCACCAGAGTCGCTGTTGAAATGCACCAAGCGGCTCAATATCTACAGTCAAATTGGGGATCTGGGCAACGGCTATGCGCGATGGAAGATCGATTTGAACGGCCGTTCGAGGGACCAGAGGGCTATGTTTGAAGACATCGGTACCTACTATCGCTTCAGAGTAAGCAATAGCGAGATGGAGACTCTCGCACACAAAGTAGAAGAGCGTTTGAGGGACCTTGCGGATGAGATTACGGGAAGAGATGAGCCTGTGTTCAAGAGGAAAGATGCAGCGGCTATCTTGAAAGCTTTGAGGTTGGGGGAATGAAGTATGAAAAGGGAACAGACGAAGGGAGCTTCTGACAAGAATACTGCGGCGCCAGTCGAAAGATCTCCGCGGTAGAAGCGATGGGACGCATAATGTTGTGATGGATTCCATCTCTGGGTGAAGTGGTCTCTAGCGCCAAGGAAATATTGTTTGAAGCCTCAGGCCTCGAAACTTTCCGGCGATCAACCTCACCTTCTAGAAACCAACAGAAGACCGAACAAACCACGGTCAACATTCAGAATTGCACATAAACATACTCCAAGCCAACTGTCTATTTCAAACATCAGTAACAGCACTTCAAAGGTCAGTAATCTTCAGTCCTTCCTCCACAAACCGACAAGATGAGCAACCAGCTGGCACCAGGCCGAGAAGACTTGTACTCTTTTACTGCGGAATAGCTTAGCACGAGGAACAATCCTCTAAATACTGATCCTCCAAATAACATGAAAGCATTTATATGTTCATACGGCCAGAGCAGAAGCTGACTATGGCCAAGCAGTGAACCCCAAACGCGACCGCCGAACAATCGTCCAATCGCTCAAGCGTCCGTCGCGCTTCAACTGCGATCATGGTCCTTCACAATCCCAACAACTGGCATTGGGTCAACAAGGATGTCTCTGTCTGGACCCAGGACTATCTCTCTAAAGAGCTCGTAGGCGTGCAGGCGGAGAAGGATGGTATTAGCGCAGAGGTCAGCAAGGTCTTAAGCATGGATGGAGATGTGGACGTTTCACAGCGCAAGGGCAAAGTAATCACCATCTTCGACGTACGGCTACAGCTGGAGTGGACTGGCAAGATCCCAGTCAAGGAGAAGAATGAGAAAGACGACGGCACCGAAGAGGAGGTCGAAGGCCTGAAGGACGTGAGCGGGACAATCACTATTCCAGAGGTCGCACATGACACCGAGGAGGATGAGTATGTTGTACGTTCTTCTGTCAAACCATCAGCTGCGAGTTCGACCGCTGACGTGTTTTCGTAACAGTTTGAGGTGGAGCTTTACTCTTCGTCCCTAGAAAAGGAGCCGGCCAAGGATCTCGTGCGCAAGGAAATCACATCCCAAATTCGCAAGCATCTCCAGAAGCTGGGTCCAACTCTCATTGCTGAACATGGCAAAGACGTGCAGCATGCACCGGGCGAGAACCCATCTGCCAAATTCCCACCAGTTCGGACCATGCAATCCTCATCAGTCGCAAAGCAAAAGGATGATCCTAGTTCCTCCTCCACCACTGCGACATCAAACGTATCGAACGGTCCGAAGGTGAACGTTACATCGCTCTCCGATCAACAGGAGTTCCGCACGACAGCCGAGCAACTTTTCGAGACGTTCACCGACCCGCAGCGCATCACAGCCTTCACACGGGCCCCACCAAAGGTCTTCGAGGGTGCAAAGGAAGGCGGCAAGTTCGAGATTTTCGGCGGAAACGTCTCTGGATCCTACGTTAAGCTGGACAAGCCAACGTACATTGAGCAGAAATGGCGGCTGGCACAGTGGCCACAGGGACACTTCAGCACCTTGAAGATCAAATTCGAGCAGAACGACGTGGATGCGGTTACTATCATGCGCGTCGACTGGGAGGGTGTGCCGATCGGACAGGAAGAGCCGACCAAGAGGAACTGGGACGAATACTACGTGCGGTCGATCAAGACGACGTTCGGATTTGGTACGATCCTCTAATGATGAATCCGAACCATGCGACATGCGGAGATGAAGAAACGGGACATGTAGAAAATGTAGATGGCCGCCTCTGGTCACAGCTCAAACCCGTGCCGAAGAGGACGCATTGGTGACTGCGCTTAGATGACCACAATTGAAATCTGTTCAAAAGCACCATCTTGTCCCACGAAACTCCTGTACTTGTACATCGCCACTTTTCCCGTGCGAATGGTTCGCATATCAACCGCCCAACTCCCGCAAATGCATCAATCGCTATGGTATCTTTTAATCCTCCTTGACGCCGCGTGGCATCGTGGAAAGCCCTCAAAGGCCATCTCCATTTTGTACATCCAAGATCCCTTTTGGTATTTGTAGCAATTATCCATCTACTTCCTCTTATGCGGTCCAATAATCTGGGGATAAAACCGCGAAAGATAATGGTTGATAGGCGACTTCTGAGTCTCGCCTCCTTTCTGTAATCATCGCAGATCAGCACCCAGATTCGCGGACTACGTTTCTGTACTCCAACTTACCCTCGCATCCATACATGCCCGTAATTGCTGCTCTAGCGCTGCGCAACCTGCTGTCGTATAGCCCGAGGAGGCCCAGCATCCTTGAGATCTTACGTTAGCCCTTTCATTATCCGATTCGTTCTCTTCTCGTGGTTGCGTCTCACCCAGCATGGTGCTCATTATCGTCAGACAAGGATTGGCAGCCGCTCGGTCTGGTTTGCGGACTCGTAGTTTCGGTAACGGAGGGAGTTTGGGGTTTGCCTGTGTGGCGGCGCGGGATAGGCTCGCTGGAGTGTTCTTGCCTGCGACCATTGTGACGGTGGACACTGGATCATACAGTAAGTTGGGATGGTGAGTTGGTGGAATTGCTGGATGTGGAGTTCGATATGCGGACAGGAAGTTCGGGAAACACGTAGGCAGAAGTCGTGTTTCCGGATCAGTCAGGTGATGCAATTTGGCGCGCCGAGAGTGTTTCCTTGGATGATTGTGATTGAAGCCTGGGCTAGAATCAAAGCGGTATTTATGTTCAAAGTTCTTGTTCACTCACAAGGCAGGTTCATTTAACAACTTCTCTCGTTGTTTCGTTACACGTAAATTCTGTACAGCTCGTGCGTCCCACGACTTTATTGGTCGCTTCGGCTAAAACACCGCACACCGGATTGGCCCTTGACTTGTTCGGGAAGTCAGATCAAAACAACGCGCTCTAAGCTCCACAGCATCTTCCCGCCAACACATTGCGCCCAGCACCAACACCGCTCACAGAAGATGGAGGAAGCGCCGACGACATCTCTATCCACCAGCGATACTAACATCAGTCCTCCAAGCAATACACAGGAGGCCAACGACATGACTTCCGACCACGCGACCTTCGCCTCAACATGGAAGACCGACAACCTCGAAACATCTTTCGCGCCCTCCAATCTACCTCTCTCCAAGGTACAACGCGCATGGGATCGTCGTCCACAGTCGCCATTCTCGAGGACGAAAGTGCGATTTGGAAAAGTATGGAAGAGAAACACCAACCCTGGGGGTCCGTCCAATGCGCCTTCTGGCTTGTTCGGTGGCGCATTCAATTTCGAGATGATAGGCAGAGACAGCCCAGTCAAAGCAGTCAAAAAGATGCGCACTGGCGAAGATGGAAGTGAACTAGTCAGAGATTGGGACGGCCGAGGAAGTCCCAGGGCCAGGAGGATAGTAACGCGATCCTCCAACGATCAAGAGCTGCTGGAGCTTCCCGAGGGAGAACATGAGGAAGAGGCTGTCGCTGATTGTAGCGGTAATGCTGATATTGAGGTCGAAGAAGAAGAGGAGGTATCCAGGATTGAAATCTCTTATGAGGATGGCAGGACTGAAGAGGTGGAGGACCAAGCCGTCTTGGCGCAAGAAGATTGGGAGGACGAAAGCATGACTGAAGAAGATGTCGATGGCTGGGAGCGTTTCGCAGAGCTCGAGAGATTGCGCCGCGAGCAAGAAGGGCACGCACAGAGTGCCGAAGTCGAGCAGGTGGAAAAGAACGGCGCGCCTTTGCCTATGGACGAGTTGGAGGCTTCATTGCAGCCGGCGGCGTTGGACTCTGCGCTTGTCGAGACGCCAGATGCAATCGATCCGCAAGAGTTTGATTCCTCTGAGATCGTCGTGACCCAGCCTGCGAGGAGATCAACCAATGACTCTGCCGAGAAACAGCCAGAGCCCGTTGAGACAGCACAACCTAGTGCAATTCCAGAAGGCTTCGTATCGCCAGTCAAGTTGCAGCGCCGGCGGCCTATCAGTCAAGTTCGACAGGCCAAAGCGAACCGTCGGAGAACGTTGCCTGTCAGTTTCGCAGCTCAAGACTCATCCAACGGGCAGTCTGATTTAACGAATGTTGCTGCGGTGACAGAAGCGTCTGCAAGTGATGTCGAACAGACCACAGTAGCAGCTGCTGCCGTTGAAAAACAGGCGAGCGAGCCGACGGAGGACGTGTGTGTTCAAATTGAGGCCGAAGCATCAAATGAGGGCCCTGTGCCCGAGAACTCGATTCCTGACGAAGGACACTGGGAAGACATGGATGAAGAGGTCGCAACGGAGCCATCGCATTGTCGAGATGTGACACCCGAGCCGGTCAACGAGGAAGAATGGATTCCCACCGTGGAGAATACCCCGACTGGATCACCCGGTCCTCAGGTTGAAATCAACCCGACCGTGACGAGACTGGCTGAACAACTAGGCTCGCCCAGCAAGCTTCCGTCGAGTCCAGTAGGGAGTATTACTGGCCCGCACCCGAGACTGCCTCTTCGAAGGTCACCGCGACGAAAATCATCTAGCCCGCTGAAACAGAGCAGCATCGAGCCATCATCAGAGAAGTCTCACCTCGTGGCATTTACTCCAATCAAGCTTCCCGGCTCACTGGCTGAAGTAGACGATGACGGATTGCCAGCTTCGCCTTTTCCGACCGGCACTGCTCGCTCAGCAGATTCAGTCATGGAGGATGCGTCCATGCCACAGCGCTCCTCGTCGGCACCACCAGAAGAGCCCCAGATGTCGCCCCACAAACCTGGCTACCCTCGTCTCTCAGACGACACTGCGATCCTGCAAGCTTTCTTGAACCGCGCGGCCGAAAGTAAGAATGGTAAGCGCGTTTCGCTGACAGCCAAGCGGGAGTCGCTTGAGAATCGTCGCGAATCAGACAATGTTCGACAAGCGCTGGCTAGTCCCGCAGATAAGGTGACCCCCGTGGATGTGCTTGGAGATTTGGATCCTAACAGCCCATCTCCCCGAAAGCAGACCCACGCTACGGGATCATCGGATGCCCAGCAGAAGAGAGCGCTGGCGCAAGACGAAGACGAATTGTTACAAGATGTCCCTTCGCCAACCAAGAAGACATCTCGTCGGAGTGGTCGATCGAAAAGGAAGCCAGAGACACTTGCTGTGACCACTTATGCTGGTCCTACTAGAATTTCAGTTCGGGGCAGTGCAGAGTCAGTGGTGCTCAAGAAATCAGAGGCTCAGGAGACGGCTCAATTGACTAGGATCAACACTCGCAAGAACAAAGGGGCCGCTGTTCTACCTCCTCTTCGGCTCATTAGGATGGCCAAGGATAGTAGCAATGACAGTGTTGAGGATGTTCAAGAAGGTGATGCGGAGGTGGAAAGGCCTACTAAGATCAAGTGGTCTGAGACTCTGGTGGCTTTCTCGCAAGACCCTAGCGAGCCAGAGGTTTCCATGCTCACAGACGAGCTACACGGCCCCGAGCCAACGCCAGAGCCATCATCAGGAAAACCCGATCCCGACATGATCGGCGTGGTCACTGCTGTACCAGCAAGCGGGACGCCAAGCAAGCCTAAGTTACGACGACTCAAGCCGCCAAGGACGGCATCTACTCCAGCGAAGGCTCCCGCATCAACGGATGTGGCGGCAGACGTGACTTCGAATGGTGTGATAACTGACTTCAAGTCCAAACCAGCGGCCAATACGCGAAAACGGTCTCGCATCGCCACACCAGCTAAGCCGAAAGGCGGAGAGGCTGCCTCAGTACTCTCGGATGATGTTCTCACAGAAGGGGCGCCTCCGAAAAGGACAATTGCTACTCCAACGGCAACCAGGAACCTGAAGACCACTCCAGCAGTCTCTAAGCTGCGCGCGCCCGCACCAGTCTCGGCCGGTCTTTCGCAGGGCAAAGAAAACACGTTGATCGCGTCGCCACCGAAGAAGAGAGCCAGAGCACCTCCATCCACGGCTGCCACTAAAGGCTTCGCTCCGAAATTGGACCTTAAGAAAACTGTCAGCGTGGCATCAAAGTCCGGAGAGGGCTCCAAAGAGAACGCTGTGCCGGGTATCGCTAGTCCGGCGAAAAAGGGATTGAGGCCGAATAGCTTTGGTTTGAAAGAGGGCGAACAAGCGGCGAAGCAGGAGATGCCACCAAGCTTGGGTAGTCCGGCGAAGAAGAGGACGAGGAGACAAGTTGATTGATGGGATGAGGATGATGACGCGAAGCTCTAGTCCTGGTTCTGGTTCCGGTGTTTGCTCTCGTAGATCTTGCTCTTGCCGTCAGCGTTTTGCGGCGCTGTAGATGTTCTTCGCATGGATCAGTGCGTGCAAAGAGCATAATGAATTCCACGTTTTCAGTTCGATTGATGCAGTATTCTCAGCCATTTCAAAACGCCAAGCGGAGGGTTCCCCCGCATGCCAACCTTACTTACAGTTGATGTATGTTCTATGACGGATCTAGAAGGAACAGATGCAGCTAAACCCCAACCGAAGAAGGGAGCACGGACCCAGGGAGTCAGCAGAAGCCCGCACCTACACATAGATTTCTCTCATTCTTTCCATACAATCACTTTGGTAAATAGTCCTTTGATGCAACGGTTAGCATACCCGGTACAAGCGAAGTCGTGAGGCCTGCAAGCGCGCCCAAAGCGCAGAATTTCCGGCCAAACAGCCGAAATGCTACGATGATGCGGCGAATACTGCACGTATTGCATTGACTTGCAAAAGACGAAGTGTATGCGGAAGATCCGTGTTCGAATCGTGAACTGTCAGTGGGGCTAATTATTGCTTTCTGGCAATGCGAGTCAGCATGCATGTGAGATGAGAGTCCGTGCGCCCTTAGCGTGACTCGAACTTTTTAGTCGGCTTTGTGAGCTCAAAACGCTAAAGCGGCCGAATTTTACAGTCACTTGATATTCGTCTGATTTTGGTTTTGTTTCTCTACAGTTTCAGCCAATCGTGAAAAGGTTCCGTGGTGCAATTGCTAAACATCTGGTATCAATGAGGGACGGTTCACATTGCTCGCTGACGCGCGGAGCAGGAGAATACGAGCGCGGTGCGCTTGTACCATGCGGTACGAGCCTGGTGTCCAGGAGATATTCGTCTGAGTCGAAGTAGGACCAATACCGTAAATCTTTCTATTTGACCTACACACCATAAAACTTGACGTCGTTCATTCAAAAGTGCAAGTCGGACGTCAAACAGCTCAAAGTATCGCCATCGGCTTGTCTATAACAATGGTCAGGACACATCACACTTCTCTCTCTATCACAAGAACAACTCACCTAGCATCGGCCTTCAGGGTGTAGGTGCCCCTTGGCATCGAACTCGGCAAATCGACCGTGTGCTTGAAAGAGAAGTGGCTGGTGGGGCATTTCATGTGGAGGGCCTCTTCCATCTGTTGACAGATGTCGAGTTTCTCGTTGGCGACGGAAAGCCAGCCTGGGACAACACTTCAGCACTCCTCGAGTTCCGGATCAGTATTTGGGATGCTTACCCCAGTGGACATTCAACTGAATGTAATCGCCCGGCATGATGGGCTCCCGGGATGTTCCATTCGCGATGATGGTGAGTGGTTGACCCCTGCAAAGATCTTTCAGCAAGTGAGGGGGAATTCTAACGGAGGGAATGCTATACTTGATGGGTGGATTGGGTTCGAACTCGACGTCGGAGATTTTGACGATTTCGCCGGCACGATTGGCGTTGCAGTAAGTCAAAGGATTCTCGCCCGGAACTTTGCTCTGTGCGTATGCAACAGAGGCCAGAAAGGCGGCGATGGTGGTGATCAGGAGCTGCATGGTGGTGCGTTGTTTAGAGCCAACAATCTGGAAGTCGTGGAGTGCTTTTTGCAGATCCTAGCACTTCTTGGTCAGTATTCGAAGCGAAGGAGAAGAAGAGAACAACTACCAGGTGCCAGTGTCCTACAATGATATATTCAAATCGCGTTGTCGGAATGACATATACGACACAGCATGTTTGCATCGCGATAGAAACATCGGTGCGGATAAGTGTTTGCAGTCATGCTGATAGCTTCAATTTTTACTGGCCACTGAGCATCGACGAACCTGTAATCAGTAAGATTGAGGAGAAACTCCACCTTATGACCGCCAACCCTCTCCAATGCGCACAGAAATGACAGCTCGATTTCGATCTTGGCCTCTCTAATTGAGGTCTGTCGATTATGTTCGGCTTCTGCTACGTGGCTGTTGTCCTCCATCATCATAGTACCATCCACAAAGCAACTGGCAAAAGGACTAGTGCACTCGCCATCCAATCCAATCCCAACGAAGCTGACGAGATACTCTGGAGCGATGTCGGAAGTTCCGGGCCGGAGTATGTCTGATTAGATGTCCCGTTCCAGGCGACCTGACCACCGTAGGCAATTTTGAAGACCCAAGCATACCGGTCGGCGTTCTGTACCGCTGTTGAGACCGTAAGCTGCAACGTACCTACAATCAAAAAGTGGTCAGCGCGTAAGTCTCGCACAGGCGAAGAGACTGAGTGGAAATGTGATCGTACCATTGCTTAACAATTTCGACGGAATAACAGTCCCGCTCATGTTTCCGCCCACAACGGTGATCTTATCGTCGTCCACATACGGAACCGGGCTATCAATCATCAAGGTCGCATTCGGCTTGTACAAGGTCGAGATATAGAAAGAGTCCGAGTTCTGAGTGAAGCGAATCGTGTCACCTTCTTCGGGCCTAATGAACCAATATGTCGTGTTGAAAATAGCTTCGCCGTGCTCCTTAATCCATTTCCCCGCAGCACGGAGGTTCTGCTGTTCGATTTCAACAATGGTCCCATCGGCTCGGGGTCCGACATCGAGCAAGAAATTCCCATTCTTCGAGACAATATCCACCAGACTCGTGACGATATCTTTCGGAGCCAAATACGCAGAATCAGGAGTGTCGCGGTTGTAGCCATAGCTGTACGGGTCCATCCCGAGATTACTTTCCCATTTGCGCACCTGCACAGCGTCATAACGGGCGTATTCGGGCGTGTCGAAATCGGCAGGTAGTCCACAGCGGTTGTTAATGGCCACTTGTTTTCCCTTCTTCGCCATGCTGTTGAAATACGAAGCTGCGAATTCGGCCGTGAGATTGGGACCGCCTATGTCGCACCACATAATTTCGGTTCCCATGTCCGCGAGTATGAGCATTTCCGGGAGAATGAGGTCCTCTACAAAATCGTTGAGGGGAACATAGCCAGTATACGGGAGAGTCTCGTTCGTGTAGGGATTCGTAGCGTTGCCACCAGGCCAGTCGCCGAATCCGTACTTTTTGTAGTCTGGATGGAACCATTCCGGAAGAGAGAAGTAGGTTGCTTTGTGCAGATGAGGCTGATATTGGTCCGCAGCGTCAAAAAGCATCTGCAGAAGATTCTTGTGCGGAAATTGGGCCACACTGGTTCTCGTGGTAATATTGGAGGGGACGTCGAATATAGCGTAGCCTTCGTGGTGCTTGGACGTTTGGACGAAGTATTGTGCTCCTGCATCAGCGAAGAGATCTACCCATTCCTTCGGATTGTACGACGAAGTCGTGAAATTCTGAATAAAGTCATCGTAGACATGGTCTGGACCGTATGTTTCAAGATTGTACTCATAGAAATTTCCCTTCGTGCCGTTGGGTCCCTGGTCCATGTACCACCAATACCATTCCGCGTACTGTTCTTTGTCGCCAACGTTGCCCCAGCCGGGCACAGCATAGACCCCCCAATGGATAAAGATGCCAAATTTACCATTTGTGAACCAAGATGGGCTTTCGTGACTGTAAATGCTGTCATATGTTGCCTGGTAATCCGCGATGCCAAACGTAGCATTGAAGTTGGAGCTAGATTGCACTCCAGCTCCACTGATATGGACTGTCGCCTCTCCGATAGTTCCTGGAGCGGTTCCATTGGCGTTGATGCAACCGACTTGAACTATGGCCTGATCTCCTGGGCGCAGACGATTAATGACACCAGGAGTAATAGTAGTAAGGCCAGAAGCTGATACCGTGACCTTGACACTGTTGTTTGCCAACACCCATTCATCTCCCATGTTATTGACTTTGACTTCAACGATCTGTGTTTTGTCGGTGCCCTCAAACCACATGTTGGTCGTTCGAGCGTACTGAATCTCCAAGTCGATACCTGTGCCGGTAGCGGGTATCAGAGAGACGGCAAAGATGTGCAACCTTGTCTCTTGGGTTGCACCACCTGGGCTGTTACTGGCTCCCGCAGTCACGTTGGGTAACTGGATACTGGTCACCTCCTTGGTCGAATCTAGCCAATTGATTGTTTGGAAAATCATGGACCGATTGTAGTCAATGCTGCTGTTTGTCAGATAGTACGGGAAGATGACGTCTCCTCCATATGGGTACGGCCACGCCCAGAATGGATCCACAAGGATCTGTCCAGATGTAGTTGTGTTATCAGAGTAGGTCGCACTGAGTGTTCCAGTTGCAATGGCCGTCTCAGCTGCCGCGAGCATATGTATGCTGTAGTATCTGCCTTTTCGTGGCTTGATCGTTTGACCTTGAGCGAGGGCGTTATCGTTGCCAGACGCGTTGTATTGAGGAAAGATGTAATTCACTCCTGCGTATGTGAAATTGGGTCCTGGCAGATACTGGGCTGGATATCCCGAGTACATGCCATCGAAATCAGCATCGCCTGGGGACATGGCGAATGCACGGTTGTTCCACAGGCTCGCGATGTCCATAGGCATCGAACGTGCGAAATTGCTGCCGCTCTGATTCCCATCGACATTCTTTGGGTTGACCACCAACCCGCCCTGGGCCAGTACTGCGGGCGCAAGGCCTAGGAAAAGGCCGTGAAGCAGCATGTTGGCCGATGAGAATGGAAAGTGGGAAATGGACAGAGGAGGTGGAAGTTGGTATACATACTAGTACCGGTACCGGTACCGGTACCTGCATCGTCGACCCTCCGGTGTACGCGAACTCTGGTTGAATAGATGGCCTATCACTGCCATGGACGTCCAACGCTGCACGCTATGTTGCCCGCATCGTATCGTATCGTAGGACGGCGAACATGACCCCGCATCAATGCCGTGATGTCGCAGCAAGTGATCGTACCCGTCTGCAACCACCAATCCTTGTTTAGACATACTTCGTGTCATAGCTACTCTATCATAGCGATCGATTGTAGTGTCGCTCCTATGGCAAGTTTAGCGCATGCACGGACCATGCCCCAGCCATTCACTTTCACACACCATATTCAAACTCCAAGTTCGTCTTCTTCATCCTTTCCCGACATTGATCACGCATTGTAATGTATGCTGTGGACGCATCAATCGACATCATAATCCGTCACTGGTCGTATAGATCAACTGCTATCCGCCGTTCTCGCACTTCTCAGGCGCCCAGCATGGTACTCACAACTGAGTCTGCTAGACCCCAACTCCTCTCCTTCGACTCGACCACCGGGGAGTGCATTCGAAATATGGCCAATGCCATACATCTCCACACTCGACGGGCTGAGCTAAGACTTGCGAGGAGCGTAGTGGATGTTCCGCCGTAGATGGACAAAGGGAAAGCTCGCAACAATCGTAAGAAAGACAATCGTATGAAACGCTTCCACTGCGCGTTATATTTTCGAACAATGCTTCAAACAGTAACAAGCCGCACTTTTACTACCTTCAGCCCCAAATTTCTTGACAGAAGCTCTCACCTCATACACCTCGGAACAGCAGCACCAACAGCCATGCCTCTCCGCGTCTTCGTCACGACCTTCCGCACGTTCCCCTACAAACACTGGACCCTCAACGTGCAGCATCCCACCGAATCAGGCCGTTTCGAATGTTTTCAGATCGGCGGCGCGGCACACAAATTCTCCTACGACACTCGCGTTGTCAGAAACCCCGAGACCACCCGCCGATGGGCGGAATCGATCGAGCTCGGGCAGATCTCTGAAGAACAACTCGAGCGGATGCGGGAGTTGGCGGAGAAGGAAGCGATGAACAACGAAGACAAGGACTGGCATTGTCAGCGATGGACTCTTGCGCTGGTGAAGAGATTGAGGGACGAGGGCGTCATTCAGCCCACGGAGGAGAACATGGAGAGGTTGCAGGGGCTGTACGAGAGATATCCTTCTGCTTGGGACTGGGCGTGTTTGGCGTACGACTTCAACCGCGTCTTGGCTATTAATGCTTTTGAGACCGCTCGGGACTACTTCATGAAGAGCAAAGACTCGCCAGAGGAGGCCGTCTCGGCGGACTCGTAGCGGCGTGCGAAGCATACGGCATTGTATTGCATTAGAACGCAATTCGCACCGAGACTACCCATGGCTGCTACTCTTCGGCGTTCCTGCTTCCACAGATTCGCTCCTGGAGTAAGAGGATTGTCCAATAAGAGAGTTTGCAGCGCAGACAGCCGGAAGGCCTGCCAGTTTCAGATCTTACCCAAGTGCACGCTCTATTGACTGTCTTTCAGAAACTCGCCGACCAGCTTCAAAGTTCTCTCTCGCATTGCTTCAGAATCCAAATGAGACATATGGCTTGCGCCATCGAGTGTCATCCATTTCACCTTGGGAATGTGGTTGAAGAATTGCACCATCACAGGGTAGCCTGCGGTGTCGAATTCGCCGTTGAAAAGTAGAGTCGGGACGTTGATTTTGGGTAGGAGCGGAATGGTGCTGTAGTGCTCCATTGACCCGTCGTACAGGAAGGGCGACCGGCCTTGCCTGCGAGGAGGATTGGGATTAGTAAGTCGTCGAACTGTATACGAGCAAGAGACAGCCTGACTAACATGGTATCACGAACGGTCGGGTCCGCGGCCTGATTCTTGCGACTCTCTATCAGCTCCGCAGGAGGCCAGGGGTCTGACCGACAGAGGAACGCCTTGCCAAACGCCGCCATCGCCGCCAAATATGCTGGATCCGTAAGGTCTTCTCTTCGTATCGCATCTTCCACGGCCTTTTCATGGGCCTCCGGCAGCTGCTTCAGCAATTGCCAGAGGTGATTCTGAAAGATCTGTCCATCGGAAGTTCCGCTGACGATGATCAATTTGCGAAGTCCGGGAGGTTGGCGAGAGGCGAAGGTCGCAGCCAGAGTACCACCCCAGCTGTGTCCGAAGACGTGGAAGCCCGGTCCATCCTCGCGGCTGATGTTGAGGTGTGCCAGGAGGCTCTCCAGCTCCTCTACGAACAGACTTGGTTGCCAGAACGCCTTGTCGCCATTGGTCTCTGGCAGGTGCGTGGACAGAGCACAGCCGATCTGATCGTAGAAGACGACAGGTATTCCGCAATCCGTCGCGATTCCACTGTACGCCTCGAGATATGCATGGCCGACGCCCGGACCGCCATGGAGGACTATCAGAGGAGGTCTGCCGCAGTCCAGGTCGCCGTAGATTTTGTAGTACGTCTCGCAGGGCGTATGTCTCGATTTCAAGTTGAATGGAGCTTTGCCGTCTCGGAAGTTGTCCTTGGCCATGTTGGCGAGGCAGAAGCAGATCTGATGTGAAGTGGTGCTAAAGATAGCGACGGCTCGAGCAGGTCGTGGCGCGCAATCGATATGCACAGCACAGCACAGCACGGCACAGCTCCTCACCTCTCAAGCTAGAGCTGTGTGGTGTGGTGAGGTGAGGTCGACTTCAGGGTAAGCGAGGTACAAAGATACCTTATCTTCCTTTACACGAGGCATCACGACCTGCATTTCATCATTGTTGTCATCAAGCTTCACGTTCACGCCGCCTGGGCCACCTCATCTCTCGTCTTGACGTTGAACACGTGCGAGTACGTACAGTCACAATGTCCAGACACTCCCACCTGGCTGCACCGGTGAAGGAATGCCGCCGTACAACATCGCCAGCGCAACCAACGCTCTTGGCTCAACAGTGGCGCAGTGACAATGATTATGTGCCGGCGCCTATCAAGTATCACCACCGCCCCCCGAACGCACCTGCATGATCTGCCAGCCCATGCACATACACATGTGTGATGCGTTCAGAGGCTTTGCGGCTGATGCGAGCTACGGGCAGAGCTGAAAAGCAACACGAGCTTTCACACCCGATCCCAGCGATATCACACGAACCCATTGGAAGTATGTCGATTCAGATCGGCGCTATTCAACACCACACTGTCCTGTCCTGACAAGCGGAGTCTCGTGACTTCGTGGTGTCTCCAGGCGTGTGGAAAGCTCGTCGACACAGCTTCACCCTCATCACGGACTAGGACTTCGTTCATCATTCCCATCAATATGTCTTCCGGCACCTACGACCGAGTCCCGCAGACAGACTCCGAACTGGAAGAAAAGGACGTTCTGCGCCTCCGAGAGCATGCCTTCCGACAGACCAAGTGGAGGAGCATATGCATAGTCTTAGCTGTCTGTCTCGTAGCCTCTCTGGCCGCAAACATCTCGCTATTCTACGTCCGCTTCGCCCGACCTCAGGCACTTTACAACGGCATCCCGTCGCAATTCGGTAAGACAATACTCTTGCAATTGGGAGAGATAGCGAGGCTGAGACATGCCTTTCTTTGACAGCACATCTGCGCCGAGACACGCCTAGGAGAACAGATCCCGATCCCGTCTATAGCAGTCTGAATCGGACGGTCCAAGACGCCGCCTGGAATGATCCGAGATTGAACGCCTGGGCACTCTTTGTCGCGCTGGACGATGCATATACCGTCTCCGAAGGTCTCCCGCATGCGATGCGCTGGCCTTGGTAAGTGGCGAAGAAGACCTTTCATGCCAGCTTTTAGACCCGGGCCTGATACGATTTTCTAGGGATCTCAGTAAAGGCGTCTATATCCCGACTGCTGCACACGAGCTCCACTGCACGGTAGGCTATATCCATCCAACGACACTCGAGCTGAGAAGGAAGAATGATGCACTGACTGACTGCACTGCCCGTCTGTCTAGCTCGTGCTTCGATCATGGATCAATCAAAAGCAGGACGGCGTCGCAGAAGCAGACATGGACTTCCCTTACGGCCATACGATGCATTGCCTGAACGTTCTGCGCGAGACGGTAATGTGCAATGGTAAGTTTCCTCTTCCGGATGTCGCATTCCATCGCAAAAAGGACTGATCTATCTGCAACAACAGCCGATGACCTTCCCCTGTACACCGGGCGGGTGAACGAGAATGTGCACTACAAGGACGTTGTCGCCGGCAGAGGCATGACGCGCATGTGCCGCAACTGGGACGCCCTGGTAGACTGGACCCACGAGCGCAGTGCGTGCTACCTCTCCGCGAACCGGAACGACAGGAGTTGGAAGGAGATTGATAGGTATAAGTTCTGTCCCGATGGCTCTCGGCCGTGGGAGAATCGGACGGAGTTGCAGTAGCTAGCCATCATTGCGCCTCCAATCGATACTTTTTTAACAATTGTGCCATTCTTCAACGCCTGTGACTTGCAAGCGATGGTGCGGATTCTAGTGTACAAGTTTGAAATCATCACAGTGGTGGTGTGTTCATGATAATTGCTCGCCGACCTAGTAGGCAGGATCCACGGCCGTTTGACCGGCCGCGACGAGCTTCGTGATCCTACACGATCCTTGGCTCTAATCTTCAAAGACGGCCACGCTGGCGGGTGAGTCGTCTGCTGTCTGGTCTGCCGTGGTTGCGTCGGTGTCGGAGTCTGCGCGCGAGTCCGAAGTGTCAATCCAGCGGCTCGGAAAGCGAATGACGATGGTCCTTTGTTTTCTGAATACTCACCTTGGTCGTCTCGGGGCACCAGCGATGGAAGTTGAGCGTTTGGCGGGGTGACGGGTGCTGCTGCCACCATCATTGCCACCGAAGCGAAGATTGCCAGAATCGTGCTACGCATCTTGGATGTTCGTTTGGGCTCTTGTAGGCTATGTCGATGTCGATGTCGATGTCGATGTCGATGTCTCTGTTGCTGCAAGTCTAGGACAGGTCTGGAGAGCGATGTTGTAGTTGAAATGTGGCATGCTTATCTCGGCCGGTGAAGAAGTTGCACCATTTGATGACCATGATGACCTGCGATTCGCAGGGAAAGAAAAGGCGGGCGGGTGCATCATCATCAGGCGTCCCGCGGTCCTTTGATGATATGATCGTACAGCGCCGTCTGTACAAGCTGAAGTTATTTTGGTCTCTCATGCGCGAACCGGGAAGGGTCACGCTCCTGCAGGATTCGATCGTCTACCCTACTTCTCAATCGAGCTAGAGCCGCAAGCTTGTGATGAGCTTAATGCCAGCCACGCGCGAGACACGTTGGCGTCTCGCGAGAAGTCCCCGCTGCCGATCCCACAACTTGCTTTCTCCCGAGGAACGTAGATTCTGCGAGAGTCGGATCACCGTTGGTGATGCCAGCTCTTCCTCGGGTGTAAATCTCTTTGCCGGGGGTATAGATCAGCTTTGTTGGATGGATCATCTAGTCGCGATTTCAGCTCTGGTCGTCAAGTTTTCGATCCTCATTTCCTCGATCCTCGTCCACGACAACATCTCAGCGCACCATGTCAGCTTCAACGAAAGAAGGGCTGTTCGCAGTCTGCGGGTCATTCATCGCCTTGTCGACCGTCGCAGTGAGCCTTCGAGCCTATGCTCGTAAATCACAGAAGGTTCCACTGGGCTTTGATGACTGGTTCGCCCTTTTCGGAGTGGTAAGAATGGCCACGTGCGCCTCGTGTAGAAAGATGCTAATATGTCCCTCCTCAGATCACGTACATTGCTGCTGCTGCACTCGGCATAGAGAGTATGTCCTATCATTATCGTTGAGGAGCATCGCAGCTGACAACGCATTAGTGGTCCGTCTGGGTCAATTCGGATACGACAATGGACAAACGGCTGCACAAAAAGCAGCTCACGCCAAGTTGGGGATCCAAGTTGCCCTCGCATACGACTTTCTCAACCTCAACACACTGGCATGCGCTAAGCTGAGTGCCTTGTTCATGTATCGTCGGATCTTCGTTGTCGAACGCCATAGCTGGTTCAGCCGCATCATCATCGGGACCATGGTCATCATCGCACTATGGTACATCACGTCCGACTTTCTGTCATGCTACCAATGCCGGTCGCACTTCTCTGCGCCTTGGACTGGCCAGTTCAAGAAATATTGCGATCTCAACCCTGTCTGGGCGGAGGAGCTTGCCATCTCAGATATGATCCTGGACATCTGGATACTGGTGCTGCCGGTCCCTCTGGTAAGAGTCTCGAGAAAGAAGAGAGTGTTACCGAAAAGCTAACAGGATGATCGCAGATCATGAAGCTGAGGACCACTATTGCCAAGAAGCTCGCTGTATTTGGCGTCTTTCTTCTGGCCTTCGTGTAAGTCTCTTCTTGCTAATGAATGTGGCCATAGTACAATCGCTAAACAATCGCATCTCAGTGGACTTGGAGCCGCCATTGCGCGAGTCGTCTTCTTCTTCCAAGCCAAAGGTCCCGAGCCTCAGACGCTCTACATCGGACTCCTGGAATCAGGCATGTCGATCACAGTCGTGAATTTGCCGTCGATACACTACCTCTGCACATCGACAATCCCGAGTCGTGTCGCTCACAGCTTAAGGAGCATACGCACTCTTGGTAGCGTCGATTCTCAAGCCAGTCGCTCGAGGAGTGAGAGTGAGGTCCATCCTAAAGGCAACGATGAAGTCGAGACGCCGACGATTGCAGTTCACGGGAAATCATCCTGGAGCTCGCAAGGGTCGTTGGCGGGCAACGGCAACACCACAGATGTCGAAGCTTGGCATACCGAAGCGGACGAAGCCAAGGACACTGCTGATGCCGATCGCGAGAAGTCGACGGGCCAGTATTCGCGGGCTTCGATACATGTCCGCAACGATGTCGAGATTAGACGAGAGTAATGGATGCGAGCATTGCCATGATATGCGTGTCCCGGCGCTTATGAAGGTTCGGCTGTCGGGTTTCGCAATATCAATCTTTGCCTTCAAGTCCTTCATGGCCTCAGTCAGCTGATCCACCATAGCTTTGATATGCGCCAATGGCGAGAGCGCATCTGCACGGCTCTTTCACTGGTTCTGTTGAAATTGCCGAAGGAATATCACAGCCTGGTTCGAATCCTCTAGAAAGATGCCGAGTTGACGAGCTTGGTCCGCAGCATCTTCGACGTCCTTAAATTAGGCAGCAAGTTTGACAGCGAGCTTGATGCCCTCCGCAATGACTTTCGACCCCTGAAACGATCGCCCGCGCAAAGAAAGAACAATCTTTGATGCATCAGAGATCCAATAGAGCTGCGATGTGGCTCTTACATTCTTTTTCAGCAGGCGAAATGGTTCGCATGCGGGTGCCTTGGCCGCTTCTTTGCAGCACTCCAAAGCCGAGCTCACAGAGTACAAATGGGTGCCATCGCTGCATTTCGAGAACATAGATGCTGCAAGAGTGGCTTCGCTGACGTTACGTTACGCTTCATGCGACCATTGCAATGTTTTCCTCCCATAAGGTCCAGGCAGTGAGTGCTCCGACTAAGAGAATCAGTAGACGGCCCGTAGCTCATGACAACTGATAACTGAAGGAACATTGTCGTTCTTCAGGTCTAAAGTGACGTTGGTATACTGAGTAGTGAGGAACGAGTGTGTAAGTAGAGAAGGAAGTTCTGAAGGAGAAGAACCTTCGAGCGAGGCGAGTGAAGAGGTGACACAGTTGCCGGATCAACCTTTAGCCGAGATTGGACCTTCCTTCAACTTCTTTTCTAAGCGCGACACTCTCCGTCAACATCCAACATCCAACATTCAATTTCTATCTCGAAGGCTATCATTCCCAATGACGGAATCTCTCGGTCACTGGGGAAAAGGGAAAGCTCCTCTTGTGAGCCGGTGCAAACCGCAAAATTTCGAGCTGGCGTTCGTACGATCATGCCGACGACTTTGGGAACTCTTTTTGGAAGACATATGGTCAAATGATGGCGCGTTATCATCTCGAAGATATCATTCGCAGCGTTTGCGCAAGGCCTTCTCTGCAATGCGGCAATGCTGAATATCGCACCTTCCTGCGTTCAACGGGTAACTACACGCGACATGCTCCAAGCCAATCCAAAGCATTTCCCAGTATCTAGGTAACTCCTCTCTGGACTTGTCATGTCCCCGTTGCAGGGGCTCACTCCCATCGATGGCTGCGGAGGCTGGAGAAGTTGCCTCTAAGCGTTGCGACGTGTCTCCGACAACGCGCCATGTCAGTCTCAAAGCAGCGTAATTCTCTTACGACGACCATATGGCCTCGTGATAATCCAACTCGTACTGAGTGTGAGCAGACTGTCGGTAGGGTTGAGTCTTTTTGGATCAACTGACAACCCATCTGAAATGGTGAATTGGCCGATGCGAGCAGACGTTGCGCGAGTAAAGTGGGTTTGAATTGCCCTATTATCCCGAAACGATGCCATCGGTTTGATATCAACAATGTCTACAGACAACAGGTCTTCTTCCGGCTCTGACCATGATAGCAGGAGCATTCGACCGTGTCTCAGGTCCTTATGGCTCCCTGCGTCGCTTTTTCGACCGCCGTGGCTTTCTTGTGCCTCCAAAATTCAGCCAAAGCACTTGATGATCGTCACGGTTTCGAAGCCAGCGTCGCATGGCAATTCTGGGTTCCACTTTCTGCGGGAACTGCGTGTCAATCCGGTGCTACCGATCTTTGAGGCGCAATGACTTACTTTGTATTCTGCCCACGGACTCAACTCAGCTGTGATGTCCCTCTCCCTTACCGCAGCATGCCAGCACGCAACCGATGGACCAACTCGAACTCTCTTATACGCCAACAGACTATCATCGATATCAGGAAGATGGTATCCGACGAAAGCTAGAAGTGTGGAATTGTCGTTCCTGGGGGAGGTACGTAAGCAAAGGAACAGACCATTCCTAACGAGGACAACTGAAGACGTACCAAATTACCGGCTGAGAAGTCCCCGCGTCTCCATCCCACATGCTGGCTTATCTCAGCCAAGCACACAGTCCTCGCAGACGACGGCGGAGGTAGCCTGGAGCTGTTCCGTCCGTACTTGGTCGTCGCCGAGAGGACTCTCGCGATGTTCGATCTGCGCTGAAGGAGGTAGACCAATGGTATGGCTAGGACGGGATGGTGCATTTCATTCACTTGAGCTGAATTCTGGTTGCCTAGCAACGAAAGATGGAGAAAGGGAAGGAGAATGACCAACGACATGGCGAAGAAATTGCGGCGGCGGCCACCTGCACTGCCATTGAGTCAGCCTTTGGTGGAAAACGTAGTATGCTATACAGAGCAGAACACTGTTGGAGTTGCGAATATCACTTGCTCCGGCGCCCATTTCCCCTGAACTGAAGGAGGAGGCTGGGAGCCATGAGCAGGAAGCCAATCAGTCTCCATCGATGTGATGAGGATGAAGTCCCGTCCATGGAATTTCCGGTGCGTCGAACCTTGCCTTTTCACATGTAACGCGCAAAAGTCGAAGTACGTCCATTGGAATGCTTTCGATAGGAGCTTGGGCGCCCGTTCTGGAGGTGATGGTTTCACGCGCCGTGCTTAGGCGACGGGAATACGTTCGAGCTGCCAGAAGTGAATGCTTTTCTGAAGGTGGTTGATATAGTATGCCGTACTAGACGGAAGCTAAGAGCGGAAGGGGCCGCCTGTCGCCAAGAATCATGCAGCGGTCAAAAGTCTTGTCAGAAGCCACGGAGTTCGGGGTTCGGAGTTCACGATGATGAGCTCGAGGTGGAGAGCCGGACAAGGAACACCAGAACAATTTCAGAATTCGTTAATTTTGAATGTCTTATTTTCGATCTTGACTAGTCAATTCGCAGTCTGTTGCTCCAATTGCCTCGAGAATTTACGGCTTGCCTAAAACCACCGAGGTCCCGCAAAACATCTACCGGGCCGTCAATTTGTATGTTCGACAATATATTGCGGTCTCGAAAATACTGTCACTTATCTCACAGAGTACGCTACGTCTGCAGTGGCGGAATATCACGGAGTCCAGGGAGTCGTGGCTAATTCTTGCGAGATTTGGGCGGAGCAGTCCCCTGGGAGGCCGTGTCCGATTGACGCGGCCCCTTTGTAGTGCTGGAGCTGGCATTGGGACTTCTCGAGGTTCCAGAACCAGCAAATTGAGCTCCAATACCTTGAAGTAGACTCTCAGTCCTATGAGATGTTAGCGAAGGGCAACGCGCAAGCGTGAAGTATTGGCCCTTCACTTTTGATCAGCGGCCTTCTTGCGTTCCGAAGAGGTCTGTCCGACCGGCATGACGACGGTCGATATGCAATGCTGATGAAGCGACTTTTGGGGATAAAGCCTGACTGTGCCGCTTGGCTGCGAAGGCGGAGGATGTTGCTGATAGACAGTGCGGTGCGATGGTTGACTGAGGATATTTCCGTTCATGCACGTCAACGCAGCGCGACCATTCTGGCTTTATAGATTTGCGCTCGACGGTCGTCTCATTGAAGGTCTGGCGTGACCGCCGACTGTGTTCAAATTTCGCACGCGCTTCGCGACAATTCGGGAAGAGAATACATGATGGTCTGCTTTTCTGCGATCTTTTCGCCTGGCGAACCTCCATCTACCACAGGTCCTCGGTACGACTCCATCCGATACTTGCCTCCCGGATTAGTACCAGCTGCTATGCTGCTTAGACTTGGACGTCGTGAGACCTGCAGAGGCTGCCCCAAGTCAAAGCCTGGCGATAAGACAGCCATAAATTGAAGCTGAACTTGTCGAGAGTGGTTGCACCAGGGTTATCGGCCAGGATTCTGATTCGTCAGGTTCCTAGCAGCCCGTGACGGTCGTATCCATTGACTGTACGTTGATGTCAGCTTGTGGCGTTTACACCTGGTGGCGGCTACGGACCAGCATCGTCTGACGCTCTACGCTCGCATTTTGGGTAATCGGTCCACACCAATCACTGCAGGCACGCCTGAGCCCGTCACGTTCCCATAGGCGAGTAGGGTGTCCGCAGGTGCATCGAATGCAGCAAGCTGTGCTGGAGTTACAATTCCAAAAAGCTGGCCGGCTGTCGTTGGCGAGGAAAGCGCCTGAGATGGTGCAAATCGCCGAGGCAACCACTTCAACTGTTGTTCAAGGCATTTTCAACAATGTCCCAGAATACGCAGGCTGCTTAAGGGAACTCATCCACAAGAAGAGTTATGTCTTGAACTCCGTATACTGAACTTGGAATTCCATAATCCAGCGCGGAGGATATTCCGGACTATAAGCTGCTCAGAGCGTGAGTATGCAGGAAGCTTTGACACAGGCAAGTGTGGCGTGTGAGAGGCTCACCCGGACCGGACGGCGAGCGGTCCCTTGTGCAACAGAGGCTATTGACAGGTGCTGAGACCTGATCTTGGCAAACGCTCACTCGCCTTTCCAGACACGTCGGCAGCCGATCTGGGCAATTGAGCAAGTGAGACACTGCTCAGTGTGGTCCATCAGAATCCATTGCCGATATGCGTTGACGCCCAACGTGATCGCTAATTTCCATAAATTCTCACTGCCGCAAGAGAGAGGACAGAGTAGAGCCGTCGCCTGAAGCTTCAAGTCATGAGACTTCGCGCCCAAAGTTGGTCCCGGGCCACTTCGTGCGTCCAGAATCATTCCATTCGTGCACTTTCTCACGCGATCCACTGAAGCCGAGAGGATCGCACAACCGAGGGCGTGTTATTTATCCCGCCGAGATGAAGTCTGGATAAGCTCATGCAAAGATGTGGCCCCTCCGAAATACCCTCGAGTGCTTCTCCCAGTGTTCTTGAAGTCGTCGATCATTCTAACGCATGGAGCCGCCGGCTGGAGCCAATGCTTGACGAACGGCAGTCTCCAGCCCCGATTGCTAGGTCCAAATAGCTGATTTTAAGCGAGCTGGCGTCGCTCCTTCGCGGCAGCGGAGTAGGCAAAGGAAACCGGCGAACAAGGATAATTGCAGTTAAACTGACCTCATTTGATGATTGTCACCAGAAGTCGTAGCTTGTCAGGCCTGTTCCGGACGCGTTCCGTGAATAATCTAGGCTTATTGCAAACGGTTCGCACGGTTGTTTGCCTTGAGAGAATGGACTGAGGATTTTGTGTTACCGGAGAGAACTCACCGCCAGCAAGCCATCAGCAGAAGCGAATTCGAGGCTTCGCGAAAGGACCAGTCCCATTGGTGCCCAGAAAGACACCGCCGAATTCATCATCGCTCCTCGGAGAACGTAGAGTCAACGGGTTGGTGATATCGCGCCTGCCTGATACGACACTGTGAAGGCAATGCAGCAATGTTTCGCAAGGATGCGGATTTGTATGGCTCTGAGAATACCAGTCTGGGTAACATCCACATTTCTCTTGACGTGAACAAGCGGTGATGAGGGACACGAAAAGCATCGTACCCAGGCGTGTCCGGCGTTTGCGTTATCGTGCCATCGCGTTGTGGTCGCTGCGTCGTCGAAGACCGGTCTGGAGGCCTCGGACGAAATCCAAGAGCATTTCGACGTGGTGTGTCTCCCATCGACGTCAACAGAAGCGTCTGTACCGGCTGGGAAGGAGTGATGGAGACCTCCCGGGGAGGGAAGTCGTCGGCTTCTTGTGCCCCACAAGGTTTAGCTTACGGCCCATCCCGTGTAGTGCCCGCTCACTTCCCGTTCCGAACTAAAGGCGAATACTGCTCCTGTCCTGGGTCCATCTCTTGCCACTTCACATCCATCCCATTTGACGACCTGAGAAAATGGGAACGCTAACTGCCGGGCAACTGCGACTGGATCATTATTGCGAGCACAAGCTTCCCACCAGCTGTCGTCTGAGCAGTATCGGTACGCAACAAACGCACAAGCCGCGCGCAACTTCGGGGATACGAGCTGACTTTCCATTCGTCTGTGTACAGGCGAGTGCTGCGCGTGCTACGATGAAAGAGCTCATTCTGTAACATATTCAACCTACATTGATGGCGTTGGTTTTGTTCAGCGAGGTACTCGATGGCAACGCTACTGCTGGTTCTGCAAGGAGTTCTGGGAAAACAGAGTCCAAGCATCGGGATTAACACCTGGCCAGACCAAAATACCAGAGAGACCTGACCAGACAGAATTCCTGAGACGATGGTATCAATTTCATCAAGGTTTTCGTATTGTAACTCGCGACGATGGGAGCGAAGAGCGAGTTGCTGTTCTCGGGGAAGACCTTCGCGATGTGTCGCCGGGCTGTCTGCCTAGGACCTTGGACGAGCTGCGGGCTGGCAGAGAACGCAGTGAGATAGAGGAACGCGAGCGAGCCGAAGGTGAGCGCCAGCGACAGGCTGCACGTGCGGAAGAAACCCCTCAAGGTCCGAGCATCGAAGAAACGCTAGACCAGATGTTCCAGGCCGCAGAAAGGGAAGAGTCCCAGGATCAGCAACCAACACCTTCTCGACCGGACAGTGGCCGACCAAGTAATGATATTGAATTGCGAACAACAAACATACATGCCCAGGCAATGACGCCAGCTGCTTCCCGTAATCGAGATTACCAGGCACGACGCATTGCTGCTCTGCGACGTGAACTTCATCGCATGCGCAATGGGATTGAGCGCGTTATATCGGGGCTTCGAGATCTGGGCGAGAATGTTCCGGACCACACGGCAGCATCGACTCGCCTGTCACAACTGGGTCGCACTCTTGACACAATAGATAGTCCGCCCTCGCAGGAAGATGCGCAAGGAGCCATCCAGAGTGTTCGGGCTCTCACAGATGCTGTTAGCACGACGCAGCGTAACGGGACGCTTTCCGGCGTTCAGGCGCGGGTTGATGAGGCCAGGCAACATGTGGACGAGGCCAGAAGAAACAGGGACCAAGCTGCAACAGAATTGGACCTCGCAGAACAGGACTTCCGCACGTCGCAAGCCCGCCTTCGTCAGCTACAGAATGAGCAGAGAACCACTGAAAATTACATGAGGCTGTTTGGTACTCGTGAGGAGATGATCGCACAAGGCGAAAGCTATGAATCTCCAATCGGCGGCATGTTCACCAGAGCTATGGAGCGCTTCCGAGTCGCAGAAGATGTACGCCGGGAAGAGCGTACACTCCGTCAGGTGCTTCATGATGAGGAGCGAGCTGCGGACCCAGATGTCGCTCAACGGTTGGCGGAACTGGAAACTCGAGAGCGCGATGTGTGGGGCGTCCCTCGCCCGTCCGAATCACAATCGTTGCAAGACACAAACATCTCTCGGCACGTGCCTCCGTCTCATAGCAACGAGCGGCCAACGGACGCAACTCGCGCTGGACTGAATCTATTCAATACAGGCACTGCGCTGGAAGATTACCATGCGCTCTTGAGAGGACAAGACAGGGTCCAGCGAAACCGAACAGCAGTCGACACTGACAATTTCCCAAGGAACATGTTGAATGCACTACCTAGTCAGCAGCGAGCACCTGGCGCGACATTTCAAGATATTCTAACATATGCAAGAGATTCTCGAAATCGGAGACGTCAAGACGCCCCGACGATTGTCGCTGGACTTCCAGGACTACAACTGGACGAAGATCCGTATGAGAATAATGATCGTGGGCTTGACGCTGTATTCGTCTTGAACGCACTGTCTAACAATCCAGGGCTCAGATCGCACGTTCCATGGGCTGATGACGGGAATGCGGTATCTAATCTTCTCTGCTCCGTACAATCAAACACTCTTTCGTCGTTGGACGTGGGGCAACTTGAGCCTCTCATGGAGCTTGAAGAAGTCGTGTGGGGTAGTCAATTGCCCGCCGAGCGCAATCGACGACGGCGTGAGCGCGGAGAGACCGTCTCCTTCACCCCTGATGCATATGAAATGGCCATGTCAGGGCAAGTCATCGTGCATGACGTAGAAGTCATGGCCGAGTGCTATCAGATGAGCGGACAGGTGAGAGCACAATCTGGCGTCACAGCTTTGGAGCAGCTGCCTATGCTCTATCGACTGCAGGCTGGAGAGCGCAACAGCCGCGACCGCGCCGTCCTGGTCAGAATGTTGCGTAGCGATACAGCAATGAATCAGGCTAGTCAGGTGCTTGCCCAACATGTCGGAGAGACCGATGAAGCGCAAAGCGATCGACGCGCTGAATTGGAAAGCGAGAGACGTCAGGCGGCAAGGCGAGGCGATCACTCCCGCTCAGAGCTCGATGCACAGAGAAGGGCTACGCGGACGATGCCATCGGTGGCGCTGACTGCTAGCAGAGCAGCGATGGCTACGAGCCCCAGAACGCTGTTAGAGAGGATGGCCAACCGCGATGAAGAGACACGCGCCGCATACGAACGTCTACGAGCGAACGGCTTTGAGCCGGGTGAGCCGATGACAAGTCGTAGCCTGCGAGACGCATTCTACAGGCCACTGAGTCTCGGAGACTTTGGCGCCTCGCCGTCTGCGACGGATTCGGACGACGAAGACAATGAAGGCCGCGGTCTGGATGCCAAAGATTCCGGCCGACCAGAAGAGCCTATGACTGAAGAAGAAATGACGATATTGCTGGACTGCCGCATTTGCTACTCGCAGAAAGCCGATATCTGTACGATCCCATGCGGACACTTGGCCATGTGTCGATGGTGCAGTGAGCAGCATTCGCCGACGATGGCTCAAGACAAGACTCGGCCGAGAAGACCCGCTGCTTGTCCAGTTTGTCGAAAGCGAATCAACCAGAAGATTCAGGTGCATCGTTCTTGAGGTTGTCAAAAGGCTCTGAGAGCCGATTGCATTAGATACGGTATTGGGGATGTGGTAGACAGAGAGTAGAGAGGCCCACTGCCTAAGATTGAACCTACATCAGCTGCCAAATCACATTCTATTCGTATCTAAAGCTGCATAGAAGTCGTAATTCTATAGAGATATGTCTGCAACAAGGTCTTGTGGTAGAGCACCACCTCAGAGACTGACAGGCAGGAGAGTGTTTGCCGACGAGCCGCAGCCTCGACACGAGGTAATACCATTTTGTCCTTCCAGCCAGTTCAGTCCGCCACAGACTCTTATGCAGATTTGCCCCGCAACCCGGATTGAGGTGGAGCCGCTCCCCGCGATGAGTTTCATAAGGTTGCGCACCTCATACCGGGATGACGGATTCACAGACAACGAACTCATCGTAACGAACCTGCACTCCCAAGGCTCATCTGCATACGGAGACATCAGAATCCTACCATGACCGAAGAACGCAGCCCTCCGACCCTTCTTACGATCCCACCCGAGATTCGCGAAGAGATCTATCGCCTGATCTTGCACCCCGATGCCAATCGCCAATACCTCGACAACGACTACACCTCTTACAACTACGTTGCAGCCCTCGTGTTGTTCCGGATCAACCGCCAGATCTATCTTGAATCGCGAAAGGTGTTCCGGGACCTCAATGTCTTCGTACGGATCGAAACGCCATGGCCCGAGGCTCAACAGCATGTGGCGTACGAGGGACATGTGCCCATTCTGGTCACAAAAGAGAAGGCTCTCCAGTTTAGCAATCACAGTTTGAACGTCAGTATCGATGCGCCAGATCATGTCACAATGGAAATCGACACGGAGCGGTTCATCGTTCTGCAAGAGGATCTGCCCAAGTTCACTAGGATGTGGTACTATGCAGACCTTTCATACCCTGGTCTTAATGAACGATTGCGGCTGAAGTTGGAACTGCGGGATCCATTCGCTCGTGAATGGGAAGAGCAGAGAATGACTAAGTTGGTGCAGCGGAAATTACTTCTGCCCTTCGGCGAGGTCAAAGGACTGGGCGATACTATCTTTGAGGGCGATCTCAAGCCGTACGGATCGATCGAGCAAGAGTTGCGTTCTGCGCAGAGAGAGCACCACAGGAGCCCGGAGCACTGTCTGAGAGAAGCATCGAGGCTGAAGTTTGAGGGAAATGCACAACTGAAAGAGGGAAATTACCACGCTGCGCTGCAGCTCTACAATCAGGCCTGGGAAGCAATACACGTCGTGATCAAGGGCAGGAAGAGACACATTCACGGCGACATTTTCTTCGGCCGTGAGCTCACGGAGGAGCCTTTCGTTGGGAAGAATGGACAGGCTGAGCGTCTCCTACTGCGTGTCCACCTCGTAGCAAATACTTGTCTGGTGTATCTGAAGCTTGAGGAATACGAAGAGTGCTACTACTGGGGCATGCGAAGCATCGAAATGCTGCGAGAAGCCATGGGCGTAGACGGCAGACGGAGCATTTCTCCAGAAGATGAAGCCGTGCTTGAGTTCCCAGGTAGAGATCAGATGGGAAAGATCTATTACCGCACTGCTGTGGCGTCCAAGATGATGGATGTTCTGGACGAGGCGAGAAAGCTGCTGAGGGTGGCCAAGATCTATTTGCCGAACGATCAGAACGTCGACAAAGAGATTGCTGCCACGGCGCTGAGGCTAGCATGAGCTATGTACAGCAGTATCTACAGATTTTCCCACCTATCTGTTGCGCGAAAGGCGTTGGGGATGTCGCCAAAACAAAAGTTGTCCCCGCGCCAGAGCTCGTTGGCGCAAAGGGCGAGTATCCGTGGACTTTGATAAGCCTTCGCCCTGGCGAGATTCAGACAATCAATTCTTTGCGGGTTTCCCGAGGGCTTCGAACGAGTACCTTGCGCTGTTATAAGCGCCGAGCGATCAAACAGCATCTCTTCGCGTTCAGGGCATATATCCAATTACATTCATTCAGCCAAGCCAGGTCACAACAACTCGAACAGCAGTAAATCAGCGACAGCAGTGCATTTGTGCGTAGCTTGACGGTTCTCGCCATCCTTTTGGCACCTTTGATGCGCTACCGTCAGTGTCTTCGTTGCATTACTCGAAAATGCGATTGAAGTCTGTCAGGGCAAAGACGATGTACCATTCACTTACGTGGTCCGAGCACTGCATCACAAGCCTGCGCGTCACGCGCGCAAACAATGACGACACTTCACCCAATCATACATCGCGGACCTACCTCCTTCTACTCGTGCGCGTCTGGTGGTATTGCCAGCGAAGGACTGAAGAACAATCATATCGCCTGCACGATCATTGACATCATGTCGGGAGTAGAAGGTGTTCACCCTTCCCGCCAGAAGTTGATGTGAGTCCAGCCGTTCAGGATATGATTTTCCTTTCACTAACACGCAACAGAAGTTCTCCACGTAGGAGCAACAGCAACCCCACGGCCAAAGACAAGGGCAAGAAGAAGAAGAAGAAGCCAAGCAAGTCCAAACGTAAGTCACAGTGGCGTATTTCCATCTTGGAGCGTCGATCTCCTCACACGTAGACTTCACAATCGTATTGCTACAGATGCAGCACCACTGACACCTTGGTAGACAAGAAGAGTCAGCCAGCCGATCCAAGCGCTCCAGACCGTGATACTCAGGGGTATGGCCCTTCAACCCTCGCACCACCTCCAGCGCCACCACCACCACCACCACCTGCTGCTACACAGTCCAACTTTATCAGAGAACAACAGCCAGGCCCAGAACCACACCCCTCCCACCGCCCAAACCTAGCCTTCAAAACCGGCTTCAGCTACATCTCAAGCCACGGCAAAATCTCCCACATCACAGCCCGCGACTACACCTCCCTCACCTCCCTCCTCCTCGACACCAACCACACACCCACAACCCTCAGATCCCTCGCCACCCTCGACCTTCTCCTCTCGAATCCCCGCATCTTGCACTTTTTGAAGTACCATCCCCCGATCGACAGGGACATGTATCGATGTCGGGATCTCTTGAAATTGATCGTCTCTGCGGTTATGGGCGAGGGTGTGACTGCGGCGTCAATGGCGCAGTCGGAGACGGTACTGGCGAGGTGGGAGGGGTTGATTGCACAGGTGCTGGAGAAGATGGGGGCGAGGAGCGGTGGATATGGCTCGACTGACGCTTTCACCCAAGCTCTAGAGGAAGCGATCGCGGTGGCCAAGGAGGCAAGAGCAATGGTGGTTGGTTCCGCGAAAGCGGCAGGCACATTTGGAAGGGCATCTATAGCATGAAAGTAAGACGGGCAATGCCAAATAGGCAAAGAATTGATGTAATCGATTCCAACATACAAAGAATGATAAAATCGTAGATGAAGAATACCGACCGAACCGGAAAGACGCACCATCTTGTCCTATGAGTGTCACGCCTCACAAGAGCCTGATTTCCTCGTAGCGCGTTTCGTCATCATAAAAAGAGCGCAACCCTACGCTGTCCTTCCTTTTCCCAAAACTCACAAACACCAAAATGCAATAGACACAAGGTATGACAACCACCTCCTCCCAAGCCTGCTGGCATGCTATGTTCAATCTTCTTTCCTCCTTCTGGCGCCCTTTCGCTGCTCTAGTATGCTATGTCGTGGCTAATTCTGCTGTCGATGCACACCATTTGGTGCTTATCACTGCAATGTCAATCGCTTCAGACAGTCTCCGAGGGCCGTGTCGACCTGATGCGAGGCTACGGTCTGGATCCCCTATTTTGACGTGCCTGCTGTACACCCTCAAAGAGCGCTAGATGAGAAGGCAATGGTTCCACTGGAGCTGTCAATAAAAGATTCGCTCCTGAAATGGATAAGTGGTCACGAACAGTCGATTGTAGCCTGGGCTGTTCAGGCTGAACTCTGTTCTCGAAACTTGCGTTTGAATCAAGCTCGGAGCCGTGCGAATGCTATGTTTCGTCCACTGGCGCGCTGCCTTCTCCATTGTCGTTCTCTTGCCCATCATCCAGCATGGTGTGGTCGTAAGTGTCCGTCATAATCGCGTCCTGTTCTTGAATCATTTTCTGGGTCCTAGTCGATTGGTAATCCCGCCATTCCCGTTGAATGTCTTCCTCGATAACGGGATCAGCGTAAGGTGGTACACCAAATCTATCATAGGATGGATGCTGCCCGTAAGCCGGTTCCTGATATGGCACAATACCTGGACTAGAGGTATTTGAACGCAGTGAAGATGTTCCAGATGAATGAATGTCGTCTTCGGGCGGCGGCGCAAAGTCCCAGACCTCCATGACAGTCTTCCCGCCTCGGCTAGCGAGGACGACGGCCTTCTCCTCTTCGAATACCACCCGCCACACTGCCTCAGCAGGATTCCCAAGCTCTCTGACTTGACATCCTCGCTGCAGATCCCAGACTTTAACCCGCCCATCACTGCCGCCAGATACAATCCTGCTGTCGTCAAACTGAAGGCTTGTAACACTGTTGTCATGAGCCGCGAGCCGGTGAATAGCAGAATACGTCTGCAAGCTCCAAACTCTAACACTACCGTCACTACCACCAGTCACGAGGGTATCGTTGCGCAGTTGCAGCTGACCGACAAGCGATGTGTGTCCCTGCAGTTGAGCCAAGCATCTCCCATCGCGTGGGTCCCAAACGCGTACGCTCGTGTCGAGCGAGCCAGTCGCGACACGACGACCGTCGAAGGCGACAGCATAGATCTGACTAAAATGTCCCTGAAGCGTTCGAAGACATCGCCCTTCGCTGATCGACCATATCCTCGCCGTAGTGTCGTAGCTACCGGACACAACGAGGTCGCCGTGGATCTCTAGACAGCGCACAGATGCCTGGTGACCGACGAGCACATGTTTGCAGACGCCTTTCCTGATATCCCAGACTCGTAACGTGGTATCCCGCGAACCAGAAATAGCAGTATTGGGTCCGCTCATCTTCAAGCAGCGAACAGTGCTTGTGTGTCCGCGCAGCATGTGTTGTGCCATACCAGTCGTAAGATCCCAGACCCGCACATCTCGGTCACAGCCTCCAGATACCAGAATGTCACCGTACGGCACCATTGCCCATACGCCCATGACATGACCTTGCAAGCAGCGTAGATGCCTTCCACTAGTATCAAAGACATGTATCTTGGCATTGTCGAGCGCAACAATAATGTAGCTGGATGTCAGGTGTAACGAAGTGACGACACCCTGATCGGGCGTTATTTGACGCTGGTCCACCTTTCCGCCGTGTCTCCACGCAGTCTCAACCTGGTACTTCTGCTTGAAGTGACTGCGATAGCTGATTGCTTTCGGCCGTCTTTTAGCGCTCGACAACGATGCGCGGAGAGTTGGTGGGAGAACGGAGGCCGTGGCGTTGAGGCTCGTTCGATGCGTGAGATCGGGTGCGCTGGAGGAGAGGCCGGCAAACGAAGAGCTGTGCGCTTGCGCGTAATGATGATAGCCGTAAGGATGCTGATGTCGCTGATCGATGCTAGAGGACGTCGCCCCAGGAATGGGCCTCGGGGAAGCAGATGGCGGATCGTCCGACATGCGCCTGTACGCATGCTTATCACACAAGCTCTTCCAGGCCATGTCGTCGCTCACCAACTCACGCCATCTCTTACTCACCTGCGAGCTCCTCGCCAGTGTCCTCGCATCCTCAACAAAAGCCAATATTCTCAAGCACAGCTCGTTAGGAAGTACTGAGAATGGATCTCTTTTCAACCTCGGTCCAACGAAGTTAGCCACGAAGCCCAGCAGCTTCCCGTCGCACATGTTCAACAGCTCTGCCAGCATGCGCTGTCGCTGGTTGTTATCCATTTCTGCAAAAGCTGCGCGCATGTCCCTATAGCCGAATCCATATCCTCTCGCCGAACTCGGTAGACTGAGTAATTTCTGAGGCTGCTCGGGGTCATCGAGGTCGATGTCGCCAATGTCTTCGTGCGGGTCTGCCGTGCTCCAGTCGGGCGCACGCTGCATCGGTGTCGGGCTGGGTGCGGGTGTGGGAGGGCTCGCGGGGGCTGAGGGAAGAGTGTTGCCTGGTATCACGTTCGGATTGGAGGGTATCGGAATCGGCATGGTGGGCACATTGTTCATGGATGAGGAAGGCGTGATATGCTGGGGTCGCACCGGCGCCTTTCCATGTCGCGAGGTGTAGAAGCGGTTGTTGTGCGAGTGGGATGCCATCCTGGCCAAAGGAGAGGTGCTGTGGTGATCCGGCGCATCATTCACACTGGAAGCGTAGTCCATGACGTTGGAAGAGGGACGTCGGTCGGACCAGTCCTCACCGTCGTTCATGACTCCAGATATGTACTTTGTGGTTATCTGTGCTCTCGAGCGGCGCACTTTGGGTGGGGGGTGTGACGGTAAGGGTTTTGTCGGTCGAGTCCCGCTCTGCCAGGCGCGGTAATATATTCCCTCGAACCCGATTCAGCGCATGACGCCCGGTTGTGCGACCTGCTGTACCGTCCACTTGCGCCTCCAGAGTCGCCTGGGTGAGAGGGATGTGGATTGTTGTTGAGAGCTCGTACGGCGGCAGTGGGTGAGAGTTGGTACGGCGGCAGTGGGTGAGAGGGTGAGAGGGTGAGAGGGTGGACAGTGGTCGAGGTGTGTGGTGGTGCTGAGGTGGTCACCAGATGGTGGTGTCGCACGGGAGGCGCTGATCGCCAACAGGGAAGCCGAACCTCACTCCCTCCTGCTGCCCGCGCTTTCTGCCTTTGTTGCCTTCGACAGCGTGTGCAAGCTTACATGTAATAATGACCTACTGGCTGTAATCGCATTCGTCCCCCGGTTGCGTGCTGCTAGTCGTGGTTCTTCCCGCCTCCGCCGATCATTAGCCGCGGCCGCCACCGCCGCTAAAGTGGTCACTTTCACTCCTCCACCGACTGATTTCCAAATTCCTCAACTCCTCCGAGACGCCGCCGCTGAGTGGCAAAGACTCGTCTGGACATTGTTAATAATCACCTACAAGCGGCGATGGCGTTGTCGCGAAGGACGTGTCTCAAGCAGAACACAGGTTCATGCAGCCTGCGTTCTGTGTACCTGCTGGCTGCAACCTCTGCTCTCGCCGTGAACTGCCCGCCAGCCATCCCGACGTCGTGCAGGAATTCGAGTCGCTGCACGCCAATGCTGGCATTCTGCACAAAAGAAGCCATACCGTCGAAACACGTCGAAGGACCAGACCTTGATCACCGGGAGAGAATCTAAGAATCAAGCGAACATACAACGACTTCATTCGGAAATGGTGGGCTGCTAAACACGTTCGCTGAGACAAGCAGTCGGTAGCTATGGGCAGCGTTAAGAGGGAAGAGGTATTGATGCGTTGTTTCAACGGCAATTCACAGCTACTAGCTGTCAGCACTGGCAATGGTAGGGCTGTTGGAGAAGACGACAGGAACAATTGTGATCGATTGTGACAGGTAAGGTATACGTACTGCCAGCAGCGATGCGCAACGTATTACAAGTCGAAAGATTTCAGAACGCAATTGATGTTGGTGAACAGATGGGATGATACGACTTCTGCGAGCATGTGAACGACGTGTCTGTGCTCCAAATGTACGTGCTCTTCGACGCTCTGACTCTAGAATTGGCTGATGGCATTACTATGCTTTTGCGTTACGGTTTAACAAAAACCGAATAGCCAGTCGAAGCGTACACTCGCATTAAATCGATGCTCGTCCTTGTTTTTGGTCCAGACTCTCATTCTCGAAATGGAATACCTCGCCAGAGCATGCAAGGCTTTGTTCCTTCAAGAATGCTCGAAGCAGTTCAGCCGATCTCGATGGGCGATACAGTCAAGTTTGTCCAAGACCTTTGGAAACGCCTTTCGAGTCCTTCGGCCGAATTGTAAAGGTGACAAGAGGAGCCTACTTCGAGAGCAATACGGTCGCGATCACACAGATGGCGAGCCTCTTGCCATACTTCAGGAACAATATAGACGAACGGCTGCAGCCTGATTTGCTGGAACATATCATGCATCGGAATCCGAGCATCGTGTTCACGAGTCTTCTCCGGTGGGGCCCAGAATTTCTGAGGTGAACATAAATTGGCTCTCTCATTGTGAGTCGGGAATCCAAAGATTGTATCGAAATTTGCGCGACTTCGAAGCTCCACTTGCACTGGTGAGGTTCTAAAGGAGTCTCCGTACAATAGCATCTCATTCCACCAGGCCCAGAGGAACGGACTCGAGTTCATATAATCGACGGAACGAGAACTGCAAGGTGGGTTGAGGATGCGATGTTTCCACGGCTTCGGAGCTTGGAGTTGAACAAGGTGACAATCAGATGTCATCCCCTCCTCGAAAACAGTAGTTCAGACGAAAATGGTGGTGCCTGCCAAGGAGATAACGACGGAACTGGTTGCAGGGGGGCACAAATACTACTGAGCTCCGGAATATGTGATATCCAGGAGGCATACAGCGCCAGCTGATCGAGGCAATTCTGCAGACTTGGCATTGCAGTCAGTATCGTTACATATCTGTCCATGGAGACGATTTTTACGATAATTTATTTATACGGAGAGACAAGAAGGCCATCGTCGAAAAGGTGAAGTGCAAACACTCGGGCGACATTTAAAGTGCGGAACGGTTCCGCGCTTTGCGCCTTATCTCGCGTCTGACTTGAACATTGTGTCTCTTTCCGACTTTCATTCACTCTAACAACTGCCAAAGATGCCGGCTCCAGCGTCAAAGCGTATCAAAGGCGTCAAAATCTTCCGCCACTTCATCATCGGCAACGAAGCGCACAACCTGCCTCATCCAGGCTTCCCCGATCCCCCGCCAGAAGGACACACCAAAGGCTGGAAAGTCTACGTTCGACCTCTACCAAATGGACCGGACATGACAACATGGCTAAAGAAAGTGCAATTCAAACTTCATCACACATACGCCGATGCTTCGCGAACAGTCGAAGCGCCCGGGCCGTTCGAGGTCTCAGAGACAGGATACGGCGAGTTTGAACTGGAGCTGAGACTCTATTTCGCTTCGGAGAGCGGGGAAAAGGCGCAATATCGTATACACGGGCTCGCTCTGCATCCGTACGGTAGCGAGGATCAGCGCGCCCAGCAAGAGCGAGACAACACAATCATCGCGGAGCGACTTGAGACGATCGAGTTCAACGAGCCGACACAGGACTTCTTCAAGGCGTTGACAAATGAGGATCAGTTCAATTGGTTGAAGGTGAAGAAGGGTCGCGGAAAAGGAAAGAAGCCTGACTATGTCTTTGAAGGAGATGTAGAGCCTACCACGCAGCTTCCTGACAAGGCGGATACAAGTCATGGACAACCAAGAGCGGGAGGCGCGTGGAGTTTGCAGTACGAGCGGCAGATGAATGCGCAGTTGGAGCAGGCCAAGACAGAGCTGGACAAGCTGTTGGAGGAAGAGAAAAAGAGGGCGGAAGAAAGGAAGAAGCAGTTGAATGAGATCAGCACGCAGATAGCAGCGAAGTGAGGGCAGAGGCAGGCCACTGACTGATTTAGCGAGGAGTTGGAAGGGATACGAATGAGAATGATACCCATGATGGAGAAAAGCAGCTTGCATTACCTCCGTAATCCAAGCCTGACGAAGTTTCATGCGTTTCAAGGCACCAATTTCTGGAAATTCCCTTCATTCTCATTGCTTCGTAACGTCGATCGCAACTTTGCTCGATGGCGATCTCGTACAAAGGCCACGTTGACCTGCCTGGGTAACAGAACGAGCAGGGCAACGCTCGTGTGATGAGAATCTTACAGACGGAAACGCTACAAGAGCTCTACGTCAGCTTATACCTAGCACTGCTACAAGGGGGCATGCAGCAGTGACAGCCCTTCCCAGAGTTCTGATACTTCAGCTTCACCAATTCTGTCTTTGAAATGGCCAATCAGCAGGGCGAAGCCTACAAGCTCGAGCGCAATACACAGGAATCCCAGCGTCTGGACTTTCAGCACCGTTTCTTCAGAGCTTTGTGGAAACCAACTACTGCATCAAACATCCATCCAGCATCTCGCAAGAAGTGTAAAAAGAGACAAATCTTTCCGCATTGCTGATGTTGGCTGCGGTACTGGAGCTTAGCTATTGGACGTCAGCCAGCAGAAGTGGGCCAAACATTCCATCGCCAGAACTCGTTGGCTTCGAAATCTCGGACTCTGGTTTTCCTTCGAAACGGACATGAACAGAAGGCGTCAAGTCCCATGTTCATGATATTACGAAGCCTCTCTCGGAAGCGTGGAAAGGGTATTTCGACGTTGCGAGCGTTCGGCATTTGAGCTATGCGATCAAGAAAGATGAACTTGAGCAGACGGCGGGCAACATAGCCTAGCTGTTGCGTCAGTCATTTTGCTCGAGAGCTTGAACAGTGAGTTTATCAGATGCTGCATAGGTCCTGGCGGCTATCTAGATGGCGTGAAGGTGATAGAACCGCTTGTTGGATGACTCCCGGGAGCGATCTGGCCTCTAGACGTGTGCATTATATCCAGCAAAAGAGGGTTGCTCGTGGGCTGATATCGGCGTGAACGAAGCAGTGTCAATTCCTACGATCTCCAACTGACGTTTCCCCAGAATGTCCACGTCCTTGCACCGGCCATGAACAACCTGGAAGCCCCCATCTCCAATACAAAAGGAAAAGCAAACACGGTAATTCACTCCAAACAGGCTCTCACCTCTTACGTGTCTTTCACGTCCAGACCTGCTCAACAGCGGAAAGCTCTTCTCAACCCGTGACGGAGAACAAAACCTCGCTCTCACAAAAGACAGGAGTGATCTTTCCACGACTCGGGGCAGCTAGAAGACGTCAGATTGCCGAATCTTCTGGGCATCGAGGGGCACTGCTGGCTCCAGCTGACGGATCCGAGCAGGTTGCTGCTGATTTTGGAGGAGCTGGAGGATGTTGTGATGGATTGCTTGATGATTTCGATCGTGGCGAGGAAAGCGTGATTTACGGAGCGAGGGAAAGACTGGATGTGTGAGAGCTTCTCGTGAGGATATTTCCTAGAGAGGTTTGCCAGACACTTTGGCATCATTCTGAGATATCCCGATGAAAACCACTACGAATATGCTACAATCAATCTCTCGGAGAGTTTGGAAGCTATTGGGATGCTCGGCATGGCCACATCAAGTGAAGTGTCTTTGTAGAAATTCGTAGAAACAGGAAAGTGCGCGTCAAGCCTAGACACGATCGCCCCTTCCTCCTTTGGCTCTTTCCCTTCAGATCATCCCGATAATAAACAGACGTGCTAAGGCATTGGTATCATCCTAGGATATACAGTATGGAGCTTCCTGCTCGGGATGTTGAGATCGTGCCTATGAACACGGTTGTAAAGCTCGATAGACATCTACATAGACATCTACATAGGCAACTATAGATATTGTCTCCTAAGAGAAGTGAGGTTTGTGAGGTGACCACGGGTGCTGCCGAGCGTTAGCGCGGTCACATGTTCAAGTTGTTTGCTTTCACACATATATCTTCAGAAAACCGCAACTTCCAAATTCCAAACTTCATCTCCAATGACACAGAACATGGCGACGGCTTCGGGACAATCTGTCCCACAAACGTGGACTTTCCTCTGCCGTGAGTGCAACCAGCACGGCGAGCGCGGCGTGAGTTATCCTCATTCCCCAACAACAGACAAGTGTGCTGACAGCCCGTAGTGCGACGGCCACGAGAAGGCTAGCCAGGCAGCTCGCTGGGGCCATGGCATGGTGGCCGTGAGATGCACTCCGTGCATCCAGCAAGGCCGTGCTTGCGTGCTGGACGCTGGCGCCAAGCGCATTGGGCCCGTCTTCTCCACCGCCAACCCTGTCGCCGGCGAGTGGTTGGTCGCAGCGACCAAGCAGCTCTACGAGGCCTACATGCCGGCCAACGGCATCCAGGACGTCAACGACGCGAGATCGATCTACCTGGACGCCGCCATCGAGGATGCCACCCACGCCACTGCCGCCTGGTCCTTGCCGCAGGGCGCCACTCTAACTGATTTCTTCGACCAGGTTGAGGTAGTCGACGCTCTCCGTGGCGGTCCAACGGCGTACCCTCTTCCGAACCGCATGCTTCCCACGTACGCTTCAGGCAGCGATCCAGCCTCCATACCAGCAGGCCTCACGCCAGCTCCGTCTTCAAGCGCAGCAGGCGGAATGCAACCACCCTTCACTTTCGGCCTCCTCATGCCCAGCAATATGCAGACCACCGCTTACACCATGCCATCGAATGTATCGACTGCACCAACTTTACGTCGCGTCGTGCCGAGCAATACCCAATCCAACACCTCCGCCATACCGCAGACCGCATCGACGGCACCAACTTCTGTATCCGGCAGACAGAACATCACCAATAACCTTCCACCGACGGCGTCGACTGCACCAACTTCTGGATCCAGCGGGCAGGGCAACACATACGCTATGCCACCCACAGCATCGACTGCACCGGCTTCTGGATCTAACGGACAGGGTACATAGCCTAGGGTAACGGATGACGGTCAAGATCTCCAGGGTGCCGACCTGCAGACAATTCTGCGCGCCTTGGGCGGATAGTAAGCACGTCCAGAGGTGGAAAAAGAGCTCGAGAAAGGGACGACTACACCTTGACGTCGCAGCAGATTGTCTCGATGACTGTTGTCACCTATGTGCTACTGTATGACTCGCCGAAGGGTTCGTTTGGGCGAGGATACTTTTAATGAACGCGGACAATCAATGCGAATAGAGGCTGAATAGAAGACAAAGTTGTCCCCTGCACTGGAAAATGTGTATTAGCGGTTCCAATAGGTCGCGGAAAATGCATCGTGCTGCCCAGATGCTGAATTCTCCCAACAGGAGGACCCGAAACGCGTCGATTTCTTAGATTTGTCGTCTCCTTGTGTTCTGATATCTCAGCCGTCCAAAATTACGCGTCGTAAACCACGGAAGGTTCTGCAGCCTGTTTGCTCCTCGGTGAATGGCAAGCGGTTTCCAAAATAGGGTTTGAGCCGAAACTCTGGTGCCTTTATGTGCTTCCAGGTCTCCCGAATGCGAGTGGCGAACTGCAGCCAGTCGAAAAGGGAACCAAGTTCCACGCACTTTCAACGCCCACCCGCCCCCAGATGAGGTGGTTATCGAATGCCGCGCGAGGCTCTACCAGCTAGGATGCCTTGCAGGTCTTCGGTATACAAAATGGTTAGTAGAAGATCGGAGCGGAACCCAAGGTAGACGCCGTAGTGAATGGAGGACAGCAGGCTTGGACCCTCGCCACCGAGATGGCTGTCGTTTTCGGCGGCGATCACGCTAGCGGCACACCTCGTCAAGGACCACGCCAGATGACATAGAAATCGCCGAGCTCCGGTGGAGGCCCGTCGTCGCGAAAGAGGGACTTATCACAGGCCGAATTGCTAGGGGACCAGTCCATTAACGAGGAGCGCCGCATAATAACACGCTCAGGCGCAGGCTGCACCCCGCGCTCGTCTTCCGCGCTAACCTCTACATTGACGGGCAGCGGCACGCACGTCACCAGCCTCCAGGGCTCTGGCTTAAAGCGCTTCACCTCCGGCACCCAACAGACTCTCACCTCGAGCACCGGAGGTTCCCTCGCTTGCGTTTGCGCTTCGTTCCTGCCCTGCAGACAACCGGAATTCTCCACGCGCTCATACAGTAAAGCAACCGAACAACAATTGCGGGTTCCTTCTCCAAGAACAAATAGCACAGACACACCATACCGCACAAGGGTTCGGGCAGCCAATGCTGCCGCCGAGCGGCCCAAGCAACGGCGGCGGCGACAACGCGCCAGGCGGTAAGGTTGCAGGAGTTGTCAAGGCGCGAAATCGGACATATCCTTGTCAGGGCTGCTCACAGACTGGCGAGTGCAATGTGAGATCATGTGCTGTGGAATAACCTGAGAGCTTTGCTGATGGACTGTAGTGCGATGGCTACAGCAAGCGCGATGTACGCTATTGCGCGGGGCCTGGGTCCGCATACCGTCACAGGCACTCCCTGTGCCCAAAAAGGACAAGGCTCGCGTCCACAAAGGCTACAATGGCGGCAAGTGTGGTGGTGGTAAGCAAGGCAAGGGCGGCGGAGGTCGCAAGTGAGGGAAGGCGAATTAGGCGAATTGCGCATACCCACTGCACCACGGCCTCTGCATAGGGTCAAGCCGCTAGCCCGTGTACCGCTTGAGCTTCACAGCAAGTGCTGTCTTGATCAAGGTGCCCTGCTGCTGCGCGCCATGGTGGGTGCGCAAGCAGATCTTTCAAGCCAATTTTGCCCCCTACATCCTTATTGCACTAACTCCTAGTCCATTTTGCTGGCTCTTGTCTCGAGTATGGTGGCGCCTGCTCTTCATAGCAGCCAGGTCGTTCCATGATACCCAGCTGTTGCTGGAATGAGGCCGATCCGCAGAGCCTTTGTGGTACGGCTCAGCGATTCTGTCAAAGCTTCCATGCGGACATCCCGTATCATTGCTTCGCTCTCAGAGCAATAACGCTTCCGGAGTCTCCAAGAGGTCGAACAGCGAGACGGCGCGAGGGATATCGATGGTTCGAGAGATGAGACCAAGACGAGATGAGGTTGATCTACGCGCCAAGAAATGCTATAGCCGCTCTATTCCCGATCTCACCCAAGACGCGCCTCCAGTCTCTCCTTCTCTCATTACTCCCGTGTTGCTCTTTCCACGCAATGAGATCCCGACCCCGCTTTTCTCCTCTACATGTTCCTCTACCTACCTACCTAGTAGTTTCCATCTTATCCGCTCGGGTAATGACAAAGGTAAAGGGGATGTTCTTGCCTCACACAGTAGGTGAAAATTCGGCTCGCTTTTGGCCGACGCCCTTTCCATGACTCCATCATGCATCAGTACATGTACAAATGTTGAGCTCTGAGCATCCTGTCCCTTTCTTGCATTCAACTTACCACAACTGGTTTACCCGCGGAATGGCACCAGTCGAGCAAGCAGCAGACTCGCAGGCCTCTGAGCGTACCAATTCGTCGGCGATGGGCCGACCGGAAAGCGTTGAACTTGAAGAGCTCACAGGCAACGAGACAAACGTTGCCCTCCGCGAAGATGTCCCTCCAGACGGCGGATACGGCTGGATTGTCACTGCTTGCGTGTTCCTCATCAACGCTCACACTTGGGGTGTGAATTCCGCTTGGGGCATATTTCTCGCCCATTACATCTCCAGTTCGACCTTTGCTGGTGCCACTCAGCTGCACTATGCGTTGATCGGAGGTCTTTCGATTTCTCAGTCAATGCTAGTGGCACCGCTTGTCTCATGGGTCAACGCAAAGCTGGGAACGAGAGCTTCTCTCTTGCTCGGCACCATTTTGGTGTCTGCATCAATGCTGGCTTCTTCATACGCCACACACATCTGGCAGCTATTCCTCAGCCAGGGGGTATGCTTCGGATACGGAATGGGTTTCCTGTACATCACTGCCTCCGCGGTCCTTCCACAGTGGTTCTCCAAACGACGGAGCCTGGCAGTTGGTATTGCTTCTTCTGGCGCTGGATTTGGAGGTCTGGCTTACAATCTGGGAGCCGGAGCTGGCCTTGAGAAAATTGGTTGGAGGTGGACATACATCGTTCTGGCTATCTCCACGGCTGTCGTCAATTTTACCTGTGCGATTCTTCTCAAAGACAGGAACCAGAACATCCAGCCAAACAAGCGAATGGTCAATGCTCGGGAGTTCGCGCATGTTTCCACATGCTTGATCATTCTCTGGGGATGGCTTACTGAGCTGGGATATGTCGTGTTGCTCTACTCGCTGCCCAACTATGCTACTTCCATCGGACTGTCAGCTCAGCAAGGTTCCATTGTGGGTGCCGTTCTGAATCTGGGTCTGGCATTTGGACGCCCTGTGGTTGGCTACTACTCAGATCGCTTCGGCCGTATCAACATGGCAGCAGCCATGACAGCGCTCTGCGGCGTCTTCTGCTTGGCCATCTGGGTCCCAGCCAAATCTTATGCCGTACTACTGGTATTCGCGCTGTTCAGTGGCACGGTAACTGGCACATTCTGGGGCACGGTCGTGCCAGTCACCGCTGAAGTAGTAGGCATCCAACGACTACCAGTTGCCTTTGGCATGATCTGCCTACCACTTTGCTTGCCGACAACGTTCGCGGAATCCATCGCGTTGCAGATGGTCTCATCCTCGGGTTACCTCAGCGCCCAGATCTTCGTCGGATTCATGTATTTAGCCGGTGCCTCCAGTGTCTTGGCCCTGCGATCTTGGAAGATGCGAGAAATCGAGGAAGACGAGAAGCGCGAGCGCGAGGGCCGAGTACCCATTCCTGTTGGCTCTAGTAGAACTCACGATCATTTCTGGCTGACGTTGAGAGGAGTTGCGGCACCTCGAAAAGTTTGACGCTCCTCGCAAGGGATGCAGAATCACATGCCCGGGCGTCGCCTAGCGCGTACGGGTAAACTGTGGAAGCCGCGAGACGAGGCGCAGGCTCACGATCTCCGTTTGCTCGGCGTTTTGAAAGTCACGCCTATCTACACCACAACACATCGCAGCCAAAATTCTCCTACTGCACATACACCGCAATGGACCACGAACGGTTCCGAGCGGCCCTCGAAAAGGCGATGGAGAATCACAAGACTGCGAGCGAGAGAAAAGGTCAAAAGCCAACGAACAAACCGAGCCGTGCCGACCTCGAGCTCAAGCTCGAGCTTCAAAAGCGCTCACATTTGGACGACAAGTTCGACGGATACAGCTATGTGTCGCAGACGGTCATCGGACATGCGTACCCGCCATGCATACTGCCTTTGTCTGGGCTGAGACCCATCCTCATCGACGAGCTCCGCCTCGAGACCGTCCATCGTGGCCGCGTCCTTGTCGTGCGTACATTTGCAAGCCCGCTGCACGTACAGTCGGTGTCGAGCGCAGTGGAAGATGGTGATGGGAACGTCGACCGGATCTCCGTCTACAATTTCGAGCGTGGATTGAAAGCAGAGCAAGTTCTTCCGAAGGGCGCCGTGTTCGCAATCAACGAGCCGTACTACAAAGTGGCTGTCGATGGAGGATACACTATTAGGGTGGATCATCCCACCGATATTGTTCATCTGAGAGAAGAGGATGTCTTGGTGCCTACGGGTTTGCGGTCGAAGAGAGAAGAGGCTGGGCAGGAGGAGACATCAGCGCAATGGAAGACCAAGGGCAATGCAGCGTTTGGAGCAAGGGACTACCATACGGCTGTTGACTGCTACTCCGCGGGCCTAGCACTCTGCGGTGACAGCTCTGAAGACCTAGTCAAATTCGACTTGTTCCGCAATCGTGCTATTGCGAACATCCACCTGGGCCGATACGAAACCGGGGCTGCAGACGCTGAAGCCGCTATCATTCCCAATTCCTGGAGCGTACATACGGCTGACTACGCCAAGAAAAATAGCAAGGCACACTATCGAGCTGGATGTGCACTTTATCATCTACAGAACTACGAGCGAGCAAAGCAGCATTTTGAGAAAGTGGTAGAGACTACACCCGGGGATGCAGACGCATTGCGCGAATTAGAACGTACGTCACACCGTCTTCATGAGCAGTCTACTGGCGAATACGACTTTCCAGCGATGACGGCATCTGCCTATACCAAACGCAAGCGACTCGATCATGCCAATTTCACGGTCAATGTTGAGATTCGCGACACCGAGAGCAAAGGCCGTGGTCTTTTCGCCGCAAAGGACATCAAAGCTGGTCAGCTGGTGCTTTGCGAGAAAGCATTCTGTGTGGCCTTCGATAGCGATCCCGAGGCTGCACAGACGGTGGTGTTGAACTTGAATACCAATAGGATGGCTCTGGGAAGACATTCTATCCGACTATTCAACGCGGTGCACAAGTTGATCCACAACCCACAGCAAGCGCAGCGATTCTTGGCGCTGTGCGATGGCGGTTATCCACGTACTGACCATGTAGTCATGGACGGCAAGGTAATGGTGGACACATTCCAGACTCAAGCGGCCTTGGAGCTCAATGGATTCGCGTGCCCTTCCGTTCCAGACGTCATGGTCACGGATCCTACGTCGCAATTGGGCTCCTCAACTGGGGTGTGGCTCACGCCCGCAGCGATCAACCACGACTGCATTGGCAACGTCAACAGAGCCTTCATTGGGGATATGATGGTCGTTCACGCTACCAAGGACATCTCACAGGATGAAGAGCTCACGTTCCGCTACAAGAACCCCAGCTTCGACAATGACCAATTCCAGAAGGACTTGCAGGAGTCGTGGAAGTTCCGGTGCGTATGCGCACTCTGCACTGCTGAAGCGGCGACTGCCGTCTCACAACGCAAAAAGCGCAGCGAGACCGCGGGTGATGTTCAGAAATTTCTCGAGACCAACGATTTCGAATCCTTCGACGAAACACCTGAAGCTGCCATTATGAAGGCCGAAAAGCTGCGGCTCAAGATGGCCAAGCTTTATGACGAGGAGCATTTCAAGGGCCTGCCACGTCTTGCGCTACAGGACTTGGACCTTTGGCTTTGCATGGCTACCACCGAGCAAGGCAGCCATGAAAAAGTCCGCAGTGCTGCGCTCGATACATTGTCCGATTTGGATTACGAGGTCAAAGTAAACGATGAAAAGGTCACCATCGACCAGCAGAACTGCATAGCCGATGAAGTGGTTGTCAAGGGGGTCATGTACCTAGCAGCTTCATATCTGCACGAGGGACAAGATCAGGTGGCTGAACAATTATGGGAGCTCGCTGTGCAGGTGTACAAGATTCTGTTTGGGTCGGTTGTCGGCTTCGAGGAGAGGTACGGATCTTGATACTGAACAGAAGAATAACGAGGAAGAGAGGAATGAATCACAGCATGCCGACTATCTGGTCTTTGCGAGTATCTCAGCACAGACCAAGGCAATGGCAAGTCGAACAGCAGCTAAAACGCGGTGGACCATCAGGAGAAGAAAGTGGTCCGTGCGCGAATTCAGTCTGGGCCGCTCGTCTTTGTTCTTGCAGAGGTTCGGGAAGCTATTGTGCCAGCGTTGACAGATGCGGCTAATAAGAAGTAACAATAAGAAGTAACTTCCCAATTGACATTTGTCTGGAGGGCCGGATTAGGCGAGCTAATGATGCCACAATAGCGAAGTAACAACAATAGGAACATTGAAAGGATGTCTTCGTGTGCCGTTCTGTTTCTTCTAGTTGCCAGAAACGTCGACACCTTGAAGAAAACAAAGAACTCCTCATCGTCTAGCCTTGCGACGGTTCGCGCGACCTATCCTGCAGCCGTTGAAAGAGAGACTCCTTTGTCTGGCAACCTCAAACGCCTTCAGCTCACAGGCCCCGGGTTACCGTTTCTCGTGCTCTTGTCAAGTTCAAAGTTCAGCCCAGCTGTATCGATCCGAAGCAACGAAAAGCTAGGAAGATGGCGCCAATCATCATAAAAGTCAAGTTGTGTCCTATACATCATCCCGGGGACCACGACAACTGGATTGTCGACATCAATCATGGCCCTAGGTGCAGAAGCTTAGATGTGAGTTTCCCTATTCCCGACTCTGCTTCTGTACTAACGTGCTCAGGACGTAAGGGTTTACATTATGTATGCCTTCGCGAGAGAACGGACTGGCAGCGAAGACTTCCCACCGGAACTCCTCGACTTTGATCCGGCACGACAAAGAATGAATTTGCATAGCCGTTCGGGTGGCTGTGGCAGCACGCTGAGTCTCGAGGTGATCATGCTGAACCATATATGCACCGATTTGTATGACCCGGACGCCAGGGAAGACAGGCTCAGGGTGATTTACATTCACATTGATGACTTGCCAGGGACGAATAGGGGTACTCCAAAGGGTGCGGGTGGGGAGAAGAGGAGTGGAAGATCGCAACGAGAACAGCCGCAACGACGGGGCGGAAGGGACGAAGACCGAAGCGGAGCTAGCCAGAATGACAACGGCGACGACGATGTGCCAGATCCTACGCACGCCGCAGGTGGAGGACCACTACCGGAGCAAACTGACAGTGAAGACGATGAGGACGATGAGCCTGTCTCACCACTCAAGCGCGGAGAGAAGTTCCCCGAGGACAATGACAGCCGTACGTTCGTTCGAGTCGGCCGACTTCCACCAGAGGACGATGTTCACCATGACCCTGCGCACGACCCAAGCGATCCCGAGTACTCCCCGCGGATCTCGATGAACGTCGTGGTTGTGGCGGTGAGATCCAAGGGAGACAAGATGTCCTACTTGGCCGTGGAGAGTTGGAACATAAACTCTCGTCAGGTCGGAGACTACGCTTCGGCGGATGAGTATGCCAGGTCCCGTGATATCCCGGGACTGGTGATAGACCCGTTCTGGAGGAAATATGAGAGAAAGCTCTCCCTGTCGCAAAAGGTGGTTAAATGGATGGACGAAGGCGCGGAGCCTCCGCCAGTGGACGATCCCGAAATTTCTGGCGGTCCACTGTCAGCTCCGACGAATGCTGTTGGCTCAGGAGGTCCTCGAAATGGCGGAGGAAGTCGAGGACCACCACAGAAGACAAAATCGAAACTGAGCAAAGGCAGTCCCCAGCAGAGATCACACGAGAGCCCGATCAGGGGGCCAATCAGGCCAATTCATAACGACGAGACCCCTGGACAATTCTTCCAAACGGATCATAATCTCAGAAACAAACACGCCGGGGGGATATCTGCAGTGATCTGCTTCCGAAACACAGTGGCGGACGTCGATCTCGGACTGGCGACGAATGTGCAGGCGGGGCTGAACTGGCGAGAGAGCTATGCGAGCTTCCGAAGGTTCATCAAGAGGGAGCCGTTTCCCGAAACGACGCGGTCTTCCCTATGGCAGAGACTCCGGCATAAGACATTCGATTGGTGGACCGACTTTGAGATCTGGGTCTTACCTCAACGCCGTCGTGACGAAGGGCAACCACCTCCGCGGGAAATGTTACGGTGGCGTCCTGGAGTCGGAATTCGAGAGTTTCTTGATGCTGAGGGGGTTGAAACTTATGGAAGACAGCTGTACATTGAAGTTCGGCTGGTTGAAGATGGGTACGCGGAAGACAAGGACAAGGTCTGGGTGGGCAAAACGTACAGCTATGGCGGCGAACGTACTGTCGCTTATGGATTCCGAAGGACCGTCAAAGCGTCTTTTTCGCTTCTAGATGATAGCGATGATGACAAGACCGCAACACAACAGACTGTCCCTGGACAAGCCGGAGCAGGTCAAAGCACTTCACGTACCAAATCTAAACAGGGAGGCACGGCGTCGAAAGCAACACAGCAGAGGCCTCCTCCTAGTGGCCCATCACGACAGCAGGCGGGGCGGAAGAGAACGAGGCAGAGCGATGCACCGCAAGATGCAGCGAGTAAAAGGCCTCGAAAGGGGGCTACACGGCAGACCGCAGTGACAACTACAAGCCGCCAGCAAGCGAACATACCGAAACGGAAACCACAAAAGGTCCTACGAACCAAGCAGCGATAAAAGGATCGGCCTCTCATACGTGTCTAGTGCCTTCAAATGGCAGTAAACTCAAACTTCCTTTCCCATCTCCAAAACCCACGATCATACCTCCACAGAGCCAGCCCCTCCGCTACGCCGCGATCACCTCTGAAGCTCGCTGTCAGATCTTGAAAAGCATCATCCACTTCCACTTCATCATCCACTTTGTTCATCAAAGTATAATGCAGCCGACAGCCCCCGGCATCCTGCTCACTCAGAAAACCCTCTCCCCTCCAAGCATCCTGCAGCTTCTGATGCACCCGCTTGCCCTGGCTCCCACCCGCGCGAGCCGCTACGTTCACAGCCACGCCGCGCTTCAGACGGAAAGGGTTGTCCGCATAGACATCGAATTTCGAAGTCCGAGACGCCACTTCTCGGATCGCGGGCAGGATGTTGGATTCCAGTCTGCTGCCCGGCAAGGCGTGGAAGAGGGTCAGGTGCGCGGCTAGCTTGTTGATGCGAGGCGGGAAGTATCTCCTCCGGAGGGCTGTCATGCGATCGTGGTGTGGTTTGTCGGTTAGGAGGGTTAATACGTAGAGGGTTTCCTCTTCTGAGCCGGTCTGGGGGATGTGCGAAGGCGATGGTGCTCGCGGGAGAGTCTGTGGTGGTGGTGGTGGTGGTGGTGGTGGTGCTGATTCTGCATGGGCGTTGGTATCCTCTGTCCTCTGTGAGATCGCGTTCCTGGAAGGAGGATCGCTTTTGATGTGCACGTTTCTCGAGGCTGCTGCTGAATAGCTCAAAGATGGAGGATTTGACATTGTCAGAGAAGTCCAAAACTGTAGCTGTAGGTGGAGTGATTTTGCAAGGAGAAAAGGATCTCTCATAGATTTTCTTTTGACTATTATGATATCAACTCGTGTATTTTCCACAGTCTGATGAAGGTTGTAGGGGAAGTCTTGACGTAGTTGCCCTTAAGAGGTGATCGGGCCGACTGTCGTCGGGGAAATATTCTTCCGTCGAGAATTCCTTCTCCCATTCACAGATTGACCATGCGCCTACCGGTATCACTGACAATGGACATCATCAAGCGTAAACAGACTATACCGCAAGTGAGCACGGAGTGGGTTTCCATCTCGCAGACCATCTCACACGCGTCTTTGATTATATTTTTAAGTTACGCGCCGGGGCTGGCTGAGAGACGTAAAGAACTGACTCTGAGAGAGCGGGACGTTTCAAGGATGTTGCGGCCGATGGTACCTATCTTGCACAGTCAGCAGGTAGAGAACCTGGCCTCGCCGACCAACATCTCTGACATCGAGTGTGTCGTTCGTCTCTAGGCGATGAATGGTTGTGTTGTTGGAAACGCGACTGTGGACTCTGATTGTGTTGTTTCCGAGCGCTGAAAGAGAACCTCATCGCCGTGGTGAGTATCTGCCAAGCAGATGGCTGTGGCATCGGAGTATGAGGTGGGTGTTGCCGGTCTCCTGCGTAATACTGCACCTGCCGGTAATTAAATCTATTCCAACCTGAGGCTAAGATTATCTAATTGGCAGAAAAGAAGGTTCAGCACGGCACAAGCACGGATCGCATGGAGATCTGCCTCTAGCAAACTCTAATTCCACCTCCTTTCCCGTCCTCCACCTCCTCCAGTTCCTCCTCCTCCGCTTCATCATCATCAATTCCCTCGGAGACAGCGACGTCAGCAGATATCCCGAGCTTATACTGCCGCCAGCTCATTGTAGCGATAGCTAATGGGAAAAGATCGGGGCTTGCGAATCCTGGAGGCCATCGATTGCGCGCCCATCTGGGAACACTGTCTGCACAGACATGGAAATCCGGTGCTTGCAATGCCATCGTGTTAGCGCCAGATGTCACTGACTACGGACGCCATTTTGGACAGTCTCGTCTGCCGCTTGCCTTTTTTCGGCTCTTACCGCAACCTAATCAAGACAAGCCTCCAGGAGGCGTCAAAAGAGGAAATGAAGTTGCTGCTCCGGTCTGGACTTTGTGGACGCCTTCCGACTTCACCTCCTCTGTTCCGCAGACAACGACGCTACGGCTTGCTTTGCGACTCGCTCTGCTCTGGAGTCCGGACGCTCGCTGATGGCGCTTATCTCTTCTCTCCCTAGTTGCTGTAGGATGCTCGCAACGGTCGCTCATGTCGCTTCGCATGCCACAGCACAACGACGAATAGCCACTCCGGTGGGGCCGCGCACCTCTCGTGAATCTTGATGAGAGGAAGGTCCGCCAGATGGCCCTGCCTTCCACGTGAAGCAGGAGGTTTATCACCGACTTCCCACGTTTCTAGCTCTGCTTGTTCTTGGAATCTTCCTTGCTGATCGCCTGCTTCCAACTCTCTCTTCGTTGTGAACCAACGTTCTTTTCTTTCTCCTTCTAACTGATATGTTTTGAAGAGGTCATCGTTCGTTTTGACGGTCCCTTCGTCCACTCGCTCATTGTCCACCCTCACCTGCACCATCGCCGCGGTCTCCACTCGTTCGGCCCGGCATGTTCGCCTTGATGCTTGTTCTTTCTCTTCTTTTCGCTCTTTTTGTTGATGCTAATGTCCTTGATCTTGAGTATCCTCCGGTGGTGAGCACATCGAGCAGCAGCAGCAACGTACTCGTGAAAGTTGCAACTCCAGTTTCGACCGGGATAACGCATAACTCTGCGAACGACACTGGCTTTCCATCTCCAACGGGCAAAATCTATCCCACTGGAATTTTCCCACCAAGGATCACTACAGTGCCGCTCGTCAGCGTTTCGGGGGGCTACATTCCCGTCAACCACAACTTCACGGTTCCGTACTTCAACCCGCATTGCCCAGGAAATGCCACGCACATCCATCATGGGACTGAGCCATGCGATTGCGGGGATGACCACGCCCCGACGGCTGTGGCTTCTTCGGGATCTCCAGTGAACAGCGCAAACGCGACGACGAGTCGAGCAATACCGTCTTCTGGCCCACCAGTCAATAGCGCAAATGCAACCACCAGCGCTTTCATGACAGGGACCGGCTATCGAGCCCCAAGACTACAAAATGCAACAATCACCACTGTCCCTCTTACAAGAGTTTCTGGCGGATATATTCCGATTCAGCACAATTTCACCGTTCCTTATTTCAATCCACACTGCCCGGGAAACAAAACCCACGTCCACCATGGGACCGAACCGTGCGACTGCATAGACGACGAGCCAACGGCTCTTCCATCATCCGGATTCCCGGTAAACAGCGCAAATGCCACCACAACCAGCAGATCTGTACAGGCGAGCCCGATCTCGAAGCCTTCCTCGGGCGTTCCGGTCAATAGCGTCAATGCCACAACAAGTCACTTCATGACCGGTACTGCGCCAGCGCCCACCCGAGTGCCGTTGGTCAGCGTTTCCGGCGGATTCATACCAATCAACCATAACTTCACTGTTCCTTATTTCAATACGTAAGTCATTCCTCGTCTGTGGAAACGCTTCCTCTAACGTCCATTCAGTCACTGCCCAAACAATCCCGGTCACGTCCATCATGGAACTGAGCCTTGCGATTGTGTAGATGAGCCAACTGCCCGGCCATCCTCAGGTGCGCCGATAAACAGCGCCAACGCGACCGTAAGCCGCTTCCTGACAGGAACTGCTCCTCGCCAAACGAGCCGGTTCTTGACCGGTACAGCACCTCAACCGACCACCGTCCCTCTTATGACTATCTCTGGTGGCTATATCCCGATTCACGCGAACTTTTCTGGCCCTTACGTCAACACTCACTGTCCAAACAACCCACACCACGTTCATCACGGAACCGAGCCCTGCGACTGTGTGGACGCGCCCACAGCCCGACCCTCGTCTGGAATGCCAGTCAACAGCGCCAATGCGACGACCACACGAGCGCCAAGCATGCACCTATCCACTGGGGTCTCAACACCAAGCAATACAACAGCAGCTGCTCCTTACCCATCGAACACACTATGTCCAGAGAATGACGGAAGCACCATCACTGACGACAAAGGGGCCAATTATCTTGTCACCTGCAACACGGCCTTCACCGGTATTCAAATGTCCATTGCTAGCACCCTTCGACTCCGTCTGCGACAGAGTGGTGATACAGCTAGCTCTTGCATGGCTCTATGCGACAAAGAAGACTCCTGCAGCGGTGCCAACGTGTATGCGAACAATACATGCGAATACTTCAGCGAGATCGACAACTTTATGGACTTCGCCGGCTCAATTGCTCTGTACAAGATAAGCGGTCCACCAGTGCAAGTCAGCAGCACGTCCGCCGCTACTTCGGGACTTCCAGTGAACTCGGCGAACAGTACCGGTCCCGTCACCTCAAGCGTGCGAGCGAACACGACTTCTGCCGCTGTGATACCGTTGAAGAGCGTGTCTGGTGGTTACATTCCTATTCCGGCCAACTTCACGTTGCCCTATTTCAATCCTCACTGCCCGGGCAACAAGACCCACGTCCACCACGGAACAGGGCCTTGCGATTGCGATGATGACGGCGAGCCAACTCCAGCGCCGAAACCGATACCCAGCACAGGGTTCATTGTATCTGCGAATACTACCACTCCCGTTCCTGGACCGACCGCCTACCCGGGAACGATCTCGCACTCGATGCCTGCACCACACACTGCTCCTCCGGCTATCAACCTTACCAGTGTCTCGGGAGGCTACATACCCGTCAAGGCCAATTTTACTGGCAGCTATCTGAATACGCACTGCCCTGGAAACAAGACTCATGTCCATCATGGCACCGAGCCCTGCGACTGTGGAGCTGACGATCACGTTCCCACCGCGCACCCGAGCTTTGGCTTTCCTCGACCAAGCGCCAACGCTACCACTACCTCTTCGGCACCCATCCAGACTTCGCAATCCACATCTGAGAGCAGCACTGTATCGATTGTCAGCTCGACCTCGACGTCGTCTTCAGTAGTCCCAACAAGCACCTATCCACCAGTCTGCCCCGGCAACGATGGCCAGTCTTTCACCGACGACTCCAGCGCTGAATACACGGTACATTGCGATACTTCGTACACAGGAACCGTTATTTCTCCCGCGCTTAGGCGACGAGCAGCTACAGATTCGACTCAAGAGTGCATGGCCGAATGTGATGGACTGGAGGCTTGCGTGGCCATCACCTTTGCACCCGGTTCGTGCACGCTTTTCAGTGCCATCAATGGCACCTCTACGAGCCCAGGAGCGGTGGCGGCGTTGAAGACAGATGCAGAGACTATCAGCAGTTCGTCGAGCAGCACCCTTTCGACCTCAACGTCATCTTCTACTCTACTGTCGACATCTTCTACTCTCCTGTCGACATCTAGCACTTCGACTTTCACGGTCAACCAAAGCACGACTTCAGCTCCGGTGGTTTCACTCACAAGCGTCTCTGGCGGCATTGTACCTATCGACCCACACTTCACGGGCAGTTACCTGAACACACTATGCGCCAGCAACCACTCTCATGTCCACCACGGCACGGAGCCCTGCGATTGCGGATTGGACCTGCCAACAGCCGGATTTGGCCTTCCTCCGACTTCGTTGCCCGTCTTGGCTAGTTCGACCGATGCGGCCGTATCCACGAGTGTTGCTCCTACCGCAGCGGCACCAGTAACCACTTCGGCACCACTCAGCACGTCCTCAAGCAGCTCCAGCTTGTCTACTGCCCAAGCTACTACGTCGACATCACTCAGCATGTCTTCCAGCAGCTCCGGCTCGTCCACCGCACCAGTCAGCACATCGACATTCGTGTCGTCCGCAGTAATCACTTCAGCGCCGGTGGTTCCATTGACGAGCATCTCTGGTGGAGTGGTGCCAATTGATCCGCACTTCACTGGTAGCTACTTGAACACCCTCTGTCCCGACAACCATAGCCACGTACACCACGGCACAGAGCCCTGCGACTGTGGATTGGATCTTCCCTCGACGAGTGCTGTACACGCAGAAAGCACCACTCCCACTGTCGCGGCGATCAGCACGACCTCTGGAAGTAGTGTTGCTTTGCAAAGCTCGACTGCTTCGCCGTCTAAAGAGACGACATGTACTACAGAGTCGCACAGCTCTACTTCCTCAAAGGCGGCTGAGACGACTACTCAGAAGACAACTCAACAGGCGGCTGAAGCGACGAATCAGAAGACGACTCAGGAGCCAGCTAGCACTTCGACCAAGAGCGCAGCCAAGACCACGAGCAGCAAGAGCGCGCCTACGGAAGCGCCGAATCACGGTGGCTTTCCATGGGGTCACAAGAAGCCAGACACTTCTGCGAAGCCCACTACTTCAAGCAAGAGTAGCGTCAAGCCATCAACCAGCAGCGACAAGCCAACGACTAGCAGAAAAGCAGCTCCAGTCGGATCTTCGCCAAAGCCTGCTCCAGCTCCTGAGTCGCCCACAGCGCAGGCACATTCGTCGAGCACATCGCACTCTACCTCTACCTCAAGCATATCAACATCGAAGTCATCGTCATCGTCGTCTACGAGCACCTCTTCCGTCACGCCAATACCCACTATGCCCCCAGCTTGTCCCTCCTACGATGGAAAAGTCTACAGCGACGCGAAGAGTCAGGAATACAATGTGGTCTGCGGCACAGCCTACTCGGGACGCACGATTCCCGCGAAGCACAAGCGCGACTCACATGTCTCTGACGCGGATTGTATGGCTTCGTGCGATGCCATCGATGCTTGCGTTGCGATAACACTCGTCTCCGGCCAATGCTCGCTGTTTAGCGAAATCTCTGGCTCGGCACCCGTGAGCGGAGCCACTGCCGCCAAGAGGGTGTCCAAGATTGGTAGCTCGAAGAGCAGCAGCAGCAGCACTTCCTCTACTGTCTCATCGACATCTTCGACGGCTACCATGGCACCTACCGTCTCTGCCTCGACAAGTGCTCAGCCTTCGTCCACCTTCTCGACAGTGACGAAGCAATCCACGTCAACCAAAGCTCCGACACCAGCCAACACACCGGCTCCCGCCCAGGCTCCCCCGAAGCCTACCCAACCACAGGCAGCGCCGCCTAACCACGCCAACTGGTGGCAATCCTGGTGGGGCGACATGTCGCATTGGTTCGGCGGCAAAAAGCCCGACAACAACAACAACAACAACAACGACAACAACAAGAAGCAGCCTCAAGGCCAAGCGCCGCCGCCGCCACCTCCTAGCTACGGCAGGTTTGGATTTGGATATAAAGCGAAGGCGAAGGCGAAGGCGAGGAAGGAGTAGTAGAGATTGGAGGAACGCGATGTCTTAATACGTACATTGACGACCTGACTGCATGATGGCCTCGCTCGCTTTTTTCATAGAGCTATTGTACACCATTGGGGGTTTTTTGTTTGGCACGGATGTAATGAATACCCGTAAAATAAAATAAATGTCTTTTGGAAGGGGGAAGGGGGGAGAGATAGAGAACCAACAAATATATGCCGTAGATAATGTTCATATCCGTTCTCCCGCGGGCCGATTGTGGCGTTTGAAATTCTTCATCTCTTGAGGTCCGGCAGACGATGTGCAACTGGCTAGTTCTTGGGGCTGGGGCGGGGGATGAAGTGAAGTCGAAGTAAAGTTGGGCTGACCGTTCCAGTGAGGAAGGCTCGTGCCTCTATTGCGGATCGAAGTCTGTCTGCCTCAGGTATAAAATTCAGGAGTCCAGGGCAGAGATACAATGGAAGCTGCTCGTAGTATTATTTATGCCATGACGTTTCATCGGGGGCCACATGATACCAACTCGCCGCAGCTGCGAGAGTCGAGGGAAAAATGGCAGAGCGTGGTCAAGAGCATGCGGGGAACCACGCTCGGAAACTCCTTGTAGTCACGGCAAAAGAATCCAGGAAAACTCCTTAGACAGACGCGGTTGGCTCAGCAGAGTTGATGAGATGCAGAAGACAGAAACGCAAGCTGAGACTTCGGTGTCTCTTACCTCGGATCCAGTTAGAGACCAGGTAGAATGCATCATGTGACCTTGGCCGGTAAGTGAATGCTTGTGGGTCGCCGGCGACGAGCGTTTATTAGGTAGACGGCCTTGGGCGCTGAGAGCCAGGGATTGGGTAAGGGAGTCAAAGTGGTGTGTGGGTGAGGGTGAGGGTCCAATGTGCGGGTGAAGACTTCTTTCCGAGCCAGTTGTACCTGTCGGGCCCTGCTTGTCCTGCTTGTGAGAGCCGGGGGGACCTTCACATGTTCTTGCAAGTGGGAGAGATGGTTCGTGCGGCGACGCGGATCGTCGGCTCCCATGGCTGCGACGGTGCGGCATGAGGCAGCGACGAGTGTAGTAGTGTGTAAGGGAGTGCATGCCATGATGCCTGGCGTTCAGATGATCCGGTCGACATGGAACAACGCTGCCACGTCCAGTCAGCCGGAAATAATGTCCCCATCACTTTCCTCACACATAAGACCTTAAAGGCTCCCACGCTTCCTTAGCTTCGGTGATATTTCCTAGCATACACATCCATATCCACATCCACATCCACACACACATCCACAGATACGTCCACCTACACATCCGGCATTCCAATCAATGGTTCGCCGGGAATCGGATAGTACTTCGAGTAGTTCCGGCGACAGTGACAGCGGCGGAAGCAGACGACCGCGAAGAAGACTGCGGGGACGAGCCCGGCTATTCTCTCATCCGACGCTGTGCTCCGACGTGTCCGAGGTGACGATGTAAGCTCCGGCCTTCCGTACTGCCACGGGCATTCTACCTTACCTAACCTCGCTTCACATCCCATACCTTACACACCACTAACTTGGCTACTGGCCAACAGTCTCACAGCAGTCACCATGGACGCCCGAATCGATCGCGATGCCGCCCTCAAGCAGCTCAAATCCCAAACTCGCATGCCCACGCAGACCTGGTATGAGTGGTAAGTCAACACCACCTTCCTTCCTTCCATCTATCCATCTTTCTCCTCCTCTCTACGCTCGTCATCGTCACCCGTTGGTAAACCATCAAACTAACAATCCACACAAAGGTTCTGGGGCATCAAAAAGCACACCCCCGCCCGCCCGACCGACGCCGCGACTTCCACCGCCCTCCGCGACGCTTTCCGCCAAATGCTCGACCAAATCGAGCCGCCCGACGTTTTCAAGCCCAGCGAAGTCGCGCAGCTCCTGTCGGATTCGGATCTCAACTCTCTGGGGTACGAGAAGTGGGAGGAAGCGCTGCCGGGCGTTTATGAGCTGGCCTTTGAGCTGCGCGAGTTCGGCGACTGCGAGATTCTGCGCAAGGGCGTGGTGGTGGGCGACGAAGTGGGGATTAGGGATCTTGAGGGCCCGATTCGCATTAGGAGGGTGGTGATGTGATGTGATGTGAAATGGCGTGCGCGGGAGATCATCGTCGATGTTGGTCTGTTACGGTTGGATTCACGAAGGGCCCTTGGGGTGCAAGAGTTACGGACGATTCTTCATACCACGAATGCGGAATTTCTATTCAGAGCACGGGGACGGGATATGGTGATGGTGATGGCTATACCACGACTTCAACACGGACTCCGTAAGACAGCGAGCTGCTCCCTCTTTCCCCTACAGTGTGCCACCTTACACTCTGGGTACTGGCTCCGAATACCGAATGGTCTCCTCCTAGACAAGAGAGGTTTCCTCCGCGCGCCTCTGCAGGCGGCCGAAAGGGCGGTCGGTTGTCCTCATCTCGTCAACATGTGCGTGTTAGCGCTCGCACGCATACTTGTCGGTTGGATAAGCCTATTTGTCGAGTCTAACGGTTGTCGAGCGAACGTGGATCCTCATTGAGCGCCAGCACCCGAGCTCGGCGTCACTATCCCGGTGAAGAACACCCTACCCGAAACGACGACCACAGGATGTCACGAGTGCAAACCACAGTCGCATCAGGACCCGACTGGGCAGAGCATCCCGTCGGTAGTGTCCGCAATCACTATGGAGCAGCGTCGCAAGGTCTTGGCTGCATCTATCCCTATGGGACGTGGAAGAGTGGAAACAAGAAAGCTGTGCCTATTAAAGTAGGCCATCAGGACGAAGGAGAGGTAGGTACGATCCGGCTTCTCCATTCCTTCGAGCCGAGCCGGACCATCATGTCTTCCTCCATCTTGCTATCCGTTGCGCTGGCCTCATCTTCTTCCCTCGCTCAGTCTGTCTCGGGCACTCCACCCGGCTTCGCAGCTCACACTCCTGAGGGACCATCACGCCCTCTACCATGGACGAGCTGACCTCGTACCCCACCTCATCGGACCCCCTCGCCATCGTTCTGTCGCAAGAAGTTCGACATCACTGGCACCGAAGGCACCACCACCCGCGAGACGGGGCCGCGCTCCTTGGGAAACAGTCGATGCTTGTCAACCAGCCATCAAACGCTAGCGACTGACTTGGCGACAACCCAACGGTTGGTTGAGGTGACTTACCTACCTTCTCGTCCCAAGGCAGCACCTTTCGACAACGTCGCTATGCCGGAGTAGGAGTTCGCTGGTTCTCCGTATGCTCCTCCTAGCAGCGACAGTGCCTGCCTGTGAGAGCGCTTTGGGACGTGCCCGCGCGGCGCATCCGTTCACTTGCGCTGGGAGTCTTTCACGCACGGATTCGAGTGTGCCGAGCCAGTTCCTATTGCGGACGCGGATGCTGGTGCTAGAACTAGTGCTAGTGCTGTGCTGGATGGATAATGCTGGTGTTTGGGAAAGTTCTTGAGCGAAGTTGCGAATCGAATCTGTATACACGTATTGATTGATCGAACATCTGCAAGGAATGTCAGCGTACTTATCAGCACGCCTCTGCTTTTCTTCGCTCGCTTGCTTGCTTTCCCTTTCAATCGCAATGCCTGACGTCTTTCTTTCTTCTTCTTCAAGAGCCACAGTTTCAATCTCGACAGGCCCACCTTATGGGGCCTAACCTGTTGCTGACAGACCGAAGACGAAGTCTCTGGCCAATTTACAACGTCTAAAGCAGCAGCAATGGCAAAAGTCACGCCGCGCCGCTCGTTTCTACCCGTCGTGCACGCTTCTGACAATTTCCCCTACGGCCCGGTGGACAGTGCCTACTACTACCAGCTCTTCCTACCAGACGACGACGAACCGCACGGATACATGCTCCCGGCCATTGTAGATAAAATGCCCTGGACTGCCGCTTTCGCCATCAGCCACGAGCCGCCGCGGAGCGTCAGCGTGCGGGACCGCTCGTCGAAGAAGGGACAAAACGCCGCGTGGGCGGTCAATGTCGCTTTTCAGGAACTCGTAGACGCGTGCATCGCGCGCGACAGCTTCCATGTGCTGGCCGGGCGGCATAGCGAGCCGTTCGCTGTGCTTGGCGCTCGGTATGATTCCCCCGTTAGTGTGGAGCGCTTCGCGACGACGCTGTTCGGCTTGACGACGCGCGGGGTGCATCTGGTTGCGTACACGACCGGCATGGGGATGGGAACGGGAGTGGAGAGAGAGAAAGAAAAGGAAATCGACAAGATCTGGATCGCGCGTCGTGCGAGGCACTTGTATTCGTACCCGGACATGCTCGATAGCACGGTGGCGGGGGGCTTGAAAGCGGGCGCACTCCCCTTGCAAGCCATCTTGGAAGAAGCCGATGAGGAGGCGTCCTTTGCGGAAGATTTCGTTCGCGAGCAGATCAGGTCTCGTGGTGTGCTTTCGCATATGAGCGTTACGGGCAAGGGGATGCCGGGGGAGCAGGGCTTGGTCAATCCGGATTATATCTATGTGTATGATATGGAGCTGCCGGGCGACGTGGTGCCGAAGCCGCAGGATGATGAAGTCAATCGGTTCTATGGCATGACTGTCGACCAGGTCAGAGAAGCGTTGCTAAATGGGGAATTCAAACCGGACTCGGGAGCCGTGTTGGTGGACTTTTTCATTCGGCATGGGATTGTTACCCCGGAGAATGAAGAGAATTTCGTGGAGATCAATATGCGGCTGCATAGACGACTGCCCTTCAGGATCGCCTGAGGGATCGGGCGGGCTTTGCGCCTTGTCGGGCATCTTTCAGCAACACCTGGTTGCAGCAAAGATGGCAAGAGTCTGTCTGCTCCACGAGCTCCGCGAGGTCGACGATTGAGGTCGACGATTGAGGCGCTGATTGCGAGATGGTTGCCGTTGCTCGTCGTTGATGGGAAGAAGGGCTATGACCAGAGCAAAGCCATCGGTATGCTCCAGCCACAGCGCAGAAGAATGCACCAATCAATAATCGACCTCATTTTTCTGGATGCGCATTTTCCTCGGTGCTGTACGGGCCTGATGAAGTAGGCACGCTTGTGCTTGAGTTTGAAAAGCTTCTACCGAGGCAAAGGGTACAGAATGTGGGCGGAAGTGCAGGTCTCGTCGCACGCGTCTTCGCGTCTGTATGGGATCGGCCGCGGCTTGATAGAAATGTCGCGAGTCAGGACGAGCATATCCTGGCTAAGCATCGTGGTGTATTTAGAAATGATGGTGTGGTTGTTCGTTTCGAAAAGGACGGATGCCGCTGGGCTTCTCAAGGGTATTGAACTGGAGTGCTTGGTCTTCGGGTCTGCATTCTGTCCGCTGATTCTCGGGGTGCACTGGAACATCAAGTGAGGAATCCTCGGCATCATAATGATGCCTACACCTGACGCTCCGCCGATAAGATCACGTTTTATCTCATCAAGATATCCACAATGGTTCATTTGATTCGACATCTGGCGGTACAGGCTGTGCGTTCGCTCCAGAAGCCCAGGATGCGTGGTCGGGCTCGAGACGGTCTGGGAGAACCTTAGCAGCCCTATAACAAGATCCTATACTCTCAATGGAGAATAACCAAGAGTCTCGGCGGTGTATTGGAGAGCATAGCACGGGATTGAAGAAGCAATGTAGCGCGGTTGGCTCGCGCTGTAATCAATCAAATGCCAAGCTCAAAGGGCGGGGAGTGTGATTCGTAAAGCATCATCATGATCAATCTCAAACCGTCAGCCTAGCGGACGAGCCGCCGCAAGCTCTGCGCGGCGAAGGAGGTCTCGGCATGCCGATGGCGTAACGCGGCCGGATTGCTCGGGCACGCGATGCCGAGGTGTCTGCGCGGTACTTCTCATCACCAACATGTAGTAGTAGGTACCTGTGGTCGATGACCTGTGGTACACTTTCCGACAGTTGGGAGACTTTGGGTGTTTTGTGCTTGGGATTGGTATGGCGACTCAGTGACAAGCAGGACTGCTCGTAGCATAGCGACTGCGTAGGCACGTCTTTGGGTCAGGGGCAGATGGCAGGGCAGATGGCAGGGATGGCGTGGTCAACTCTGTATCAACTTCACCTGCCGCCATCCAGTAAGCTGTCGAAGTCGAAGGGGGTTGGTTGCATGTGAATTTGCCACGGTCCGCCGTGGCCGTGGAGTCGGTATGAGGGTGCAGCGTGGCGAGTCGCGACGAACAGTGGCCCCAGATGGTCATGTCACCGGACCGGTCATCATGTGTTTGCGGAAGGGTATCTTGGGCACCCACTCAACCACTTCCAATTGCTGGCGGTGGTGCTCACACCAAACCACCGCCACCGACGACGACGCAGACGCAGTCGCAGTCGCAGGTGAGCATTATTGTTCACGCACTTGTGCACGTGGTGACGTCACACACGGTGGACGTCTCCCAGCCAAGCCGCACTCCGCGACGGAGCAACCGGGTTGTACCATGTACCCGGACCCACTAAGCACTCCTCAAAATCGTCAATGCTTCTCAGCAGCACTTGTCAGCAGCACTTGTCAGCAGTACCTGTGAGCAGTACTTGTCAGCGAGCATCGGAGATTGACAGGAAGATATCGGATCCTTTCCCAAAATCGCCTGCTCCAACCTAATCGTGGTCCCTCCGAAGGTCGCCCCGGAGCTAGAGGAATGTCAGCCAATCAGATGTCTCTCCATCGAGGCAGGCGCCATTCAATTGGAAGGCAGGCGCCATCGGGGCAGACTAGCGCGTGGTACGGCGTTCGGTCGAGAGCTCCGGCCAATCAGGGCACGCGGCGTGCAGGAGGAATGAGTGGAGCAGTGGAGCAGTGGAGCAGTGGAGCAGTGCAGGTGGAGACTCGGAGGGCTGGGCTCCGGGCCGCCTCCGCCTGTTGCTCAGACCCGCTCCGACCAGCTGCAGCTGCCTACTGTACAGTACTGTGGTACTGTACCTACCTTACACCAGGGATCCCGGTTGCTGCTGACATCCCATCCCCGCTAGATCTCCCCGCTGCCGAAGGCTGCCCTCCCATTACCACATGTTCCACCTCTCCAGCTGTGCATGCGTTCGTTATTCGCCGGGGAATATTCATTCGCTGTGTCTCGCCGGCCAGGCCGACGAAGGAAGAACTCTCCCACGCTCATGGCGCTTCCGGGTTGGCGCTTCCTTCCACTGAGCTATATGGCGCTGCCGCCCGCCTCCTCCCCATCCATCGTCACACAAGCCTCCCACTTGCATTGGACATGAATGCTCCTCATCATCACTCCGACATCCAACAATCACTCAACGCATGCCGGTGCTGTAGCGCCAGTCCGGACTGGATGAACGCGATTTGCCGTGCCACGGTGGAACCGACGCAGACACAGGCCAAGTGACTGCTGACCCGGAGAGGTGCTCGCCGCGCTCACCCATGCCATGACGGAGATGCGACTCTGCACGCAGCTGAGCCTCGACGACTTCCTCTGCATCGATGGCCTGACCGGTGTCACCGTCCTGCCCGATGATACCCGCCGAAACTTCTTCCGCCATCTCGGCCTCCAGGAGCACAACTACCGCCATCGCCTCTTGTATCGGAGGATGAAGCAGGAAGCCCGCGTCGCCATGCAACGACTCTTCGACACGCGCGATTCCTTGCGCCCAGAACTCATCGACGACGAGACTGTCACTGTACCCTACCGGCTCGACCAAATCGCAGAAACGGCCTTTCAAGTCCAAGTCGAGGAGATCTACAGGACGGCATCTCGTCAGACGCGAGGCATCTACGACCTTACTAACACCGGCGATGGGAGGCACTGGGTCATTCGCTGGATGCTGTGGCGTATCGTGCGACAGAGCGAGGGTCAAGATTATCAAGCGACCAGCAGCGGGGCCGAGTCGGACTATTCAATGCTGTCGACATGCTCCACCGCGACCGACTATCCCAGCGTTCGGACCGATCACCTCAGTCCTCCTTGGTCCAGTCCACTCTGGATGCCGAGCCGATTGACTCCTCACGATTATAGCGATAGCGAGGATTGGGAGGAGCCCCCACCAAAAGCCATCAAGCTGGACCCCGACGACAGAGTCTTCATCAAGCCCGCCATGCCGACACCCAAGACAGCTTACTGGGATCATGTCATGGGAAACACCTGACCCCAGCTGTCTCTTTGGAAACTGCAGTCGCCGTGAGGAGGAGCGTGGACGTCTGGGTCTTGGTCGAAGTTGCATCAGGACGATGTCCATCGCTCGAGCACGGCTTGAAACACCTGACTGGATGCCGCAGGAGTCGTCTCCAGTGCCATGCCTGTGACAACATGGTCACGAGAGTGATCGATGTCCTGCGCCCGGTCAAACCAATCCTTACCGCCCACAGGAAGCGCTTCACCGACCATGGCCACGATCGGAGACATCATCTTTGACTTGGAGAGAAGGCAGAGCACTGTCCGTTGCCATGGCCAACGCATGCGCAGGGAGGAAGCGTGCGGGACCGCTTGTACCTGGATCTGACGCTGCGGCTCGAGAGAACCCTCCATGTAGGTTGCTCCTGCATGGGAAAGATTTCACAGTTCCAACCCCTTCGAAAGTTGTTTGGGGCGGAGTGGTGTGGTGTCCTCCCCTCGCCAGTATCTCCAAGATTTTCTGAAGAAGAAGAGGACCGGGAATTAGATAGGAAGGCCGACGACTGATTTCGTCTTCGTTACTACGCGGGTAGCATACGATGGGACAGGAAAAGGCATCCAGTGGATGAATGGCGGAGGCCCGTGATCTCGCAGGCACGGCGCAGCGTTGTACAAATCGACGAGGTTGCGGCACGACTGAGGCACGTTCTTGGCATTGCTGAAAAGCCTGATGAGAGTAGGGTAGTCTTTTCCAAACCAACTCCGACATCTCTCCGTTCTTGACCCGATACCCCCGTGTAGTGTAGGCGCTTGTGTGCTTGCTTCTTCGCCATCACACTATAGGACCAATGTTCGAGCGCCACGAACGATGTGAAAGCCCCCCATGCCCCATGTGCCATGCATGCATGCATGCAAACCGTTGAGGACATGCCCTTCGGCGGCGGGCGTCTTCCCCGGCAACGGCACCTCGTTTCATGCCATGCGCGCACAGCGTGCATATGTATGCAAATGTCTCCCCCTTAGCGTCACGTCAGTTGACGCAATCGGAACGGCCAATCAACGAGCGAGGTGCCCCGGCCGCCGCCGCCGCCAGCCCTCTTTTTTTCTTCTTTCTTCACTCCCACATCATCATTCTAGGCCTGCTCAAAATTGACCGTTGTCGACGACTCTGATACCGCCCAGGAAACTCTTGATGAGTCACGAGGTGAGGTGTCTTGTTGTTAGAAGATCCAAGAAGGCCTCGAACGGACCCAAATCCTCCTCCTCCTTCACTACTACTACTACTACTACTACTACTACTACTCCCCCAGATGCTGTCAACATCCCGAACTCTCCTTTGCCCACGCGTGGAGTAGTGATCCATCGCGGTTGTGCCTGGCTCTCAGAGCCGATGATAGCTCGCTCCAAGCACAGCCAGATCACGGTCTTGGAGCTGATATGTGGACGTGAAACCCGAGAGTCCTCGAAGGACGGAGCGAGGTCCTAGTCTCACCTGTGCCCGGCGCTTAGATACGTATTTCCCAAACCCCCTGTCATTGCACCAACCTCGACGACCTTCATCAAGTACCTGCGCAAGATGTGATTGGAGGACGCTCTGGTTGGAAGAAGGTTCTGACGCGGCGTTTTCCGCTAGAACATTTGGTGGGTGTCCATAGAACTAACTGGGTGGTCTGGGTCGACGAAAACGCGGGAGTTGTCTGGTTGTCTGGTTGGCCTCACGTCAGTCTGCAGAGCCGTAGCTTGTAGTGTGAACGAAAGCCGCCTCTCTGGTGATTCCCACGTTCCGATGCCACGAATTTTTTGCCGATGCAAGACGCCGACGGCGATCGCTTGTTGCTTCGCAGGGAGCACGGTCCGTTGCAGACTTTGCGCGTCGTCCGACCGCACGATTGAGGATGTGCTTCTAGAAGTAGTCTGACCGACCGGCCGCAGCATGGGCATTGCAATTGTAGATCGGGGCTCTGATTCCCTTCGCGAATTGATGACGTCCGCTTAGGCGAGTGATCTGCAACCCAGTCCTTCGTGGGTTCCGCCGCGATTTTTCTTTCGGCCCCACAGGGAGCATGGGTTGTACGCAAAGGACCAGACAAAAGCTGTGCCGTAGTCCTTGGGCACGTCAGCTTGAATCGTAGACATCCATTGCCCGAACAGCGTCTTGCCCGCCGGACAGCATTGACGCCTTTTGCCTTCTCAAGAAATCGAGCAGAGCTGGAATCATCCTCAAGACGCACTACACCCCCTTCGCAGGACAATCGACAACCGGTGCATGCCCTTGCCAAACATGTGTTTCCTGAACCGTATCCTATGGTTGGAATGCGGCCACTACACAACCGTCACTGAGCCGTGCACCGAGGCCCGGACACGCTCTCCTCCGACCCCTTGCACGTCAGTGCATGCTCCCAAGGCCACATCCGTACCGGCGCCGAATGGAGTATGTCCAGACCAGACCAGACATCCTCCAACATCTGGGCAGTCGGCACCAACAGTTTCGCACGTGAACACGCATGGAGAGGGAAATGAGTGGTATCGCAGCGAACGGGACAAAAGCTGAGGGAATTCTGAATACCCGGAACCGTTTTGTCGGGCGGCAATTGCGTGTGCAGCTTGGCGGGCAGATGCGGGTGTGGGAGGTGTGTCGTGGTCGGGCACCGCCTTGGATGGGTGTATTGCTGTCTCGACTACTCCACGACAACAATATCCTCTTAGAAGACCACATCCAGGGTCTTGGGTCCTCGCGCTGATCTAGAGGATAGTCAGCGTCTGAATGAAGCCGAATGCTGGTATTGCTTACTGGGCGCGCTGAGAATTTGCAGTCCTCGGTCCCTCAACCTCGGTGTTTGGAATGGCTTGGAGAGTCCAGATTACTAGTCATTGTCCCGCCAGAATCCAGGGTAAAACCTTCAGCAGGTATGGTTCTGTCAAGACACGAAAGGCTCTCATATCACCGCAATCTCGTTCAATGGCCACGTCATGAGACTGAGCCACTCTTCTGGTAAAACTCTTCTGATTGCGTAGATTTCCCGGTTTGGAGTTGTGCGATCGCCAGAATTGCCCAGGTACTGCAGAGCCTCGGTACGAGCAATGACCGCGAAGAAGTAAGCCAGTATCACGAGAGCGCGTGGCCGCCCTTGGCTGACGAATTCCGCGAACTTTCTTGGCACCATGAACGGAAACATGCAGATCCATCTCAGGTTGATATCGGCGGGCTCGCCAGCCAGGACCGCACGCCGAAAAGAGTATATGTAGTGCAGTGCTGTCTCGTAAGCTTCTACGGTCTCGGGATCGTCCCAGACGTCTGTCGATGGGGTTTCTCGATCGAGCAACGAGCCAAATTCCTCCCTCATATCAGCATCGAGGGTTGGTGTCATCTGCCAGATGTTGGCGGTGTTTTCCATCAGTATTTTGAGACCAGTGCCTTCCGCAACCGCTTCAGGAGGTGGAAGAACCGTGAAAGCACCTCGACCAACCTCAAGCCAGTCAATGGGGGGCGAATACGGTTCCAAGCTCCTTTCTTGAAGCATGGCCAAAGCGTTCACGCTGATGAGTAGTGCAGCAAACGCCACGGCGTCCGTGTTGGAATTGTCAAGGTCCGTCACAGCGCATCGCTGTTCCTGCAGAGCCCAAACCCAGTACTTCTCACGGGCATGGTAGAGCGCTGCATCAGTAGCGCCGCGACCTATCAAGTGCGTTGCTGTCATCGTGAACATGGCGTAGAGCACGTTTTTATGAGCCAAAGCAATCTGAGGCACCTCTCCGTACCAAAGCTCCTTCCATTCAGGAGGCGAGGTCATTCCAAAAGGCCGTGAAACATGGACCATCCAGTGATGCAGAAGACGAAGCTCCATGTATCGCCTTGGCTCCGATTCCTCCGTAAAAGGATCTTGTATGGGAGGCGTGGAGCATAAGTGTGCCCCTGCCGCTCCATTGACAACAGGTGGGCTGGCGGATGCTGCTGGATCGGATTTGGCTGGTTTGGCGGTGGCTTCCTCTGACTGTGACTTGGGCCTTGTCCGCGTAGGCTCGACCGGTGCATAGGAGCATGCCAGCCCTAGGCGCACACAGGAGCCGCATTCAGGAGTCGCCTCATCGCACTTGACACGGCGAGATTTACAAGTCTGACAGCCTTTCCTAGACTTTTTATGCCCGACTTTCGGAGCTCGAATGCTGGTTCTGCGTGTGGTACTGTGGGCGGAATTGGCCATGGTTCGATGTTGCCGGGTTTAGGCTGCAGGTCAAGGGGGATTCTTCTTCCAGGCGGTTGGCTCAGAACAACAGGAGGTCATGGTTCTCGTGCGTCTGTCTGTCGATGCGTGTGTGACCACTATTGGCATATGATCGATACCATGACGGTGCAGGGAATGTGGAAGTGGAAAGGTGGTTTTCTTGCTGAAATTCGACGCGATGACACGATGAAATGAAGTTCACGGGCCGAGGCGAGAACCTTTAGGGCTAAATCTGGTCCGCTGCGCTAGCCTTAAATGCAATAGCCTAGATTTCTGCCAAGATACAAACATCCTGTCCTTCCATAGCCGTATGATACCGGACTGTGATGGTTCTACATCATCAGACAGCTTCTACACGTTCAAGATACCATGCAGGCCGGCAGCGCTCCTTTGCGGACTTTGTCCTTGTATTCCTCCTCGCCAAAAACCTCGCAGACTGGTATTCCTTGGTGCTCCCGGATTTGAACAGCAAAAGTGCCTTTTGCCAAAGGCGTTTTGAACTGGGCCATAGTCAGTCATGTCCACATATCTCCAGGCAAAAACCATTCTCACCATTTGCACGCTGCGTTGCATGCCAGTCTTCCGCCACAGGTCTTGCAGAGTCTTTTCCCATTCGGCAAATTCCCCGGATCTGGCGCCGCAGTTCACGCTTGCCAGCAGATCAAGCGCTCGAAGCTTCCAGCACTGCGCAAGATCAAGTGTGGGCCGTAACATCACTTTGCTTTTGCTGGCTTGTCCCACGAGCAGGAAGAATGCTTGGGCATAGCAACTCCCAGGTGCCATCAATCCGATCAAGCCTTCAGCTTCGAGAAGCGATGCCTGCAAGGACCAGTATGCCGTCTTTTCCTGCTCTGTGAGCGCGCGCTCCATGGGCCAGGCTCGCCACCCTTGGCGAACTTTCTTTGCTTCTGCCTCTTCGGCAGTCATTGTTGCCAGGGCCTCGAGCGGTCGCAGATCTGGAGGGTTGAGTCCTTTCAATCTCCACTGCAGTACGAATATTAGCTTTCGTCTCCAGTCGCTCAGGTACTGCTCCTCCGGCCCCAATGTGCAGGCCGAGCAATCGCATTCGAAGCCGAAGTACGTCTTTGTAACGACTCGCCGCTGCGCCTTGGTGTAACCTTCGAAAGCGCCATGGTACGAGATAAAAATCTCTTCTCCTTTCTTAATGAGCGTGGTGGCGATGACTTTCCGCGCGAGTGTACCCGAGTTCTCCACTTCGCAGTTGGGGACGCACGAGTGGTTGAACTTGGAAATCTTCAGGAAGATGTGGGAGGAATGTTCGCCTTGAAAAGCATTCGCCTTGTATATTCGGAAAAGCTTGGTCTTGAGTGGACGGTGACTCTCGTGCAACCCCATGAAGAGCTCCTGGTCGGCCGGATTCAGCTTCTGGAAAGCCTTGGCGACATCCATCTCATCTATGTCAGGGACGTCCTTTTTGATCTCGCAAGTCACCCGATCTGTCATGATAATTGTTCCCGGTTTCAAATCTTCTTGGGCGAAGATGCCCTCGCCTCGATTTGCAGAGGGTTGAACAACGTAAAGCGGAGCCATTGTTCGCGGTGCAAGCTGACTTTGGAATTTCAGGAAATGACAAAATCCCACTCTGGATGCCATCGAGAATATTTGATTTCTTGTGAGGTTCCACGAAAGAAGGCACAGGCAGCGATGCAGGGAGGTGTCTTCCGACTAGGTTACAGCAGGGGCTCTCGGGGGCCCGCTACAAGGCCACGATAGGTGCATTCCGTCGCGACTGGTGCCTCGATGCGGCTGGGTGGCACAGTTATTTCGCTGCTTGAGAAAACGCCAGCCATACCGTGATAGCATAGACATTGCATCAGTTGGTCCGTGTTATGCCTGAGCTAGACCCACTGTTCCAAACCGCTGGGACCGGAAACGACGAGAGTCTGAGGCAAGAAACTAAAGGACGGCCTGATAGTATAAGTAGTGAGAAGGAGATATCGTACGATCGTCTTATCACTCTGGCACTTCTAGCAGCAGTTGGTCAACCGTCAATTCTGGTCCCGCACTAATGCTAGTCAGACGTGATTTGAGACGAGTAGCCTTCGAGCTTTCCACTGCACTCTGTGGAGCCCTTATCAAAGAGCCTTCCAGTAGCCTCCAACGAAAGACCTTTGGTTTCCGCCCACGCAAAGTATACAAGGACGAAACCGGAGACCAGAAGACCGAGATAGACGAACCAAAAGCGCCAACTAATCGCGGCCAGTGCAATTGGGTTGACATACTGTCTCTTGTCAGCTCATCGTGTCAAGTAGTACGTAGCAGGATTCGTCTTACGATGTCCACTGTTGCGAGTATGTAAGAAAAGAACACGTATACGCTCAATCCCTTCGTACGAACCGAAAAAGGCAGGAGCTCCGCTGGATAGGCGTAACACAACGGGTTGCAGGCAATGGTGTATCCGGCACTGTAGATGAACAGGAAGACGACGACCGTGTGTGAAGCCGCGTTACTATTGTCGGTGGCCTTGGCAGAGGCCACAATGGTGCCAGCATTGGCAAGTATCATTGTTGCGACTGAGATCATCCAAAGCGCACGCCGTCCAATGCGATCGGCTAGAAGGGCGCCGGCAAGCGACGTGGCCAGATTTGATACCTGAAGGGCACCATTGATGCCAGTTTGTCGAGCTGTTCCCAAGATTCCTACTTGGCTCAATATGGGCGAGAAGTAGTAGCCAATGAAGGACTGCCCAGACCAAAGGCAGAGGAATGCCACAGACAACACGCACAATGTGCGCTTGAGGCTTGCCTTCGTATCCCAGAGAGTCGACCATGGAGCTCTAGCATTCTCAACTTCGGTTTCGATGTCATTTTTGATCCCTTGAATTTCCCATTCCACCAGTTTGTCATTGTCGTGCCCGTTGGCGTGGTATTTGACCAGCATTGCATATGCGTCCTGCTCACGACCTCTTGCGAGCAGATATCGTGGTGACTCGGGTATGTAGCGGAGGATTGATAACAGGAACAAAGGAGGCAGGACCTGAAGTAGCGAAGGTATGCGCCAAGACCAGGAGGTTTTGAGATGGCCTGTTCCAAACGATGTGAACGCTGCTGCTATGGAGCCGACGTACCAGAGGGTGTTGAAGAAGCCCGATACAGCCCCACGCTGTCGAGGATGAGCAAGTTCGGCAATCAGGCTTGGTCCAGCAATGACATTGAAAGAGATGCCGACGCCAACCAGAGCTCTTCCAAAAGTGAATTGGATGTAGCCGCGAGCAGCTGTCTGGAAGATACTGCCAGCTATCGTAGCCAGAGACCCCAAGAGAAGTCCCGACTTCCTCCCAAATCTATCCGAACATGAAGACGCTGGCAGTGACCCGACCAGGCTTCCAATGAACGTTGCGGTTGTGATGAGGCCCATCCGCGATGGACCTGGGTTGCCCATGTCATTCAACCTGGAAAATCATCACTGAAAGGTCCCCTGTCTCCTCAAATCATGCTTCCTACCATGGTCTCATTGCCTGGAAGCTGCCGACGACGACCTGATCGTAGCCCGAGGTGATCTGTATGGAGATGATGCCAAGTATGAGGAAATTCAGCGTCCGTAAGCCTGGGTCTTTCCACCATTTTGGATGCGTGTTGTTCTCGGGCAAGATGTCTGAATCGTGCAGTGCCATTGTATAGGGTCTGGGGGGTTGGGCCTCTTGATACTCTGCTGTTGGTAGCCATGGAATCGCTGAAGCGCCGTCCTTATAGACATCGCTCTCGCAGAGTACATGTATGCTTGCTGCCAGTGATGGGCCATCTCGGAGTCGCCCGTCTCTCTGCCATTCTCGGCCTCCCAGAAATGCGGCTGCGGAGGCATCATCCAGCCACCGTTGCACCAACCAGTGGAAGGAGGAGATATGCCAATTGGTGTAAGAAGGAACACTCGCGACGGTCGGAAGGCGTTGCGTCGCTGCCCAAACCAGGCCGCGGGAGAGCCAAGCCTCAGGGTCTGAGGTGGCATCCAACGCCTTGATCCAGGTCAAGAACGATCATGGATGGGTCTGCCCGTTATGCCGCGAAGCCATGGCACAGTATGGCGTACCTTCCTGATGGCGATTGCTGGTCTTAAGTTGGCAGCTGCGTTCGCATTCTGATCGTGGCAAGAGCGAGGCAACCTAAGTCAGGTGGACTCCTCACCTTCGGGCCACCCCGGCGCTAACCAAAAATAAGTCCAGACGAAATGCAACCACACCTTCTCCTCTTTCCCATCACACATGGCCGACATGGACCTTTGGAAACTATCCCAAACCAGCATTTGCCCTATTGAGCCATCGGTATCGTGTCGACCGGCTAGCAATCTCCTCGCTGATTGGAAGATGGAGCAATAGTGCGGAGCAATGCTCTTGATCCTGGTTCTCCAGTTGCCCCGCGGCCAAGTACGACCAGGCCGAACGCACGGCAGCGAAGACGCAACAGATAGGCAAACGCAAACCCCTTCGTCGGTTTGAAGCAACATGTTGCCCGACTGAAAAGCCGAATACCGCCGGAGCAGACTTCGATTCCTCGACTTTCCCCGTCTCAGTCCAGAAGCTTTCCCACTCAGACAGACATATTGATACCGCCATCATGCCCCACAGACTACCAGACCCCGTCGCGATCGACACGGAGAAGCAATATGGCGACTTCCGTGACCAGCTCTTCAAGGACGGATACGCCGTAGTCAAAGGCGCCATCGACCCAGGAAAATGCAAGAACTACTACATGGAGAAAATGACCCAATGGCTTGAAAAGTTCCCACTCGGATTCAATCGTAATGATCCTTCCACTTGGACCCCAGAACACCTCCCCGCGCACATGAAGGGCGGAATGTATCATGGATACACGGTTGGACACGAGAAATTCGTCTGGGACGCGAGACTGTAAGGCCCCGAATGAGTAGACTTTTCCGAAAGTGCATGCACACGAGAGCTGAACTGTGTCATTGCAGGGAACCGGGCGTTTTGGAAGCATTCGAGAAGATTTGGGGCACCAATGAACTCCTCGCCTCCTTCGATGGCATCAACTACACCCTTCCACGCCCTGAGAGCCAACGTCTCAAACCCTCCACACCCTGGCCGCATGTCGACCAATCTCCTCATCTCCTAGGCACGTCCACCCACTCGTACCACCCCCTCTCTCTCTCTCTCTCTCTCTCTCTTCGCTTCACTGACACCCTCCCCAGGCCTCCAATGCATCCAAGGAATCCTCAACTTCGCCCCCAACGGCCCCGAAGACGGCGGCCTAGTCGTCCTCGCCGGCTCCCAAAATCTCAACGACGCCTATTTCAAGACCCACAGCAAAGAAAAGAATCCCGAATGGGGCACGGTCCCGGACGATTGGCATGGCTTCTCCCCCGAAGAAGTCGACTGGTTCAAAGAGCGTGGAGCCCGAGAAGTGAAAGTCTGTGCTGATCCTGGTGATTTGATTGTTTGGGATTCGAGGACGGTGCATTGGAATGTCTTGCCCAGAAGTGATCAGACGAGGAGTATTGTTTGTGAGTCGTCTCTCTCACTCATATGCCTTTTCTCTGGCGCGGTTGGATTGTTGTGCTGACGATGGGCTTCTATGATTAGATGCGTGCTATACCCCAGCCTCCTTCTCTACCCCGGAAGAACTGAAGCAAAAGGGCGAGATGTTCCACAACCGCACGCGTACCACGCATTGGCCGCACAGGAATTTCTGGCACCAAGACAAGATCTTGCGATTCGGCAAGGAAGACCCATATCATCGTGATAGACCCTTCGAGGAGCCGGAAGAGACGGAACAGCTGCTCAAGCTGGCGGGAGCGATGCCGTACTAGTAGATTGAAGATTAAGGGTGTGGTGTGTGTGGTGTTGGACGACGGCGATGGTCTTGACTTTTTACAAAGATCGATGGAAACTCTCCTCTCCCAAATAAAAATAGACACAGCATGCCATTTAGATCCTCTAGACCATTCATAGCCTCCAGATACCGCTTCAGCATGTTTGTTTTCAAAGAATGCCATCTTAACCCGTCCTTCTTCGCCCTTATTGTTCTCCCTTGGCGCTAGGAGGCGGAGAGCCTCTCCTTGGACGTCCCCGGATCTCCAATCCCATTTGGTGATCATACGCCTTCGCGGCATGACAGTGCCAATGGACAAGCCTCGGAGACTCGCATTCCCATCTCGTCAAAAACCTGGTGGGCCTATGGAGAAGTGCCCTAGAATGCGCTTTCCGCTGGTCCCATTTGCCAGGCCCATACCACGCTTAGTCGATGCCCACCTGGTCCCATCCCTTCACTCGAAGCCCGTCCTTTCTAGGGATCTCAATCACGTTGGTCAGACGACCAGCCCTTCCAGTTCCCTGGTACGGCACCGCGAGACCGTCTTTGTTCCGCGCGGGCTTCGAATGCTTTCGCAACTTCTTTCGGGCTACCATGACCGGGACCGAGCTCTTCGTGACCAGATAGTTGCTGAAACTGCCCAGCAGGACCCCCTTCACAGCACTACGGCCTCGCGATCCTATAATGACCATAGTCGGGGATAAGAAGTCGATGACTTCGGTAATCATGTGCCGGGGTGATTTGCAGTGGAAGACTTCCACGACAACGCGGACCTGCAGTCGAGTCTTGCGGAGATGTCGCACGCAGCGTTCGCTGATGTTCTCGAGCGCTTTGCGACGTTCGGAGTCTGCGGAGGAGAAGACGCCTCTGCTGCGGCTGCGGACGGAGAGGTCGGGATTGGAGCCTCCCAGGCTGCTCCTGCCGAGGGGTGAAGGCGCGGCGAAGCTGGGCGCTTGCTGGATGGCGGGGAGGCCCTTGATGATCTTTGCTGTGTCCATGACACTCTCTGCTCCATGGCCGACTTCCACGCCGCCGCCGCTTTCCCCACCTGCGCCAACGGACTCCTCGTCCGCGGCGTAGACGGCGAAGAGGGTGTCTCCGTCTCGCAGGACTGTGCCGATGGTCCATTCTAGAGCGTATTCGGATTCGGGGGAGAGGTCGGTTGCCACCAGGTACATTCTTTGCCGCTTCCTGCCGTCTTCGGCTTCCTGCTGTAGTTGTTCAAAGTCTCCGCGGATGATCTGCCGGATGACCCGATGTGCGGAGGGCGTACTGTGGATCGCGGACATGGTGAGCTTCAGCTTCTGTGCCGCGCGCAGTTCTGATTGGGACTCATCATCCGAGTGCATTGGTGTAGATGCGTCGAACGCAGTAGACGGATGCACGCGCCTCTTGCCCGTCGCGGGACTATAGATTCGCCGTTTCGCGTCTTTCTTGAATTGGATCATGCTCTCGCCTTTGGTCGGGTCAGGCTTCGTTGCAGAAAATTCGGATCCTCTGAGCGAGTCTTCACTATCGTCTCGCAAGTTCACCGCCTTTCCAGCTGTAGTTCGGCCAGGTTCTGGTCGCTTCCTACCTCGACCTCGTTGGCTCTCATCTGCATCCTGATCGGTGTCGTTGTCGTTGTCGGCGTCTGCGTCGTCATCGCTCTCGTGTCTATCTTCCGAGCGGTCCTCGGGCGGATCTTCCGGTAGTCTCACGCCGCCATCATCACTGGCATGCCTCCTGTGATGGGCAGGGGAGGAAGGTTCAGGTGCTGGACTCGTGGTTGCGCTCCTAGGATCTGGCGACTTTGCCCTTCGCGGGTCGTTGGGTCCCAAATCACCAGGCAAAGTCGCAGCAGCGGGCGATTTGGGCCGTCTAGGGTCTTTCGCTCCAAGATCCCCGGGCAACCTGATCTTCCCTCCATTGCCGTGCGCTGAAGACATGGCGCTTGGCCGCCGCGGCTTGGCCTCGGAAGACGGCAATTGCTCTGATGAGTGGTTGGGGGTCCTTGCGGATGCCGTAGGGGATGCGGGCGGTGAGAGCGGTGGCGAGGATGGGCCAAGTGAAAGACTGGAGTGAGAGGCCAAGGTGGAAGTGTCAGGCTGTGTCTCTGTGGCGGCGGATGAAGGTTCGACGGATGATGTAGCTGGCGCGTCCGCGGTGTCGTGAAGCGGCTTGTGGTTTGCGGGAGTCACGTTTCCTGGCTCGTCAGCCATGGCAATCGATGACCTGTATACACAGAAGTGCTATTTGTCGGTATGGGTGCGATACACGCGGACGGGATGCTGGTAAATATGGATATTAGTCACGAGACAAGCAACTGCATTGGTGTGATGCCAAACCCAACCTTTGGCTCGGGCGAGAGCGTAAAGACAGTTGCTGCCCTGCTGCTGTGAGGTGCGAGGCGCGGCGGGGTTCTCCCGGAAGGCTCGGCCCTCTCTTGCCCGCCGCCAAGACAAGAATTGCCGTGCGCGATCTTCACTCTTCACTATCGACTATCGACCATTCACCAGACTACGTCCCGCGCGCGTCCTCTCAGCGACGGAACGGATGGATTTCCCTCCCGGTCGGCCTGCTCAGGGACGTTCATCAATGCCAGCAAGCGCAGCGGCTCCCGAGCGGGGGAGGGGAGATGTTCATCAAGAAGACAGCTATTTCCACTGACACCCCATCGGACATTGGTTAGAAGGCTCCGCACGAGAAGCTTTGCTAGAGGCACTGTCCCTGCACAATGCTTCTGTCTATCTTCAGGTAAATTGTTGGTGACTTGTTACGACTCCTCCACCCACCCTATCCACCCCTTCTCAGCCGCAGACACCACGCATCCGACCGGTGAAACATCCCTCGTCGCATTCCTCTCTCTCCCCCTCTCTCTCTCTCTCCCTTTCCAATGCCTCTTTCATACGCCTCCTTCCCCGTGGACGACGTCCAGTCCCCCACCAAAATGAACGGTGTCGTCCCAATCCCCACAGATGCTCTCGACCCTCGCACAGGCAGCAGATGGATCCTCGGCGACAAGTTCGACCAGGTCTACCCTCACCTGGGCTCCATGGAAAACCTCTGGTTCAAGAAATGGAAATTTCCCTGCGAACGAAGCCTCTATCCCTTCCACGACGGCAAATACGAAGACTTCGCTCCGATTTTCGAGACGTTGATTCAGAAGGGTATCCATGATGGATACAGTGAGCAATACACGAAAGAGTTTCTGCCGACTTGTGAAGCATTGGTGGAACAGGGAGATGTGAAGGTCAAAGAGGGGGACAAGCAGAGTGCCATTGAGCTGTACTTGAGAGCCTGTGCCGTTTACCGGATTGCACGATTCCCCTACATCAACAGCAAGGTGAAGGTGGACGCGTATGTGGCGCAGAAGAAGGCGTATATCAAAGCTGCGAGCATGTTTGAGTGTCCAATTGAGGACGTAGAGATTCCACACACAGCAGGCACCGATAAGGATGAGGGGAGTAAAGTGCCGCTCTACGTGAGATTGCCAATAGGCGCCAGCAAGGAGGAACCTGTGCCATCTGTTCTGTTGATGTGCGGATTGGATGGGCACCGGCCAGACAATACCACGAGAAGCGACGAGTTCTTGGCGAGAGGCTGGGCGAGCATTATCGCGGATATTCCAGGCACAGCGGGTAAGTGATAAGCCGAGACTCATGAACGTGCAGTGCTCACGCATGGTTTTCAGATTGCCCAGCTGGCCGCAACGATCCTACTTCTGCTGATCGACTTTGGACCTCCGTTCTGGACTGGATGCAATCACAAGGTCATTTCGACATGAAGCGAATCATCTGCTGGGGCCTCTCCGCCGGCGGCCACAACGCCATTCGCGCGGCGCATACACATTCTACGCGCCTTGCCGGAGCAGTAGGCCAAGGAGCTGGAACGCACCATTTCTTCTCTCGTGCCTGGCTCCAGAAAGCCAAAGACCACGAATACCCCTGGACAGCTCTCCCCGCCCTCACCGAAAAGTTCGGGTACAAGAGTGAAGACGAATTCATGGACAAAGCACAGCAAGACTTTTCCCTGGTCGAGACGGGGGTGGTGAACATGCCAGCTTGCAGACTTTTACTAATCAACGGAACGCATGACGGGCTCATGCCGATTGAGGATAGTATGTTGTTGATGGAGTATGGCACACCCAAGGAGGCGAGGTTCTTCACGGGACTGTTGCATATGGGATACCCACCTGCCAATGGGAGTGTCTACCCTTGGATGGAACAAGTTATGAAAAGCGTCAGGGATTAAGTGCCGCGGGGATGGTGCTGCGCCAGGTGGGATAGCTATGGTTTCGAGCAACCAGCTTCATCACGAGCATGAGTCTGTCCATCTCCGACCTCGAGTTTCATAAGACTTTTGGCAATTCCATCGCATCCTCAGGCAATCAGATCTCGACAACAGCCAATCAGCCAACAGTCGCCCTCTCCTACCAAGTTGCCTTCCTGCAGTGCTACCCCGAGCTACATTCGCAACGCATCGAATCAAGATGGATTGCTCAAGCGGCCAGCAACCACCATTCGACGGCCGACAGATCCCTTTGCAAAATACTCTCCTCGCAAAGGAAAATGATTGGAACGACTTCGCCGCTTGATAGTCGGTACGGCTTTCTTACACTCTAAACAAAATTCAGCCAAAGCAAATTGTGTATCTACCAATCCTCAGCCTGGCACCACTGTGTGTCCGACTTTGGCCTCCATACCTCCAGGCCGCCAAGCTTCGAAGAGCCTCAAGTGCGGTCAACGCAATCCTACGACGCTCTTTGACAGCAACTTAGACCTAGAACGTCACATGCTTTACCCGCATGGCTCCTGGGTGGCCATGCTCACTCAGTCGACGGATGCAATCGTGGCGGCAAAATGGTTACAAACGCCGCAAGGAAACACCGGAAGAACCACAACGGCCAAGATGCATGGTCTTGTTGGCCCCTGGAGCTCCAGATTCAAAAAGATCTTTTCATATTTCGCGTTCCGATCGTGCTGGCGTTGATGGATGGGTGGTTTTATTATCTGTTCTGCAACTTATATGACCCACGCCCCTTTCGGAGACTAAGCAATAACAATCATGACGAGATGAGAGAATAGGCAATAACGAAGAAACGAGAATCGACCCAATAGAACTGGCAAACCCCGAGAAGTCTGTTCTTAACTTTTTTCATCCAAAGAACGCGATGGATGCTCTCTCCCATCATCACCCATCACCGAGATTCGTGATCACTTGTTGGTTGGCTGATGAGATTTTCCCTCGTGTGAATCCTTATTGGATCAGTCTTTTGAGCCCCTTAATCATCAACAATCACAGCTCTACTAGTTCAAAAGACCGTTGGAAAAGTGCAAATTTGCCCCCCTCATCACTACTCATCACATTAAAACGCCGCCCTCCCGTCCCGGCAAGACCATCAATAATACTAATGAAAAAAAGAAAAAGTCGATCAATCCATCCATCCGTCGCCAGATGCCGTCCGTCTGCTCCACACCAGCTTCGTCTTTCTTTTCTTTTCTTCATCAGCCATCGCCAACAAACGAACGAGTCATATTCACAATCTATCCGTTAGTGATGGGAATTGCTCCACGCTCCTGGCAGGCTGAGAGCAAAGAAAAATAAGCGACAGATCAACAACACAACAATAAAACTATACCCGATTCGGGAAAACTTTGACAGTCGAAACGGTTTGTACTATTGATCGAACGATGCTACTAAAAAACAAGCGCCACTTTCGAATTAGAACCAGGGGGCCGGCCATTCAGATCAACGAACAAACGGGAAGGGAGGGCAAGTCCCGCGGAGAGAAAAGGAGAAGAAATTCGGATACCATCGAAAATCTTGTCGAATGGATGGTCACTTCGTCAAGAGATATCATATTAAGTAATTAGGAATCAAAGATTTCCAAAAACTCACCCTTTCTCCCGGTCGCGGGCTCAATCAGCGCCTCCCATCATGGTCGTAAAAAATAATAGCATGCGTAGCGTTGCCGCCAAGGGCCTCCCCCCCCCCAAAAAAATAGTGATTGGCTCCGCTATAGCTGGCTCTCTGATGATTGATGCAAAAATTGCTCTTCTATGCCCCTTTCCTTTTCCTTTTCCCAAACAGTTGCGGAGAAGCTGTACAAAACAACAAAGAATGTTGCATGAGAATGCGATGCGCCTCGATCCCGAGGTCGTCATGGATTGTTGTTGGAGTAGAGTTCCATTCTTACAACCCCGAGTCGTCCTTGATCCAGTACATGCTGTTCTGGTACGACTTCCAGGCATCGCAGTTGCTCTGGAAAGTGCTGCTGTCGGGCAGGGTCATCGAGTCGGTCGCCTCGGCGAACTGCATGCCGAGACCCTCGGAGACGTGCCATGCGATGTGGCAGTGCATGAGCCAGAGACCTGTAGTAAGTGATTTGTTAGCTTTTTTTTTTTTTTTTTGAAGTACTGGGAGATTTCGGGGGTGTGGGGGATGACATACCTGGGTTGTTGGACTGGAAGGCAATGGCCAACCAACCACCACCGGGGCAGGTAGCGGTGTCACGGCGGGGTGGGGTGCTCCAGTTGAGGGTCTCGGAGCCGGTGAAGGTGGTGCTGCCCTGGCCGAGGACGAAGAAATCGTGACCGTGAAGATGGATGGGGTGGGGAATCGGCGGCAGGCCGGCGCTTTGCTGGATGAGCCAGTAGTTCCAGGAACCTTCGCTCTGGGTCTGGATGACATCCATGGACTGGGTGTAGCTCCCGTTGTTGTTCATGACATAGTTGATGGTCGGGTTGGACCAGTCGATGTCCAAGCTGGTCTGGTTGAGGGCCCAGACGACGACCAGGTCACCGCCGGGGACGACCTGAGCTTCAGTGAGGTTGACGTTGAGACGCGAGGCCATGCTGCCGAAAGATCCGCTTGGGACGGTCTGCACCCAGTAAGGAGCCAACGGGGCGGGCTCGGAGCAGCCAGAGTCGCCGGCGAATGGAGAAGTCGTGGGGTCGGCGACAGAGACGCCGCTGTAGGACCAGACGGCGCGGCCATTGTTGGAGTTGGAACTCAGGCAATCGGTGGCGACATTGGCACGGAACCAGTAGTTGCCGGCGGTCTGGTTGGCGCTGATCACGACGTCGTAGCGTTGGCCAATACCAAGGAGCAACCAGTTGGTCGACAAAGGCTTGATTGGGACGTAGTCGGAGGTGATGACGGACAGCGGGTGGTTGTCGAGAGAGACGCGGATGTAGTTGTCGACAGACATGTTGATGAGGCGGAGGAGGTACTTCTTGCCCTTGGTCATCGACACGTAGCTGTACTTGCCGGCACCGCTCGCTGCCTTGTTGGTGCCGTTGATCAAGATGTTGTCAGCGGATGGGGGACCGTTGTGGACCTGGAGATTGTTGAGGGTGTTGGCGGCAACCTGGAAAGCCGTGTCGTAGTACCAGTCATTGATGGGGTACACGCCGAGATCAGTGTCGTAGTTGGCAGTGGCAGGTCCATTGAAGACCATTGGTCCAACAACGCCGTCACCGTACTGGTTGGAGAAGTGGGAGTGGTACCACGAGGTTCCGAACTGGGTTGCTTGGAACTGGTAGGTAAAGCTCCTTCCTGGGGCAATGGGGCACTGAGTGATACCACCGACACCGTCGGAGCCACAGCTGCTTAGCTGACGAACACCGTGGAAGTGGATGGATGTTCCATTGTTCTGCATGCTGTTCTTGACGTTGACAACGACAGTGTCACCCCAGGTGGCGGTGATTTGAGGACCAGGATATTGTCCGTTGATCAAGAGACAGAGTCTGCTCTTGCCGCCGTCGGGATTGCATGTGCCGTTGGTGATCTCGAAGTTGTAGGTGACGGTATTGCCGGTGGATGGGTGCTTCTGGTCGAAGTCGGTGGCAATGCTGTAGCCACTGCTCCAGCATGCACGGGTGAGAGGTCCATTCTTGCAAGAGCTATCCGCAGTTGCTCGCTCATCCAGTGCGGTAAGCTCTTGGGTGATCTGCTCCGTTGGAACGACGGCAGCGACAGCCACCGAGGCCAAGGCCACGAGGCCAGCGAGGAACTTCATTATATGTTAGGTCCGACACTCCCGGTCGAAAGAATCGTGTGTTGTTGTTGTAGAAGAAGAAGTACTCGAGACGTTGACGAAGAGGTAGAGAAGGAGAGTCTTGCAGAGCCCGGAATGAGTGAGGGTCTCTATCGAAGAATAGTCAAGAGTCTTGGAGGTGCGGACAAGAAGCACATGGCGGACGGGCAGGGGTAATATACAAGTAGATGTGGACGGTCTTGTCAGGCCCAGGACAGCGTAGCTTACCGGTGCTGGGTGCAGTCGGCCGACGGGCCCAGATGCGCCATCCGCATAGGAAAGCGATGCGCAGGGAGGCGTGACAGACGCTCGATCCATCTTGGCTGCGCATAGACGTGATGCGTGATGATAGAGTTCCTGGGGCGAGCATGTGTGCAGTCGGGCCTAGCGCTAGCCAACGGACATCCCAAAGCAGCAGTCTGATCGCTACGCTTGGGCCTTGAGTGGATGAAGGCGCTTGTCATCCTCCACACTGGCTAATTCTGCGCTTGGGGAAGGACAGTGTGGTAGTCGCCACCGCGGACAAGCCTTCCAGGGTATTCATGTCCTGGTACCTGGTAGGCATCTTGATGGTGTTTCCAAGGGTGAACATGGTGCATTTCGTTCCCAAAGCAGACCCGTCCTCCACGTCATGCATGTCTCGGGATTCCTGAATCAGCGCCAGTATATGCGTGGTAGGTTCCCCTTCGGTCGCTGCAGAGCGTTACGCCATCGGCCCGTGAGATGGTAGCGTCCGCCCTGGAAATGAAGCGGCACAGTGCGGTGTTTTGGGTGGAGAGCTGAGGATGCCGCTTTGGGATGAGACAGTAGTGGAGAAGTCCCGGTGATGAGAAGTCCCGCGATCTCGGCAAGCAAGCTCGGACAGCCGCCGATTAGCGCTGATCCCCTGACGCGGTACCGAGATACCCGAACTCTGTTTTCGCGCCCATCGTTATCAGCCTAGGTAGGACTATGCACGAGTCTGGGGCGTCTTCCATCATCTCGCAACGCCGTGCCAACGACGACGACGCGAAGAAGGAATCAACTTCGTCTCCTCATCAGTGAGTGGCACGGTCGATTCTAGATGCCCGTTGAGACGCCGACGACTACATCGTGTGTACGTGGACCGGCAGACGACTATGCCATGAGCCTGTCTACATCTAGTTTCCAGAATGCTGGGAAGAGGCCGGGAGCCGAGACCTGCAGGACCACGGATGACCATCATCTTCGATGCCGTTTGCTGTCACATGTTCGGAACCAAACCTCTCCAGCGTTCGGAACCAGAATTTCAATTTCCCGATTTCTGCGGTCGGCAGCGGAGAGCGCGCACAGCAAGAGCGAAGGCGTTCGAGAAGTCTTCCATGACCACTACAGAGCGTCTGGGCTTTGGCTTCTGTCGCTCGCGTGGCAAGAGAATGGCGCCTTCTGTGCTTGACGAAGAACATGATCACATCAACGACGTGATAAGGGAAACATCGCGCTACTCTACTCGCACCCTTCCCTCTTGCGTTGCCTGTTTCTCCGCGCGTGCATTATTATTGCACCTGTTTCCTCTGCCCCGTCAGCTCTCGCTTGAACATGCCCGGAGATAGACACGGCTTGACTAAGAAGTGAAAGGCAAAATGGTATTCTTGGCGCCACCCATTTCCACCCGTGTCAATAGCGGCGGCTCCTGAAGAGTGCGCCGAAGTGGCCAATTATCGTCGCCAACATGGACCAGAGGCCTCGTCATTCCACAGCCCTATAGATCCCCGCCGACCTGACTGGTCAAGAGGAAGCGGGACCGTTGCCAACGTTTGCTCACATGCTGGCCTCTCCCACATGTCCCAACACACGAGCAGTCTGTCAAGATTCTCTGCAGGTGTGCACTTGGGCATCAGGCTGCATAGACCAGTCACAAGTTGGCAAAGCATTCGAGTCTTGCATCCCGCATCGCAGGGCGCAGCGGGCCGCCTTCCTACAGGGCATTAATTAGTATTCCTCTTGGCCACATCCCCTACCGTATGTGCTGTGCGTACACCCTATATGTGCTAGGCACATCTTGCAGGAACAGGAAAGGCGCCAAAGCCACTCCAGACTTCACGCTAAGGTAAGGTATGTGCCGCTTCGGTGGCTTACCAGAGAAATTACACGCTCGGCTGAACGCAACGAGCCCTTTCGTCGACCTATTCTCGTACTCCACTTCTCGTACACTTCTCGCCCAGCCCGGCACTGATGTTCCAGGCTGAGCATGTGGCGGTCTTGCCCCCGTCCATTCGGGACACGAGGCTCGTCTTGGTGGAGGCGCGGAGGCACGGCCAGTCTCACATGCTTTCCAAGACGTTGTGGCCTCCAGGAGTCTGATAGCCCGAACCTTGCCTCCCGCCGCCGAGTCGGCCAAATGAGACGTGCAACGCCCTCTCCACGCCTCTTTGGGAAATGACTTGCTCTTCCTCTTGCCTCTTGCACTATTCTCGTTACCAGCTCCGTCCACCCAGCCTCGATGTGCAGGCGTAGCCGCTTCGACACACGTGGCAACGCACGCTACCCGCGATGCTTTCTCCCGCGCTCCGTCCACCTCCTACTTCGGACGTCTGGTGGAGTTGACCACGCTTGCAACGGCTTCGCACTGATGACGGGCGCCCATGGAGCACTTGGCTGGATTCCAACGCAGCCGTCGTCAATCGCGTCTGGCCAAGAGCCTTCCAGCATAAGACTACCGCTGCTCCCACTTCTCACGTCTTCCAGCATCTTGCCAAGCATACAGTACACACGCTCGTTGTTGGGTTCCACTCGCTCGTGAGAAGGCATCACTCGTTTAGGCCTCTCTACAGTCATTCGTTTCCAACCCCACCATCCCTTGCAACATGTTCACCCAGGCGGCGTCGTCGGCCTTGGCCATCGGCCTCTTCGCCCTTCGCGCATCCGCAGGCGCGGCCGACGCCAGCTGGCCGCAGTGCTCGTCCTATGGTGTTGACTTCCAATCTGGCGGTACCTATTTCCAGAACATCTCCTCCGCCGACGACTTCACCTTCACATCCATGTTCGAGAGTAAGCACATCCTGCCCTATCCTGTCCTGCCCTGCAAGCACTAACATCTCCCATAGACTGCCAGGACGACAGTGCATCGAACATTTTGGTCGACCCCAACGGAGACGAATATGAGTGCAGTGGTGTTCCTCTCCAGCCTGACGACACGAATGAGGTCTCGACGTGCCCGCTACAGAAGGACCAGATGTGGAGCGGAGACTGGTCGGTGTTGATCCTCTCGAACAACGGTGACGCCGAGCCTATCGCGTACGAGCGTGACTTCAGTCTGATTGTTGGAACTCCCACGACAATCACCTACACCCCAACCATCACCGCGACCATCACCTCTACACCTCTGACGACCTCTACTCTGCTGAGCACAACGACAAGCACGTCCACCGTTACCGTCTCGATCACCCGTCCCGCCCAGACCAGGAAGCCCACCACCACAATCACCCCATCCGCGGTGACTTCTACCAAGGTGTGGACGGTTGGATGGATCAAGACGACTGCGTTCGTTGTCAGCCCCGTCGTCCAGACAAGCACCATCCCCCAGACTTGCTCCTTCTCCACGCAGCCGACTGCCGATCCCACTCTCACCTGGAGGCCATCTCTCCTCCCAGCATCGCTGGCCCACTCCTTCACCGCGGACTCGGCCTCGGCCTCGGCCTCTCCCTCTCCCTCTGCTTCGGCCACTTGGACTTCGGCCGCCGCCTCGACCACCGAGCGAGCTTCCCGTCGTTGCGACAACCCCGTGATGCGCCGCGTCCCCGCCGACCGCACCCGGCGCATCGCCGAGCGCAAGGCCCGCCTGGCAGAGGCCGGCCTGGAGAAGCGCGGCCTGGACGCCGCCACCACGACCGTCACCGACACCAACACGGCCGACTACGTCACCAGCACCTCCACCATCACCGCGCCCGTCAGCACCGTCTCCGTCACCTCGGTCGTCACGTCCACCACCACCCTGACCTCCACCACCACCATTTTGGCCGGCACCACCACCCTCGCGCCCAGCTTCGTCACCCTCCCCACCCCGACCAAGACCTCCCTCCGCCTCACCGTCGTCACCCAGACCGTCGCCACCGTCACCAAGCGCCCCAACTACACCATCTGCCAGCACACCGCCCCGGCCGCCTCCACGTCGGTCTGCACCGTCAAGGGTGGCCGTATGGTCGATTAAATAACCGCGACACAAAGCGCCTCTGTACATAGCAACATCAAGCACCCACTTTTCACGATTATGGCTTATTATTTTTTTTGAAACTTGCAAACTTGCAAAAAGGGGGGGGGAAAGCAAGGCGTCTTTGATCCTTTCTTTTCCCGCGAGCGAGCGAGACGGGAGGAATAATGTGTTGTTCTTGGAGGCACCTTCAAAAATCAAAAAGATGGCTCACCGCCTGTTTTCCGAATTTTCATGTGTATAGAGATGAGACGCTAGCTATGATTTGCCCCTTTTTTTTTTTTTGCTTGAAATCTCAAGAAGAGAATTCCGAATGATCATAATTGCTTCTTGACTTTCAGCTTGGTTTTTTTTTCCTTGTTTATTTTCGATTCTTCTTTGTCGATGCGTCGTCCTCGTTGCTCTCGTCAGTATTGGTGACGAGGCTGAGCTGAGAGGTCTGTATCCACGGTGCCTGCCTCATCTCCACGTGGCTTGACCAAAAAACGGTTCATCATAATATCTCTACCCAGCCACGCAATTTCTGATCGTCCTCAGAGAGGGCATTTCTCGCCTAACTGTAATTGGACAATACACCTCATGGCAACCATCACGTCCCAAGCTTTCATTCATCGCGGTGCGAATAGCCCAGGGCTAAGAAAAACCCTCCTCGACCTTCCCATATTTCGACCCTACTGCTGCAAACCCTCCTCCTCAACCAGCACGCCATCCATCTCCCTCAACTTCAAAAATGCCTCCCCCTCATAAAACCCCCTCAATTCCTCCCACGTATTAGAAAACATACCATCCAACCACGCCGCCTTGCCCTCACCCTGACTTTCCCCCCCGCCATGCCCGCCCATGCCTATGACCCATAATTTCGCGTGCAGAATGTACAGCTCCCCCCCGTCGACTTTCACTTTGGGGTCGCCGTTCCAGGCACTGCTGATCTGGCCGGCGGGGAACGGGCCGTCCGGGCGGAAGATGTGGGAGAGGAAGGCCTGTTCGGGATAGCCCGGGTCGTAGTTGGAGGTGTTCTGTCTCTCGCGCATGAGGAGGGTGTACATGGCGGTGTTGGGGGAGAGGACCATGACGCCCGCGTTGACCATGTCGGAGAAGCCGAGATCGCGGGCGCCGGTGAAGACGTAAGGGCAGAGTTCGTCTGTGTGGGGGACGTCTTCTTCCTGGAGGAGATGGGCGCGACAGGTCTGATCCGGAATGAGGGTTTGGTCGTCGAGGAGGGCGTCGATGTTGACGAGAGGGTACGCGTCCGAGTCGAGGAAGGCGATTCGGCTGAAGTCCGTCTGCGACCACATTTGGAGTTTGGTGAAGACGTCGCGGAATCTGTGGGCGAGGAGGTTCCCGTCGGGCGCCGTTTCGGGGTGGAAGGGTATGGTTTCGACTTCCCGGACCAGAGCACCGGCGGCTTGGAAGGAGGCTCGGATTTCGTCGGGAACGAAAGGCGCGACGAAGACGACGACCGGGTGGGTGGCGGATTTGGTGTCGGATTTCCAGAGGAGGCGGTAGATGACTTGGTGCGTTGAGAGAAAATAGGGGTCGTGGAGGGAGCTGTTCCTGCTGAGGAAGAAGGCGGCAAAAGTCGGATGGCCCTGTCCTTTGTAGTTGTGTGGAGGCAGTGTGCGGAGCTTCGATGTGTCGAAGGAGGGGAGTGCGAAGCCGTCTAATTCCAATTCGAAGAATAGCTTGTCGGGCATATAGCCCGTGTTCTCTTCGACTGCAGGCGGCGTAGTTCCATCGATGCTGCTCGCGGGAGGTTCATTTGGCGGGTCGATGGGGAGGTCGAATGAAGGCTGTGCCAGTTCCGTCTCGTCGAAGGAGGAGTCGATGGCTGATGCGGTCTGGTCCGGAGATGCATGTGTTTTGAGGAAATCCTTGACATATTCTGCGGATTTGGTGGAGAAGACGGAGTCCTGCAGGTAAACCGCGATGACGAGCAGGACGAGAAGGGCGACGATGAGATATCTCCAGCCTCGCTGGTTGGCCATGTTCCCCACGCGCTGTTACGTCTTCATTGTTATCCCGCTAGCGAGGCGACGGTGAAGCAGTGATTGCCATTGCACGTGATGATAATGATGTTAATGATGATATTGTTGATGAGACTCCTGTCGAAGCGTTCCTCGGCGTCATTTGTGCACGGTCCAGTTTATGCATCACCGGCATAACTTCCGCCGCCTCATTTGCACGCCACATCATCATTGTATCCCGACTTGAGCAACCAGGCACTAAAATACAGTATATTGGCCAAAGCTGGATGCATATTCTTTTCGCCATCTACGCCGCTGTCACCGGACTCGCCTTCATGCGCATCAGGAGGCAACAATACGATACGAGACAGTCTTCCAAGGCACGAGCTTAGCGGCTGCTATCGTTGGAATTGCCAGGAGTGGGGATGCAAATGCACGCACAACTGTGAGAAGACAGGGTGGCCTCATTCGAGGTTTCTTTCGAGAATCACACGTGAAGGTGAAGCCCGTGCACAAGACAAGGGAATGGGCCAAGGATCTCCCCGATGAGTACTAAATGCTCCAGAGTGGAGTACATGTGGCAACTTCGACTCAATAACAATATATAGATGAAGCGAGTATCCCCGATCTATCTATTTCATTGTCTCCCCGAAACTCGAACCCCGTGATCGATCCCTCCCTCTTCTTTACTCAATAACGTCCGAATGTGTTAGCAATAATGACACACGTTGGATAGAGACTTACCTGAGTCATGTAGTTGACCGTGCCCACAAGCACCAACACCAGAGATCTCTGCGTTCCGGCGTTCGAAAGGCGGATGGATAGAGTACTTACATTCCAAAGTATCAAGCCATGCTCTAGGCATGCCTTGCGTCCAACGAACTTTGCCAAGGCTCGCTCGGAAGTATGAAAGTGGCCGGTCCGAAGACGCGAGCCTGTATTGGTGCTGCTTGTCCCGGCCAAGAACAAGTGCGACCTTATTGTCCGAAACACCAGGCTTGCAAAGCCGGATTGACATTCGGGTTAAGTATACCGAAACACCAGGCTTGCAAAGCCGGATTGACATTCGGGTTAAGTATACCGAAACACCAGGCTTGCAATCCAGGATTGACATTCGGGTGTAAGTATACCGAAACACCAGGCTTACAAGCCAGGATTGACATTCGGGTGTAAGTATACCGAAACACCAGGCTTGCAAGCCAGGATTGAAATTCGGTTCAAGTATACGTGAACCGAGGCCAAGCCTCGGTCACGTTTGATGGTATGGCATGGCCGACGAGTCGTCCTGCTTGGAGCTTCGACCAGCCTGTCCATCGAGTATAGACGCGATCTAGACGTCTTCGTATGGCTCCTCAGACAGCATCCCGTGAAGGTTTTGCCGCCGAGGCGCATGGTATGTTCGGAGCTTGCAAGCTCCTAGATTGATTCCTGCGTGCTGACTCGAGTCGCACTGTAGGGAAAGATTTCTTGCTCACGTTGTCGATGACGAAGGAGCGGATGTTGGGCTAGACTTGCAAGTCTGCCTCAAGGGTAGGTACCGATCGGTGAAGATCCTGTGTGGTTGTTAGTATCCGTTGGTGTCGTTTGTGCGCCGCCGCGGAGATCTCTGGTGGTGGTGCTGGTGGTGTTGTTGGTAGTGGAGAAGAAAGGGGCAAAGAAGCAGAGAGAACCTTGGAAGTTGAAGCTCTTTTGTGCTGCTGTGCGTGGTCCCTGCGCAGTCTCGCGGCTTCCATCGGCTTCTATCGGCAAAGCCGCGCTAGCGGTATACGTGAAGTGAATGGTGACTCGTCCTCCTGCAATCTGCAGACTCTACATCAATAGGTTCTCCCAAACACCTCTCTCGCCAAACCTGCAAAATCCTTGCCCGTGCTCTCCTCCACAGTCTCCCAGAGATTAGGTTGCGTAAACACCGCGAGCGTGTTCCGGGCAATATCCCCGGCCTTGCCTCCCTTTGCACCTCGCACAAAGTGAGGCACGGCTTTAAAAGCCCCGCGAGTAATCGACTCTAGTGCCTCGCCAGTCTGGAAGGCCAGGCAATCTCTCGGAATGTGAACTTGCGTCGTCCTGCCAGCGCGATCTTTGATCCACAGACCAGCTTTCGGGTCCGGATGAGAATCCGTCTCTGGCAGATCCGGAAGAGAGCCATCGGGTCGCCGATGAGGAGGATGGAGAGATTCGTCCACAAACATGTTGGACGTGAGGCCCGTCAGGGCACCCAGATCTTGATGCGTCCCACACCAACCGTCTTCCATCTCCTTCGCAGAATCCGGTCTACCGTCCTTCTCATCCTTTTCCGCCGGCGGAGGAAAGTAGTGGAGAAGCCTAGCCTTCGTGCTGATACTCTCTTTCACAATCTTCTCCAGAGTCCCATCTTGATACCCCTCCAACTTCGCCACGCCATACCGATCACAATTCTTCGCCACCAGAGCAGCGACATCCACAATCAAGCTACACATTTGCAGAAAGGTATCCCGAAATCCCGGCAGCACACTCTCATCAGGCCAAGCATTCTCCGCCGTCATATCTTTCAAATCCGGATACAACTCCCTCGCTTTCCGCTCCAGGTCCGAATCGTGCACCGGATTGACATAATAACTGCCTTTGAACGTATCAAACTGACCATTCGAAAGCTTTTCCTTGCCGCAAGACCAGCCGATGTTATATCTTGCGTCCGGGCGTTCGACTCTCCCTGCAAAAGCCAGTCAGTTCGGTCCTTCTGCATCTCCGTAGCTGGCTGGAACTCACGTAATTCCTCCTCGGGCAAAGCAGCCAGATAACTCGCCAAACTCAGCAATCTTCTTCGCAGGCTAGCGAATTCATCCGGGAGATTTCTGACGATGATGATGCCCAGAGAATTTGGTCCGAAGGCCTGCTCCAGTGTCTCAAGCGAGACGGATCCATTTTTCAATTCCTGTAGGCTGACTGTGACCGCGGTCGGTTGCTCGTCCGGCGGTGCCATTTTGATGAGTACTGCTTGATTGCTTCCGAAGGTAGTGAGTGTACAACTAAAGACAATGTCGCGACGGCGTTATGGAGGCCAGGTAGACATATCTCAGCAAAGAAGAGTGAGGTGCGCGTAAATCTTCGGCCAGCTCCGAAGCTCTACCTCTGTACAAATACTTCACATGTCCCCGTCTCGACAGCAAGAAAAGACGGTGAGACGCATGTCAGTAAAACAATTGAAGGAATTGCGATATTGCAGTTACACAATCCGGCTATCTGGGGTATCGAAAGCATTCTTATAGGCATGAATAATAATCGACAGCCTGATACCATAACCGCGACATACAGGCTTCCAGCACCGAAACACCTCGCTAATCCCTCAGAGTTGCTAAAGTCCAGAAACACAATATCATCTTCACTCATCACCGAAGCAGAGCATTCGAACTTCGCAGTCTTCGCTTCCACTGGCGACGCGGCTGTCACTCAGCCAGGAGCAGGTGACGGGGCCCTGATGTCCCGTGAAAGTTCGTTCACACTTGCCCGTCCGGGGATCCCAGACCTTCATCATGCGATCCTCACCCCCAGAGACCAACCGCAGGTGATCAGCTGATAATGCCCAGATGCCCTCGACGTGACCAAAAAATGTGCGGATGCAGGCTTGGGCGCGCGGAAAGTGAGAGTTGGTCAGCGGATCCGTCGGCAGGATCTCGAACTCGTCATGGGATTGCGGTGTCGGATGGCGAGCTGGGGGAGGTCTGAAATGTGTATCCCACAAGCGGATGTGACAATCCAACGCACCAGTCAACATGTATCGCGGGGGCGCAGGTCGCTCCGGATCATTTGGCCAGAACGATTCGCCTTGTTGAGGTGAGCTGGTCGACTCCTCGTGATGCCTAGAAATATCCTGGTGCGAAGCGGCGATGGTGACGGAGCTAACACTGCTAGCATCGTCGTCCCTTTCACCGGTAGAGCTTCTGTGGCCGTCCAACTCGAATTCGATTGGCATCAACACCACTTGCTGCACCTGCCCGACGTGGCCTTCAAATGTTCTTATACATTCGCCGGTGTCAAGGTCCCACAATTTGATGGTGCAGTCATCCGATGCTGAGAACAAGGTACGCGATGCCTCATCGATCCTGACGCAATTCACCCAATCGCGGTGTCCGCGCAGTACGAACGAGCGTGAGAAGTTACGCTGAGTTCGCTTATCGACACTAGATCCCATGTCGAAAACACGCACTGTGCTGTCTCTCGACCCAGATGCGACATATCGGGTGGTATAGTGCAAAGATAGAATCCCATCGCCGTGCTGTGGGAAGCTCCGAAGGCGTTGTCCAGTCTTCCAGTTCCAAAGATACATCTCGCCGTTCAGTCCTCCAGTCATGAGCTGGCCAGAGGAGTCGAACTGGAGGCACCTAATCCCCATTGTATGACCGTTCATGGTCCGCACACACTCGCCGGTATTGATATCCCACACCTTCACCGTTGTGTCATAGGAGCCTGTGATCAAGACGTTGTCGGTAAACTGCAGGCACATGACTCCGTTCGTGTGGCCTTTGAAGACCTTGGTAGTACACCGTCCGTATTTCCAGGCTGTCCCAACCTTGAATCGGTCTTTGTAAACATCTTTCCATGGTCGTTTTTGGGGAGCCTCGCTTGCTTCGCTCCTAGATCGGGCCTTTGGCGGCGAAGCCATGCAGACCTTCTTAGCCTCAGGGGAGCAGGAGCCTTCTTCCAAGGCACGTTTCAAGCTAGCCGCGTCCGGAGCAGCTCCTTGTTTCGAACTCTCCGCAACTACGCTGGGCTCTTCCGGGACTGGAGTAATGGCTGGTGACCATTCGTTTAAACCTCTGCCAGTAGCACGCAATTGTACCTGTCTCTTCTCCGCGCGCAGCCTCTTGCGCTCCAGTAATGGCAGTCCCCATCCACATTTTGTGCATTTCCTGTCAATGTGCTGTTCACACATCTTGTGCCAGACAACATCATCGTCTGCCAGACGCCTCCATCGTTGGCTAACTTGGGCCGCCTTGCAAAGCGAGACGGTGTCGAGGTAACATAGGATTTTGAAGCCAAGCTCGGCGGGCAGGGCTGATAGAAAGTCGATCTTGATGAGATCGCGGATGTTGGCGGAGATGAAAGATAGCTGAGGGAAGCAGCATTGCGTGAGGATGCCTTGAAGCATCAGGTTGCGATGTTTGGCGGGCGCGGCGGAAAAGAGCGACCAGACATGGGAGATGGCTTGTTGGTCTGACTGCGAAAGAGTTCCCAGCTCGTTCTGCAACTGCTCCATTGACGGCTCGTTGGCTTGCCTGCGGCACTTCAGATCTGGCCGATGGCGGTAGCAGAACTTGGTATTCGCGTTCGGCTCTTCACGATCGTCCTGCTGAGTCCTCGACTCGGCTCCAGTTGGGTTGTATTGGGTGGGAATGTGTTCGGAGAGAAAGGGAGCGAGCGTCTCTTCAGCGTGCTTTGCAGAGGCTTGCATGGCGATTTTGTTCTCGTCGTCGCCTCCCTCTTTGCGGCTGTAATCTCCCCTTAGCCCATGGTGGTGATCGTGATCGTGGCGGTAAAGCTCGTGACCATAACCGTCTGGGTGCGCAGACGAACAGTGCTCTGCGTCGGGAGTCGGCTCTTGCTGCGCTTGGGAGGCCATTGATGGGGGATTGCGCGCGTGCGGTGAGGGCTCGATGGATGTTGTGACATAGCGCGATGATGGTGCCATCAGGGGCTGACGGTTGCTGTCTTCACATTCGGTGGTGTTTTGGTGGGACCAGCGGACGGACCGCGAGGTTCCTTGCTGCCGGGCTGTGATATGGGTAACTCAAAGGGCGGTCGTCGTGGAGCGACTGGGACGGTATTTCGATTCGTAGCAGCTGTCGCACAGGTGGAGGGTCGTGAAGGATGGCGTGACGCTCGTCTCGGGCGTTCTTGGCAGAGAAAGGTCCGGTTGGCGGAAGATGGGAAATGGCGTGCGCAAAGAATGCGGTGTCGTGATCCCGTAGAGTCAGAATCCCTTCCCTACTCTCTGACCGCTCTGACACCGCTCTCCCTCGGATGGAATGGCGTACGATCACGCAACAAGGGCTGGTCCGGCTTTGTCCTTACTCAGCGCCGTCTTTGGCCCCGCTCGCTGCCGGCTCCACACCCACGCGTCTGCTGTTATTTTCGGATCAGAAGCCGGATGTATCAAGTATATGATGAGTGCCGCGAGATGGACTGCTTGCTGAGAACAGTAGTAGTAGTTGTCCGCAACATCGTTGAGCGAGTCAGGGCAATGCGCATCATGCATGTTGGCATGCCGTGCCAAGCCGGCCCCGCCCGAACCAGGCTGCTGTACCGTGCTGACTGTGCTGCTGACTGAGTGTTCACACGTGCGCAGCCTCCACTTCAATCCAACCAACATATCCATACTCTACCAGATCGCTGGTATAGCAAACAAAGACCAAGTCCCCCTGAATCATCCATCTCTCTGCCTCCATCATCCTTCTCTCTGAACCCCCGATGAGGCTGCAATGAGCACCTCCTCAGCGTCCTCCTCAGAGCCGCCTTCGCCATCACCGCCTCAGTCCCCACAGGCAAGCTCTCGAGGCCCGCCCAGCTTAGAACGTCTGGTTGTCCATTTCGTCTCCGCCAAGAGGTCACTCACCTCGGCTTCTCATGTTTACCGCGCCAACGAGCTGGTCACTAGCTCGCGTACTCTCATCGAGGAGCTCGCCGCTTTGACTGCCAAGACGGCGTTTGGACGGAAAGGTCTGGACGAGCAGGTAGACACTCTTGAAGCCATCAAGGACGCGGTCATCGATGATGGAGACCGAGTGGCTAACGACTTTGCGGCGACCGTTGCTGAGCTTGACAAAGCTCACCTGAGGCTGGACAAGACCTTGAAAACGTTGCGGAAGACCATCGTGGAAGCTACGAGGTCGACGCGAGTGGTAGAATCGCAATCCATCCTCTCAGAGCACGAAGAACATATCCCCAAAAGCAACTCACAAAAGACCTTGTACGACTTCATCGACGAAGAAAAGCATGAGACTTTGCTTTCGTCTCTCAGAGGGCTGATCGACAGTTATCACTTTGCACGATCAGATCTCGACAACAGTGTTACCTCATTCGAGGAAAGCCTCAGATGCATTGTCGAGACGCTGAGCGAGGGCTCACCAGAGCATTCGGGGCCTACGATCAAGCCTACCATCTATGACGAACCGCCTCCAAGTGTCCAACGACTCTTCCATGAGATGGAAGGGCACGCAACAGAGCTGGCATCGCTACTGGAGAATCTCGTCAAACACTACGACCTTTGCGTCAGTGCGCTCAAGCATACCGAGGGAGGTGGCGAAGCTGCTCGACAAGCCGTCTCTTCTCAGGAACTAGCTAAGGGCACTCCTGGTGCGGAAGAGAGCTTGTATGGCAAGACAGTACCGGAGCCAATCGCGGATGAAGAAAGACATGAAATGCTGAATGTCCTCGAGAACGATGCGCAGGAAGTAGACGACGTGATGAATGAAATTAGTGAGCGAGCTTCGGAGATGGAGGAGCACTATGAGCAACTTTCCGCCCGAGTGATGAAAGCCAGGCTGAGACACAAGACTCTGCGGCAGGTTGTCGATATGTTACATGATGTTCGTGCCACCATTCCCACTCAACTGGATGCCGCGACAAGATTCCGAGAAACCTGGGGAGAGATCAATTCCGATATGCAATACAAGACGAAGGAGCTGGCTGAACTTGGTGTCTTTTACGAAGAGTTCATCTCTGGCTACGGCGAGCTTCTCCGAGAGGATGCAAGACGACAGGCAAGTGAGCATCAAGCGAAGAAGATCGTAGATAAAGCGAGGAGAGAGCTCGAAAAGCTCTACGAGGCAGACCGCTCTGCGCGGCAAGGATTCATGCAAGACGTTGGCGAATTCTTACCTCGCGATTTGGCGGCCTGGCATGGCCTTGAGGACGAGGCGCCTCGATGGGAGATCCGTGCCATACCGCCAGGCGAGCTCCAAGAAGAGATGCAGTGAAAAATGCGGGATTGCTCCTAGAGATCTAATGAATAAGCTTCAGGATTCAGTCTCTCCCGCTACCACAATCCTCTTTGTATACGGATTCACAAGCGGATTGTGGAGCTCGCCAATGGTGCTCATGCACGCAGCGGCCGGATCGCCAGAGCCCATCAGACTCCCCTGCCAATATTCGTTGCCTGGAAAAGGGCACTGTTAGCTGAGGGCTCCCCTGGTAGGGAAGGGTCCCACACACCTGGAAATGCGTTCCCATCCCACGCATAGCTGAGCACGAGCAGCTCCTTGGTGCCGTCTTTCAATTTCTCTGCTGGATTGCGCTTGCTGAAGATGACCTTAATGCCTAGCTTTTTTCCGGCTTCCATCGCCAACGCTTGGGTTTCGGTGGACAGATTTCGATCGATCCAAGCAAAGTCAATGGTGCTGATCTTGTGGTCTCGATGCAGTGCATTGATGGCATCGGCGCATGTTTCCACATACCAATTTACTTGGTCATTGTGATGTTGCCAGACACCAAGTCCAAGACCAACCACGTAGACGTATGCCGATCTCCCCTCCAGGTCCTGCTTTGCTCGGGCATCCGCTTCGAGAAACAGGATATCTGCCGTGATGCGCATCCGCGCTCTATACACCGAGTCGTCAAATTCCTGCACGCTGCGGCCCTGGCCTCTCTCTTCCCCGAAGAACGTGGAGAATAGTTTCGTCAGCTCCGAATGTTGTCTAGGCTTCTCAACAGGAGCCAAGATAAAGACAGAATCCATCCGATCTTCTCTCTCGAACCTCGCGCCCACAACGCCCATAATGATACCCCTATCCTCGAATGTGCCTGCCTCTCCGACTCGACCGCAATTATTCCGTCCGCCATCGTTGATGAAATACGACGGCCCTGAAACACCAATCAACGAAGAAAGCATGATCTCGTCGTATGAGAGATACTCTCCAAGCGTCAGATCGGCATTGAGACCTTGCTCCTGTGTTCCATTGCGATCCCATTGCGCGCGGGGATTGGCGATCTTGGTTCCATCGCGGAGGAGCGTGTGGTCATGACTGCCCATGAAGACCAACGGCCGCTTTTCGATGAGGCGGGAAATCTCGTCTCGCCAGCTGAAGTTTGAATGGTAGAGGGTCTTTTCGTGTTCGGAGCCCTGAGCGCGTTTGTGATCTAGAAATGATCTGACCAGTCCCGGAAAGCGGGGATGGATTACGATCATGGTACTTTTTGCATCTTCCGCGATGGTAGTCTTGTCAAAGTGCTCTTGGAGGCGGACCGAATTGGTTTTGATCGGTGGCTTGACTGACAGCTTGTTGAATGTGAGGAAGCCGAGTGGATTGTTTTCCATTCTTCGGAGATTGCTCAACTTTCGAGGGTGTTGTGGATGCGCTGAAACTGACGATGTTGTGGACACAGACCTCGGAGAGTTGGCCAAATCGTGAGTGAACCGATGATTGATGAGGAACATTTCATCGCGATGCAAGGTGGTGTTCAGGCGGCAGCTGCATGGCTGCCTCAGGTGTCACCGGGACGCTTAAATGAACATACTCTCGAATTTGCTTTCGTTATCAAGCGTTGTTGTAGCAGAGATTAATTCCTTGCGATCACCAACGAGCTTGCCGACCCGCAGGGGGACAGTGCTCATGCCGTTCAAACTTGCGATTTGGATTTCCAGCAGTTCGTCTGCAGGAGTCCAGGGAAAGTCGACGGCAACCTCCATACCGATATCCACATCCACCTTTATTCGAAGGCTGAGCGGTCCAGTGATTTCCCCAAGGATAGACTCGTCCTTTGCTTCCACTCCGGTAGCGGTTCAGAAAGTCCAGAGACGCGTCGCGGTTCTTGACGCCATGGTAGCCTTGCCAGCCTTTTCCGAAATCCTTCGAACCTGCCATCGTGCTCTGCTGTTGATTTGGAGGTAAAGCAAGAGGAGATGCTGCGGATAAATCTTATAGTAGCGGATCGCAGTTGTCCTCACGAGTAAGGTTCCTTTCTGAGTGGATGCTCTCGGTTGTCCTTGTAGATAGGTAGACACGCATCGTTATTTTACAGCGCAATCCCAAGTTAAGCATGAACAACGATGGGCTGGCAGACATTTGGAAGAAGGTATGCAGTGGTGAGATGGCGAAATTTCCCTGACTCTGGGGGCTCGATTTGCCATTTATCGATAGGAGATTCCGAAGCACCAAAGGCCGTCAGGCGAAGTCCTAGGTTCCCGCTAGCGTTCGACGCTGAGTTGCTGCTTTGCGTTTCTTACGCTGCTTGGATATTAGTCCACGAATTTGGCTGCCTCTTTCCAACGAGAGGCGATCAGTGCAAAGAAAAGCAACCATGGCATCGACAGCTCTTTACAGCATCTATACCAGAGTAATCTCATGCCACCCCATATCCTGCATTCATCTCATGTCATTCTCGGCTGCTCCAAAACGCCGCCTTTTCGAATAACACAGATTTGGAGAAGAGATGGACGGTATTACAGTCGAAACAGACCCGTGCGCCGCCGCCATGCCTGGTATGGTGAATCTATCGCCCGGCCGTGCGGCTCTCTCTGATCCCGAGGATTCAAGCCCTTCACGCACCACGAAACGCAGTCGTTCTACCCATGCGCCTCGCTTCAGAATCGATTTTGTACAGCTCCTCTCGCTCGAAGTCCAGAACTCGTGAACTATGGCTCTTTATTCTTCAAAGAGCAACTTCCTTGTGAACTTTGAGAAGTCAGTATTGCAGTGCTGCGCTCATCACTGGTCCGATCACACTTACTGCCCAAGTTCCCGCTACTGAGGCCACAATGCCTCCCGATATCATCATCGGCCGTATACCCCGCGTGCTCTTGAACATGGCGCCTGAGATTCCACCTGCCACTACGCTGTTGAGCGCATCATGTTTCCCTCGGTAGTATCCGATTGTGCTGTTGATTCCATTGTACATCATTGCCACGACGCCCGCCGAGTTGCCCAAGAAGGGTCCTCTTCGAGTGATGGCGTTGAGCGCGGAGTTCAGACGGAGTTTGGGCGGCGCGGTGGCCGGCAATCTACTGAGACCTTCTGCTAGGCCCCAAGCTCCCCCTATCGAGAGCGCAGTGAGATATGTGACACCCGTGCCATAGCAAAGATCATCTGACCATCCTCGCGATGGCAGGAGGGATCGGCTACCGGGGAGATCTGATAAGACGTCTTCGTCGAGCGTGATGTAGTCGAGGGTGTCTTTATCCAGGCCGGCGAGCGGATGCAGCGCTGACGGGTCGAACGCGCCTGGCGTGCTGATGAAGGAGCCGACGTCTTCTGCTGTGGGCGTGTGGAAGGTCGGTTGTACGCTCCCTGTGGGCGAGTCTACGAAGCCATCGGGTGTCGATGACGACGACGCGCTCTGCGTCTTCTTGCCGGTGAAGGCGTCCCAGATACCCATCTCGGAGGGAGGTTAATGATTGTTGACGGTTCCGGTAGCGGACTGGATGGCGATGTGCTTGCAAACTGTAAGGAGACGCAGCAGGCGCAGTCGACGATGCAAGATGCGAGATGCGAGGTTCAACTTTTTTCGGGAGTCCGAGGGATCGCCGCACGGGAGTCTCCGTCATGTCTTGCCTCAGGCCACAAGCATGTGTCCAGAGTCCGAGCTCCAAAATTTCACAAGACAAGCAGACATGCCAAGAACAATATGACGAGCGGTACCGTGAGCGACGGAGCTGCAGTGTTGCTCGATGAGGAGCGCCTCCGGACACTGTCGAGGTCTACACGTTCACTCATCCCTTCAAGTACATCCACAGGGCAAAGCACCATCGATGAGCTAGAGTAAGGCGCAGTACATCACGGTGTATACAGCTCTACGTAATTTAGGAATCACACTGATTGGTAAGTAGAGTCCTTGAACGTCTTTTCGATAACGTATTCTTCACATGTAACAGCTCTGGGCTTACGGCGGGTCATCGAGTGGCCGCTTGGAATACCCTTTGCTCTTTGATCGACCAGACCGTGGACTGCCCTAGCGAGAATGTGAAAAAGACTATCTGGACCAACGGCGTATGGGCTCGTGCCTTCGCGCTATACCTCAGCCATGCCCAGACTGCGAGGCCCAAGTCATCGAGACAGCTATTGGTTACCTTAACCAACGGCCTACGAAAGGCCGACGAGTCTGACATCGCTCAGTACAAGCAGTCCGCTCTAGAGCAGCTGCTTTCGGGTCTGAAAGATTTTCAGGACCCCTACAGGGCAAAAGCAAGTGCTCAGCTCCTGAGTCACTTACTGAACAAGCATGTGATATCTCTGAAAGATATTCTCGGCTCGCAAACAGGAGGCTCAATTGATCTTCCGGTAGAAGACTCAAAGCTACTCGAGAGTCAAGTTCAAGAGATTCTCGAGGTGTCGTTCCGATGGCTGGGTAAAGCGGACTTCGGCTCAAGCGTCGCTCAGCTTGTATCGACATTACTCGACAAACATGACGAGATGCGCCTGACCATGCATAGCCTGGAAAATCAGGTCGCATCTCGACCTGTCTGGGTGGGGCCACTTGAGGCAACCTCAAAGTCCGATGAGGTGAATTCAGATGACCTCAGAGTTCATGTCCTGCCAGTACTGTTCAAGAGAAGCTTCGACAACTTTGTTGCATTCTTGTACACCCAGAATGTCTCAAGCCTGAATCTCAGTCAAAGTAGCAATGAGCAAGTAGACTCATATCGGGACACCCTGCTTTTCGCGGCGTTGCAAACCGGCAAAGATCTTGGCATGGTCGTCGAAACAGATGAGCAGGGGATTCATAGCGATGGAAAGTGCTTCTTCATACCAGTCTCGAGCATTGGTCGCTTGCTTCTACGACGCTCCCGTTCTGCTCGACTTACTGGTCTCAACATGCTGGTGACATCCCATGCAGCGACGAGACCTTTCTCGCCCGTAGGTCTCAAATGGATACGCCGTGGACTGGAACTGTGCTCTGCCGACGTTGATGCGGACTTCCGTAGTGAGCTCTTCAGTGTGTTTCAAAGGATGTTGGATCGTATGCGAGCAATAACATCAGTACTTGCTCGAAACACTGCTTTGCCCCACAAGATCGCTAGCCGGCAACAACAGGCGCTTCCTGACCAAGCCTCGAAAGTCCTTCTATACCACCAAAATTTCCTGAAGTGGCTGCCTCGATTCTTGGCACAGCAACTCCAACCAACTGCAAACTACCAGCGGCATATCTCGGGTCTGAAGTGTCTATCAATCTTGGCCAGGTCTGGACTCGACGTATCCGTTCCCGCAGAGAACTGGTCGCGAACCGCTTTGCAAGAAGTCAAGTGGCCTTTTAATCTGGGGGTGCTGAGTCAGGACATTCATCAGCTCTTGCTTGATCTTGTCCTCGATCCGTTCGACGATGTTCGGCAGACTGCAGCCTCGATCCTCAGCCTTTGCTGTTCTGCCTTGCACGAAAGATCTAGTTTCTCGCCGAAATTCTTCACACATGCTCTTGAACGAGCAGAAACCGCTATGCTCAACACCGGTCGTGCCGACCAAGCGGATGGTGTAGCGCATATCTACGCGCTAATACACGGTAGTTGCAGTGCAGCTGAGTCTGACCCGGAGGACTTCTGGTCTTCCAAACAGGCTATTGTACGCCACTTGACGAAGAAAGTGCAATTGATGCTCGAGTCAGCACGAGAGAGTCTCGCAAAAGCTGTTGGACATTACCCAATACATGGCCTATTGACAAGCCTGCGATACGTCTTGGGACAGAATCCGGAGATCGATGTAATTCTGCGAGCTCGGCTGATTGAACAGGTGAACGAAGTCTGGCTTGTTGTGAAGCCTGTACTTTGCAATGACGCTCCCGAGGGCTACACCCCTGATGAACTGGAAGAATCCCCGGACTCCACGAAAGAGACATTGAGCTATTGCTGGAGGGCTCTAAAGGAAGCGAGTCTACTTCTGAGCACTCTTCTGGCGGGATACCGGATGTCGAACGCACTTGAGAGGAACGATGCAACGCTCGAGAAGATGGGTGACCAATGCTTCACTCAACTTGCCGAGCTTCGTCATCGTGGTGCCTTTTCCACTGTCGCGCAGACTTGGACTGCCTGCTGCCTTCGCTGTCAAAGCTTACGCACAATAGATGGCACTCTGCTCTTAGAGTCGTGGTATCTCAGGGTGCTAGTCATGCTACGCAAAAATGTCACGATCAACACAAGACGCTCAGCAGGCTTACCCGCCTTGCTATGTGGCATTCTGATCGCTGATAAGTCTGCAAAGCTACTGGCTCAGGCCTTTCAAGATCTCGAAGCTATAGCTCGTCAGGAAGTTGATGCGACTGATGCTGAGGAAGGTAACCTTGCGCAAGTTCATGCGATGAATTGCTTGAAGGACGTCTTCAAAAATACCAGGCTAGGCCAACAATCGGAACGCTACATTCCTGTCGGACTTCAGCTGGCTGCAGATGCGTTGCGCTCTGAGGTTTGGGCAATTCGAAATTGCGGCTTGATGCTCTTCCGAGCCCTGATCGACCGACTCCTTGGGACGGATTCATCTCATTTCGAAGACGGCGCTGCTGGCCAGAAATACATCTCCGCTGAGCAACACCCTGAACTCCTCAACGTGATCCTGAGTCTCCTTTCTCAGCCTAACTCATCGCCAGGAGCGGCTTCGGCTCGCTATGAGGGCGTCTTTCCAGCGCTACAACTGATCCAGCATACAAAAATCCCTGGCTCACGACTAGAGGAGGCTAGACTTGCCGTGCGAAGTCTCACTGCTTGTCCTTCCTGGCACGTGAGAGACAAGGCTGCTCGTGCTTTGGCATCTATGATGACTGAAGACGATGTGGAAGTGACATTCCAGCACGTCAAGCTTCTTGTTGATCACGCGGGCTCACAGAACGCGCTACATGGCGCTCTGCTTACCACTTGCTACATTTTGCATAAGCTGAAGCGCGGAAGCAAACATGATGTAGCGGCCATGATCGGTCACGATACTGAAATTCCCGTCCAAACGAGGCTTGAGCTCATGAGATGGTCATGGAGAGTTCTTCCTCTGTGCGGCAATTGCACTGTTACGAAAGCCGCGTGTGTCGATCTAGCAACAGAGTGTTTCGGTTTCCTGACCGACTTGGGCTCGCCAGAAACCTACTTGGCCGAGGTCGAAGCGGAAGTACTGTCTCAGAGTTCCAATGTTACCAACCTTTACTCGAGACCATCTACAAGATATCGGGACTTACTTGCATCTTGTTTGCATGACCCCAAAGCTGCTGTTCTACGGCAGGCATGCGCACGATCGATGGCCAAGATGCTTCCGTTTGACCGACTCGAGGACGAAGAAGACGTCGCGGCTTTCTCAAAGTCCATATACGAGCTTGGGCAGATTGATCAGAATGCGGTGGTCTATTTCTTCCAAGCGCTAAATCTAGCAGGTCTGAGCACGTCAACCAGGCTTCTGGTTCAACAGCTCGCGACAAACATCTTGGACGCCAAGCTTGGATTCGAGCTCATGTGCGAAGCACAGAGTGTCTTGATCAAGCTTTCTGAAGCAGAGTCAGACCAGAGTATATCGAGGAAACCGCAGCGGACCCAGGATCACCTAGCCTGGGCAAACTGCAATCAGCGCTTCGCCGATGGGGTACTGAAGCTGCAAGCGGTTCAACTTGACAGGATTGCTAGCAAGACCAGGGACCTCAGCGAAGAGCACCTTGAAGAGATCACTTCCTGGGCAAATGCATGTGTCTTAGCAATCAACGACACAGGCATACACACGCGTGAAGCAGCAGCCGAAGCTCTTGACCGGACGCGGTATCTATGGAGCGTTGTCACGACCCACCGGAGGCTGGACGCAACCTTTCACCGCCTCTGTGTGTCAATCTACGATCTCCTCAACGACGACGATGAAGACATTCGCCTCCTGGCTGCGCGCATCACATGCCGCATCTTGACCGCGGCGACTCAGGAACAGCAGGTCGAATACGAACCGATTGTCTCCAGCCAGAAGCTCCTCAGCTTCTGCATATCCAGGTGGACCGATAAGGATTTTCTCGCTGCAACTGCTTTTCAACGTGCATTTGACTGTTCCGGAGGCGTAGCTCCTCGTGCCGTCGGCGAAGCAATTGCAGCCCTTGCACGAAGTGACACGGCCCTCTTTGCCACGGAAAAGCAGAATCTGTACATTGATGATGCTCGAGAAGTGCGCATCTGGTCACAGGTGATTCAGAAAATGAGGCTAACATCACCACACTTCACGAAAGTGGTATATGCCTTGGCGTCGTGGTTTGATGAAGGATTGGGTGCGCTAAAGAAGCAAGCAGAGGATGTTCTGGATGGAGCGCTCGGTTGGAGCTCGAAGGCAGAAATTTTCACCCTTGGGCTGCAGGTGATATACGGAGCAGAGGTCCTGCTTTCACTCGTGAAGCAAGGTGCGAGGATTCCGATACAGCCTACGGATTTGCGTCGGAAGATGTTTGAATGTTTGCTCGCGTTTGAGGCTGCGGGTGTGAATCCGCTGTGGCGATGGGAAATGGAGAGAATTCTGACCGATTCTGTCACTCATAAGGTCAAGACGTTGTCAGAGCTTGCGGAAGCATTGTCCGTCCAAACTTCTGTGTGAAGAACCGAAATAGATCTTGGATATCATGCCCACTATACAGCCTCTTTGCACAGCGCCATCGCTAATCATGCCATTCACCAACGCCTCGCTAATATCAAACTCTCGTCGAAACCACCTTCTCCTCCGTGGCCCATTCAATAATCATCATATTCCAAATGCCTTCTCCTCTCCTCCGCCTCTTCCCTCGCCATCCGATAATCATCCTCATCAACATCACTCCCATCTTCCCATATCCTCCCGAATTCCTCATCCACAGCCAGATTGGCCGCTCCCTCCGACTGTGGGATCGCCCATATCCCCTCCCGAGCCCTTTTATGCCGCTCCCGATCCTCTTCAATCCGCTGTTCAATCTGTCTCTTATCCAACCTTATCCCAGGATTATAGTATCCCCCAGCACCCGCATGATCCCTCGCATTCGAGACGGAAAGCGGCGTCGATCTCACCGCATGTGTCGTGGCATCCTCGACCCCAGCAGCTCCCAGACTCTTCACGGGCGATGAAGGCGCCCCGGGCACGCTGTCCCTCCCGGCAATACACTCTTCCAATTCCTTCACAGTCTGTCCCATGAGAAATCCTTTGCCCTCCAGCACGCCCAAGACTTTCCTCACCACCTTCACATTTGCCGCTCCGGAGCCATCGTCCGGCGCTACGAGATCCACGATGCGGAGGATGTCTCGCTCCATCATGCGCACGTAGGTCAAATCATTTTGATTCTTGGCGGTGTCGCAGAGGGCAGGGAGGAAATACATTATGTTGGCGCGATTGTTCATGTTGTTTCGTTCGAGCTGCTCGAGAATGCAGGAATGGAGGTCGTCGCTGAATTCGCCGAAGCGGAGGGCGTAGTTGGCGGCTTTTGTTGCGGAGGATGTGCTCGCGTTGAGGTGTTGGAGTTGGCTTGTGAAGCGCATTCGCACTTCAAAGGGATCTGCTGTACTCATTGTGGGCAGAGAGTTGTTGTGTCTGCCCTTAGAAGTGGAGGCTGAGGTCCATGAGATTCACTGAATGTGGGGCTGGCGGGACGGGACGCCGGGAGCGGAGGCGGAACGACAGGGAAAGGCCCCGGGCACTGCACTGTATAAGGTACTAATTGTCATATGCAGGCAATGAAAGCTCTTGAAGAATATGGCAGGCGTGATTAATACTCAATTGATAGCCTGTGAAAGACCGTAACAGCAAGAGAATCCCAGCACCACAGTGCAATACTCTTACACTCCTTATCGAAACAACAAGCGAGTACGCTCAACGCTCGCAACCTTCTTGTAGTACCCGATCCCTTAAAAACAAAATAAAGATCATCGTTCAAGCAGTCTTACGCCGCTTCGCCTTGTTTCTTCCCACGGCTTCTTTCAAAGCAGCAAGCTTCTCCTCCGTTGATCGGATTTGCTCGTCCATCTCCCTTTCCGACATGCGCTCGTTCTCAAGCTGCTTGCCCATCCCTTGTGCACGCAACACCTTTTGTCTATCCGTCTCAGCTTTGCTCAAAGGTGGCATGCTGCCGCCATCGACACCGACACGATCTTCCAGCCAATCCCACAAAGCACTCTCTTCTCTCCGCCAGATCTCTTCGTACGCAGCGATCCGGTCGGGGGACGAATATCCGGGATAGCCGACACCGGTCCCTCCGCGAGGTTGGAAGAACCATGTGTATGCCAAGAGCACAGACAGTACCGCGATCATGACCTGAGATGTTATGAAAGGCCGAACAAGCGCGATTAGAATCTCCAAGAGCTGGTGTACAGGTTGCAGGACCCCCCAGTCCGGCGATTTCTGTTCGGCGGCAACAACGGCTTCTCGGTGAGTGATGGCCTCCTCCGCATCAAAGACTTCCTTCTTGCCCTTACGCTTTCCTTTTCGTGGCATGCCTTTGACGGGTGGCTTGGTGGTCACCGCTGCTTTCAGTGCGGTCACAATGTGATTGACATACTCAATCTGCCCGTTTTCTGCGCCCTTTTCGATGGGACCTAGAACATGTCAGTGGATGAAACCTTCCCAATCCCGACGTTCCACTGACCTTTCAGCCAACTCTTGCCAGTCCATTCGACTGTGCAGCTGGCAATGAGCCGCGTTGAATTACCAGGGCCCCACATGAGACAGTATCTTGTCTTCGTAGTGAATACGTTGCCACTTGGGACGTCAGGTGTCTGCGTGCTGCAATCAATTGAGACGGCTTTCTCCAAATCGAAGGCCTTCAGTGTATTTGTTGTTATGCACTTGGTTTGCCTTGGCCCTACCGAGGCGGTAAGAGGCTTGATGTAATCAAACGTGAAACTTGTGTGCTCGTTGTCAAGGCCAGTCTTGTCGTCGACGTAATTGAGATCTCGAGATTTTTGGTCTTCCACCAGCCATTTGCGCATGAATGCCCCTGATGCTGGTCCAAACATTATTGAGTATACTTTGCCGAGAGGAGCGGGAATCGTTGTGTCTGTGAGAGGCTTGTCATAATGCTCAGCAGCATCTGAGCATTGTGTCGGATCGTGAGCTGGGGCGCCTGGGAAGTCGCTGCTGACTGCCGCGCCAGTGACTACTGCATCGGCAGCCTCCAGACCTTGCGATCCTAGTCCGTTAGCTTGAGGTACAAAGGAAATCGGAAGGCCAGACGGCTTTCTACTCAAAGGCATGTCACCCATTTCGCTGCCCGCCACACTGGCGGCAAGACCACCATCGGTAAAGCTGCCTGCATCGTCGTCGGCGTCCTCGTCGTATACCTCATCTTCTGTGCCGTCTTCAGTTTCGCCTTCTGAGGCCGGCTCTGCGACTTCAGTCTTGTCTCCGGTGCCGGCATCGTCTAATGTGACACCATTGAGAGAACTTTTCAGGTTTGGGTGGCTGATCTTCCAAATACCGATGAGGAGCTCGTATGTAGAGTCGCGGGCCACAAAACTTGCAAATGTATTCCGAGCATGTAGTGTGGAAATGACAATCGCGTTGGGAAATATGACCGCTGTGCTTTTCTTCTCAACGGAGACGACTTCGTCAAAGCTGATCACCAAGTTGGTCACCCAGCCAAGGATGTTGCTGGAGAAGCATATATGACCCTCCGAGACGTATAGCCGACCATGCAACAGGATGTCTCGTTGCAACGCTGCGCTGTAGTCTTCGATAAGATAGTCATCCTCGGGAACGCTCCGGAACAGTTGATGGAAGTCTTTGTTTCGCTTACTGCTCGCCACGGCAAATCCGGTCAGCCGGTGGCCTGCGCCATGAACTGATGGATTGGCAAGTCCCGTTGTAGTATCCCGGAGCGCAGCGGCAATAGAGTTTGTTGTGCCGGCCGTTGCAGAGCTACCACGGTGCTTCCGTCGCCCACTGAGCTTGCTTCGAACACTACCAGACCTCTTGATGTTATTGCTTTCGGGGTCGACGGGGGCCCTGGGAGGAGTCTGGTCACCATTTAAGGCATGGCGCTCATTGGAAGCTATCGATAAAGGTCGTCCGCCCGTCGTGTTGACAATGGGCTTCTCATAAGCCGAAGAGACCGCACGAGCAGCAGCTTCTTCCTCTGCTTTTCTGCCACTATCGCCATTTTGCATCTGGTTGCTTGTTTGCGGCAGATCGGTCGTGGAAGTCATCGGACTTGTATCTCTGCTTTCTGATATACCCAAGTGGCTGAAGCTCAGATTACCTTTCCCGAGCGTCCCAACAGCCAGTGGCTGCTTATCGTCCAACTCAACTCCGGTTCCTGGTCGGCTTCCTACACCAGGTATTACCTCCTCTCCTCCTTCAATTTCCGGAGCCACTGTGCTACCTGGCTTGCTCTTTTGGTTTGGTAGAATGGAACTACTGATACTGTTACTGAATTGGACACTTGCTTTCTGCGCAGCAGAGAAGAATCCAAAGAAACCACCGGGGGCGTTTGGCTGGGTCAGAGTACCACCGGGTGTCTTGGTTTCTTCGACAGTCGGGGTAAGAGGTGCGGTGACGGAGGTAGATAGCTTGCTGGGTATGATTGCGGATTGCGCTCGACGCTGCCTGATGCTCTCGACAGAGCTCGGTGGCTTAGGAGATCCCTTGTCGGGTGAATGAGATCTAGAGAATGTACCGCCGTTGAAGTCCGTAGGTGTAGGAGGGGTAATAAAGGTCGTCGGAGCGTCTACAGGGTTCGGAGGAGTGGCTGGTATAGAGGTATCGAGTGGCTGCTTGACACGCGACTTCGGTGTTTGCGGTCTGTCTTGCGCCTGCTCCCGAACTGAGAGCACTTCCCCTTCCAATTTCTCTGTTGTCTCCTCTTGCTCTGACTGGTGAGGCGCGGGGTTTGGTCGAGAGCTCAGGCTGTTCCTCCTACTTGATGGCCTGAACAACCCTCCGAATCCACCACTGCCACTCCCGGTAGACTTTACCGACTCAAGACCGCCAGACTTTTTGCGCGACAATGGAAAAGCTCCCCGGAGTTTGTTGACAGGCGAGGGACTGCGCTCTCGTCCGGCGGGAGGTGGGATCGTGTCCACGGTGGTGGGCTCAACGATGTGGGGAATGCTGACGGATGGATCAGCCGAAGACGCAGCGCCTGACGAATGCACGGCGTCTGCTTCGGCTCGAATAGGACTGGCTTGCTGATTGAGCTCGGGCGAGGATAGGGTCAAGAGTCCCGCATGAGATAGGTGCGGTGAAAGTGATGGCCTGATCGGATTCCTGTAGCAAGCCTTGTGTCAATCACGCGACCCCAAGCATAGAACAAACAAGTGCCAAAGAGAACTCGAGATGATGATTTTTGCTAGACCTGCCAAGGAAGATCTGGGCTGGACACGTTAAGCGTCGAAGCGAGAGTCGCAATGCTGTTGTTAGTAATGTCGACAGGTGGGACCAAATGTCCGACTTTGCTGTGTTTGGGGATGAAAGATGCGCGGCATGATGACGTGCCACGTGCACGCGCGGCACGGGCTCCCTAAAAGGTACCTAGGTAGGAGCTGGGGAGCTGGAAAACGCCGTGTTTCTTGCCCATTGCGAACAGGAGTACGAAGCGACTCTCCCTTTCCTCAACAACCACAATGAAAACACCAATACTCACCCTTCAGAATCGACTCTCTCGTCGTCCGTCAAGAGACTGCTATGCCCACTTCCAGCCAAAAGAGAGGATTCCGAGCGGTTTCCAAGCTGTCCGACCAGAGCAGAGTTGACGCTGTTGCGGCGGGAGGCGTCATTATCATCGCGATCGGATTTCTTGATCTTTCGCTTTGTCTTGGATAGTAGCGTCGACAAGCGCCCTGCCTCCTCGTTGCCGCTGCGAGCGTCGGCAGATGACCTGCGGCTGGTGCGCTCCTTCACTTTGTCGATCGCAGCGTCCAGTGAGGCACGCAGACGGCCATCGTCGCTTGCGTTCTCACCAGAGTTCCTCGTGTCGCTCTCGCTGGAGGTGTTGGGCAACGAGGCGGTGGAAGCGTTTGCCAATCCTTTGTTGTTTCGGCGAAGCTTTGCTAGAGCGGAGCTGCCCGGCGGCGGTGCCGCCCCAGTGTCTGCCAAGGACATAGTCGTTGCAACCAGAAGCACAAGATCCAATCGCTGTGGTGTTCCTGGTAAAACGTGTTACATGTCTTGTAGACTTTGCGCTCGAGATGGGGAGAGTGCGCGCGCGCAAAGACAGCTGGATCAAACAGTACTGTCGTGTCTTCGCCAGAAGTCCAGCTCCACTTGGTGTTTCGCGTTTCCGTCACGTTTTCGCGATGTAACAATATACGGATTGGAGTATGCTCCTTGGAAGCAGGGATTGCGGGCGGGGTGTTTTGATAACCTGGAGCTGTCGATACCACAACGTCACTGGAGCATCTGATCGGTGGGAGAGTTTGAACCTTGGGACGGGAGCGGGCCTTTAGCCGCAGCCGCCAGCGCGCTTGGCATCCCGGGTTCCAGTTGGGACATCAGCCCCACACCTCACGTGCGCCTGTTATCCGGCACGAGGCAATCGCGTTGGACTTCAATCAATACCAAACTCTGGACACGTTTCCCCATACACCTCGAGACTCAGATCTATCCGCTTGTTTGAGCCCCAGACAATGGCGGAACCGGCTCCTTTGACGGCGGTGAGTGGTGCCCCGCCACTCAGACCTCAGGTAGAACGTTTGCTAACACACCGCGTCTTAGGCGCATGCACATGCGCGGAGAGCGGCAGAGGAAACGCAGCAGATCCACTGGAGCCAAGCCGCAGACGAACACGAGCATGCCGCAACAGACTATGCGAGGTCTGCTCGAAGTACGAGCGACTCAGAGGTGTTGTCTCTTCCACTTCAAGGACCGCCAGTTCGCTAATCACCGGCTCAGGCGCTACGGGTTCTGAAACTGCTCGAGGAACAACATTTCAAGCTAGCGCGTATCATCAGGACACAAGATGCGCCGCTGGAACAGGAAGAGACAACCACGGCAGAAGCCAAAGAACCTGATCCCGCGACATCGACTCATGACTTCGCCCAAGCAAGCAAGCCTCCCTCACAGTCATCTCCCAAGCCAACGTCAACAACTTCCGCACTTGCCCCCACGCGGATCGGTAGCCAAGCGCGCGACTCTTCACCATCGTTGGCCAGAGACATAGCATCAAGACGCGGCATCCCTCAACCTGGCAGAACTCAGCCCTCAGCAGCCGCTCAAGCAAGAGCAAGACAGCTATCCCCTGAATCCCACCGCAGAAATCGCTCCAGTGCTGGTCCTGCGCCAAAAATCCCGCCTTCAGTCCTCGATAGCCAGAACTTACGGCAACAGGCAAGCCGTGTCAAAAAGGCCGAAGATGACGATGCCTTCGCCAAGTTCTACAGCAATCTCACAACTGGGACCATGTCCAGGCTCTCTTCCGTCCTTGCATACGCGGGCCTGCCACTGACAGCAGACGACATCCAAGTCGATCAGCCGAAGCCAAAGCTCGACAAGCGAACAGTGAGTGCCAGCAACGACCCAGACGTCAAGAAGATATTCTCCAAGGCAGCACTCGACGCAATCGAAGAGGACCATCGCCAAAGAGGCGCCCAAGGCCGCGTCTTCGGTCCCGCAGAAAGTTTCTACGTCGTCCAGAAAGGTGGCGGAACCTACTCCTACGCGGACATCGCAAAAGCACAACAACAGCAACAACTCGGTGGCATAGATGAAGACGACGAAGAATCCTTCGTAGACGCCCGAGAAGCCCAAGCCCCAGCATCTCCCAAATCAAGCCGCGTATCCCACCAAAACCAAAACCAAAACTCAAGATCCTCTTTCGGCAAATCCCGAACCCACGAGGAACTCGAACTAGAAAACACAACCCTCAAAGCCACCCTCGAAACCCTCGCAGGGCGTCTACAGGATTTCGAATCACATGCCCAGGACGCTTCCATGGCTGCGTTGACGCAGAGTATGGTGGGCTTGAACCACCACCGCCCTGGCAGCAACAATGCTGCTGCTGCTGCCGGAAATGAGGCAGAACGCGTGGAACAGCTCGAGAAGCAAATCGAAGACCAAGCCATCGCGCAGCAGAAATTGGAAGAGCAGTCTGCGAGACAGGAGAAGATGTTGAGGAAATATCAAGCCAAATGGGAAGATATCAAAAAGAGCGCCATGGAGAAACAGAAGGCGAAAAGGGAGAAGTCGGAGAGAGGTGGAGTGGAAGAGGAATCGGCGGCTGGCCCGAGAGATGTCTAACCACCCGTTGTCAATATGACCTTTCACTGCAAATCAGCATATTTCCGTTGCGTTCCGTTCAGAGAAGTGTTTTCATTGGCATGTGATCTGCACTCATTGGAGATTTCTCAGATGAGACGAGGCTGTCCACATCGCACAGACAGCATACATTTAATCCGCTCGCGCTCCCAATCACGCAAAAGGGAATTCCACGAGCCTCTCGGCGATCATGCCTCTATCATGGCATTTCCCCTTTTTCTCGATGCCCCATACAGGCCTTTCCCACCTGCCGGCCGGGATGCCACCCGAATTACGCCACGCTATGCAATACAACAATGCCACCAGTACTAGAACGACTTTCGTCTGTTCAGAGCGCCATCCTCTCAGGCACGCATACAAAATGGGGGTTCGTGCCCGCCCTTTTCCGTCTGCAAGATCGATTTCGTTGACCACAGATCCACGCAAGCCAGTGAGTATCCCAAGCGGATTCCAGGAGAAAGCATCTCCAAGGTTTCCAACGGCCCTACTTGAAGCTGTACTTGTCACCCTGCCGAGTGACCGGTTTCCCGTTCCGGTTAAGCGGGACCGCAACACCCTTGGGCTCACGACGCTGTGAACCCTGCTTCTTCGGCTTAGGATTCGGCTGGGAGTGCAAATGGCCGAGCTCGTCGATGGCCATCGAGTTCGTCCATCTCAGACAGCGCTCCTTCGCCGCTGTCTGTTCTTCCGCGACCTTGTGGCGTGTGTTGACTCGACCTGTCTGCTCTTCATCAACCTCCATCTTCTTCGCCGCCTCTTCGCTCATGAATCGCTTGTGTGCTTCCATATATTCCGCAATTCGGTCGCGCCACTCCATAAGCTCCTTGCGCAGCTTCTTCTCACGCTCGCCGCGCTCGTCCAGCCAGCCAATGAGGTTGTCAAGTCGGTCCGGATTGTCGTAGAAACCCCACTCCTCAGCGCTTTTGAGAATCGTGTTGCCTTCTTCTCGCTGGCGACGCTCCGGCACGGTCATGTTGAATAGCCGCTGGTACTGAGCCTGCTCGTCCTTGCTGCGGTCGATGAAGCCCTCGCGTTCCATCTGGTCAGGACCTTGTACCCATATCCGACCGTTTGCATACCCATAGCTGGCGGTGCTCGAGCTAGGAAGACCGCCGAATGGCTGCCCGTTGCGTTCGAACCAGTAGTATCGATTGCAGAAGCGATCCTTTCCAAGTACCTTCGTGCGCTGGACGTTAGCCTCGCGCAGGTCGGCATCGCACTCGGCGATCTTGTCTTCGTGGTCTTTGATTTGTCGCCGCAGCTCATCAATCTCGTTAAGAATCTTCTTGAACTCTTTCGACTGCTTGGATTGAGCCTTGGCCGCTTCAGCTTTCTCCGACTTCTCCTTCTCGCGCTTGGCAGCTTCCTCTTCTCGCTTTCGCTTGCGGTCATTGCCGCGTCGCAGTGACCGTCCTGAGGTCGGTGCATCGTCATCTGGATCCGGCGAGCTTCCTTCGATGGTCTCTTCTGTGACATCCGGCTCGACAATCTCCGGTTTGGGTGATTCCGGCATGTTTTCCGGGAGTAAAATCTTTCGTTCTCGGTCCTTCGCGGCTAGTTCTTCCATGGCGGTCTTCTTCTCTCGCTGATGCTCGATCTTCCGCTTCCTTACATCGGTCATATCCTCGCTGCAAGTGTCCAAGAAGTTCTTGATGGCCTCAGTTCGCACAGTGAGCATCACCAAAGTCTGCAATGCAGTAATTCGCAAGTTGATGTCCATGGAGGCGTATTGGATCCGAGCTGTCTCTTGGGTGGGCTCCGCATCCGCGGGTGCGAGGTGAGCTAGTATCTTCTCGCATTTTTCCTTGTATGCAGGTGATGTTGATAGCTGTAGGAGAATTCCGACAACAATGACCTGCCACCCTCCATTAGTGAAGTCTTGAGCGGTGAGACGTTCTAACCAGTCGCGATCTGCAAGCATCTCGGCGGCACGATTGCCCTTCTCCACTGGAATCTGGGCAATGTCGGCCGCAGACTCCATATAGCTGAGCCTACTGCGCGTGGAGCGCGCCGGCGCATCTGGAAGGGGCGTGGATACTTCGCTCTCGTCCTGCATCTCAGAATCTTCCTCGGGTGCTTCTTCCACTTTCTTAGGCAAGTCCTTCACCTGTAATCGGCCCTTTTCGTCCAAGAAGAGCTTGAGCACGGCGCAGTGCACTTCTTCGAAGAGTTCGCAAGTAATGTCTTCCGAGAGGAATTGCATCGCATCGACAAAGTCATCAAACGTAAAGCTGTCCAGCTGATACACTTCGGCCTGTACGTTGAGAGTGTTCCAGACCTCGAGTAATAGTCCCATAGATACCATCTGAATATCCGTACAGGGTGTCTTGCGATTGCCAGCGACGTACTTGGTCATTTCCTCTGTGAAGAACTTGAGCTCTGGGCGAGTGACTCCATTCCGCTTGGGTGCGATGTCCAGATCCTCGATTGGGTACTTGATGGGTGGCGGTGGAGGAGGACGGTTCTCCATACGTCCAGGCATGTGCGGTTGACTTGGCACCTGATGAGGAGGTGCGCCAGGATGTCGCTGCTGTTGTTGCTGTTGCATCTGGAACTGCACATGTTCCTGCTCCAACCGCACTTGCTCCTCGGGGGATAGGTTCTTCGCTCTCTTGCCTTTTGGCGGGCGCATTCCGAGCATATGCTGCTTGTTTTGTAGAAGCTTGGCGTCCTGTAGGAGGTGTGCAGGAATCTCCATCGGCAGCCTATACTGGATGGCAAGCTTTTCCCTTACAAGCCAGGGAGCGCCCGTCCAGGATTCTCGTTGTAAAGAGTTCTTTAAGAAAGCGCGCAGATTTTGCTTGGTAAATATCTTCTTGTCGCGCCGGATATAATTGTCGTCCAACAGAGCCTCCTCCAGTTGCGATGAATCGAGACGAACAAAGTATCGCGAGAAAGGAGCGCGTTGAACGGATCCATCGGCGCCACGGATCATCGGGAACTTGGCCTTTTCACGGATGGTGCCTCTGATCTGTTCAGTTTCCGGCAACACGACTATGACCTCTTCACCAGGGAAGAAGTCATGCTTGAACTCGTCGTAAATTGCGTTCACTGGCAGCTGTCAGCTTGATTAACATCAGACGGTATACGTCGGGACTTACCGAGCTCATCCATTCGCGATGTCGTCGAGAACTGCACTTTGCGTAGAATTGGGTCTCGTAATACCTCCGGAAAGACATTCTCGATCGACGCCGAGCTCTTGGTCTAGGCCAAGGTCAGCGTAAAATCATTCGCCTCGAATCATGTGATGTCATACCTCAGACTCGAGGGCGTCCCAGAAAGTCAGGCCAGACTTGCCATTAACCGCGTCTGTGAATCTTTTCTGCGGGGTGTCAGTGATTACGATCTAGTGGGAGGTTTGGAAAAGGGTACCTGGTTGAGCCAGTCGAATCTGTGGCGAGTTAGCGACTTCATCTGACAATTGTCCACGTGTATGGCACTGCTTACCGCTTCAGATACTTCTCGTAGTCCGTGAACACCTCGTTGGTGCCTCGCATGATGTACACCTATGTTATACCGTCAGATGACCGCTTCCCCGCCCAATCGCCACGGTGCTGTACGAACCTCCGCATTGTCTGAGATGTTTGTCGGGTTGGGTATGAAGTGGACGGGCTTTCTCTTGTTGAGAACCTGCGACTCGTTGTTGGCCACAGCCTTTGCATCAGTGTCGGCCATGCGCACCATGTCTGCAGACGGCCAGCGCGAGGCTGGGTCTCAAGTAGCTAGCTCAACGGAGGTAGGATGCGGCGTGGATGGGGTGGAGTGAGCCGGCGGAGATGGAATTCGATGGTGGAGTCGAGAATGGGTGAATGGGGTTGAGCGCGGAGGGTGATGGAGGAGGTTGTTGGTGAGAAGCCGGGCGCAGGTGCGTGGACTGAGTAGCGTGGAAGAGCCGGGGTGGAGGTGTCGTGTCGGTGGAGGAGAGCTCGCGCAGCCAGACGCGTGAGTTAGATGGGGAGTGGCCGTGGGCACGAGGGTCACATGTGTTTCCGTCGGCGGCGCGGAGGACGCTGGCGGTGGGAGGGTAGGCAGACGCGATGGCGGTGGTGGAGTGGTGAGGGAGGAGGAGGAGGAGGAGGAAGAGGAGGGCAGCATTGACGGGAGTAGCCATGATAAAGTCCTGAGGGCCTTGCGCCTGCGCCTGCGCCTGTGGAGAGGTGACGGCTCTCTCTACTGCTGAGCACGACGCGGGACACGCGGGAGGTCGGCTTGGCAGCTTTAGGCTCGCACTAGCTCCACCTCTACCCGAATCCGACGCAACGCTCGTCTCCTCGTCCCTCGCAAACCTCTCCTCCCATATTTTCCCGCTGATTCTGCGCTGTCAACCACCAACATTCATGCCCATGTTTGTACTCATTGGAGTCCGCATTTTCCACACAACAACATCCACCCCTTTTGATCAGCAGTGGGAAATGCAAAATTGGGACCATCTCCTGGCGGACTTGTTTCCCTGGATTGTCCCTTTCTTCGACGACTCCCGAAGTCGCATCATCCGTCGACCAGACGCTTTGTAGCCAATCTCTTCACACTATGAGGACCTTATCGATCAGCTCTGCGATATTACACGATTTGGAGAGGCTCATTTGGCTCCAGAGTCTCGTGGAGTGCTTACCACTTCGACACCCATGATGCCGTTCTTCTTTCGGCCCCAGTCCCCCCGGCCGGTTCTGAAACTTACTCTTCATGGCTTCACACTGAATCTAGCATAGACAACGTCTTTGGAAATGCCATGACACTCTTGTTGGATACGATTCCTTCGATTTTTGGTTGATCTACGAAGTGAAGAACACTACAAGGAAACCAATCCAGCTCCCGACCACCCCAACTGCCGAGTATGAGCTGATAAACATCAGAGGCAGGAACTCTAGCTTGGCGCCGAAGATGAGCTGGTGTATGAGAGCGCTGTACGCGATGAGCGGTATTGCCACTGCGATGTAGAGCAAGGTGAACCGATCCAGGACAAACACCCTGGGCTTTGTCGATCTATAATTTCATTAGCGTGGCCTCGACACTGGAATTTGGTAGAGCTTACGCTGGCGCCAGTTGATCGAACGTGAGTAAAAACACAATGAGCCACAGAATGGTGTATACAACCTTGACTGGAAACTCCATTGCCGTGAAGAGCAGTGGGAACAGGCTCACGTGACCAGCAACTGCTAGCGGTCGGAAGGCCCCCAGATATCGACGATCTTTGAGTGCCAACAGGCTGAAAGGGATGATGACAAGCAGTATCGCTTTCTCGTGGACATGCCAGCCGAAAAGGAATGATGCATAGCCGCAGAGAGTGATGGTCGCGACGAAGTTGTCCCATGTTGCGTAGAAGAAGAGTTTGATCAACGCGGGCTTCACGTTGTTAGCTATGATTTAGCTCAAGTTTTCGAAAGACTTACAATCTGCGCCGCGAGAGTCAACACGAAGGTCATACGTGGTGGAATGTTAGGTAGAACCGCAAATGAGGAGTCGCCGACCAGTCCTCGAGTGACGCTGTTTACAGCTGCTTGGTCAATCGGCAGCTTCAAGTACGGCGCAACTGCACAGAGTCAGCCCCAAGCATTGATGTTGAGTGGAAGGCTTACGATATATGAGCACTCGATCACTAAAGGAGTACATTGCCCATACATTTGGAGCCCAGTAAGCGTGGCAAAGTCCTCTCGAAAATGGGAAGAGTCGGCTGAATACCTGTGGGATCTGTTCGAGATGCACGAAAGGGCCAAAGGCGAGTCCAAAGATCGCGACAATGCCAAGTCCGAGTTTAATGCAATTGAAGAACTTGATATGGAAGATCGATCGTGGTCCAAGGCAGTATGACCGGAGTAGGTATACGAAATAGGCGGGTGCCAGGTACAAGTAGATGTGCTTCAAGCAGAGTAAAGCAGCAAAGACAAGACCACTTGCCAGTAGGCCTTCCTTTTGATACCGAGCCAGGACGATGGAGAGAGTGAGCACGCCGTAAAGAAAGCCATTGTACTGAAAGTGGATATGGTCGATGATGAGCAAGCCTGGAGAGAGTAATATCGAGAGAGCGGCGGCGTGGCTCTGTTTCTTGGAGGACTGTGGCGAAGAGGTGATGAATCTATCGATCTCAGTGCCTGCGGCTTTCATTCAGGTATTTCAAACTTACAGGCTGAGGGCGTAGACCAACACAAGCTCAGTCACAATTACAGTCGCTCTCTGGAAGTGCACCGTCTGCCAACTATCGTAGTTGAGATTCTGAACTTGTAGCATTGCAGGATGGACGTTCTTGGCGACCTGTGACATGGCCCATTCGAAGTATGCGAAGAAGGGAGGGTAGTCGAGCGTCCATTCTGACGTATTCTCCATGTACCACGCCTTCAAGGGAAGAGAATTGGTAATGGCCAGCCAATTGCGGTGGACTTCGAAGTCGGTCGACTTGCTAGACAGTCTCAGTCAGCAATGGTCGATGATCTCTCGCGATGGGAAAGACACACTATGCCGGCCAAAGCAAGATTTTGAGTGCAGTCGCAACGATCGCGCACTGCGATAAAGTAGGGAACGTCTCTGCCATTCTTCGGTCGAAGTTCCGGTCCGAAAGGACCGGTAGCTCAGCTCGATATCATCGTTGTCGACATCCGAACGTGCTGCGTGCCGAGAGGTGTTCCCGTCTCTCCTTTCTGGCGAGGGTGAAACGGAGCACGCGAAAAGCCAAACCCTGAACCCGGGCGGCTTGCCGCAGATCCTCCCGCAAACCCCTGCTCGGCACACCTCGCCGCCCGGAGCGGTGGAACGATCCGTGTTGGTAGCTCATCGGCAGTGAGATGCCGTAGTCTTCCTGTCCTGCGAAGAATATAGAATCTACCCTCATCTCCACCATCCTACCAACCTTCAACCGTCGCTTTCTTGTCTTTGCATTTATTGCCAAGCGAAACTCGACCAGAAAAAGGACTGCAGCAGGGACCGGGATCCTGTTCCTGATACATTCGTTGAGGATGTCTGTGCTCGGGAACAACGCATACGGAAAGGGAAGGGGTGAGCTCGACTTGACGACCTCGCGTGAGTGTTTAACACTTCTCATCTCGTCTTTTCAGAGCACAATCATTGTCGTGCAAGCAATGCGTCGCTCTTTCTCTCCTTGATCGTTTTATTTCAGCGCACTCAGGCGCCATGCTTCCTCCTCTCCGGCGATATGTCCTGTTTACCTTCCTTGCCATTTCCTTCTTTGTCATTGCACTCAACACTTTCACTGAACCACTTGGACCTTATCGAAATCATTGGCACCGTCCACGAACGAGACCGAGACCCGTCGATCGCATCATACATCCTGCATTCTTCCAGAAGAGATTCCGATGGAGGAACGTGCAGCAAAAGCACCCCGTAGACAGCTTCACTGCTCCACCTACTGGAAGATCCGTCTCGATACCAAAGATACAGCATGCATTCGGGTCAGAGGACTCGAAACACGCGGTAGAACGCAAAAGGAGACTGCGGGCAGTCGAAGAGGTGTTCAAACATTCTTGGGAGGGATACAAGAAGAATGCGTGGTTACAGGATGAGGTTTCTCCGCTCACAGGCATGTCGAGGAATCCTTTCGCGGGATGGGCTGCAACGCTGGTGGATTCCCTGGACACGCTTTGGATCATGGGCCTTAAGAAGGACTTCGACGCTGCGGTCAAGGCCCTCAAGAAAATAGATTTCACGAGCACGAGGCAGAGCGAACTCAATGTCTTCGAGACCACGATCAGATATATGGGAGGCTTGCTTAGCGCATACGATCTCAGTGGACATCGATATAGAACTCTGCTGGAAAAGGCGACTGAGTTAGGCGACATGCTACATCATGCGTTCGACACACCAAACCGGATGCCTATCACGCGTTGGGACTGGCAAGACGCGGCACTAGGAGTCGAGCAGGAAGCGAAAAGGCAATCATTAGTTGCGGAAGTTGGCTCTTTAACCCTGGAGTTCACACGCTTGTCACAACTGACTGGAGATCCAAAATACTACGACGCAGTTGCGAGAGTAATGAACCTGTTTGAAGAGCAGCAAAACCAGACCAAACTGCCTGGCCTCTGGCCGACGTTCATCGATCCCCAAAAGGGTGACTTTACCAAAGACACCGGCTTTACCATGGGCGGAATGGCGGACAGTCTTTACGAATACCTTCCAAAACAACACATCCTCCTCGGTGGCCAGAACCCTCAATACGAAAACATGTTCCTCACAGCCCTTCCCGCCGCAAAGAAACACCTCTTCTTTCACCCCATGAATCCTAGTAACGAGAAGATGCTCATTTCTGGAACCGTCAAACGCTACTCCGCTACCAACGTCCAACTCAATCCTCAAGCAGAGCACCTCAGCTGCTTCGCAGGAGGCATGGTAGCCCTGGCGGCGAAAGTATTCCGCCAGACTCACGACCTTGAAACCGCCCGCGACCTGGTCAAGGGTTGTATCTGGCAATACAACAGCATGCCTTCTGGAATTGGAGCGGAGATCAGCTCTCTCATGCCTTGTGATGCCGAATCTTGGGAGGATTGCACCTGGAACGAGACTGAATGGCAGCGAGCGGTCGTCGAAAAACAGAACCGCGGCTTCGTTCCCGACAGATACGTAGATGAAGCGCAAGCTCTCATCAAAGTGAAGAAGCTCGCGCCGGGTTTTACCAAGATCGATGATGCGAGGTACATACTGCGCCCGGAGACGATTGAGTCCATGTTTGTTCTGTACCGAATAACGGGCGATGACAAGTATCAGGACGATGCGTGGGCCATGTTCAAGAGCATCAAGGTGGCGACCAAGACTACCATTGCGCATGCCGCGCTCAAAGACGTCACACAGCTGGAGACGGAAAGGGAATTGCTGGATAATATGGAGAGCTTTTGGACTGCTGGTGAGGATCATAGCTCCAGACGGCAGAGAGTACAACTGACCTCACCGACACAGAAACTCTGAAATACTTCTACTTGATATTCAGCGATCCAGATGTTGTCAGTCTCGATGACTATGTCCTGTAAGTTCGACATCTCATCCGCACAATTCTTCCAGAGCTGATGAGAGATGTAGCAACACCGAGGCACACCCTCTCTTGAGGCCGAAATAACATAATTCATGTAAAACGTCACATTGCACGATCTTGAAGCGAAGCCATTTATTCTTCCATTTTGTCAGTAGCCTCTTTTGCAAACCAATATCCACGAACGATCAACAGGATAGAGTCGCTTAGTCGTGTTTCGAGGCACTACGAATCCGCGCGCGGGCAAGACTCTTTGATTTTGGGCGTTGAATGATACGAGCCAGTCATGATGAAGCCTGACACGCCGTCCTGATGGCAGCCCGTCTGTTACCAAGACGTTTCTAATGATAGGGGGCATAGGTTGAAAGGGCTTAAGCACGGGATTCTGGCCCTGCTTTAGCGTCTAGTCGTTAGTCGTGATACATGATGAGGGCAGTAGCATGTTGTAAGGCTCGACTAAGTCAGCCTTCGCCGCGCTCTTTGGCAGCCTTTCTCGCCAGATATCGTGCTTTCGCATCGCTGACATCCCTTTCGGTCTTCGTGGATTTCGCGGCTTTTTCCAATCGAGCACGCTCTTCCTCTTCTTCCTCTCGCGCACGCTTAGCCTGCGCAGCGAGCTGCTCCTCCATCATGCGACTCTGTCGTTCACGGGAAGCTTGCTGACCCGCGTTGTTGCGCGGCTGGAATGCAGACTGTGCGGAGCGATTTGAAGCCTTGAGATGCTCTGCGCCTTGCTTGCCGGAAGACCTGCCTGAAGGAGCGAAGTTGAGCCCGCCTTGCAACAAGTCTCGCTTGTCCACGATCTGGCCCTCCTCGTTAATTTGCACGTTGACGCCCTTTGCTCGCATCTCGGCGGCCAGTTCAGCATCACTCTTCTTCTTTTCTGATTCTTCCACGTGCACGCCCTCTTTCTCTGCCTTGGCAGCTGCCTCGAGTGCTTCTTGGTGCTGACGCTCCGTTTGGTCCATCATACTCTTGTAGAAACCCTGCATGCCACCGCCAGTCTTCCTCTTCCTCTCCTCTTCTTCCTCGGCTTTCTTCCTCTCCTCCTCTTCTAATCGCTTATTCTCTTCTTGCTGCTGCTTATAGGCATCCGTCACGAACTTCTCTTTATCCGCAAACTCATCGCCCTCGGCTTCACGTTCCCGCTGCAGCATCTTCTCCTTAGCTACTTGCTGATCTTGCTTTCGCCTCGCCGCAGCATCGAGCAGATTGTTGATGTATTTTGGTTTGCGTTCCAAGGCTTCCTGGCGCGCAGCTGCCTTTTTGGACTCCGTGACGGAAGTTTTCGCATCATGGAAGGAATCATAGTCGAAGATGGAGGCATCCAATTCTTCGGCCGCTTTCACCCGTGCTTTTGCAGCTGCAAGGGCCGAAGCATCTTGTCTTGACTCTTCGTCGCCCTTGCTCTTCAGCTTGGGTCTGTTGATAAGGCCTGGTGCAGGTTTTGATGAAGCGCCGTTGCCAAAGGAAGTGATCTCCTCTGCGGCATTCTCAGGCACCTCGTCGTCGGGCCCATCGTCTTCATCGTCGAGAATGGTTTTACGTGCAGGCGCGGCGGGCGCCTTCTTCTTTACGTTGAGGCCATATTTCATTCCAGGCGCAGACATGTTGAGGGATGTATGCTGAAGCTTGGTGGAGCTGCAGCCCGGGAAATTCGGCGGTGTCGGTCGAGAAGGAGCCGAGATCGGCTAAGACTAGTTCTGCCCGATCAGCACTCTTTACCGTCCTATTCAGCGTTCACCTCGAGAAGCGCTCTGCAATCTTACTTCCTGCTGCGTGCACTTCACATGAAAGTGTCCGCCCTTGTACTGCCCATGTGTGTCCGAGAATAGGTCCAAGGAGGCTGAAGTAAGTGCATAAGACAGCTTGCTCCTTCCTCGTCTTCTTCCCGAGCCAGTACAGATCTTTCTCTTACCCAAAGGTAGAGAAGGATAGGAAAGGATCCATCCCGATCTCAGAAAGATGACAGAGCAGCTCCAACCCATGGCAATGTCAGAGAACAAAGCTCGGGCTCTTCGAGGGGAGCTCTACTATGCCTTCACCCCAGAGTTGGTCAACGCTCGGCGGCGGTGTGGACAGGCTTGTGAACGATACAACAACGCTGGTGAAATCACTCGCAGACGTCAGGTACAGATGTGGAGAGAGTGAGCATACCCACAGCAAGCATCCTTTTACTGCCCTAATGCTCTCCAGCATCGTAGGCGACAAGACGCCCTTACCTCCACCAGCAGCAACGGAAGAAGAAGACGAAGAGCTATTTGCCGAGGACGCCTGGGTAGAACGACCTATCCACATCGACTACGGCACCAACGTGGAACTGGGACAGAACGTCTTCATCAATTTCAACTGCACAATCCTCGATACTTGCAAGGTACACATCGGAGCAAGAACGCTAATCGCATCCGGCGTATCGCTCTTCTCTGGAACCCATCCCCTTGATCCAGAAGTGAGAAATGGCACCAAAGGCCCAGAGTTGGGTGCAGAGATCCACATCGAAGAAGACTGCTGGATCGGCGGGAATGTGACCATCTTGCCAGGAATCCGGATTGGGAAAGGATCAACCATTGGCGCCGCCAGTGTTGTTACAAAGGTATTTTGTCCAAGTGGGATCGTTTTTGGCTACGACTGACAGTTTGCAGGATGTCCCGCCATACTCCGTGGCAGCGGGAAATCCAGCTCGCGTCATTCGACAGGTTCCACGCGGAACCAAGGCAGAAGAGACCAGCGGTGCGCTTGCAGCGCTCAAAAAGGATCGAGCTGGAGGGCTGTGACTTCTTTCCGAAGTCTCGCTATACGGTACGGGATCGGACCCGAAAAGGTCACAGCCCAGCGCCCGAGCGCTATCAGAGCATCCTCAGCTCGAAGATGTTCCCATTTCTTAACCTGACTAGAGTCTCACGAAAGCAATAGTCCCAGTGATAGAATCTCAAGCCTCGACTGCCGTCTCTGCGAGTCGAAACACGTTTCAAAGATCGAGAACCGAGAACGTGAAGTCACTCACTTGCGAAAGCCAACGGCTACTCCCGTCTTCCGCGGAAGCGAATCCATCATGACCACAGGACTACCTTTGAAACATCAAGTCGTCAACAAGCATCCAATTCAGCCAACCGATTCCAAAGTTCAACTTCAAAAACACAACCATGGCCGACGCGAAACAGCAAATAATGGACCAAGTCCGCCAACAAGCCGCCCTCGCAAACGCCCGCGCATTAGTAGAAGTCCGTCCTTCCTTCCCCTTCGATAAACCAAACTCTCATTCCGTCTCTCTAACATTTCCTGGCAAATCGAATAGAAACTCAACGAACACTGCTTCGAGCGCTGCATCTCCAAACCCGGCACTTCCCTCTCCTCGGGCGAAACGAGCTGCTATACCTCCTGCATGGAGAAATACATGGCGTCCTGGAATACCGTTTCGAAGCAATACCTGTCGCATGTGCAGAAAGGAGTGGGGAGTGGGCAGTCTTTCGGTGGCCTGTGAGTGATGGAAGGAAGAGTTTGAGTTGATTCAGCGGAATTGTACAGTGAGACCGGAGCATTGCGAGGCGTTCTGTGGGAGAGGACAGAGGATTCGCGCGACGCAAGAGAAGGCAGAAAAAAGAGAGGATTCTGTCTTGTACAGTAGAGTGAGGACACACCGTGAAGGTCATGTATGATTGATTGTATGATATACTCCATGCTCCGCTAAATGCCGGATGTCAATCCATGCCATGCGGGATAACGCCAACGGCTCCACGCTCTTCAATCTATATTGCGTACATTGGTCGAGGTGCAAATCAGAGCGGCACCGGTGCTCGAATTACTTCGAAGCGGGCAGTCCCTTGGGCGCTGGCGGTGGAGTCATGAACGCCTTTTGCCTCTCCGCATACTCCTTCACGATGACACTGCAGGCAACCTCCTGGCAGAGTTTCTTCCTTCGAGCTGGCGGCAGGAGAGTTCCGAACTCGAGCCCGGAAGCACGCTCGAGAGCCTCCACGGGCACTTCGAAGTCCTGGAGCGGCTTGTCGTTGGGAATGACAGCGTTGGGCAGCACGAACGCACCCAGGCTGACTTTTCCGTTCGGCTTGCCATCCTCCGCGAAGACGATCTTGTAGAAATGTGTAGGCACCGCAACGTTGGGTGGATGTCCCACCACCTCATACGACACTCTCCACTTGCCGTCTGCTTCCCGCTTTGGAAGATATAGGGGTCCAGTAACGATTCGTACGGACGGGTAGTAAGATGTCAATCGCCGGCAAAAGTCCTCAAAGTGTGCCCAGTAATCCCTATTGAAGCCCTCTCCCACTTGCGGACACATGTTTGACAGTGCAAAGGTCGAATCCATCGCAACTTGGCTCCACTTTGCGTCTGCAGCAGGGACTTGGTGTCCGCGGTCATAGCCTGAGCGGAAGTAATCCTTCAGCTTTGCCCTAAATTTCTCGGGGATGCTTGTGTCCTCTGTGAATACCGAATGTCTCCTGTCTCCGTTCTGCATCAGCAAGCTTGCTGGCGTGATGTGTTCTGCTACCCAGTGGGGGTTTCGTGTGGCTCGGTTGTAGGAGGAGGTAAGGGAGGGCGCACTTCGAATGTCTGCGACTGGGCCGGGGAAGCCATATTGGAAGAGACCTGCCGGGTCGACTGGAGGGATCGCAGGCGCCTTGGTCGCATTATACGGCGCTGGTACCGGCGCTGGAGGTGGAGGGGTAGTCGTCGTTCCTGGTGAAGCTACGGTAGTGGTAGTAGTTGCGACGGTTGTGCTTGGAGTCTCTTTCTGCTTCGAGCTGTAGAAGACCGCGGTAGTGGCAGCACCAACAGCCGCGGATGCGGCAGCGATGAGGAAGTGCGACATGCTGGGAGCGCTACCCGACATCAGGCATCAGATCCAGGCGACGAGCTATCCTCCTCCTTATATCTTCCTCTTGGCCTGCTCAGCACGGGATCATGAGAGCAAAGTCATCTGGTGCCCTGATGTCTCGGACGCGCTTGGACGCGCCGCGATGTGGGGCGCGAAATGTGTCGGCCAATCACACGAGCACGAGTGAGATGGTCCACAGCAACATGTGACAGCGTCTCTTCATCCTTTCTATTCACCATCTACCATCGATTTTCACGGTCTTTCCTCCTCCTGTGCGAACATTGTAGCGGACGAGTGTCTTCTTCGAGAGGCAGACGACGCAGTACAGTCTGCTCCGAGCTGGAGAAGCGAGCGTGTCTGCCCAGGCTGGTGTTGCCGCTGTCGCGAGCCTTCCACGCAACGCGATATGAGAGGTCGGACGCGTTTGCTCTGGCAACTTCTGGTGTCTGCCGCAGGAAGGAGATGTATATGAGGTGGCGACAGAGCGACTGTGGACTCGGAAGGCACGACTCTGCCTCACGGATAGCAATTGCCATCTCAGTCGCCTCTCTTTCCTCTCGCGGCACAGCAAGGCGCCGGGCATGTGAATTGCAGTCGAGTCGCTGATCACATCACAGTCCGCATCGACTGCTCTCCGCTCTGTGGACTGTACCTATTCACAAGACGGTGTTCACAATAGCCGCATTGCTGCCTAGGCGTGCCTGGCGTCCATTCGGCATCTTCACTTGCCACGATTGCTACTTGCTACCGTGAACATCCAACACCCTCTCGCGAATACTCCAGCACAACAACATGCCGACTGATGACCAATGCCGTCGAGTGTGTAGTCATGCGACCATCGAATAATGACGGTCAGCCTTCACGAACGTACCGCCGACATTGCAAAAACCGCAGCTACAGGCGTCAATTCTTGCGCCAGCATGCATCTTCTCCGCCACCGGACTCACAACAACACCACAATATCCACGACGCCAACTCCCGCATGACTTCGTTTTCTACTCACCCTCAGCAATATGGTATAGACACGGGCGTCTTCAGCGGCGCGCAAGCCTATAAGCCTCACGAGTTCGGCCATCCTCACCAAGAAGCCCCGCCGCAACCCACAGATCCGTTCTGGTGGCAACATCCAAGTTGGACAATGCCTAACCAGAACTCATATTACTACCCTGGATATGGCTTCTTCGATCGCCCCCTTTACCTCGACTACGCAACGGACGGACGGCCAGTAGTCGTCGGATATGGCCGCAAACTCTCCGCCAAGCAAGGCAGTGGCAGGAACACGCCCATGCAAAATCACATCATGCGGATGGTGTCCGTATATAACGGCGATGACTTTGTGCAGAAAATTCCTTTGAAGCTCTTATTTCGCTTCTCGGACGCTGCGCGCCAGGCATTCCCCAAGCCGCCCAAGGGCGCCGATTCTCAGCGCAATTCACAGGCCACTCAAGCGGACAATGAGCAGGATGCCGTAGCTTCTGCTTCAATGAGGCTGAGTCCGGACGCTTCAAGCAAGTCTACCAGTTGGGCCGACGAAGTCAGCAGCATCGTCAGTACGAAAGGCGGCCCATCTCCCGTCAGCACAGAATCGGTTGCTCGTTCCTCCGCAGACACAGCGTTCACAGACTTCACCTACACCAAGCCTGCCATGAGGGCATCTCCGGCTAGAAGTCAAAGTCCCGCGCCCTTCGTCAGAACAATCCCTCGGGACGCGCACGGCCATAGGATGCTCAAGCTCGATTTGCAAGCAAAGGAGATGCCGACCAACCAAGCCGTTGCAGATGTACTCAAGTGGATGAAAGACAACGAGGACGTGCCGCGCGATGGCCGGTTGCTCGAGTTCGCTCCGCCGAACCTCGACGACGTTCTGCTCGAGAACCTCGTGGATTACTATCAGGCGGTTTTGGCGTTAGGCATGATGCCATTCCCGCACAGGCTGAGGAAGGCGATTCTCGACCGCATCACACGCGAGGGTATTGACTTCGAAACTTTCCGCAACATAACCGGATGGGTCCCTTCCCAGGATGTAGTCGTGACGCGCGCGATCAATGTCTACCTGAACCTAAAGAAGCGAGGGGCTTACACATCCGAAGATTTGCGTCAGTTTGAGCATGTGCTGTCACAGCCTGACAGCGAGGAGTTGCAGGCCAAGGTGGAGGAAATCAGGAACACTCGCGAAGTTGGGCCGGAAGAACTCTACGCCGAAAAGCGGCAGCAAGAGTTTGGCAAAGGCAGCTCGAGCCCTGCGGAGCCTACGAGCTCAAGTGCAAGTGGCCGAGGAGAATCCTCAGACGCCGGAAAGCCGGACGGCGCAGATCAGCCAAAGACTGGCCGCCGGCGTCGAAGACGTGATCAGCAGAAAGAGGGCACCCAAAAAGGCAATGGCAGAGGATTGGAGGGAAGACATGTGCCCGGTGCTGATTGAGGGGACACTCGTCTGCTGAAGACTTGAAAGCCCAACCCATGGCTCTGCTCCGGCGCATACACATAGATTTGAGGTTTCTTGCCTTCAATGTATCAACAACACCTTATACTTTCCATCGCCTCATCATGTGATCGTCATACAGTGGCTATGCTTGCGTTGTCCTGCCAGCACCTAAAAAGCTCCCGGATCCCGGCCAACGAAGTTGGTGGAGCTCTTGCCCGCGACGGCGGCAGCTCACGCCCTAGCTATGTGCATTCACTTATTAGTGCTGACCCTATCTACCTCCTAGACGAGGGAAACTTCTGGCTTCATCATTCCAACTTCGCACTGCCCAATTAATTCCTCCTCCGCAAAGTTCCGGAAATGTCTTCCAAGAAAACCGCAATCCTCACGGAAAACGCCCCACAGTTGCCGGGGATCCTCAACCAAGCCATCGTCGCCAACGGCACCGTCTACTGCTCCGGCCAAGTCGCACTCGATCCCGCCACGGGGAAACTCATAGAGGGAGATATCAAAGCTCATACTGTAAGAACGACACCTCCCTCCCTCCCACCAAAGAAAAAACCAAAAAAAAAGAAGAAGAAGAACCCAAAAAAGAAGGGACATAAATAACTGATAAATGGGATGAATGGATATATATAGCACCAAAGTCTCAAAAACCTCACCGCGATCCTGCAAGCCTCCGGCACGACGCTCGAGAACGTCGTCAAGGTCAATGTTTTCCTGGCGGATATGCGGGATTTCGGCGCCATGAATGAGGCGTATGCGACGTATTTCGGGGAGGTGAAGCCTTGTAGGACGTAAGTTTTTTCTTTTTTGACTCCCCCCAAAACAAAATCTATCCTTCCATTGCAATTCCACAACGACAAGAGCCATCTCGCTGACTTCGGGGACGATTTTATCTATAGTTGCGTTGCTGTCAAGCAATTGCCTTTGGGAACGGATGTGGAGATTGAATGTGTCGCGGTCTTACCGTAAGCGAGACAGCATGTCCCCTCTCCCAATCCAAGGACGAGCAGTCCGGTGAACTGACGGTGTGGTCTAGACAAGAAGGAAGCTTGCGCAGCAGACTGTGATAAGATCCAGATCAGAGGGAAGAACCTCATCAAACAACGAGATCGCCATCATATACCGCTTCGTTAAAGTTATGTCATCAGAATCGAAGTTGACCTGCTATTTGTTGCAAAAAAATCCCAGATTCGTGTTTCTTCCTTCATTGCCACATCGCAAACATAACAAAATCTCCGCGAAATATCCATCAACGCCGTCGCTAATTGTCAAATTGAGGCGCAGCCGGACTCTGCCTCGGAGAATTGTAGTAAATCATACCGCTCGAGAGCTTCTTCGATCTCGATCGTTTCGGTGTTGATTGCGGTAGATCGTGTGAAGCTGATTCCGGTTCTAATTCTGGTTTGGGTGCTGTACTAGGCCCTGCCGCATAGGGGGATTCTGGACGATTATCTATCCGTTCCGGCATGATAGGTGTCCCTGGCCGTGATCCAAGACGTCCTAATTTCGAGCCTGATCTTGAGAGATGGAAGTGAGGTTTGTGATGCGCGTCGATTGACAAGCGGTCTTTGATTCTGCGCAGAATTCCGGGCTTTGCGCGCGACTCATGCGAGCGAGCTGGTGATGGTGCTTTTGCTGGTGGGTTCGTTTGTCTGCTGCTCGGTGGCTCAGCAGCTAACGACCCGATGCCCATGGTTCGCGCTGCTTTGGAGCTGCCCCGAGTTGGCGTGATGGGAGGCTGGCTAGGAGAGGGAGCAGAAACGACCCGTTTTTGCTCAGGTGCATAGTCTTGCGGCCCTTTCGCTCTCATAAGAGACCTTTGGGTTACTGGCTGATGCTGCACCGATCCCCTCCGCGGCTGAGAATCGGCTTCGACGGGAAAATTGATTTTTGGCACAGCTGGAGGTTCTGGGCTGATTCGGCGTCGCTCCTGGGTACCTCGTGGCAGTGAAGCCGACCGTGGAATTGACGTGGATGTTCGGGGGTTGCTAGTTCGAATGGCTGTTTTGGGTCTCTCCACGGCACGAGATCGTCGTGCTGCTACAAACTCATCTTCTGGATCTGTACTAGTGTGTTGTAGAACTCCCGGACTACCATTGACCCGCCGTAGGTTGATATTCTCGAGCTGTGTCGAGTCTCCCTGCAACTGTCCGAACTCTTCTTCGAACCTGGTTGGGTCAACGGAGAGGTCTCCCTCGAGCTGTTGACGATTGTTTAGCAGATCAGCAACCTGTTGATCGTACTGCTGCGTAACATGGTGAAACTCTTCCGCGTGCTTCAAAGCAATCTGTGACTTGCGCTTGGCAATCCGTTTGTTGTAATCCTTTACTAGGCGTTCTTCTGCCGTTCGCAACTCCTGGGCTTCGTTCACAGGAAGACTCGTGAGCATTGCGGCCGTTGCATTTAAATCATCGTGAGCAGAACCGTATCTGGCGATAAGTGCTCTCCTATCCTCTGCAAAGGCAGTGGCTTGCTGCGACATAACCATCTTTTCCATTCGATCTTTGTCTGCTGTCAAGCCATCAAGCTTGGCTTTGTAGGCTGCGGCAAGCTGATCTTTCGCGCGTTGCAGCTCGCCAACGTGTTCTTGTATCTTCCGTGCAAAGAGAGTCTCATTGGCCGTGATGACACTACCCAGCTCAGAAAGCTCAGCGTGGGCAGAGCGAAGGTAGTCCTCGAACGAGCGATTCTGCCAGGCTGTATCGATCTCGTCCTTGGCTTGCCGTCGATCGGGGCTCATGGGTGTACCGGGCGTGATACTTCGCAGACTTTGGCGTCGCTCTTCTCTTAAGTGCTTTGCAGCAGCCAGGTCAACTTTGGGTTCCGAGGCGGAAAAGTCAGTCTGCACTTGCGCGTCGCTCGTCTTGCTGGGTGGCATCCTCGGCCTTGAGCGCTGAGCAAGCAACGCTTCAAGCTCCTTCACAAGGAACTCATTTTGCCTCGTCAACTCACTCTTCTCATCGAGGTGCTTCTGTAAAGTGAGTCGCACATTGGCACGTTCCTCCTCGAGCCCGGTGACCTCATCTTTCAGAGTGGCGAGTTCGAGCTGCGTGCTTCTCGTCCTGGTTTTGGGGGATCTCGCGTTAAGTGATGACCGCCTTTGATGTTCTTCGAGTGACGACTGCACCTTCTCAAGCTGAGTGGTGAGATCATCCCTCTCATACTCGAGAGCAGCGATCTGCTCGTTGGAGGCCCTACTTGCTTCAGCCATCTGTTTGTCGGACTGTGTGACTTGCTGACGAAGCATGGCGAGCGATCTCTCAGTATCTGCTTGACTGGTGAGAGACGCATCCAGGCGACTTTGCAAAGCTGCAATCTCCGGATCATAAGAATCCTTCTTCGACGCAGTCTCTGCCGCCATCTCGCCCTGATGTCGAGATGTGACCTCAGCAAGCTGCGACCGATGCTCTGATTGAAGCCGTAGGAGCTCGCTAGTATGGGCTTCGGAAGCTCGTTGCGCGTCTTGCTCTGCTGCAACTCCGGCTTCTTCCAATGCGGACTCCAGCTCCTTTTGATTGGCGACTTCAAGGTCAGCGAGTCGAGCAGCGGCTTGCTTCTGATGCATTGCTTGAATTTGACCGACAGCGTCCTCGTGGCGATTCTCGAGATTCCTGATCTCTGTCTGGCTATTCAGGCGGACCTGTTCGACAGCTGCGTCGAGCGTCGCTCTATGTTCGTCTTCAGCTTCAGATATCCTGGCACTCGCTTCATCGTGAGCTTTCGCCGTGGCTTGCGCAAGGGCTTCCACGTGTCGTTGCTCCAGATCCCTCAGCTTTGACGCTGTAGACTCGTCGCTCGTGTTCAGGGCAGCGGCGAAAGCTTGGTCATGTTTTGATTTGAGTTCCGTCATCTTCGCCGTCCATGCGGCATCTTGATCGCCAAGGGCTTGTTCATGCTGGGCTTTGGCTTCCTCTAACCGTGATTGCAGTGCATCCTCACGTTCTGCGCGAAGCTTCTCCATCTCGTCATGGTTGGCCTTCGCAGATGCTTGCAAAGACTGCTGGTGCTGTGATTGCTGGCTGGTGAACCTGTTGTTCGAAGTGCTCTCTGCCTCAATGAGTCGTGTCTGCAGCGTTTGGGCATGTGCGTCTTGCATGTTAGCAAGTTCTTGCTTCAGCGAAGCTAATTGGCGCTCATGCACTTTGTTGGCAACGCTGAGAGCCACTTTACCTTCCTCCCTTGCTGTCTCGATGGCGGCTGCATGGTCTTTGCGGATCTGGTCGAGTTCAGCCTCAGCAGCCAGACTGCTTTCGCGGAACGCGCCTTCGTGCTTTTGTTGGGACTCAATGCCTGCGCTCTCCATTGCTTGGCGAACTTCTTCAATCCTTTTCTCATAATCGATTGACACAGCGCTTAGCTTTGACTCGTGTTGGGCTTTCAGCTCCCGTGCTGCGTCTTGATGACCAGTGGCAGCCGTCTCCAAAGCCGCTGCGTGCTTCCGGCGAGCTTCATTTAGCTCTATAGCAGCATGCTCTTTGAGAGAATCAACGTTCGCTTGGTGCTTTTGCTGTAGCTCCTGGTTGTGTCGATCATTGGCTTCTCGCAGATCCTCTAGCTGCTTGTCATATTCTGCCCTGAGGTTTGAAACGGTGGCTTGGTCTTCTTGTTGATGTTCAAGCAATCTCTGATTATGTTCCGCATGCATCGCTCCAGTCTGTACAGTATGTTCTGCTTTGAGACTCGCAATCTCGCTTTCATGCTTCCGCTGCACCTCCGCGTTAAAATTGTCTTGCGTCTTTTGGAGCGTTTCAGTCTCTCTAGACAGTGCTTGAGTGAGCGCCACGCCGTGCTCCGATTGCACTTGCTGGAGCCTTTCAGTATGTTCCTTCTCGCGTACTTGGAATTGAGACTGCAAAGCCTTGATCTCGTTGTCGTGGGCGGCCTTCAGATCTGCAAGTTGTCCGTCGTAGCTAGCCTTCAAAACGTCAGCGCGAGACGACGCCTCGTCGCCGCCTTTGCGTAGCTCTGACTGCAGGCTCTCGCGCTCCGTATCGTGCTTTCGTTTGAGAGTCTCCACCTCTTCTGCGTGAGACGTACGAAGCTGGCCGGTCAATTGTTCGTGCTCAGCTAGAGCCGCAGCTAGACTGACTTTGGTCGCCTCAAACTCACTGCGAAGATCGCTCACTGCAGATTCGTTTGTGGAGTTCAAAGCTGCAATCTGCGCAGCGTGATCAGAGCGGAGTTGAGCAAGAGCATGCTCGTGCTCTTCCTTGTTTGCTCGAGCCTGTTGCGTGGCGTCCCGAAGGCGAGATTCGAAAGCCGTTTGTGTCTCGTTCAATGCTTTCTCATGGCTGTCTCTCAGACCGCTGATAGATGCATCATGGCCTTTCTGCAGCTGAGAACGCTCAGCGCGGCTTGCGTCAAGAGCTGCTTGGTGGTCCGCGATCAAGTTGTCTTTCTCCTGCTCCAGGCCTTTGACTTTGGCAAAAGCATCGTTGGCCAGCATACGCAATTTCTCGAATCGGCGGAGCCTTTGCTCGGAGACATCTTGAGCATCACTCATCGCCCTTTCGTGAGTCGCTTTAAGCTGCTCCGTGGCGCTGGCATGCTCGCTTCGTAACTGCTCTAGTTGCGCGTCCTTGGCGGAGAGCTGGCTCTGCAACTGGAACACTTTCGTGCGGGCGATCGACTCAGCATCATCAAGTTGGCGCCTCAAATCATCCAGCCTGTTGCCCGATGCCTGAATCTGGTCTCCGTGTTCTGCCTTAAGTGCTTCGATCTGACCGAGATGCTGTAGACGAACGTCTTCAGCTCGACCGCGGGCTTGGAAGAGCTCGTCATTGACAGTCCGCAACTGCTCGTCATGGACGTCCCTCACCTTCGTAAGTTCCTTTGAGTGCTCGTCTGCGGCACTCGAGAGTGCTTTCGCCTGCGAGTCCTTGAGGTTATCGAGGGCACTGGTATTATCTGCTTGCAACTTCTCAATCTCGCAGGTGCGATCCGCTAAACGTCGTTCAAGCTCGTCGGCGTGCGCACAGTTGGCTTCATCGAGCGCGTCTTGAATCTGTTGTCGTTCTGCCTCGTGCTTGCTCTGGAGATCGCGGAGCGCCTGTTGATGTTCAAGTCTAGCATCCTCAAACTGCTTCTGTTGGCCCTTGACAAGGCGCTCCTGCTCGTACAGAGCCGAGCCGAGCTTGGTTTGATATTCTTTCACTTCTGCGCGAAGCTCATCAATCTGCTTCTGCTTGCTCTGCCGATCTTTGGAGAGTTCGTCAAAATCTTTGCTGTGCCCTTCTAACTCCCTCAAAGCATCTTCCAACGAGCTCTTGTGCTTGTCGATTTCGCTGACAAGTTCCTTGCTCCGGCTGCCATATTCCTTCTCCATTCGAGAAGTTAGAGCTTCCGCTTGGTCCAGCTTCTTCTGCAAGTTCTGGCTGGCAGATTGATGCGCTTCAGACTCTGTCGCGAGTGCGTTATGCCGCTGCTGTAGAGCTTTGAACTCATCTTTCATAGCACTGGCACTCGTTGCATGTTCGTTGAGTGCTCGCTGCAGCTGTTCCTTAGTCTTCTTGCTCTCTTCTTCCAGTCCATTGATACGCTCATTACTTGCATTCAATGAGTTGTCCAGATCTGTGCGCAACTTCTCAAGCCCGTCAATTTGTCCCTTGGCCTGAGAGTATATGGTCGCCGACTTCTCCTTTTCCGCTTTCAATTGCACCAACTCATTCGCGTGTGTCTTCAGAGACTTCTCCATGCTCTGCAACATCTTACCGAACTCCTCAGCACCTTCTCGACTCTTTTGTAGTTGCTGCTCCAGCTCCCGCTTCTCAGCAGCAGCTTTCTCCAACTGTGCCTTGTATCCATCCAGAGATCCTTCCAGCTGCTCTTTCTCGTCGATTGCCTTGTCCACTTTCAACTCAGCTGCCTCCACAAGCTGCTCTTGTCTCTGCTTTGTAACCATAACCTCCTCCCTCGCCTTCTCCAGCTCCTCTTCCCGCTCATCAAGCACATCTTCCACCTCAGCCTCAGACTCCGTCTCCGGGTCCGCCTGTGAATCTATTCGAGTCAACTGGTGCTCTTGCTCCTCCTTGATCCTCCTTTTCAAGTGATCAAGCTCGTGAAAGATGTGCGCGGTCGTTATCGGCATAGACACGCTTCGCGATCGGAAGATCTGGGCAGTGATACTGCCCTTAGCCGTCGGTGAGGCATTCTGTGAGCGCTTAATCAGGCTCTTGATGTGATCGATCTCTCGTAGGATCGTTCGCGAATGCGGCGAATCCGGTCGCTCTGTAGCATCTGAGGTAGCAAAGGAGACATCGCTCAGAGCCCGGCTGGGTGGCCGTGACCCGCTACCGAACGACAGTCGGTGGTTGTTGTCGGCCATGTTACGGCTAGTTGGATCTCGGCTAATTCGTCATGTTTCACGACCGGCCGCATGTGCGTCGACTCCCATATCTTTGTGTTCCTTCTGATCGATTCCTTGTCACACCTTTCGCAAACTTGGATAGGTGTTTGCTTTTTGTAGGTCTACTCAAATGACGATTAGTGAATGTGTATGGTCATTAGCGGCCTCATTAGCGGCCGTTGAATGTTAGACCGGACAATTCGAACTCTATGTAATATTGCTGAACGAATGAAATACCGCCGATGGTCGTATTACCAGGATAAATACAAGAATGCAACATGCCCTCCAACACTAAGATGTGAAGGGATGTTACGGCTCGGCAAGGAGGTGGTGTGTTGGCCCATGGGGAGCTCCCCGAAGCTTTCCGCGATTCCTGATGATGACGTTATCGTCGGCAGTGGCTCCGTCCGTCGTCAGGCTCCGGGTCGGGACTCGAAGCCACGTTGATCCGATCATAAAGCATGCATGCCCAACCAGGAGATTCTTTCGCAGTATCAACTAATCCGGTATGGAAAAGGGACAATGTAGTAGCCTCAAGAAGACGACGATTACCGGTAAGACATGCGATGCCAATCCCAATGAGAGGAGCGCTGCCTTGCCTTGATACTGACATTCATTTCTTGATGCAGAAGTCGTGCATCGGCAATGTGATCGCACGCTTGGCGAGACGATCCGTGACAGGTCACAGACACTTTCACTCGTATTCTCATTCCTTCCACGCTTCCACATCAGGTGCATTTTCCCGGTGCTCGCGGTCATCATTGGCAGCAAGGCAAATGAACACTCCCTGTGGGACATCTCCGACCACTCCGCTTCCAGACCAGATCATCGTAAGATTCAGCGACTCTGACTGACGATGCCTCCTAGAGATATCCAGCTGTCTTTTGAGCCATTCTACTTCTTCGTGATAATGCTGTTAAGCAGTCTGAAGCAAGGGATCGTGCTTCATGGTGCGCATTATCCGGGTCCATGTGCCTGTACTGTAGGAGTCTCGCTGTGATGTTATGCCCTGGGTCGATGCTCTCGTTCATCTTGGGGCACTACTGCGGGGTACGGCGAGTTTTTCTATACTCAGTTCGTGTGATAATGCTTGGAGGACCGCTGCTAATTTGTCGCTGCATCGCCGTTCTCAATGTCCGCTGAGCGAGCAGCGGGCTCGGCAACAGTAGATCGAGACGACATGGCGCGTTCCTCCGCATCGTCTTCGTAGCTTGCCCCATTGGTGTGGCCATGAGGAGTACCGCCTGGAAGACCAGTGGGCGGTTGGCCGTACGGGCTCCCATGCGGGAGCGGAGCGGGGCCACCACTTGCCTGAGGCGTGCCTTGATCCATTTGTGCATAGCGGCCATCGTCTGCTGTAGATGGTGCCCGGCCGCCAGGAATTGCCGCCAGGCTTGGATCCGATGTAGTCCGGTGAGCGGAAGGCGTGTAGGCGGTTGCTTGAAATGTGCTCGTTGACGGTACTGCGGGCTGAGAAGCGGGTTGTCTGCGACGTTTATCGCGGTGCGGTCGGTCAGGAGGTGGACGTTCCATCTCTTCGTCGCCGCTGCCATCGCTGCCATCTACATTGACATCCATCCGTTTACGCAGCTCATCCAACAGGAAGGCTCGCTCCAACCGCATCTTCATGACCGCTCTGTCTAGTCGCATTCTCTTTTTCTTGGCCTCATCGTTTGCGGCCTCGACCTCATTCAGTCGCCGTTTGAGTTCGATGCATTTCCGGTAGTAGGCTTTTTCGACGCTCGGCGCGAGAGGAGTGTCTTGCGTTCCTCCTAAGTCGATGTCAGCTAGGCGATCCCCAAGCTTGAAACTGCTGTCACTTGACGCACCCAATGGCGGCATCTGATATAGTGTGAATGGGGTAACGGAAGAGAAAATGGATATCTTCAAGTGTATACGCCGCGCGGTGTATGTGAGTAGAACGATGGTTACTTGGAGAAGAGACACCTCGCGGGTCGCGACTGATCGACGTCCGTGCACCGCAAACGCTCTAACCAGAACAGGCAACAAGCAAATACCATGAGAATGCACGCTACTTAGATCGGTGCTTTGCAAGTCGGCACATTGTATTCGTCGATCGAGAGAAAGATTCGGCTCGGACATGCTGACATGCATCATTACGTGAAATTGAGCAGCACTAATTCCCAGATCTATTTGGACTTCCTACCACTCTCTGATACTCCCATCAGGTCCAAAGAATTCCTTCGGAGCCCAGGGTTCGCTCTCCTTCGAAATCTTCCGAACCATGTCTTCATCAATCTCTATCCCTAGGCCTGATCCGGTGGGAGCATGCACATATCCCTCCTGAATCTTGAACACACTCTGATCCTTCAGATAGGTATTCAGATCGATCTCCCCCGCTTCAGTATTATAATGCATACCCAGAGACATTTCCAGGATCACAAAGTTTGGAGTCGAGAGTCCAACGTGCAGACATGCAGCGAATGCAATTGGGCCGAGAGGACAATGAGGAGCGATTGCTACATCGTAGGCTTCTGCCATGTTTGCGAGACGCCGGGTTTCGGAAATGCCGCCTGCGTGGGCGATGTCCGGCTGTAGAATGTCGATTAGGCCTTCTTCGAGGAAACGCTTGGCGTCCCACCGGTGGTAGAGGCGCTCGCCTAGGGCTATTGGGATGGAGGTCATGCCGGCTAGTTGTTTGAGAGCTTCGGGATGTTCGACGAGGATCGGCTCCTCAATGAACAGCGGGCGATGAGCTTCGAGGGCCTTGGCCAATTGCTTCGCCATCGGCTTATGCAGTCGACCATGGAAATCAAGACCAGCGTTAAGGCCAAGGTCTTTGACGATCTTGAGTCTTTCAACAGTGGAGTCCAGAACGGCCGGCATGTCAAGCCAATTGACATCTTCCGTTGCGTTCATCTTCACGCAAGTCAGCCCTTGTGCCTTACGAGTCTCTGCTGCGGCTTTGACGTCGGAGGGCCTATCGCCTCCAATCCAGCAGTAGACTTGGCATTTATGACGAACGAGTCCACCCATCAGTTCGTATAGAGGAACATTCAACCTTCGCGCCTTCAGGTCCCAGAGGGCAATGTCAATTCCAGATAGAGCAGACATGAAGACCGGACCACCGCGGTAGAAGCCGAGCCGCCAAATAAGCTGCCAAATATGTTCGATGTTGCTACAACTGATGTCAGCATCGTTCTGTTCACAGATCCGGATTGGCTCACTTTGCCTCTAGGCCAACTACTCGGACAATAATCTCCTCCAGTGCGCCTTCGACTGCCAAAGTATGGCCTTCCAAAGTCCCTTCTCCCCAGCCAACGCGGTCGTCCTCGTCGGTGACCTTCACGAAGAGCCATCGCGGCTTGACTCGAAAGTGTTCTACTTTCTTGATCCTAGCCATTTCTGGGCTTTAGTCAGATCCGAGGAGACCAGTCACCACTGTCAGTATGGAGCAAGGTCTTCTGCAGCAATGGACGCCGAAATGATGAATGTAAAACGGATTGCTAGAAAAGAGTAGCCGATGCTTCAATGCAAGCTCCCAAGCAAGCTCCAGGGCAAAATGCCGGTCTTCCTCGTGTCGAGGCAAGTACCCACAAGGGAGGTGAGTTAAGAAGTGCTCCCCGCTTTAAGACTTTGGGGGCGCAAGTCGTCTTCATAGGCTGTGTCTCCTGACTTCTACAGCAGATACCTGAAGCCGGAAGCTTGATGTGTCTCAGTGGGCCCGCTCTTGGCCAGGTTGCCCTTGATCCATCTTCGCGTTTTCTCTTCGAAGGAGGAACGCCAGCGTCGCACAAGCAATCGCAATCACTGCAGCTGCGAGATTGACAGCAAATGCCATAACATAGCGACGGAAGTCATGTTACAGTTAGGCGGTCCAGACTAAGGAGTTGGTGTCAGTAGTGCTTCTCAAAGGCGGTATAGTTGGTCAACCTCCCTGTTCGGAGTGTTACAGATGCAGTTGATCAACGCAATAGCGGCGGCACGCTTAATTGCGGGTTGGGCAAGGCTTCCAGATATCCAGGACAACTGAACGATCGACTATGGGTAGAACGAAGCCGGCATTAGAATCATAGCAACGTCTGTCTCACACAAATAGTGCCACTCTGTGAACGCGGATAGGTCGTGGCGATACTTGCATCGAGCTGCAACGTTGAGAGTGGATACGGCGATGATGTTGGCGACCACAGTGACGACAACAGGCAATGCAACGTGAAGGCAATGTTCTCTTCTCTGAGACGGATTTCAGCAAGTTTTTCCTGTTGAACTTCGCTGCCTTACCTTGTCGCTGTCACATTCAACAATTGACATGCAAATAACGCAGAGTACGAATAGTGGCTACAAACATTAGTCTAAACGCTTGGAATGACAACAAGTCTGACATACCGCAGTCAACCCATATGTCTCGTTTCGGGAGAATCCAAGACCACCTACCACCGTAGGGAAAAGGTTATTGACCTGCAAATCGATTAAAAGGGGGAATACGTCTTGCGCCGACGTTTGACTTGCCGCAGCAGCTGTTTAAGTCTAATGGTTGTCAGTGATTGTGACACTGATTGGCTTGTAGTCCACACATACCGCATAAAGTGTAGCCATTATAAGCCATGTCTTCGGATCGCTAGCAGCCATAATAAAGCCTTGCTTTGCTGTGATCTCACGGCAGTCATCCTGCTGCTTTTGGTCGCTCTCATAATTCCAGCGAAGCCACTCATGCTCCACCTGGTTGAGTCCCAGGATTCGACTTGGTGAGTTTGGTAGATAAACAAGCGAAGACAAAAGCGATGCCGATCGTCAGCACGCCTTCGATCAGGAACAGCCACTGCCATTCCTCAAGGCCGTGCTTCCCATCAAGCTTCATAACTCCAATGGGAAGCAAGTGCCAAAAGCGTTCCTTGATTCACTGCCAGTGTAAAGAGTAGCCGTTCGAAATGCGATCTGCTTTCGGTTGTGAAACGTGGAGAGGAAACAGAACGCTCCAGGAAAGAAGACCGCCTCGACGACGCTCAGAGTGAACCTGCAAGCGGCCAGGCTCCCGAAGCTATGAACAGCAGCTGTACACGCAGAGACCGCGCCCCAAACAGCAACTGCGGCACATATGTAAACTGCGGGATATCTGATTTTACTGACGAGCAGAATGAACGGCACCTGCATCAAAATTTGAACAATGTTAGTCACAGGCTACTAGTCGCCGCTTCGGATAATGGCATACTGTAACCAGCGAAAAGTACGCTGATGCAAAGCATTGTACTCCGTGACTGAAAGATTGAGATCTTCGATGATGTTCGCCAGTTTTGACGCCGCTATGTTTGTCTGTCTGCGCGCTCTTCAGCTGAGGTGTTGGAGGACTGCGCTCTGAAGACTCACTTAAGTAGTTGAGGATATAGATGATAGTCAATGCTGGCATGACAATTAGGTCGAGTTTTCGTGACGCCTTGACGCCCAGCTTCTCGACTCCTTCGTCGAATAATCCACGACGGCTTGCTGGGGACGGAACTTCTCCATCTTGTTGAAATTTGAGATCTTCAGGTTCGTAGTGTTCGACTTGGTCGGTCAAGCTTTTTGCGTCTGCCATTGTTGGCATTTTCAAGTTAAGTGGCGTGGTGGATAGCCAAGGCCTCGACTACGGGGTCAGAGCTTTCTGAAGATAGCCCTGAAGCTGGAATGTTGGGTCTGTCTGTCCGAGCATCCACAGCCATGTCGTTCGAGTGGATCCGCAAGCCACAAATGTCGACGCGTGGCATGTGACTTAGAGCGAAATATCTCTGACCTACCAACAGGCTTGAGGTCATGATTGGCATCCCGTCTCTGGAGAGTATCCTCGATGTTGTATCTTCCTTGGTCGCGAGGCCGTGTGGACCATCTCAGGCGAGACTCTCCACATCGATGGCGGGTAGTCTGTTGCCAGGCAGGACGCGTCGCATTCGCGTGCTAACTTCGCGTAGGCGGATGAATTGGTGAGGTATGTTTGACAAGGAGTGACAGTGGCTCGATCTTGTCCCTCCAAAGCCTTGCGAAGGCTGCGGGCTTCGGCATATTTACACCAACCTTGATGACGATGGTGATATCACGTTCACAATGGTCTGGCGATGAAAGCGACATGAAGTCCGGCCGAGAACAGACGTCAAGCAAAGCAGAGCCCCCCACGCCCCCAAATTTGAGGTGGGGAGGAGAGACCCCACAACCCCCACCCCAACCCCAACTCCGACCTCACATCCCACTTCATCCCCTTCTCATCTCCATCCACCTTTCGCCAAGCAATTTCAACGAAACGCATGAGCTCCACGGCGTCGAAACAGTACACAGCATTGTGCGACATTGTCACGTGAGGGCCACGTGGACTTGCATGTCATCGAAATCCTCCATCTCCAGATATCACGCAACTACGGAAGAGGCCGGGTATAGGATTTGGTGCAGCTGAAGTTGGAGCAAGACCACAGGATCTCCAGTATTTTGGGATGACGAGATGGAGCATGACGAACGCGACGGGGAGTCTCAGCCGCCCTTGAAGCGCCATCGGGCAAGTCGTGCTTGCCAGGCCAAGTGTTTCGAATGCCATCAACCTGGATGTGGCAAGCGGTACTCACGAGCAGAGCATCTGCATCGCCACGAGCTCAATCATAACCCGAAGAAGGTGTACACATGCGAATTTCCGGATTGTGGCCACACATTTGTTCGACCAGACCTCTTTGCCAGGCATAAAGCACGGCACGAGGAGCAGCCTATCGCAAGCACTCCCGCCGATGCGGCAAAGACAGCCTCGGATGTCGACAGCGGTGTCGAACAGCCAGTACAGCACCAGAATAATCTCACCTCCCCTGCTTATACTGCTCCGGTGCCGAATCCCAATCAGAAGCCGCATGCTGAGCCTGGAAACACCGTAACTGACTGGGCTGTACCTCCCCCAGAGACTTTGCTGACACCCGGTACTTCTACGATGTCTGCTGGTCCGTCGCTCTCTATCCCACTAGACGGGTCTGAAGCCCAATCTAGTGCGTCTGATGGCCATCATTGGGTTGCTGCAAACACGTTTTCAACGCAGACGAACGACAATTTTGCCAATTGGCTCTTTGAAAGTCCAGGGTCGCAATACAGCGAGTTCAATTTGACCAATCTGCCTTTCCTCGATTTTGGCCTGGACTACTCTCCGAAGGATTTATGGAACTTTGACGACCACGGTTCGAATAGTGACCCTCATGGATCAGGGTCTCATCCAGTCACACCGAACATCGCACCTGGGGTGGTGAACACACATCCCTATGACAAGAGGGTTTCTGAACAGCTTAAAGCACAGATCGTAACACTGCTTGCGCAATTTTGTAGAAAGGAACACGAGAAGAGCGCTGCTTGGCGCCAAGTTCCGGACCATTTACTGTTCAGCCCGGATGGACAGCATTTCCCAAATTTAAACGCGGACGTCCTCGATAATCTCCTGGCAACCTATTGGCTTAGCAAGCAGATGCCCATCATTCACGAGCCAACATTTTCCACCAAAAGCGCGAATATCTTGTTAGTCTTAACCATGGTCGCAATGGGTGCGTATGACCTGGTACGATCAAGACCAAAGGGAGATCTAGAGCAATATAAAGAGCTGTCCCTTATGATAATGACGCATTTGCGCTGGGAAATCTTCACCGACAAAGACGCACAACCTCCCGTACAGCTATGGGTCGCTCAGTCCCTGTTATTACTTGAGTACTACGAGAAGCAGTGCTCGACCCGCAAGCTTCACGAGCGAGCTCACATACACCATGCCTCGACCTTGACGTTACTTCGAAGAGGCAGCCCCCTAGTAGGTCGTTCAGACAGCGAAAGCCCTGTCAGCGGAACACCAACTCGAGCGACAACACCTGTTCGACACCAGCCAGACAGAAAGCCTGACTCTGCAGATTCGTGGTGGATACAATGGGTCAGGAATGAATCGTTCAATAGGGTCGTATTCACAGCCTTGCAAATGGACACTTTACACGCAGTAATATATGGCCACGCAGCAGACATGGCGCCGTATGAGATACGGCTGACATTACCTTGCGATGACTCATTGTGGGATGCGAAGAGTGCTGATGAGGTTCAAAAGCTGGATGCCAATCTGAAGATGTACGGCATCAAGCCCCTCAACTTCCTCGACGGCCTGAAACGATGCCTGCATGCTCACGAGGTACAAACTCACGCACCTGCACGTATGATATTGATGGCGGGCCTCTTAAGTGTTGGTTGGCACATTAGCCGACGAGAAAAGCATCTGCAGTTTCTGGAAACCGTGCCTTCAATACGAGAGCAGGCTCGCTGGAGGACTCTGCTTCTGAATGCTTTTGGGTACTGGAGAACCAGCTTTGACGAGGCGGTTGGTTCCCGGCAGAGCAGCCTCATGGCTTCCAAACAACAAGAGATGAATATAGCAAAGTCTGCGGTTCTTTTCCATCTTGCTCACATGACGTTGCATGCCGATATCATCGATTGCCAAATATTCGCGGGGACAAAGCGGTTGCTTGGCCGAAGAGTTGCAAAGAAGGTGAGCGACGACTTGCTTCAAAGCGTATTGAGGCTATGTCTAACGCGAAACAGGACTATATCAATGTCGTTCAACGAATGAGATCATGGATATGTACCCCAGTCGCTCGCCATGCGGTCTTACATGCGTTCAAGCTTCTGTACGAAACGCTGGTTAAACCAAGTCTCCCAAAGAAATCGACACCCACAAGTACCGAAATACACCCACCAACCTCGATCCTCTACAATTGCAGAACTGATCCCGTCGTCTTTCGACCCTGGGCAACTTTCCTTGCGGGTCTCATTGTGTGGGCGTACCAGCATGCTTCAAGTCTACACATAACAAGCTCTTCCGCACAAGCACGCCACTTCGGAGGACAAGATGATCACGCGCTGTGCACCAGATATCTGACAGTCTGTGCGGCTATTGAAGATCCGTCTCATTTGCTACCGAATCTTTCTATGCCTGGATGCGCTGCTATACTCGCTGTTCTATCCCAAAAGTTCGCCGATGCGGAGCCTGAACTTCTGCAAGAGGCTTCGAAGCGACTGCAGGAATGTCGGAATATGCTCGCTACTGGCCATGTTGGTTGGCCTTCGGCATGAAGCGTCGGTTAGCAAAACACTCGCAAACCATGTAAAACCCTCGAACTTTCGCTCTCGCATGGCTTCCTTCCTCAGAAACCTTCCACAATGCTTCCAGTCTGCAGACTATGAAGTACTTGTCGGTGGACTCGGTGGCGCGCTAGCGATAAAATGTAACAAGGGCGCGGCAACGTCTCTCATCCAGGATCTCGTCACCTTCTGGGAGCGCAACTGGATGGAAACCCTCGCTATTGTATACGGCGGTTTCCACCTCGACGCCCTTGCTCTCTGCTGCTTTGTAGATCGGGAAGTGCTCCTTAAGCACAGAAGCACGCATCACATTCTTGTTCTCTTGGACTCCATCGGGATATTGAGCCTCATAGAGCTCGGTGCCCACGAATCCTCCGTGAAGACGTACGAGCTTGATCTTAAGGTTCGTGAATTTGGATGGATCGAGGAGGAAGGTCAAGTGGCCGTAGTAGTTGAAGTCGGTCTCCGCAAAAAGTTGTATCGCTCGAACGGAGTGAAGGAGTCGGGCAGAATGAGGCGCAGCTGGGCCAGCTTCTTATTACTTTCGAGGATCTTAACAGTCCGACGAACACACGCACCCAAGCAGAACTTCTTTAGGCCTGTACGAGGATGCAACCCCATACCAACGAGCACCTTTTTGATCTTCTGAAATCTGGTTCCTGGACTCCCGATATTGTTCACTGCCACCGTCGAAAGCGAAACCGTCCCACGGAACATGCACCGCAATCTTACGAATCAGGGCGTGATTGGCAGCACCGATCTTACTCAGCCAGCTGTCGAGTGTGTACCAGCCTCGGTAGCTCGTGAAGCGGAACTCAGTCTCACCATAGAAGATATACGCAGACTCAGAGCCGATCTGCTTGTTCAGGCGAAGCATGCCCAGACACGGCGTGATCTCTTCGCGGAATCTCTTCATGTGGTGATCGCGAGCGTCCTTGTTTTCGCCATGCTGCCGATTCGTCTTAGGAGATAGGTCGATGTACTCTGGATCTTGGACGAGCACCAGGCGGTAGATACTGTTGCGGATCTCGGCGGGCAGGTCGACGAAAGTACTCCTCCGCACAGGCTTTGCAGACTGCGGGTCATGTTAGCGACTGCATGCTACGAGGTACTCATATCGGAAAGAACTCACAATGTGCTCGGCGCTGATACGCTCAAATTTCAGCTCGGTGAAGGGGATGCGATTGTGTTCTCTAATAGGGCGTCGAGTCCATCCAGAACGTGTGATGTCCACCGCGCCGTTCGCAGAGGCGGTTACAGAGCGGCCCATAGTACTTTGGCCCTTTTCCGAGTCCAAGACGAAGGACGAGTCGCGCACAACAGGCTTGGAGGTTGGTGTGGCAGCATAGAGCACCATCATCTCCACCTGCTGTCCAGCCGAGGACTTGGTCGCGTAGGAAGGTAGGAAGGGTGTCGCAGTCGGATCGAGTCTTGAAGGCATAGTGATATTTTGCCTTGAATTGACTTAATGACAATGTCGAGCGCGGACGTGAACAGGCGCGGCGCAAGTATATCGAGGTGTGGGCTGGTAATGCTGGTAATAGTAGAGGGCCGAGGGATGGATATATGGAAAAGGATAGGAGGAAGAATGAGAGGAAGCGTAGCTCATTCATATTGCAACGTGGTCAAAGCGTCTCGGTACAGGCAAAGAAACCCTGACAATTAACTCACATGCTTCGTTCCTTAGCTTCGTCCGCGAGGAAGCGATAGTGTCTAGAATACTACAATTCACCTAAAGGGAGACAAATAAACAACGATACATGTAACGTATAACCTAAACAGACCTATGAGGAGGTAGCTCTCTGCAGGTTAAGCAAATTACGCCATAAATAGAGGACAAGATCCAGTACGGAAGATATAGAGAAGGGCTGCAACTAGCAGCCCGCATCTTCACATGTCACCCCACAAGCCGGTTAATCTTCGGCTGAATGCTTACGGAAACGCCTGGAGTGGAAAGCAAGCTTTAAATAATATATTTGCAGCACCCGTTCTATAAAGAACGCAAGTGGAATTCATGGAGTGTGGCCTATGTGCGTTCTTCCTCTGAGGCAAACTCGGGGGTCTTATAGGTTGGTTGGGTGGATATATATAGGTGGGCCGATGTGCCCGCCTATATTTATGCTCTTATTTTGCTTGATTTTTCAATTGTGGGACTTTTCGTACTGTTTCTAATGATGGTGGAATCCGTGGTCGGAGTCGTCGCGCATCAGTTGAAATTTTTTGGGTCGATCCAAAAAGGGAGGCTCGCGACTTTGCGAAGCCGGACTTTTTTTCTATTGGTTTCTTGGCTCGACACCTAATACAGTATCAGCGCATGGAATACATGACTTGAGCATTGAATTGCACCCTCGAAAATGGTGCATCTACACGAGCGTCAAGCCGGGCTTCCAATCCTTCGGGTCTAGGAACGAGGGGGCAGACGTGTTTGGAGTAGTCGCTGGTCTCGCCGTGTTGGTACAGTGCAACTCTCAACTATAGGTCCGACCATGGCCTTGTAGCTTAGTAAATGGTCTTTACGGTGGTCATTTAGGTTTGAATGCCTTGTACATACTCACAAAGTATCTCATGACGCACCGTAACATCTATCCTCCTTCAATCTTTCGGTAAACGTTTCAGCCGCATTCGCAGCAGCAGCAGAATGGTGACCATATTTCATGCCACTTGCAGCCATTTTGTGGACTACAAGCCCTTGGCAGACTTTCCTGCCTGTGACATGACATAATAGCACGGGACCTGTCTGGCAGCTCCGGGCCCTTCATTTTGCCTTCTCGAACGCTCTGCAGTATCTTGATCATGGAAATTCAAGAAGCCATGAATCAAATGCATATGATCCTACATCTGCAGGTTTGCAGGTCCTATTGCCGTAGATGGCCTCGATCGCGTATCTGGTCCACCCGACGGCGAACTGGAAAGCGAACTGGGTAAGTCTGAATGGTCAGGGATTTTTTGGCTTGATCCGATGACATCTTGCTCGTGATCGTTTCTCTAAGGTATTGCGAAGTTCTACTACGGAGATAGACGTTGTTGAGATTATCTGTCAAGAACGATGGCAGAGAAGAGGTGAAAGCTGCTGGAAGTGAAGTCCTAAACTGAAAACACGCGATTCCAAAAGCGGAAGGAACAACGCGAACTTCCAAGACGCGTGTGAAGCGACTCGAAGACTTTATTTACAACGCCAATTCTACTCCTCGCATTTCACCCCGCCACACCCTTCTTGGACCTGCGCCCCTCCTCTCAAACGAAACGTCGCGCTTGGATCGAACTTTGCGCATTGCTCCGAACAACGTCCAATTCACGAGCAAAACCGTTACAATGGCGACCTCACACCAACCCTTCCCATCACGCCCATATACTTCGGGTCTGACACGTGGCGGCGGTGCAGGCGGTGCAGGACCTTCGACAACACCCTATGCGCAAACGCCTTTCAATGCGCCGCAGCAGAATCCCTCTGGCGCAGGAGCATTCGGCGGAGCAGGCGCAACGACCCAACAACAGCGCGAAGCCCAGCGCCTCGAACGCGAAAGGCACGAGCGCGCAGACAGGGAAAGAAGAGAAGCAGAGGAACGCGCGGCACTAGATGCGCTGAATGAAGAGCAAAGAGAAGAGATCAACGAAGCCGTAAGTCCACAACACCTGCTCCTCACTACCGGACGAAATGCTGATCTAGGGATCTTATCTATACAGTTCTCCCTCTTCGATCTAGACAAAGACTCCCACATCGACTACCACGAACTGAAAGTCGCCCTCAAAGCCCTAGGCTTCGAAGTCCCCAAATCAGAACTCCTCCAGATCCTCCAACAACACGGAATTCCAGCTTCTACCCTCTCGCCCACAGCTTCCTCACATCCAATCCAGCAACAGCAGCAGCAACCTACATTTTCCGGTCCTTCACGGCTCTTGTTATCCCATGCTGCGTTCACAAATATCGCAGCGCAAAGGATTCTGGCTCGGAATCCTGAAGAAGAGATCTTACGCGCATTCGAGCTCTTCGATGCGGATAATAAGGGAAGGATTGAATTGCAGGATCTGCGAAGGGTAGCGCGGGAATTAGGAGAGGGGCTGCAGGAAGAAGAATTGCAGGCAATGATTGAAGAGTTTGACGTGAGAGGCGAGGGTGGCATTTCGCGAGAGGAGTTTGTTGGCATTTGCATGGGTGGTTGAGCGCTTATTGAGAATCGGACTTGACCTGGCATTGTTTTGCGTCCTCTTTTGGGAATAGCGACGGTGTTGGATCAAATGAGCACGGTAACAGGCATTCATGACAGCGAGGCGTTGTGATTTTCAGCAACGACAACTTTGAATGAGGACGGAATCGAAGGATTTGTCAAACAGATTTGTCACTACATGAGATTCTCGCTTCGAATTCACTGACTTCGAACAAGTCAGCGTGGCCCACGCATTTCCATATAGTGACTTTGCCTCGGGTGCCCCGCCCGCAGGCAGCCTCACTCCATCGCAGGCGACGGCGGTAACGGGCTCCCAATTCACTTTACCAACGTCATCCCTTACAAGTCGTCGCATTCTGGTAGCGCCGGTGCCGCTGGACTGCGCATCGAGCTCGGCGCGCTTGTTCTTGGTCATGCGCTTCTTCTGTAGAGACAGCGTGGGAAGCCAACTTTTTGGCATTTTGCATTCGAGGGCGAGAGCAGCATTGAATGCTCTTCAGATGCAGCGAACAAGGCCATGACGCTGGACACTGTTCCCACCAAGAGATTTGATGCGGGAGTCATGCTCGCTGCTGCCGCTGCTGTTGCTACTTCTTCGGATGGCTTGCGTGACTGGTGCTGGTAGCCTGAATGGTCGATTGCATGCTGACGCTTCTCTTCCTCCACACCGTGTAGCTGCTGCCACCTTGGCACTCACGTCCATCTCACAGGGACGCCAGAGGCCACATCGAAGTTGAAGAAGAGACTGAAGTCGAAGTCGAAGTCAAGCTGCTCCTGGCGAGTCTGCTCAGTGTAGAGATCCGGCGTGTGAGCTTCCTCATGGGCGGTGATAGGATTGGCGGCCCACTCGTCGCCTTTCCGCACACGCAATAAAGCTCTCTGCGTCCAGGCAAAAGTCGTCTCAGGCAATCGAGTAGATCACGAATGCATTCTTCGGGCGTGGTATCTTCGCTCCATCCTCCTGCGGAGAGGCCGCAGCATTGGTGCTGTCCGTACTTGTAGAGGCCAGCCAATAACCATGGCTGCAAAGCTTCCAAGGCGCAACCATCTTGACAATGTTGAAGATGACTTGCATGAATGATGCCCTAATAATGAATGTCAGCATTGCTGTTTCAAAGCCAGCAAGCAGCAGTGAGTGCGCAATGGAGTGTTGGAATCAGTTATGAAAGGTCCAGTCAGGGACCATCTCATCAATGCAGTCTTTGACTGCTATGTCGACCGTCGTGAGATATGAAGAAAATCATCATTGTAGGGCGGGAGCTGGGGTGGAGGGACAATCAGCTTACCTTTGCTGAAACTGAGCCAGCATGGCGAATGAGCGCAATCGCGCCTGGTGAGACATGCAACATCCCTATGTTTTGTCAGCACTTGGTCAAGCAGGCTGTAGGGTATTCGATATGAAGGTAGCCGCAGAGAAGGAATCAGATTCGAAACTTCTCGTCTCCGCCACCTGTCACAGCGGCTTGGACATATGCTTGTCATTTGGTTGTGTTTGGATCATCATGAAAGTGGACAGAAAGTAAGTTGAGACAACGTACCAACCAAACCGGAATTCCAGCGAAGCAGCTAAACGCATGAGCTCACGACGAGCTCATTGCCCACGGAGTCAAAGGCCTTGTCGCCTCTATTGTGTCTCTGATGTCTGAGGACTTGTCAGCAGAAGTCTTGAAGCCGGAACAAGTACAATGAGGATTCGCAAGGTTGGTCAGGTAATGCATGAATGGTAGGTAAATGTTGTGTCCGCATCGGCAAGGCCGAATCAGACTCGTCATCAAGGATCATCATATAATGTAAGGGAGGAATTGGAAGTAGTGAGGACTTACCAAATCAAAGTCGCATCGATGGACGGCGACTGACAGTTCTCGGGATGTCGAATATCTAGTCGAGAAAGTAAGTCTTCCGACGCCGGGTTGCCTTAGAGCAAGGAGTGAATAGATGAGGTGAGATCAGTGGACGAGGTTTTCTAGGCCTGTCGCAAAATGGCATATCGGCTCATGTGTATTCGGAGCCCAGTGCCGATTCATCATAGAAAGGAGGCGTAGAGGAGGATTGATGCGACTTACCAGGACTGGTCGCGACGGCAGGTCTCGTCTGCGTGCGCTGCATCCTGCCAGCCTTCGCTACAGCAGCACCAGGATGCTTAGCGCTTCATGATCGACATTAGAAAGATGAGAGCGCCAGAACCCGCTCTACACGCCAAGAAATAACTGGCATGGATTAGGTCGGCTTGAACGTTGGCGAACAACCCCAACGGAGGTCGCGTGCCTGTCTTCGCTACAGCCGCGCCTGATATCCGAATGTCTTCCTGCGTGCAGCAGTACGCTGATGATTTGACCGGCCATCTAGTCGCTACAGCCGAGCCGGTAGCAGTCATGTCGGGCGTTCCACTGGACGCGGAGTGTCTCCCTGCGTGCAGCAGGACGTTGATGATTTTGACCGGCCATCTCGTCGCTACAGCCGAGCCGATGGCAGTCACGTCGAGCGCTGCACTGGACGCGGAGTGTCTTCCTGCATGTAGTACGATGCTGATGATTTGACCAGCCATTTCCTCGCTACAGCCGAGCCGGTGGCAGTTACGTCGAGCGCTGCACTGGACGCGAAATGTCTTCCTGTCCACCGAAAATGATTGTCTTGTCGTTGCAGCGCTCGAGGTAGTCTCGGAATTCGTCTGTCATTGCGTCGGTAGCCATTTCGGCGGCAGTGACCGGGTCGGCGGCAGTGGCTCTGATTGTTTGGGCGTGGTGAAAGGGTAATAACAAACGGATGTGCGAATGCCGTATGCGAAGGCGGTATGCGCGGGGTCGAAAGGCATGTCTTGGAGAAGGGCCAGTCCGGTGAGGTCGTCATTTGGCCACGTCAAGAGACAGCAGCACCATCACCGGACTGACAGGAGCAATTCGAGGACTCATTGCTCTAGAACCTTGAGTAGGTCAGCTTGACTTCCAGTAGATTTACTGTGCTGCATGCAAATGTGAAGTGTAGTGGAGGATCAGAATTGGTGCGCCAAATTTTCGCCATCGGACGGGTACAAATCGCCTCGGCCGGTAATTCCATTTTGTTTGAAGCAATCATCATGTTAAGGAAGGGGGAGAAGACTGAGAGGTACTCACATGCAGAATTCGTGTCATGCCCCTCAGTGAAGGGTGTATCTGAAGACTTGCCGCGCCTGATATGAAGTCAGCAGAGTATTCGAATACAATCGCGTACGAGTAGAGTAGATGGAGAGAGTGCCAATCAGACTGACGTAGCAATGAAGTTTCAGTCCTCCATGGAGGTCAAAGACTCTAGTTTGCGGTTTTTGCCATATCATCAGATGGGAGGGTAGAGGATGGGTTGGAACATACCACGGCGGCGTGCCTAGCTGGTTCACTTCATGATGAAGTGCTTGCAGTGTATTTGCAGGCACTGCGGATGGTTGCAGTGATGGTGGAGAGGTTGTTGTTGTGTTTGGTGGAGAGATGAAGTCGCGAAAGCAAAATTCAAAATGTAGTCGCGAGGAGCTTGGGCCCTGCCAAGCATCGTCGGCGAAAGGAAGGCACCTCCGACGTGACGCTCGCTCCCTCGCTTCATCACATGCTCACTGTAGCGCATCTCATGATCATATGCCTTGACTCCCAGCTGAACAAGCGATCACTCGTAATTAACAGTATTACGCGATATCAGGTGGGAACACGCAAGAGCGACTGAAGGATACGGAAACCGCAAAATCCATATCGAAAACAATTCTTTTCGTAGTCAACTACTGCACCAAATCTCATGCTCCATTCATTTTTTAGCATGATTTGTGGCGAGACCATTATTCGAGTACCCTACACGTAGTTAGGCCACAACTATCGTGACAGGTCCTGATTTGAGACGGGACTCTTCGCGAGCCCAGAGGCTTAGTAAGCGCCTGCGATCGTGGGGCTGGCCCGGCGATCGAATTCAATGCGCATCCTCATAGAACCTCATCAGATTCTGCTGGCAAGAGCAGACCCGACGACGTGTAGCTTGTTGCGCCTACAGCGTCCGAACCTGCAATGCCCTATTCTGGCTGCCTTGGATCAGTGGCCAGCGACGGATTGAAGCCGACGTTACCAAGTTCCTCCTGGACCTCCCTCGCCATGTTCTCCTGGACGCTAAGATCGAACTCCTCATGAACGCCAACGGATGGCCGTATTCCAGCTCGTCTTCGTCGTTGTCGCCAGCATGCTTCTCGTAATCTTGCTGAGTTTCGGTGAGGTCCTTCAATCAGGCAGGCGTGGCGCCGCAATCGTACATTTGGATTAACATCACGCTCCAGCGCGGATGCCTCAACCACGATACTGACTTAGCAATGGCGAACTCGGACAGACCAAAATCCGTTCCCATTCAACCGCGTGACGAAATTGACCAGATCAGCACTGTGCGGTGACGCTCATGAATTCCAAGAAAACGCCAAATCGTGTCTCTCGCGGGATCCACAGCGAGCAGCAGAAGCTCAAAGTGACGGACTTCATTCATCCTTATGCAGAATTACTTGCACCGCAGCCGATGTCTCTTGGACATCTGTCACAGCTGCAGCACACGGGGAAGGATCGAACCACCGCGAATACTACGCCAGGCGCGCACTCCATTCAGAACGCTCTTGCACTCCAAAAGGCACTTGTTCTCGATCTGAACGCCGCTTTTGGAGTTAGCTACGACGATGGCACCCGCTGCAATTAGTTCTTGACGTGTGCTTCCCATTCTTTGGCAGCCAAAGAGGTCCTTCAAAGCCGTTATTTGCCGTTTCAGCATTTGCTACGGCTCTTCCAAGCCAACAACGGGCATCGATTACAGCCTTCTGTACCTTTGGCTCCATTGAAATGCTATTTTCAGTTGGCCAGTGGAAAGCGCTGCCACCAAAATCTTGGTTGCGTCCCCCGTTCTACAACAGTAAGCAAAGCAGTGCCCAGGGGAGGAATTTCTTTTGCTGTGCTGCTGAAGTGCCAGCAAGCTCATGCAAGCCGACGAGTTGCGATGACTGGAGATTATAGCGCCGTGCTCCCACCTTCGAAGGCATCGCCTATTGTCAGCCCTTGGCACCGCCGCCACTGCCGCGATGGGATGCAAAGCGCAGCTTTAGAACTGGATGAGGATGGCGAAGTGGCCGACTCAGAGGATACCATACTGTCGCCTGCAGACCCCAACCTTGCACGCATCGGTAAGTACTATTTGGGCTTAATGCGTAATATCCAGACCAAAACAACATGGACTGCCTTGCTCAAGACGCTTAGCGGAACAAGATTCGATCAGCTGCGTACTTCGAAGACGGTGTCAATCATTTCACGTTTGCTGCGAGCACGAAAAAAGAACATCTCCAAAACTTGTATGATCTCAATCAGATTCGTGCCATTCGAGACGCATGTCTTATGAAGACTGCGGCGTTTGCTTTGAACGAAGAGACCGCTGCAGTACTTCAAGGCCAGCTTCACACAATCATCGAGCATGTGCCTTTTGAGCATCCAAAATGGAGAACAATCTGTTGGTGCAGCGATGAGCTTGGAGCATGTGACCGTTTACCCAAACAAGGGCGCCCAAGCTAGCCGACGGAAAGAAAAGAGAGGAATCTGGCTCGTGATGCTATACTATTTCGCGAAGACTGAGAATTTTTTTGGGTGGCAATGGCCCGACTGGCATTTCAACACGCCGATCACGATGCCAGAAGGCCGCCTTGCCTGCAGTATTGATGCGAACAAGCCCCTCATAGAACATGACGGTAGTTGATCTCGCGCATCTTCTTGAACACTGGAGCTTCACGCACTGGATGGAGGATCCGGTCATACGTGCGAACGCGACAGTGGCTATGAGCAATCACATCTCGTCTACAGACAGGAAGCTGTCCGAGTATGTGTGCCTAGCTTTGCGTCGCCATAGCGTGGGAGCTGTTCACGTACTCAATTCGGTCGCTCTTCCGACACGTTTGACTTTGCGGAACTGGCTAAACGCACGGTCTCCATCAGTGAACACTGAGATTGCTCAGTACGATTCTGCAATGGATCAGAATGAGAGCGAGGAGCAAATGAAACTCGATAACGAGGGTGGTGCGGACATTGAAATGAATCAAATCAAACGATTCAGAAGGCGTCATGAACAACATGTACTAAGGCCTCGTGGCCGTCAACAGTTGGAAGAGCGGACTTAGCATTGCATACGTGCGCAACAAAAGCTCGCCAGAACAACCTTGGGTCATGTTCAACGATCTGGACTCAATGCCCACCAGTAGGACCCCATTTCGAAGGCTGGTATGATGTAAGTCTCGAGTTCTCTGAACTTTTGTCCGGTACTAACGTGTCATGTAGGGCGAGATCGTCCATTCTGGAATATACCAGAGACGAGCAGCTTGCAATCGGGGTCGAGCCAAGCATAGGTAATCGGATAGCGTTCATGGTGGATTTTGATCATGCAGAGCAGATATGATTGATAATTGAAGGAGACTTTCCGCTGCCATAATTTTCATCATACCACGGTCATTTGCACTCGAATAGGTTTGCAAAACTACCAACAAATGAGACATCTGGAAAAGCAAGAGATGAGCAGCTACCACAACAGGGCCGGGTATATTTCGGAAGCAAGGTACAACCTTGCAAGGCTGTTAGTCTGCACGCATGACTCAGCACTCGGAAGCTCGGGCCCCCCAGCGGAACAATAGAATTCGAGCTTTGCTCCCTGCCCAACATACTTCTCTTCTTCTTCTTTTTTCTTCATACTTAGTGAGTTCACCCCAAAATACCCCTACACTTCCACCACCAGCTGCTAACCGTGTTTCTAGCCTTGTTGCCCCAAACCAGCTCATGAATCGGTGAGGGCTAGGGTCTGTCCTGCATTGCACAGCGCGGTGACCGACCCCAGGACATCTCCTTCGGGGGCTGTCGCGGCGCAATTTTTGCTGGCTTTACCCGGTATTGCCGCGGTCGCGGTCGCGGTCGCCGTGATGCTTCTTTCTTTCATCAGTTCTTGAGGCTTTTTCTTCCGAGAGCCTTGAGGTTGGAGAAGGATAGTTCATCAACAATATTGTTACCCTGCTCATCTTCGTCCATATTGCACGCATTGGGGGAGCTCGTCGTTGTCCACGCTCCTGGTAAAGATATCGCCCCGATGCACCGCGCGCCTCTTACCATTTCCCTCATCACAGCCCGAGTCCACGCCCCCTGATTCCAAAATTCCGTCACACTTCGCTCCCCCAGCCTCGACGCCTGCGCCACCCCATCGTCGATCCATGCCCCTGACCGTGTCGGTGTATAGAGAAATCCCGTTCGCATCGGGAGAACAGGGAGCGGTGAGAAATAGGCTTTGGAGGAAAGATAGCTTCATTGATTGGAAAGAGCCGAGACATGGATGCTTTTCTCCCAAATTGCCTGTAAACGTGACGTAGACCTTGGACATGGGTAGTACATACGAGCTTTTTCGGATGGGCCGGGGGAATTGCGGTTGAGTGACTGTCATGAGATGCGACTACGACGGATTTATCGAGAGATGTGGACGCGAAGAAGAGGAGAGAGAGCACAAGGGTTTGTGGGACGACAGTTTCAGGCACAGTGACAGGTAAAGAAATTTAGGTAGGTACGCAGATTGATATGTCGTGTTCTCCGTGTATAGACAGCCTCTATCCCCAGCGAATGTCTCTCCCATACCCTAAACACATGATATCCAAAGGTGTACACATATCGACAGTATCCTGACCAGCCCGCTCACTTCCTCTCAAAGCAAGTGACACGGTAGTTCGCGGCCTTCTCCTCCTCTGGCGTCTCCACCTCTTCCAAAAGTCCGCTGTCCAAGTGGTAGATGACTCCATGCACGGTCACACCCCTCTCGCGCTGAGCATCGATGACGGTAGGAATCCTCTTCAACACCTCAACACCAGCCTGGACATTCTTCTTCGCGAGGAAAGTGCCCCTCTCTCCGGCATCCATATTCTCCAACTCGTCTGCGTACTTCTCCCTCTGCGCTCGCAATGGCTGCAGCCAGATGTCGAGGATATCGAGCTTCGAATTGGCCAATGCGCCAGCTACACCGCCGCAGGAGGTATGGCCGCACACGACGATGTGCTTGACCTTGAGGTGGAAGACAGAGAACTGCACGATGGACAGGAGGCTGATATCGGTCGGGTTGACGATGTTGGCGATGTTGCGGTGGGTGAAGACATCACCAGGCTTGCAGCCCAGAATGGTGGTCTCTGGGACTCGCGAGTCCGCGCATCCCAGCCAAAGAATCGGAGGGGCCTGTCCTTTGGCACATTGGTTCAGGAACTCGGGATCATTCTTTTGGATGTCAAGCGCCCATTTCTTGTTCTGCTCGAGGCAGTTGTGGTAAGCGTCGGCTATGTGTCACCTGTCAGTCATGTCTGGAACAAAGGAAGCGCCGAAGTGGGGCATATTTGTACTGCATGTTGCTGCTGTCACGACAGCGGTGCGGTGAAAGGTGCGGGACGCAGCGGCCGGGAAAGGCCTTCTTGTCTGCGAAGAGGGCTGACGGGTCAGGATGACTCGCAGAGCCGGCCTGACGACCATCACGGTCCTTCGATATGGGTGGTGTCGCGCAACGAAGTCACCCTTCTGCAGTACGTACCGGACATATTCAATGATTTAGACTTCAGCCTGGCTCTGCTGGGCGTAGCGCTTGCCTCCGCGGATGGATGACTCGGGCTGCTCCTTTGTTTGCGTGAAGAATGCTGGCGGCGCAGAATGACGCTTTAAGTAATGGAGGGTGTATTGGGGCGCGGGAGGACAGATGCGGAGAAGGGACCACAGGAGTTATCGGAGGCGCTCGTTGCTTTTTGGAGAGGGCGGCGTGTGGAAGCCGTTGAGCATTCGGGTCTCCGATCGCTGGGAAGTCGAAAGTCAGCCAAGCTCCGCCAGTGCAACCTTCACCCACCCCCGGACTTGTCCGTCGGAGCTCCAGGCCTCTTCACGCATTTCCGAGTGCGAGATCGAACGCCATTTGAGCGATACTGCTGACGGCAATCGTAGATGAAGAGAAACACCCGCAATAGAGCCAGATACTAGAGGAGTTGTAGGATCGCGTAAAGTGGTTGCAATGGAGAAGGAACACGCCGATGCCCTGTGCTGGCGCGGCACGTCTCGTCTCGGCCTTCCCACCGATGGTCTGCGACACGAGCGAGCGTCAAACTCCTTTAAACTTTCAAGGGCTCACCTCCTCTAGCCCTTTAAACTTTGAAGGCTTCACTTCATCTCGTTCAAAGCGATGCACATGAATTGACATCAAAAGCACAATCCCTCGTTTCCTCATTCTACGTTTGAGTGCAATGTTCGAGGAGAGCAAGGTCTTGTCAAACTCAGGGACACGCACTTCATCGCCAACAACTACGCTGTCGAGAACCCGAAGACAAAGACACTGTCGCAGGCCATGGTGACAGCCCTCCGCGATCTCCAGAAAGTCGCAACCGGGTGTTGCTCATCGGGTTTCAAGCCGGGATCGCCTGAATCCTGCCTGGTATCTGAGGGTAGTTTTCGACTAGTGGTGCACTCTTATCAGGTGGTCCTTCGTTGCAATACATCTGCTGACGAGCATCACAGCAAAAGGAAGAAATGCGCAGTGCGGCATGTCGACAAAGACTACTTCTCTGCAGTATGGCACCTCAGTCTTGAAGTCTTGCCCTCAGTGGCGTCGGGTATTTATATCAAAGCAGGTGTATGACCTCCGGGTTGATTCACGGTCGGGGTGCTGACACTGCGACGGAGTCCCCGGTGCTGGGATGCGCTTTTCACTGACCTTTGGTCGTGTCGAGATTGCAAGGCATCGCGCACCCGTGTAGGAGAGTAGCTTTCGTAGGCAATAGCCTACAACAGCCTACGGCAAGCGCAATACGTGAAGACTGCAGACATCCTCGCTTCTGGGCCTTGCACTGTCAACTCGAAACCCAAACGTGAAGATCGATCAGCGTCGTTTTTGGGCAGCGATTTCTTCCTGCAGCTCACCGCGAAGCATATATCATGGCTCGTGTGACTGCCATGTCAACAGACGGAAAGCAGCATAATAATCCTGCATTCATGCGGGAGCCCTTTACACTTGTCAGCGAAGTAGAGCAGATGACGATCGCTGAATATGAAAGAACAGCGCACTGCTGCGGTTGCCCGCAATCTCCTGACCAGCGCGCGAGACTTTGAAAGAATAGATTGTCCCAATCCTTGTTGTCCGGATGACACCTCTGCAGCTCTCAACGAAATGCCAATCATGTCGTTGTGTCGCCATGTGAGCTGTACAACTGTGGTTCCAGATTGCGGGCGCCGCTGCGCGTGCGGTGAGCGCAACGCACGTATCGTCTCCAGTCCGTTTGTTGACTGAACGTCATGGTGTTGTAGCACAGCCAGAGCTGAGTCCGAGCCAGGAATCGTGCATATATCAGTACACCATCTTGCAAAAGTAGTTGCACGATCCCGACGACCCGGTCATATATAACGGGGACTTGACAGCCGCTTCGTTTGTCGTTGCTACGAGCCCGATGATTGTTGCATCGCCACATCTTGCCTTGCGAATGGTCTTGTCCGATAACTTCTCAGGGTAGTGCTATTTCCGTCTCGTCTCGCATACCTGGGGCCATGACATTGACCTGTAACACGGCAACCTGCAGTTGAGGGCCGGAAGAACCTGCGTGCCGGGATCAGACATGCGTGCCGGGGCGGAGATACTTCTTGAAAGGTGGGAACCCCGTGTACGGAGCTATGCGACTTGCTGGCGATGTGATGTACTGCAAATAGAGTACGTGTGGTGGCGCCAAGGGCGCCCACGTGTCAGTGAAACCCGGTGCTTCGAAAACAATGTTGCGAGAACAAGTGGGAGGCGCCCTGGCTATGCTGGGATGCTGGCGGAAGCGAGAGTGACTGCACATCATGTTCCAAAAGAGCAAGCCTTGCATCACGATGCCCAGGCGAGCTTTTGGGCCGCGAGGACTCTGGCCTCTGGGGAAAAGTGCAGATTGTGTAATGTGCAAGCTTCTCTGTATCAGTCTTCAGCCCAGCAAGCTTTGGCATCCGCATGCGCAAGAGGCTTGCACTTCGTACTGGAAGGCGCCTGTGTCGTACGCAAGGTTCGGCACAGAGCTGTGCGATCACCGCGGAACCACGGCACGCCCTCGCTTGAACCTGGAAAGCAATATCAACATACTGTACAGTCGCGTGGTCGCCATGTGGGTCCTCCACCTCTCGCAAGCGCCTGCGTGGATCATCGCCCACGAATTAGGATTTTGAAACCGTGCTTGAGTTACTTCTCTATAGGCCTTGTCGTACGTGCTATGTGGCTGCTGTTCCCATGCCGAAAGGGTCCTTTTCGGCGACATGTCTGCCAGAACAGACTAAGCGAAGCCCGTTGAACAGGCTTCTGAGCCTTTTCAAGGTTGACAGCGACGCGGCAGTGACCCGTATGGTCATTCTCGCTCTGCGTCGAAGAGCAAATGTGGCAGTGCAGTCCAGTAGCATACCCGGTCTGGTCGCTAGACTGCTTGTCAGTGGAATCGGATTAGAAAGCACCGTCGGTCTTGTGTTATCTTGACCGGGTTCGGCGGATTGTGAAATCGCACAATCACATTGTTGGCTGAGACGTGATTATTGTGTATCTGCAGTCGGGACTTTTCGTGTGCCGTTGTCGGCAAATCGCAATGCTCCACGGCGGCGGGCGATACCCACCCACGCAGGACGGACTGTGGTACAGCGGGCAGCGGCCACGATGCGTTAATAAGCGCGCTCAGCTGTGTGCGACACGTTGTCCATTGTGATGAGGAGGAGGTGTGCGCAAACGCAGAAGCAGCAGCAGCAGCAGCAGCAGCAGCAGGCGAGAAGGTGGAAATCCACGATCCGTCGCACCGGGTTCCCTCATCTGGAGACGACTTCTAGCCCGGTCCGACATTCTCCAGGCCGCCGGCTTAATATCTTCTAAATTGCTCCACAACCGGGTACGGGTGGGGGGGGCTTCAGTATTGTAGTCGGTAGCATGTTGTATCGCGCCACGCAGTGCCCCAGTGATGTGACGAGGCGGCTTCCGGTCTGGCGACAACGATGTGTGTGCGAAGACGCGGATGATGTCGAAGGGATGATGTGGTTGTTCTGACGGCAAACAAGGTTTCGACGAGTCGCAACCTTGAACCCTTGCAGCGTCGCGCCGATCTGCAGAGGTGGAGCTAGTTTAGCTGTCAACAGCAATCCAACCACGCACTGGTGCAGTGATGTCTGACGACTAGCAGCCGCGCTTGACCATGCCAGGCGCTGCTCGTCCGCGCGCGTGACAAGGCGGCGAGAACGAGCTCGAGGCGTCTCGAGACAGTGAAGCATCTGGACCTTTTCGGTCGGTAAAGCGCTGTCTCATCAACCCGGCGCGCAGGGAGGAGGGATTGCCACGCCATGCCGCAAGAACGTGGCTTGGTGTGGCACAGAGAGACGACTTCCAACGTCTGTCCAACAGCTTTCGTGTTGTGCGGCACTGCTCTCTGTACTCCCTGCCGCGGCTGCATGAAGCATAATACCATTGTGCATGCTGTCGTGTTCCTCCCGCCTGCACCCTGCCAGCTGTCGAACCGCAAGCGAACGACCATGATAATTCGTCTCAGCAGTGCTCATCAGCGGCAATGCAATCATCACCATCCAGGTTCGCATAACTTTGTCCGGCGCCCAAAATCACCCGTCCCGCCCAGTGAACTTGCCGCCGCGGCGCCTGGAGAGAGAGCTAGGACCGTTTTCCATTGATCACGAACCTTCTAGCGTTTCTATTTCTCACTGACCTGGGCAGCTACTAGCCGAACAAAGCGACGGGGACGGGGACGGGATGGCAGAAGCATCGACAGCAAGTCGTGCCCGGTAAACGTCCCTGCTCGCAGTACGTATTAGCGGCGGGTAGGGGTGGTGTTGTTTTGTAACTAGTTGCTATCACTAGCGTTAGTAACTAAATAAGTAACATAGTATCTACGTTTGCGATTTACTAGTAACCGGATATACTAACGTAGAGAATACCTCCTATCTAACATTATATAGTATATCTCCTAAGATATAGTATAGGTATTATAAAGGTAATATATAATAGAATAGTAATTTAGAGAAGTAAATAATAACGTACTAGAAGTATATTTATAGGCTTAGCTAAGCTATAGCTACTTCTATAGTAGTCTATAGTATATCTACTAATTTAGAAAAATAATAATAGCTCTACTTAGCTTAGGCTTATAATATATTTAAAGAATTATATACTATTATATAGTAGTAGTAACTAAGTATTTAGCTCTATACTTTATCTTTACTACTATTAGTAGTACTAGATATAGTATCTAAGAAGATACTTGTCTTATATTTTCTAGAAGCTCTAGCTATAGTATTATAGTTTATAATACTTAGTATAATTTTAATATCTTTAAAGTAATATCTTTACTTAGATTGAAGTATTAAGAAGCCTAGCTAGATATATAGAATATAGTAGATAATTCAGTATTAATTAGTTCTTAGTATTATAAGAGTTTATTTACGAGTATCCTAGTATTATAATAATATAATGTATTCTATATTCTAAGATAACTAGCTAAATGCTTAATAATAACTAGTCTAATTATATAAGATATATAGTACATAAGGTTGTGAAAGGGCTATATTCATGTATCCAACTGTCTGGTTACTAGTAGCAGTAATAAGCGATAAATAACTCTTCTAAAGCCACACCTAGCGCCGGGAGAGAGGGGACGAGTTGCAGGGATGGAATAGTCGTGGAAAGGCTGAATGCGACTGCTACTGGCATGCAGTGCAGGTGTGCAGGCCTGACGACGCCAGGGCCAGGCGCGGTGTTGCGTGTGGTTTATGCCAGCAGGCCAGGCCAGCGGACAGAAAAAAAATCGAATGCAACACTTCCACTTCTCGCAAGCGAGCTCGGCGTCATATACGATGGCCCACCTCCCTCCCATCGTCGCCCACAAGTTACCTTAGTCCCAACGCTCACGAGTTGACTGACTCGAACGACCCCGGCTCGCTGCTGGTTCTCTGCTTGCTGCTGGTGCTGCCCAGTCCAGTGCCGTTCGGCCGCTGAGCGGCTTTTTCCAGATTGGTTGTGCGTCACTGGGCCGTCCGACTACGCCTACGGCGGTTAGGGGACTGCCACGAGTAGGTCCTGCTGCGACCTTGTTGCTGCTACTACTGCTGCTGCTGCTGCTGCTGCTGCTGCTGCTGCCTCTTCGCCGCATCACAGATGCAAACGCTCTGCTCCGCCCCGGCCCTCGCAGCATTCGAAGACGCGCAACACCTCTAGCCTGGATTGCACCCAGCCCAGGCGGAACCCGGCTTCCTCTTCCGAAGACTGCAATCCGTCTCTGGCCGCATTGAGAGAGAGGCACCTCAGCGAGCGCGGCGTGTGGGCAACGTCAGCGAACCGGGACAGCCATTGTGGAAACCTTGCTACGCTTCCACCACCAACCACAGCAGCGGGACGCACCTTCTGCAGAACCCGCCTGTACCCGCCGATTTCCACCTCAGTTATCGCCCCAGACGGTCTTCACATTGCAGGTGCGAGAAGGAAAGCATCGGGTCGGTTGACCGCCGAGCGCCCTGCCTGTGTGCCCGCCTGCGTGCCTACCTGCGTGCCTGCCTGCCTCGCTTGAACACCGGGCGACTCGACAGCACCTTCCGCGAGCAAGTCAACTCCCGCCTCGACAGCAGGAGCAGCCCAAGGCAGGTGCAGTGGGGCTCCCCCTCCATCCTTCTCTCTTTCCCAGGAAACCTACCACTCTCCCTCCTGCCTCACCTAGCATCGCATCGCGGAAGCCCAGATCCGGCACGCTGCCACTTGCCTGCATCGACACCTGAGACCTGCATTCCCCCAACGCTGAGCTGGTGATTCGACTGTTGTTCCGCACCAGCATCAGCCACGCCGATCCCCTCAACTCCCACTCGAGATCGCCTCTTCGCGGAGACGGCCATATTCCTGGCGCACCTGCTTCGGCCCGTAGCTGGATACCATTCCACGCACCGCCCTCTGTCTTTGTCTCTGAAGCTGGGTGGAGCAACGGCCGCGATCCGCCAGCAGACGCCTGTCAATCTTGGATCGCCAGGCCCGCCTTTGCGACATCACGCTCTTGCCGCAATTGGCAGTGTCTTCGTCCAAGACGGGCAGGGACAAACGTCCATTGCGCAAGTGCCGCTTCCACTTGAGCAGGAGCCTCACGCCAAGCTCCCTGATACCTCCTCCTAAGCGTCGTCGCCTTGAGGATATCAATCCGCTCGTCACCTTCCGCACTCTGGCCTCCATGTCTTGTGGGACGGATCGAGAACCTTCCTACCTTCTCTCACCCGCGAACCTTGTACAGTCATCTGCTTACCAGACGCATCAACCACTCCTCCATTATCTGCTTTCTCATTGCCTCTACCAACAGTGCACCAGCACACGACATTCCAGCTTCTTGTCACGGTGACATCGCTGAAGGTCTCATTGATACGGAAGCGTCGGAACCCACCCGAAGCTTTCCCGTTGGGAGCTGGTAAGCTCCTCTGTCTGCAACTCTGCTGGCCATCCTCGCTGCGCAATCAGCAGTCGCAAGGTTCTCTCTGCTGGAACTGAAGGTTAAGAACCAACGGACACCCTGGTCTGTACCGTGGAGAGCATCCACGAGAACGACGGTGCGCCAGCAGGCAGCGGTCTGCTTGCTCTACCAGGTGCTGGCACGAACGACATGATGGCGAGGGAGAAGACCCAGCTCATCATCAGACAAGAACCTCAGAAGGCGCAGGTTGTCCAGGAGAACAATCCGAAGAATCGAAAGCCTGTCGACCCTCCTCCCATCATCGAACTCAAGTATGACGACCGCGGTGATCCGCAGAACAGCCAGTGGCTGGTCAGTCCGAGGACGTTCATGATGGTGACTCTGATTAACAGCAAAGAGCCGGAGGACACTTCAGTTGGAAAATATCTGATTGGTCAGACCGTCTCTTCGTTGCACCGATTGAAAGACATCACCAACAAAGGTAAGCTGCGCCAGATGCAGATTGGAGTCGTGCTCTTCGGATGCATGATTGACGGCTCCACGAAGAGCTGAATGTCGACGAATTTCTAACGTTGAACAGATGGTGGCTTCTTCGTATTTGGCGACATATCCGCCCGAAAGCTCGGCACCTATCGATTGCGTTTCAGTCTCTTCGACACGGCAAAGTTCGTTACTCTCGCCATGAACGTGAGATGGATCGCTGACTAGTGGTAGGGATACTGAGGAGGTCGTGTTTATGAACTCCGTCGATTCGCAGCCCTTCCAAGGTACGCCACCTTTCCGCTTCTTCACCCGTTGATGCTGACGTGCGTAGTGATGGCGCAACGAGACTTTGGCAGCATGTCCGAATCAACACACTTGACCCGCACTTTCTCGGACCAGGGCGTGAAACTCCGTGTTCGGAAGGACAACCGTGCAATCTCTGGGTGAGTTTAGAACACGTAGACCGGGGAGTCTGGCTCTAATTTGATATTCTAGAATCGGGACCAAGCGATCATACAACGCCTCCCCACCGGATAGTTCTTCGCCTTCGATACAATCAAATATGTACGGCGGAGCTGTCCAGGACAGCTACTCGGCGCAAACTCCAGCCGCGAAGCGCCAACGCTCAGGCAGTGAATATGAAAGCGCACATGTATACCAAGGCATGCCTGGTGACCATGCTCTCTCGCCTTACGGCGGTACAATACCTAATGGCACACGATATGGAGGCGGCATCGATCAACAGCGCGTTCAGAACAGCTACAGCCATCATCCGTCGAATCTTAGTATGCCAATGATGAGCCGACAGCAACCCATGAGTGTGCAGACCCCAAGCTGGCATAGTATACATTCGCAGAGCGCGCTGCCCTCTCCCACGCCGAGCATTGGAAACCAACAACAGCCCTCCTACCAAAGCGCGACGTCGCAGTCGCAATCTTCCTCGATATTCGGCGATCCCGGATCAGCAAGCTCGTTGCCCAGGAGTTATTACAACAACAGTTACCCGTATCAGTCACAAGGTCAGTATCAGGGACAAGATACAGCAGGTGATCCCCATGCCTTTTCAGATCTTCAGCTCTCCGGCAGTACCCTTCCCGGGTCTGGGGGCATGAGTTCTGCACCAAACCCAGGATACGGACACGGATATCTACAGACAGGCAGCATGTATGCCACGGAGCCAGGGGAGGTCCAAGGCGCCTACGCGTATATGGATCCACCAGACCAGAAATTCTGATCCTGCGGAGCGCGCAACTCTCCATCGCTATGTGCTCGATGTGACGTGGTCATGGCACTCGGACAAATCGCGGACTCACAGCCACGAAGATGGGATACAGCAGACCATTCACTGCTTCGGACCGCGATAACGCCGATACGAGGTTCGGACCGGCATCTCCTACTGGTACACGCCTGACTGCCCACAAGACGAACTGACTCGGGTTTGTCTTTTGGCCCATCACTGCAAACAAGCGCGACACCAGATCTTGCGAGCATCAACATGCTCTGCCTATCCTGTCGATGAATGAAGCATGCATTTCGTCTCCAGCGAGGCGTTTAGCACGGTCTTCAAAGTTCTGGGTGTTCAAAAGAGTGGCTCGTCACTTACAGCAAAGCATTGCTGATCACGTTGTTGAAGAAGAATCAAGAAAGGAAACGGGGCCACAGGACGGCATCTAAGTTTTGTTCTTCCCACACTTGGCACTTGTACATATACTCTCTTCAACGACCATACCTTATTGTTTTGGGAGAGAGAGGAAAGGGCGCAGCACAGCAGCCTTTGCTTTTGGACACGATTGACGAGGGTTGACCTCGAAACTGAAGAGGATCTTGCCGAATCCCTCTGTCCGTCTCCACACTGGCTTTCCAAATTTCATGCAGTTCCAGCTTGAACGGGATCTCAGACATTGAATGATTAGAGTTCGGGGCTAGCATCGAACGTGTCCAGTCGCTAAGATCCTGCCTGTTGCGCCATACGTGCATGACAGGGCGCTCTCGACACGCAGGAATTTGCATTTTGTGATCCGTCAGCCTAGGTAGTAAGCCAAGTCAACTCAAGCTGCTCAAATGATATGAATCTGCCTTGCGATGCAGAAACACAATTCTCCATTCAGTAGAATTGACCGAGCGGGAAGGAGAGGACCCTCGTTAGAAAACAACCACATCGATCGACAGAAACGCTACCTAGCGGCAAAAAGCCAAAAAGTCTATTTTACAGTTTTGCGTTCGCAGGCGTGGGCAGGGTGTTCTATTAGAGTTTTCTTGGGCAACAGGCGAGCTTGAGCTTGAGCTTGAGCTTGTGAGCTGGCTGGGTAGGATCACATGCGTCTTCCTGAAACAGATGTCTAGCCGAGACTACTACTGGCTTGTGCGCCGTCGACTCGATAGGGTGGCGAGGAGGAGGAAGAAGAAGCGACCTACCTTACCTGACAACCTGCATGCATGCAGCGGGGAGCTGAATGGTGGCAGAGCATAATAATGAGTTTGATCATGATGATAATGGTGGGGGCGCGCGTATTATCTGTTCGTATTAGGTAGTGACACTTCGTTGGAGCGCGAGGTGAGACATGCGCGGAAGGAATCCTTCTGTTTTGACGACACGACGATCACATGATGAACGGTTTATTGCTCTCATATCAAGAGAGCTGCTGTTGCGAGAGCGAGCAAGAGGCAAAGGCCCGGCACTACTACTATAGGTTGGGCATCTCATCGTCGGCCTACCCCGTATTCAGCCGGTCGCCGCCTTCGTATTCTCGACATGGGCGGAGGCGCTTCATAGTCCACGGAGGACGCCGATGTCGACACACGCGTCGATTTTTCTCTTTCCGGCAAGTTTTTCTAGCTGGATCTGCAAGTCCGACCGGTCTTTCCGACGAATTAGCGATAGGCTACGTCGTCGAGTGCGACCTTGTCGATCGTCGCTCTGAGAGTGAATGAGTAGAACGAACGATCAATTGATCCACCAGAGACGGCATCGTCAGTCAAGCTGTCACCTGATGATGCGACGAGGCGAAATGGACAATGATATGTAATGATATTGCAGACGTCCAGCCGTCCGTCGGGTAACCCACTCCATCCTTCGCGTAGAAAGTAGTAAACACGGTAGCAGTGGTTTGCAGCCTACCCATCAGAACTTGGGAAGCTCTCAAGCGTCAGAAAAATTCTCCGTGCGCGAGCACCAGGTACCAAGAACGCGTGACCAAGGTAGAGAGGCCGGTGAAGTTCGCATGGCAACGGACCGCACCCATAATTCCATCATCATCATCATCATCATCATCATCATCATCATCATCATCATCGTCGTCGTCATGGCTGCTGCTGTTCCCGCTCACAGTTGCTAGGACTCAAATACCTTGCTCTCCAGGTTCTTGCGATCGAGACGAAGGATTGGATTGAAGGAGCCGAAATGGGGTTGATAACGCCTTGACTTCCACTGGCACCGAATTTCCCGAATCGAAATTGTCAGAGACGTCATCTTCCTACCCATTGCGTGGAGATCGGGCCCGACAGTGATGGCGTCTCCGAATCTTGAATGGCGAAGTCATTGCGTGTATCAGTGTCAGAATCACTGGTAAAAGAGCGTTGGGTTGTAATGAGGGACAACGACGGATAATGCCGATGTCAAGAAAATACATTGCAAAGGTCCGCGCGACAGGAATCATAGCCGCTGTTGGACATGCGGAAGAAGGTATTTTCGAGAAGCTTACATCTTCGTACCTGCATCGCGCAGGCACATGCATCACGGAACCGGTCTGTTTCCATCCAGGCGTCAACTCCGCAGAACGACACGCAATGAGCAGGAAAGGGGCGGGCATGTTGATAGCATCTGGTGCCTTCGATGCAATCCTCCCGCTATCATATTATACAATCCTTCTCTACAAGTCACGATCATCTCTCCGGATGGTGGTATCATTATAAAAACAGCAAGAAGCGCCATTTGGCCTTGGATGGTAAGAGCGGGAAGAAGAGCGGTCCAGTCCACCGCTGCTCCCGCCAGCAGTCCATCCATCGTACAAAAATCCATTATATCCACCCGCCAACGCCATCGCTTCATTGGAAGCTGTCATCATCTTGCGTACCCACTCACTCGTACCGAATCTCTTCGTCCTCCTCCCCGGGTGCATCTTCATCCTCTCCAAGGGCGTCTTCTTCTCCATCCTGATTCTCTACGGAGGCTTCAGCATCGACATCATGGTCTGCGGCTTCCTCTGCGGCGGCTTTGGCATCCTCATCATCCGCGGCAGCAGTAGCAATGTCGCCTAGCTTGCTTCTTGTGCGGCGCAAGCTACTGGCAGTTGCAGCGCCTTTGCTTGGACTGTGTTGATGGCGGCTGCTTCGATTGCTGCTAGGCCGAGACCTCCTCGCAGGTGTGTTAAAATTGCTGCGATTGCTAGTACGTCTACCTACAGGCCTACCGGGGCGCCGTCTAGAAGTCGACATCATGCCCGGGACAGGGGGGAATATCTCGAACCGGGTGGGTGGAATGGATCCCGCGGAAGTGGGTTGCGAGCCGGAGCCGGACATGAAGGATGCAGGGCTTGCTTCTCCGGAATCGACGTGATGCATGCTGCTGCCGTTCGGCGTCTTACGCGGAGAACGCCGGCTTGGTGAGCCGTTCGTGGGCGGGCGGTCGGTCATCGAGGGTTGTGGTGTTAATGCAAGGGCGGGTGGTGTCTTTTTGCGAATCTTTGGTGACACTCCGTTGGCCCCCGGAGGAAGCTCGGTGGTATTCGCGGCATCCACAGCCGTGTCTTTGCTGGCTTCATCGGCTTCTTTGTCGGCTTTGAGAGTCTGCTGAACTCCATCCTCCGGACGAGGAGGTACCTCTACCTCTGCAGGACCTTCTCTCCTAGCGACGGTCTGCAAAGGCTGGTTGGTCTCCTCGCCCATAGCAAAGAGGTTGGTGGGTCTGCCCATCACATATGGAGTCCAGCAAAGACGCTCTGGATATACTTTGATGGTGGCCTTCTTCTCGTGCTTATCAACATACTCCTTCATGTAGTCGTAGTCGAGCCTCAGGGCGTACGTCTTGGAGATCGGATCGCGGACGAGGAAGCGGAGAGCCTCCAGAGTTGAGATGATGTCGTCCGGTGTCATACCCGTCTCTTTGGCGATTTGGACAATCGTGACAGGCTTACTCTCATTCGTAATTGATTCTTGTCCTTTGTAGCGGAGCAGCAGTCTGCAGATGATTGTGCGCCAATATGACCGATACGAGACGAGTCCCATGTCTGAGAGTGGCTTCTCCGGTGATCCAGTCCGTCCTTCTACCTTCGTGAGAAGGTAAGAGAACTCTATCAGCACTCTTCCGAAACCACGGCGCATGTGCACTGGGAGTACGAGTATGCAGCTGACGTTGTTGCCAGGGCTTTGGAGCGCTGGATCGTTAGCAGTACCTTCAAGGTCTGCACCAGTAGCTCCGTTCGCTTGAAGAGCCTGGCTGGGCTGACTATCCTCAAAGGAGCTCCTAGCATCCATTGCAGGCAGTGGGCCGCAACCGCGCTTCTCCTTGGAAAAGTATCCGACGAAGTGGCACCCAAACTCGTCATTCTCAGTCATGATATAAAACAAGAAGGGCTCCACGTCGTAGTAGAGGGTCTTAGATCCAAGGAAAAGCTTCGCCAAGAGGCAGAGGTTTTGGCAATACAGTGGATTGCGGCGTCCGTCGACTTCCCAGAAGGACAAAGTGGTCTCTGCGCCGGTCTCTGAATTCTTGATCTGATCACGATATATCTCATCTCCAGGCGGATGCTTTGCGGCGCACTTAAGTTTATGACGCCAGGCGACATAGTCAGAGCTCATATATTTTAGGCAGAATTCGCAGATGTAGAGGTGCTTGTTGCGACTGTACTCCTCTGGGTACGGTGCGGCATGCCAGGTGTCGATTTCGTACTGGCCAAAGTTGATACACTTGATTTTGCTAGGCTGGCCAGCCTGCTTCGATCGTGCAGGAGTTTCTCCACTCGCATGGGCGATCTTCAGCTTCCATTCCTGCTCAGCCTTGTCACGAGCTGTTTGAAAAGCCTGACGATCAGCGTCCGCTGGGTAAGTGCGTGTTGTATCTGCTTCTGCTTCGGTAAGAATACCACCGTACGGTTTGCCTTTATTCTCGTCTACCTCACGGTCCTGGAATGGGAAGAATGGGTTCGTATACATCGTCGTCTGCACAGTCGGGAAGTGTGCGGGCTCTTCGGGCTCAACGGTTGCTGTTCGATTCCGCTGATTGCGTAGGCGCCTTTGGCGGTCGCGTTCACGACGTTTCTGCTTCTTCAAGACGTCCCTTTCTATCTGATCCCATTGAGCGACGGTGACCGGTATCGCTAGGATGCAACTCTTAGGATCGTCTGAGCGTGACAGAATTCGGGGGCCCTTCTTGCGATTCTTATTGCGCTGCGGCCGTCCAGAACGTGACCTAGGCGATCCTGGATCGTCCGTGGTTGCGCCCAAGTTGTCTGCTTCCTGTCCTGTGTCGACTGCGGTTGTCCCTACCGCTTCATCGACTTCGAGGACAGGGGCGTCCTGTTCTTCTGGTGGTTCGGTGGTCCTTCTTCGCTTCCGGGTAGGGGCCCTCGGTGGCTCATCGACGTCGTCTGAAGGAGTCTTGCGCTTTCTAAGCGATCTCGAGCCATCCATTTCGTCATCGGGAAGGATAAGTGTGTTGAATACAGAGTGCGAGCCTGGCTTGATGCCTCCACGAGCAGACGGCAAGAGGTCTCTTGCCATTCTTGGTGCTGAGGAACGGCGTCGGTTGGTGAGCATTTGAGGAACATCCTTGAAATCCTCTTCCAGACCGTTGGCCACACATTCTGAACATCTCCAGTGTGAGGCATCTGCACAGATTGTCAGTATCAATTGTGCCCGCTTGGCAATGCATCGTTCGGTTAGTGGGCCGATCAGATCTCACGTACCTTCGTCGGAAGCTAGCGAGCCTGCTTCTCTGGCACATTGCCGGTGGGCTGCAGGAACGGAAGTCAGCGCGCTTGGACCCTTGAACTTGATATCATTTGTTGCTTTGCCGCAATTCTTCCACCTCTTGTGTTCTTTAAAGCGAAACTCGCACTTCGTTTTATGGCCACTTACCATTGTCACCACATACTGAGCAGGCCAGATACTCTTCAAATTCTTCGCTAGGATCGTCCTCCTCTCCTTGTTCACAAAACCTGCACAGCGAGATTAATTTTGCGTCACACACCTTTCGTCCAACACGGCAACTTACACGCAGCGATTGGCATCTGGATTTCCGATCTTTTGGTCTTCATCAACATCGTCGGCCGCTTCCCAATCTTCCTCTTCGGCTTGAGAGCTTTCGTTCTCGGAATCGGCATCGTGGTCATCGATTTCGGCTTCTGATTCCTCGTCTTGCGACGTCTTCCTCGCCCTCGAACGACTGGACCTGGTCTTAACAGCACCGACGATTTCTCCATCGTCATCTTCCTCGTCTTCTACATCCTCACCGGGAGCATCTGCGTCTGAATCTTCTTCTTCCTCGCCCTCTCCCTCGGCCTCTGGCTCCTCAATATCTTCTTCAAGCTCTTCCTCGTCCAGCTCCTCCGCAACAGGAGCGTCTTCCTCCTCATCGATCTCCATCTCCTGCTGCTGCCCTTGGGCCCTATAGCTCACACCACGTCCGCGGAGCCTCGTAGGCGTCAGCGCCGCGCGGTTGAGGACTATGGTAGCCAGTTTGCTTGTTCTGGGCCCTCGCTAGCCCATGTGATCTTACTGTTCCTGATCCACTCGTGATTCCTCGCAGCGGCCGCGTCTGCGATGTGGCCTCTCATACGGTGGCCAGTCCGAGACCGGTCGTGCCAAGACTTCTCACAGGACGTGATGACTGCTAATTTCACGCGTAATATGCCTTCTTATCCCTCCAAATAGCTCTTGCAGTACCCTCCAAGCTTCCGGCGCGCTGAGATCGCTGTCGTCGCGGCAGGGCAAGGCGTGACTAATCAGCGGGATGCTCGTGTACGTGTTGAGAGGCTCTGCAGGTGACGATGATGCGCAAAGAATGGTCCGATGTGTACTGTGCGTTGATGCGACGGTCGTGATGAGCGCAGATGGGCGGTGTCAGGTGTGATTGAGTTGCTGCCGCCTCTCTGGCTCCCTATTCAAGTTGGCGGAGGCGGAAGCCCTGTTCCCAAGCTGGAGTCCAGCCAGCGCCCAAAGTCGTGGCACGTGATTCTTTCTGCTTTTCCTGTCACTTCGTGATATGGCAGGTCATGAAAGAGGTGGGAATGAATTGATTGCCGATCTATATTGAGCAGAGCGCTCTATCTGGAACTGTATGTCTCGATGAGCCTTGTTGGTTGGGCAGCGACTGAGACAGCGCGCCTTCCCATCGCATCTTGCTCTCTCCGCTTGACTGTCCCGCAACTTTCCCCGTTCTAGCTTGACATCTCAGCGACGACATCTCCAACTCCATTGACCCGCACGACTTCCATTCTTTGCGCGCTCTCACTGACCAGCTAACCACACTATTGCGCACGCTGCGCTTGAACGTAACCACACGAGCTCGTCATGTGAGTGACTGCCATGCGACTGAAAGAAGCAATCGCTAACTCGACATTGCAGGGGTGTCCCATTCGAAGCTCTCCTCCCATATGCTATCTGCGTCGGCGTACGATATCCAGTCCGACATGGCTGCCGCAACGGGAACATACTAATCGCGAGCCTTAGTTCTTTGGCCTGAGTGGCGCCGGTCTCTCCAAAATCAGACACATGCAGAACGGCGGAAAGCGTGCAAGGCATTCGGTGGATCAATGGGACAGACAGAGTATGTAGGCCTGGACAACACTGGGGAAGACGTGCAGAACCATACAGCCTTGGATCGAGGACTGATGTTTTACGTGCAGTGATGGACCGCGACCGACGGCTCACGGGCTTTTTGCGAGGACAGACGGACAACCCGAAAGCACCGGCTGGCTTTGAGTTCAGCAACCCATGGCGAGTACGTATGACTCTGTGACGAGATCTTTGCCCAGTACTGACGGTTCGCGCAGCTCGAGAAAGGCATTTCATGAATGTAACAATACCCTCACGAAATCCAGCGACTCCGCAAAAGTTGCCCGTACCCTGATGGCATCAGCTGTAGCTGCATGCGTGCATGCGCGCTAATCAGCGTTTTCCCTTCATCCACTTCTCACTTAACAACCGCCTGAAATCTACGGGCATGTTATTTTTGTCCTAGAACCAGGCAGTCTGCTCTGTGTTGTAAACCTCCAGCTCGCATGTACGCCAGAGTAGCTCTCAAGCTGGCGGCGAGGCAACCCGAGCTTCAGGATGTCTGACGCAATCTAACATGCAGTTTATTTGCCATGCGTTCATGTAATGCATCCCCTAGCTCCCAGCAGCGTATGAAATTCCCGTGTTCCACGACTGGTCCATACGGTCTTGCTTGGCCGAGAGCGTTTCATCAAAAGACAAAGTCCAAAAAGACTACTTCAATGCCTTGGGACATTCTCTACGTAACAAGTACGTGTTCTGGATCGGACACGGCAAAACTTTCTTCTTCCGACTAATTGGGCTTCCACTGCTCTGCAGCTTATCTTCCTCGGTCGGGAAGCTACATCATCAATGCCTTGAGGACGAAGTCTGGCCTTAATCTCTTATACACAACGACGAAGGGCATTCCTTTTCGTCGACCAACTGGTACCCAAGTCGACATTCAACACATCTAGGATTTACGCCCTAAATTCTTGTGAAGAGGGTCCGCACGAAAACCAGATCGTTGAAGAGACAACTGGATTCAGATAGCGAAGTTGATGTCTAATATGTGAGGGCTCTACTTGTGACAATGCGTGCTTGTGCTCTGGTCTGCTGTGGACGCGCATGCGACTGCGAACGACGAAAAGTCAAGCAAGTATGGTAATACAACGTGAGGCGGTGCCACCCCGAAGACCTTCTAGCACCGACTCAAGCATGCTAGATTCGACGTGGCCGTCATCAATTGAATGACTTGTGACGATGGCCGTTTCCTTAGAATCGCCGAGACGGGCAAGGGCACGGCATTGCGCATCTCGGCTTGTGGAATCCTTGAGCCGGGACTCAAGTCATGCACGTCTTGAACCCGTTCGTGGCTGGAATTAAGCATGATAATGAGCCATGACCGAATAGTCAGTTCCTCCGTCGGAACTCATGCGAGCGCATTTCGGCAAGATGAAAATTGACGCCTGGGGACGTTGCTCGGTCGCGGCGTCTTCTATCCACCTACCCTAGTGGACGTTCCACCTCGGTGCTAGGGAGGAGTTCGCTCGGCTATGATGATATTCATCAGCACACACGTTCTTCGCTACCCGCGATACAAGACTCGGAGCCATTGAGAAGTACCGACGCAGCGGTGTCGCGTCACGTAGCCACGCAACGGGCGAGCAGTTGCCGCGATTCAGATGAAAAGGGGGAGACCCATTCAGGAGATGCGCGCAGCCAATGAACAGCCGTCGCAGCGCAGACCGGAAGTTTGTTCCTGATGTGCTGAGGTAACGGGGCCGTTGGTAGTAGAAGTATGATGATGAGTGGCTCGCGCGTTACCTGATTCCTAGCCTTCAAAGTGTGCCCGCATCGTCGCCTGGAAGAGCCTCCGCTGCACGTCGACAGTGGTATGATATCGGTAATATTGCTTGAGAAGGACGAGATCCGGGAAGAAGAGAAGGCGAATCTTGGGTGGGCTGAATTCCCCTTGCACGGCTTGAGCTGTGCCTGCATCGGGAAACAAGCCAATCAAATATCCTGGCGGCGAACCACTGGCCTCCGTGTCGATCCTTCCGGGGCGGACAAGTCAGCTAGCAATCACCATCTTTTCCAGGAGTCGTCACCCATATCTTCTACCCTCTCTCACATTCGTTTGGATACCCGTGAGCCGGCTGTGCAAGGGCGAGAATGCGCAGTGTGCCACACACATACCTATGCCAAGAGCGGCAGTGAGAGTGCAGGGAGCCCGAAACCATACCCACTGGTTCCTGCGAGGAGACGGAAACACACAGGACAGAAGCAGCGGCGCCAGCAGCACTCACTCCTCCGAGTCCGTGTCGGCGTACACCTCCCGCGCCAATTCCGAGGAGAAGGTCGTCGGCAGCATGCAGGCTCGCGAGCATCCTTACTTCGACCAGCACGACTCTCCCGGACGGCCACAGTACGAGAGCTACGATGGGAGCGGGTATCCCTCTCTTGACATCGCTAGCAGCCGCGCCAGCTCCGCGCGATACAGCAATGACGTTCTGGCACAATTCAGCAAACCGCCTCCGAACAATCAAGTCAACGGACATTACAGCGATTACGACTTCGGTCCGCCCCTAGATCAGCAACAACGAGCACCGAGCGCTCATCCGATCGTGACCGGACAATTGAACGACTTCAAATTTGACCCCTCGGACGAGTCTCCGATCGCTAGTCATCATATCAGCCTGAACACGAAAGTGCATGAACGGAATCAAGACGCTGTAGGCCAACATTTGCTGTACGAGACTGCTCTTCTGGACACCCAATCTTACAAGATCCTCGATATTGATGAGGTGGATTCGCTGAAGAAAGAGCGTGCACGCTTGGATCAAAGGATAGAGGCGACTGAGAGAAAGCTTGCTTTGGAGCGGAAGGTGAAAGATGCCGCGCAGAATCTTCAGAGATTGTATACGGCGGGCAAGAAAGATCCACGGCCAGACACACCACAAAGCTCCGAGAGTCCTCTGAAAGGTAGAAACAGTACTCTGAGTAGTAAGAGACCGGGAAGCAGCGGCAGTGAGGGTTCAAAATTGCTACATCAGACTCAGGATGAGCTTGCTCAGAGCGTCAAGAAGGTCGAAGAGTTGAACGAGCAAATCAAAGACCTCCTCAACAGGCGAGAGGTAGTGGAGTCAAGACTTCTCAGGCATACAGCTGCTGTTCTGGCTGCGCAAGCGAGTCAACCGCCAGACAATCGAACTGATGCTTTGGTTAATGGTCATCGATCCGCCGACAATGACGAATTGGAACTTCCCGATCCTGACGAATTTGATGGAATCCGAGACATTCTACGGGGCAAGTCCGCGCCTCCCAGCAAGCAGAAACTCGAAGAATTGAAGGGCGAGCACGAACAGCAGCTTCTCAGCGTGCAGGAGAGACTGGAACATTTGAATTCACAACTTCGCAGTGTAATCACTGAAGCAAGCCGAACACGTGGGATTGATCCTCTGCCCGAGCCGCAAGTCAGGAGAAACTCGAATGGAACAATAGAGCGCCTCGATCACACCTTCTCAATTGTTGAGACGAACGTGAAGGCTCTCGAGCAGGAACGCGAGGAGAACAAAGCGCATTATGCTCAAATGCAGGATACCGCGATCTTGACGCGGAATACTGTTGAAGAGCAGCTGGAGGTGCTTAATTCGAAATTCTACGAGAACCTGAAGTCTTCATCGTCCTCGGAGCTCGTACAAAATCTTGAAGCTCCGCCCCAGGCAGCAGGACATGGCTATCAGCACCAATTGCAATATCTCGAGGAATCGCTGCTCAACATGGAGAGGCTTTTGCAATCGAACAACGAGGTGCAAGCGAAAGCGGTAGAGCATGCGCAAAAGGCAAGCGAATACGAAACAACGCTTAGCGGTCTTTGGGCGATTATGGTCACTGATACGCCAAGCGGCCTTACTCCCCAGGGTAGCATGGACGACAGCAGCCGCTTGAGCTTCTCTCGCGGTGATGGTTCCCCTACGTCCTGTCTGAAGGAAGATTTCTCCCTACCTGCTTTCAGCTCCCGCGTGCAACATCTGTTCAACATCGCCTCTGGGGCAAGAGAGCAGCAGGATATCCTGCGGCGCCAGATTCAGCAACAGCGTGACCTCAATGGCAAGTCGGATATGGAAAATCAGGCTCAAGTGGAAGAGATGCAGGCACGGTATGATCAACTCGCCAGCTCTCACAATACCATGCAAGAAGATCTTGCCCGGGCCATGACGAATCATCAGCAAGCTGAGCACGAAGCGAATGAAAGCCGCGGCGAGCTCATGAACGTCATGAACGAGCTCGACCAGCTCCGCAAGAGGGTCGAAGAATCTCAGACACGTCAGAAAGAGGTTGATGAGCGCCACGCCCAAATATCTGCGGAGCGTGAGGAGGCGGTGGGGCGTCACAACGAGATACAGCAAGAAATGCAGGACCTCGAATCAGAAGTCGTGCGGCTTACAACCGAGCTCACCATCGCCAAGGCTGATCTCGAAGGCGCCTACGGCACGCGCAAGCAGCGGCAGAAGGAAGCAGGTGTGGCAGCCGAGGAGATGGAGGCATTGCAGAAGCTCAAAGACCAAGAGATTGCCGATCTCAAGAAGTCTCACGAACAACAAATCGAGACGTTACGTCGCGAGCAAGCAGACCGGTCCAAGCTGCTCGAGATGGAGCTGCAAGACATGACGAATGAGTTCCAAGAGATGACCCGCGAGAGCCTGGAATTGGAGAAGGAGCGAGGGCAGCTGGAAGGACTGATTGATGGGTTGAGGGAGAGATGCGATTTGCTTGAACACCAGCTCCTGGACGAACGAGTGAAGTGGATGGGACTCAGGAGTCCAGGTGGTAATGATCCTAGTGGACCAAGAGAAGCGACGAGTGTGATGGTCCTGCGGCAGGAGTTCAAGAAGATGATGAGAGAGGCAAGAGTCGAGGGCGTGAGATTGATTCGGGTGAGTATTTACATGCCGTGCCCGCAGACGCTCCATTCTAAGCCATTTTCCAGACCGAACAAGAAGAGAGGCGCAAGCTAGAAGCGGAAATCCGCAAGATACGCCAGCTGCACACGCCCATGTCTCGATATGGACCGGGCCTGCGCTCCAGCAGCATCGCGACGCCCATCCACAGCCGTCTCGGCTCAACGATAAATGGTGTGCCCGGAACACCTCCGACGCTGGCATTATCGCCTTCGTCGTCGGCGCGAGAGACGGCAGCAGGTTGACAACGAGTTCACCTTTTAGATCCCGCATTTATGAAAGTCCATGTGTACGATGTGTTTGCTAATTCGTTTCTGTCCACCTAGAGGTCAGCAGATCCCAGCGTTGCTGTTCGATGGTGGGTAATGTTGAGTGCCGCTCGTGTACCCTCCCGGCGGTGTATTATGCAGAGCCCGATGCAGCAGTTCGGGCTCTAGAGGGTGGTTGTCTCTCTTCTTGTCATTGTTCGAGCAATCCAATCGACAATAGGCGTCGGAGGGATATCTGCCCTGCTAGGTGATTTGTTGACGAGCGCCATGGGCGGGTTTGGAGACTTGACTGAGTGTCTCTCTCTTGTTGTGCGTAGCAGACTCGAGGAAGCAACAGGGGGCACAGCTGTGTGAATAACGAGATTATTACTGTCTGTTGCGAGTGGTCCCCTGTCTTCCCCCAGCGTTGAAGTGGAAGCTGAAGCATGTCGGCACGTGAGAGCCAGGCACCAAGTGCCAATGACGTCGGCTCATGCCTGACAGGCGGAACAATTCCGGCTTCGGCTCAGCGCAGGGTCGTGGCAGGTTGGAAAGCCGATGGACGAGAGAAAGACCGTGGACCTACTTGCATACCTCTCTTGCACGCACAGCTCCCATCCACCGAACTTGCTCTGCCCTTTTCACGCTCGTTACTGCAATCCTCGCACCCTGCCTTCCTCAGAACCCTCCATCGTACCCTATCTTTCACGAGATCGCGACGATGCGACCGCTTGTCTAGCACCCTCGTCCTCTCCGACGCATCTCGACCTCCGCATCCTCGAGCTCGCGCGCGTCGTGGCGGAGCTGTGCAGAAAGACGCTCGATACTTCCCCCCAGCAACAATGCCTCCCGCGTCGAACATGCGCAAGTCGTCGATGCAGACGGTGGGCCTCGGCGACTCTCATCGCGGCAATGCCTTCAACTCGACGACTAGCAACGGCGTTCCACCCCGACGCACCACCGCCAGCGGCCGCACGATACGACAGAACACCACCCGTCCGGCCAACTACTATGCGCGTCCCTTTGGCTCCATCAGCACCGCCGCTGGTCACGACAACGATGCCGACGATTCTGGCAACGCTCAGCCGCCCGGCTTCTACCCTGCGATCCAATACTTCACCGATGCCATCGCCGCCCTCCCGAAAGAGGTCATGAAGCAGTTTACGCTGGTGAAAGAGGTCGAGGCAAAGGTCTACAGCGGAAACGAGAAGCTGGGAGAGCTTATCGACGGCCTGATGGACCAACCTGTGCCTCGGCGCAAGCAGGGCACGAGCTCTGCGGCGGCAACTACAGCTGCGCAAGGCCTCATGAGCATGACGGCCAATAACAGCACTAGCGGCAGCACGAATGCCAGCATGGTCAATGGCGCACCTGGTAGACACAACAGTGCGCAGCCGTCCATGGCTGGATCTGGCAACGGAGAGGAGGTCGCCGATACTGAAGAAGAGGGCGCAAGACGATCGACGTATTACCAGCTTCGGCTGTTGACACATAGTTTGTTGGCCAATTTAGATGAGAAGAACGTCGTGCTTGCAGAGGCAAATCGAGTTTTGGCTCAGCAGGAATCCCGTCTAGACTCAGTGTGGCCTCACGTAGAGGGCGAGCTTCACGAGGAGTCGCGAATGGGAAGCATGACGCACTGGGCATACAGCGATAACAGGCAGAAGACGAAAGCCGGTGCTCCTGGAGCTGCAAACAGAAGAGATGTGGCTGCGACGAACAATCTGGCTGCTGCGGCAAGCCTGTTCCACGAGAACGATATTGCGAACATGAGAGAAAAGGCCAACAGAGAGGTAGCTCGCGAGAAGACGAAAGGTAAAAGAACAGAGCCTACTCAGGACTCAGACTTTGACGATAAGCCGAAGAAGGGCCCAAAGGGCGGGAAAGGGAAAGCTGCTGCAAATGCTGCTGTGGCTGCGACAGGACTAGGCATTTCGACGAATGGAGAGCCGGCGACGAAAAGGAAAAAGACGGAGAAGGGAATGACGGTACCGTCTATGGAGCGCCAGCCATCTACTCAAGGGAAGGGCAAGGCAGCCCGAGAAGCTCCACGAAGTACCCCGACGACGGAGCCAGCTGGTGGCAAGAAACCAAAGTCAAAGCCTGGTCCGCCTCCTGGGAGGAAGAAGCCACCTGTCTCAGCTCACAATAGCCCAATGCTTGCGAGCAGTCCACTGGCATCGAACTTTGCCCAGATCAGCGTGGAGTCTGGTGCTGCTGCAAGGCCTCAAAGCGCGCGGTTACGACAGAATAGCACTGCGACAAACCTCAGACACGAGAGAGTGCAAGAGGAGGACTCCAGTAGCAGGCCAGCTTCTGCTGCAGGAAAACCAAACGGAAACGCGGAGAAGACGAATGGTAGAAGGAAGGTGCAAGAGACGACCGAAGAGCATGACGAACCAAGCGCGGATGATCGGACGGCCAAGCAGCTTCAAGGAGCAAGCGAGAAGCTCAAGAGAGAAGACACGGAAATACCTGACGCTGGTGGAGAGCGCCAGATGCCCAACTCGAGATCGGGCTCGAATAGTCGCAAAGGTAGTGGCCGGCAGTCGAATGTTGGCACACCTCGAACCGATACATTCTCTGGAGAACCAGCCGCCATGCTGCGGTCCCGGAGTACTAGGAGTAGACCGGGTGCAAGAGAGGACTCAAGTTCGGTCGAGCCACCGGTGCAAGGAGCTGGGAACGGCCGGCACAAACGTAACATGTCGAACAGTCATCTCGTCAAGCAGCTGGCCCCATTCAATAAGAGTCCTGATTTGGATCGACACAGAAATCGTGATGATATCGATGACGAGCCGGATTCGGATGACAGAGAGTTGAACAATGAAGGACCCGAGCGCGGAGACGAGCCGCCGCCGCAAGAACAAGATGAAGCGCAACAGGCTGTTGATCGGGAACCGCGTCGCTCTAGTACAAGACGCCCCATCTCACGAAGGAACACGGTCAACACCGTTCGCTCATCACCTGCTCCCAACTCCCGCGAATCTAGTTCACCTGTCTCGCCACCATCTACCAGCACTCATGGCCGCACCACTACCCACACCAGCCAGCCTCCTCCTCCTCCTCCTCCTCCGCCTCCGGCTGCCGAGCCTGAGCCAGAACCTGCCGAGGAAGAAGACGACGAGTCAGAGCACGATCCAGACGACCCCGATGAGCCGAAGTATTGCTATTGCAATCGCGGCTCGTATGGCGAGATGGTCGCTTGCGATAACGAGAGCTGCCCGCGCGAATGGTTCCATTTGGGTTGTACGGAATTGCGGGAGGCGCCGAGTGAGGAGGATAAATGGTACTGTAGGGAGTGTCGACCGGCGTTTACTGGGAGAGGGAGGGGTGTAAGAGGCGGCCGAGGCAGAGGGAGAGGGCCGTGACGGGTAGACGTAGGGCAGCAATGGATGATAATGTGTATGCATTCTACACCCGTGAAGTGGGAAGCTTTGAAAACTCTGCCGTCTGCCGGTGGAATGTCTCTTTGTTTGAGCCACGCCCTGGTGAGTGGCGATCACTCCCGTTCTCTTGGTCTAGGCTGAGCGGTATAATGGCGTCCTGTTCGCGACGAAGACTCGACACTTCCATCGAGATAAGATCGGATCACAGCAACAACAGGTCCTCAAAAGCCTTCTGCAACGACGCATATTCTCCGGTATTCTTCGCCTTCCACGTCCGAATGGCCTCTACACCATCTGTATCCTCCCTCATCCTCTGCACGTTCTTCGTCCCATCGAGCACACTCACATTCCCCAGTCCCAACACCAGACCATACAACGCCACCGCTCTCCCGATCCCCACGCTGCTGGCCAAAGCGCCCACCGGATCCGAAGTCAACAGGTGAGGATTCGCCGTCAACGTCCAGAAACTCTCGTATCGAATGCGATTTTCCCGACAAAAGGCTCGGATCGCGGGATCGTATGCCGAATCGCGGCAGAAACGATTCTGGAGAACTGAAGGTTTGATTTCTGCGAGAGTGTGGATGGCTTCGAGGAGGGGGAGGTGGTAGACATTCGAGAGGCCGAGAGTTCGGATCTGACGCGGGACGTAGGATTCGAGGGTTTTCCAGGCTTCTGCGGTTTGGGCGAGGGTGGGGAGGGGGGAGTGCAGGAGGAGACAGTCGATGTAGCTTTCCTCCTTCGGATTCGGCGTGTGGTGGAGGTTTTCGAGGGAGGAAGCTATCGAGGCGTGGATTTGGTCTGGTATGCTAGCGTTGGGGTTGTAGGGGAGGTTGTGTGGATCTTGGCCTTGGAGGGAGGTGAATTTCGTTTGGATGTAGAGGTCTTGTCGTTTGATGAGGTTGGGAGTTTGTTGTTGTTGTTGTTGTAGGGCGTCTCTGATTCCCGCGCCGACGAGATGTTCTTGGTAGTGTTTGGGCTTTTGCAGGTCAGCTTTGGGAAAGGGGGCAACGGAGGAGGATGATGATACACCATCATGTATAGATGGTTATTATGTGTGTATTGGAGATTCTTCCACCCGGCATTATCACGACAAGTTCGACTTACCTGCGCGGCGGTATCTACACCCCGAAAACCATTGATCAATGCTTGCGCTACCAACCATCGGGTCTCGTCTTTCTTCCACGCCGTGCCGTAGATCAGAGCCGGAATCTTCGCGGCTTTGCATGTTGCCATCCCTCAAACAAGCGATTTTGGAAACCGTGGATGATCAGATCTCATGCCTCGGGGTAAGCTATCGCAAACACGCCCGCGACCAGCAATGCCTGTCGCGTGCAGTGTGGCCTCTTACTCGATACATGTATGTGAAAGTCAATGTTGCCCTCGTACAATCGGAATCGAAAGACATGTCGTCATGAGAAAGTCCGCCAGACACAGGGGTTCGTTCATGTTGGACGGAATCTCTCCTTCCAGCTCCCTTTCAAATCTCAGATGGGCTGGCTGATGATGAGGGGGACCAATTTTGTTGACATCTCTCCTACCAGCACGAATACGAACATTTTCTTGTTGTTGTGACTCCTCTCGTCCCCATCGTGCACAACCCGGGACATTCTGCTCTCGTGACAAATTGTTTTTCGGTGAGGCGGTCTTTGTACAGTGACATGCTTCGTCATCGTCGTGGGTGCCCAGTGCCCCTCCGGGTCTTGGATCTCACGATGCTGGCTTCATGTTTGTACCAGCCACCATTCGGAATGGTCATCAATACAGACAGGCCCGGACTTTGATCTGCATGAGGAGGGGAGGATTGTACATGATGAAGAAGATGATGAAGATGGTGGTGGATGAGACGGACAGCGGAAACTTCAGCCACCGAATGAACAACCTGCGAAGGACTGGCTCGGCGACGAAATGGCCCGCATCGGAAGGAATGAAAAGACCGGCATCTCGTGTCTGGACGTTGTTGACAATTCTCTCCGGCGAACTACTACTGCTCTTCCTCCCCCGGCCACTACTGGTTGGGAAATTGAGCTGTCAGTCAGAATAGCACATCGACATATCTACGCACCTATCCACGCTATGTGCTATGCATAGCGAAGGTATCTGCGCCCGCTGCTCGGACTCCCATGCCACCGCGACGACCAGGTGCACATGAATATTGGCGGAGGGCGGTGCTATCGTCATTTCGTCGCGTGTGCGACCACTTAAAACCAGGAAAGGTTGGCAGGAAGGACGGCGTGCGAATCTCGTAGTGCCCTCCATCGCTGCCGACATGCACGACGACCTGGAGCTCCCCTGCTGAGTCCCGACGTGCGTTAAATCCAAGACCCTCCGCCCATTCCAGCCAACCCAGCCATACCACTCCGATCTCCAACGACACCCTCGAATCGCCGTCGTGCGGCTGGTTGAGACAGACACCAGGGGTTCGGAGGGCCCTATGCAGCGGCTCCGCGAACGTGCTGCGGCGACCAGCAGATTACACTTCTCGCGCCAGTGGCAGGATCATTTTTAGGTGGAGCTGTATCAAGATTTCCTTTTCTCCCTCCGCCGTGCAGTCCCGCCTCCCCCATCACCACCCATCCCATCCCCCTCTGCCCCACTCCGACCGACTCTGAAGCGCCCGTGGAGAAGATATCTGTAGAGTTCCGCATGACAGAGGTTGCTTTTCCTTCATGCCACCTGAAGGTCATCCCGGTATTGTCTCTGGTGCCTCGACTCAATCCTCCGACGTCCTGCCTGACTTGGGACACGTCCTGCAATACCTGGACCCAGCGACGTCCAAGGCGACGACCACCACGGCCACGACGAATTCGGGCATGGCGGCGACCACTGGCTTCACACCAGATCGAGCACCGCCGCCTTTACCAAATGATAGGGAGCCCGTGGACCGACTCCCTCTGCCGGATCAGCCCCAGTCATCCGATGATAGCTCGACGTTCCCCAGAGCGCAGCCACTTCGATATTCTCCGCAGCCATTTGGACATTCTCCATCGCAGAGAAGAGAACGAAAGCCGAGCAACGCCTCGGCAATGGACGGGGGACATTTCCCACGCATGGACTTTGACTTCAACGACCGTGACCGTGATGACCCTCCGCCTCCGCAACGCAATCCGTCCCGTCAGGGCGGCGCGATGATGAGATGGGGACCGCCTCCTACCCCCAGCGACTACGGCTACGACGACGACCGTCCGTACTATCCTCGCCCTCCCTGGGACTACGGACGCCCGGTCCCACCGAAGGACTGGTGGTCCGAAGACCCTTACTACAATCGTCCCTACCGTCGGCCCTCCACCATTCGCGAATCGGTGGAATGGCGGGGATCAAATCACGGAGGCAGAGGTCCGCCGCGCCCGCCTCGCGGTGGGAGATACCGTGGCATGTCCGAGGAGCCCTCAGACGACGGCGGCGAGAGCGATGAGCAGCCGCTGCGCAGGAAACCGCAAAAGAAGGCGGCAGCAACAAGCGCCAAGAATTCGAGCCCGCCGCCGGAGATCGTATATCGATTGCCGTTCACGACGTGGATGAATCGATCTGCCAAAGGCCGTATGTGATTCCCCTCATTCTCCCCGGGGCTGGTATGCGTGCGTACTGATATCTTCTTAGATTTCGTCGCGTTAATTGGCGAATTCATGGGCACGACGATGTTCCTGTTCTTCGCATTCGCTGGCACCCAAGTTGCTAATGTAGGTGCCGGCAACAAGGCCAATCAGTCCACCACCAATGCGAGCACCGGATTCAGTCCCATCGTATTGCTGTACATCTCCCTCTCCTTCGGATTCAGCTTAATGATCAATGTCTGGATTTTCTTCCGAATTTCGGGAGGCCTGTAAGTCCACGTACCCATTGAACGTGTGTTCAATCTTACCCTGCTAACGAATGACAGGTTTAATCCTGCCGTAACGCTCTCCATGGTGATGGTCAAAGCCATCTCGGTCGTCAGAGGATTACTGCTTATTGGCGCTCAACTCGTCGGAGCGGTCTTCAGTTCTTACGTGGTGTCTGTACTCTTCCCGACCACTTTCAACGTCCGAACGACCCTCTCCAAGGATACGTCCGTCGCGCGGGGTGTGTTTGTAAGTCAAGCCCATTCCACTCACAAAGTCCTCACCCATTGACCACTTGTTGGACAGATCGAAGCCGTCCTGACAGGCGAGCTCGTCTTCACCATCTACATGCTTGCGAACGAAAAGCACAAAGCCACCTTCATGGCTCCCATCGGTGTCGGCCTGGCCCTCTTCGTGGCGGAAATGGTTGGCGTGTACTACACCGGCGGTAGTCTGAATCCCGCGAGATCCTTCGGGCCCTGCGTGGTCTCGGGAGTCTGGGATCCTGAGCATTGGATCTACTGTGAGTAGCAGCTTACGCGCCCCTGCGCTGCGTCTCCTTGACCATAGATAGCTGACGTGGTGACGTTAAGGGGTCGGACCCGCCGTCGGCGCAGTCCTTGCTTGGGCATTCTATCGGTTCATCAAGGTAAGCAGTGACGACCCCAAGGAAACCCCTCTGCCTCGCCACGCAACATGCTGATCTTCCTTTTCCGTGTCCTACAGATTCTGGAATACGAAATGGCCAACCCGGGTCAGGAATCGAGCAGTGAGGAGGAGGCTGCGGCCGAGGCGGCCGATGTCACCCCCAAGAAGGCGGAAAAGGCTAGCTCCGAGGACATTGTGTGAGGTGAGCGCGGAGAATTTGCGATTTGTGGCATGGAGGATAGGAGGATAGGAGGTTGGGCGGTGCGGTGCGGTGCGGTGCGGAGCGGGTGGATGGATGGATGGAGGGATGGAGCAAAATCTGTTGTACATTCTCTGTACATTATCATAGCTGGACTCAATGATAATGTGTTACATACATACAATACGCTCTGCTCGGAACGGAGGCGGTGTTTGCTGGCGGCGTGGTCTATGGAAGGCTCCGCTTGTCTCTCTTTCCTTGTTGTTCGTTGCATTGCTTCGTACATAGAATAGCTCAATGCACGCTTGCCAGACAATGCGAAAGGTGTGGCCTGAGGGTGTGATGTGCGGAAGGTGAGGTGAGATGAGGTAGAGTCTAGGAAAGAGCCTACGAAAGCCATCCAATACATGTACCTTACCTTACTTACCGCGGCGGAGGAGCCTCTTATCTAGCGGGCTTGGGTTGGGCACCATCCTCCCTACCTTACTAATCTTTCGTCTTCACCCCGACGAGGCACCACTGCTGCCGTACATAACTTACTGACGCCGTTGCCGATGACGCCTAGAAGCAGTAACCCTGCTCAACCGCTTCTCAATGGCAACATTTCTGCCATTGCAGGCGCCTCAGCTTCCGAGCGGTTCGCACGGGTCACCGTCCACCACACCGTCTCGATGAGCCTTCGTGCTCCCTACACCTTGACGTCGACTGCAGTCGTAAGCGTCTGCCGCCGACGGACTTCGATATGACGGTGCCGGCCAGTCCAGGCCTGCTCTGAACGGCTTGTCCGTACGACACCCGCGGTATTTTCAGCTCCAGCCACAGCCACCACCGAACGAACCGCTTCATCATTTCAACCAACGCTGTTCCCGACCGCGAGGCATTCAACCACGAGGCGTGCAACGAAGGCTGGACGTGGGTCGGCCGAGCTGCTAAGGAGGAGGATAGCGAAGGCGCAACAGAGGGCTGGAGATGAGCGGCTCGGCAGTCGTGCGTGACGGCCGAACGGAGGATCTGAAAGAGATGACAGCGAAGACATGAAGAGGCCTTCAATGAAGAGGCCTTCATGGTCATCAATGACATCGCGGGAATCGCTCACAAGTCACTGCGGAACTGGTCTGGGTGTCTAGTCGCTTCGCTGCGTTGCCCGGAGGCCTTGATCGCGCTGTCCGGTGTCCATTGCCAGCGTTGGAAATCCGGTGAAGAACGTTGAGCCGCAATCGAACATCGTACTGATGGCTCTTGCAATGACTGGCGAGCACACCGAAACCGTGTGGGCGGACAAAATAGTGGAGCTGCAGCATGTCAGACTTTCCCGTCCTAGGATCCAGGCCCCTGTGCTATCATGCGCCATCCTGGATAGGGATTGGTGTGTGTCTCCTGACACTTGGCATAACCACATCTCGTTGTCGGATATGGCCGTCTTTCCTTTAGGACCCTCATTGCCTCAGTCTACAGCTCCTTTGAGCGAAACACTGGCAGAGCTTTCCTGCACGACCTATCTTGGATGCCGGATATATCACTGACGTGATTGATTGGACAATATGGCTGGCAAGGCGCCGTGTGTGAGGCTGCTCCAGTTTCCGATCGAACTCTTCCAGACCAGGATATGAGAGATGACACTATGTGATCTCTCCTCACCGCTGTCTGCTGCCGGATTCGACACTGATGAGATCGAATCCAGCTATCAAATCGAGATCTTCTCACAAAAATAAAAGCCGATGTCCAGATATCCTGGGTTTCGTCGTGTTCCAGATCTCGGGAAGCCGCCTTGCATCGTTGACCGTCTCTAGCTCCTGCGTATTCTCGCACTGGAGAGTTGTTACCTACTGGGAATACCGGACGAGAGGGGATTGCGGCAAGTGAGACAACGCGTGTCAGCTGTATTGGCTATTATTGAGACTGTCTTCCAGAGCACTCGGGCGGTGTGTCTTGTTGGAATCGGCATGAAATCCATGCTCGGATGCAGGTTTCAGCTGAGGATTGGGATGTTATCATGCCTGTTCAGACCACAGTCTCTGTCTTTGGACGTCGATTCGGCCGATATGCCATTCCGCGGTGCTTCTGGAGGCGGTCACAAAGACAGATGCTTCTGATTCGAATTTGATCCTTGTACGAGCTGATTGCGACATTCTGACAACGGCTCCCGGTGTTGATGCTGGACGCTTTATGCGGTTGCCACCGCGAGGATGCTTCCGTGGACTCCGTGCCTCCAGTTTATCGGACCTCCCAGATGCTGTGTGGATTGGAAGGCAAAGAATTTCGCTAAAGCTGCCCATCTCAGAGGACTCTTCCAAGATGGGGACTCGGCTCAAGTCTCATGAAGGGCCTTTTGTGAGCCAGGAAGATCACCATGGAGTTCGTATCCTTCTATGGGTTTTCAAGGCCTTTTGGGCGATAGCTTGCGGTATGTGATGCTGTGAATCGTACGCAGTCGCTGCAGGGAGCCGACTTCTATTCTCTATCCAACCTGGCTGTGTTAAGATCCATTGGCAGTCTATCCTACTCTTTCGGGTGTACTTCTTCACAAGGTGTCCAGAGCTAGGCGGGCAAGTAAGGGATGGCCTCGAGGAATGTGGCGTCAGGCTCTTCAATCTCACTTCAACACTCCATCAGTCGTCGTAATTCCATACTAATGGTATCCTGACGACTTACATGGTCATTGCTGCTCTCGAGGGGAAGTGCGTTTGCGAGCGAAGGGCTTCTTCACGGCGTCGAGGAATCGTGTCCATCTCCGTGCGAGCACGTCCCTCATCGTTGGCTTGGGCTGCCCTTCCTGCCGCTGTTGCTGGCGTTCCAGGTGAAGGAGAGAGTTGGTGGAGGCGAGCGAGGCCGTCGAGGGAAGAGAGGAGAGAGAATCTGGCTTGTATTAGCTGTCGCCGCCCCCTACGCTGTCATCCAGGTCATCCTACCGCTGCTCGCTGCGGCAACATGGTCGACTGTTACTCGCTGGGCATTCAAAATGGCCGGGGCTGCCTCTCTTATGGCTGCCATGCTCGCGGGACTTCTTCTCAGGCGGACGCCAGGCTCGTAGGTGGGCGCGGTCATGGCCTGAGAGAATTCACCGGGCATCATTCCCTCCATGGCTGCGTAGAATGCTGTGCTGCTTCAGGTGAATGCGTTGGAATGGCAGTGTCACTGGCGACGGAGATGGTTTGTCGTTGGTGGCTTTTGAACGGTTAGGCTCGCGCTCCACCGCTGGCGATGGCGGCGACGTAGCGAAGTCGAGTCCACGCAGCACTCCGCGCACTGGTCAAGAATTGTGAATACTCTCTTCTTCAGCGCCTTGCTGAGGAGCAAGAGACTGATGAAAAGATCAAATTCCGCATATGCAATGCCAGCAACACGGTGTCCAGTGGCCCGACTGAAGCCAGGGAAGAGGACGAGCTCCAAAGATTGATGAGAGGTTCTTTAAGAGGAGATGGATGCTACTCGCGGTCCCGCAGGACGTACGAAAGAGGGCAGAGGGTAGAGAGGAGGAGAACAAGGAGACGAGTCTTGTTTTGATGCACGCCAACGCTAGCGCTGCGCACACTCGCCTGCCCCGGTTAATCATCACACGGCAACGAGGACAAGAACGATGCCCAGCGACCGGGTGAGGGCTCTTCTCCCGTCTGTCCGCGTCCGAAGTGATGGACTGGGCGTGTCGGAGTCGTTACAGCTGATAGGGTGGTGCATAAGTGAGCGCTGCTGAAGCCGCCCCTTCGGAGCACGTGCCACTGCACTGAGCTGTTTCTTCGACAACAAACCAAGACTTCTCCTTCCACCCGACATCCTCACCAACAACAGAACTTCCATCGAAACACCAGGTGGCCGACATGGACGGCGCCGATCACCGCCAGATGAGGGATCTCGTTAACACGAACGAGGATCAGGTCCGCATAGTTTTCAGCGACGAGTTCCAATGCGTAGTGAACGCCGACTTCCTCAGCCGCCGCAGCTTCACCATTGGCAACTTGCTGGCGGGCGCACCAAGACCACCACTCACCGCCGCAGCCAAGGAGTCAAATGCGCCACTCTACCAGCTGAATCTCACCAAGAATCAACTTCAAGGCGCATACCATCCATACACCTTTCGTGTCGTGCCTCTCGACTCGCACGGTGACCCGTTGGAGACGGCCACTGAGCAACGCCTCTTCAGGATGTTCGGAGACGACTCTCGCCCCCACGCTCAAGGGGATCGCGATGATAATATACACCCGGATATTAGCAGTGTAAGGCTTCTTGCCGTCTCACCAAGATTGAGTTCATGCTAATTGCCGCAGGCGTTCGAAGCCGTGTTCGACGCTATCTATAAGGGATGCATCGACCAGGGACGCATCGACCTCGGATACATCGACGACGAACCACTCCACCGCATTCTCGATGCCGCTCTCGACATTATGAAGGCCGCCGAGTACCTGAAGTGCGTTGGGATCGTCGCCCAACCAATGGAGGCCATCCTGCTTGCACAGGGCCAACTTCTCTACTACTCTATCAGCCATATGCCTATCTCCTGGCTGCAGTTGAGCTATCGGATTCGCTCGAAGCCGATCTTCAAGGAGGCCCTTATCCATGCGACTGGCCAGTGGAACAGCCATGGAGTGCAGCAAGGAATCCGCGAGGGATTGCTGCCGGACCGCGTTGTTGACATACTCGAAGCCAAAGCTGGGTTTATCGCGGACGGTGTCCTTCAGGTCGAGCGTCGCCTCGGGTCCTATTATCCGGACGTGATCACGCGCCAGCAGCCGAGCGGACGTGTGAGCAACGACAGGTGTGGCCGCGGTGATTATGCTAACGACATATACATGTGGATGGCCCTCAATGTCTTCAACAAATGGTGCATTGACCTCATGACATCCGATCACACTCGCCACAGCGCGGACATGGGATTTGCCTTCATCCGAGCAGTCAGCGAGGGCGGCAATGCCTACCTAGACCGCACGACCATGCTTGAGCACTTCCACGGGCGCTTCCCTATGAGTGGCAAGGGAATGGCAGGCGTTGAGCACAGACTCCTCGAGATCAAGGAGTTCGTCAAGGAATGGGCGCGTGTAAGTGGCTACCATCATAACACTGATTTCTACTCAAGCACTAACCTTGACTATAGCCGCTCATGCGTACGAAGACTCAGCTCAATCTTGACGAGTACCCGGTTGAGTACTTCACTCACGTCAGCGTCGTCAACACCGACTTCCCCTGGCTCAACCACGATAACCATGACGACGACGAGGAGTTCAATGGCCTGCACGTCAATGAGGAAGTGGTCGATGCCAAGACTCGCTATCCTGTCTACTACGGGCCTCGTGGAGAGCGTGATGATGATATCTACGTGTATGAGGAGGTCGACGGCAAGGACGGCAAGTACACCCTGCGCAGTGAGCGTCCTCAGCGCGGAAGCCCTGTGTACCAGTCCCATCGTGGCAACGACAACTACTGCAATTACCAAGGCACGCAGATGAAGTCGGAGGACGACGAGATGTACGAGTGACAGCTGAGCAATGCAGCTCAAGTTGAACAGGACTTTGAACGAATACCCAATGTGAGAGAGAGAGAGAGAGACGGTATGCGTGTGTGTAAGATAGTGCCAAGGACATAGCTCGACAGAACACGATGCTATGCTGCTACCGCCCGACCCGCTGTAACTCATGTCTTGGTCATGGTATTCCTTTTCCTTGCACGAAATCGCCGCGGTGAAAGGGAGCGAGAGAGAGGTGAAGTAAGTACCCTTGTCGGGGCACGGACTTTTTGCTCGTGCCCCGTAGCCGCGCGGCGGGCGGAACGTTATTTCGACGGCTGCTACGGCTGAATTCGACGGGAAAACAACAACAACAACATACCGCTGTGCAAGGACGCTGTACTAATTCATCATCATGACTTCGACTTCATCACATCAATTCCCGGGTCCTCCCTGCCTGGCACATTGCACGTCATCACCCATGACACAGTCGAGAGAAGACAATAATAAGCGATTACCCTTCGCAGAGACTATTCATCAGGACCAATACGAGGCTAAAATCAATTCCCACGACGCCTCATCCTTCGCGCCCTTCTTCCCCAATCTCTCCCCCGCATTCGCAGATGGGGATGCCCCCTCCCAGTGTGATTCGCCGCCGAATACCCAGTTTCACCTGCCACGCGCTATAGACCGTTCTTCCTGCGGGTTCCCAGGACAGGCAGGCCGTGAATTGGAAGAGACCACCTGCTCTTGCTACTTGAGGCGCGGCTCTTGCGTTCATGTTCCTCCTCTACTAGGCTCTTCAACTTTCTCTCTCTGTCGATATCGCTTTGCTTGTGGTAGTGGCTGAACGAGGCATTCATTCACCATGGGGAAATTCTACGGCCTACGAGGCACGCAGTTGAATATTGCAATCGCGGTGGTGGCGGGTGTGGATTTCGCTCTGTTCGGGTATGATCAGGTATTGCTCCATCCCTGCCGCACGAGACGTGGCTCGCACACATGATTAACCAGATGGCTTTTTCTTGGGTAGGGTGTCATGGGAGGGCTTCTGACCCTCAGATCCTTTCTCAAATACTTCCCTCAGATCGACACGCAGAACCCACCGGATGGTGACGCGAGCAAGGCTTCCAATGTCCAGGGCATTACGGTTGGCGGATACACCCTTGGGTGCTTCTTCGGCGCTGTGGCTACGATCTGGCTAGGAAACTTGCTGGGACGAAAGCGGACGATCTTGGTTGGGTCGACCATCATGGTCATCGGAGCTGCTATCCAGTGTTCTTCGTTCAGTCTTGGGCAGCTTATTGCTGCGCGATTGATCACCGGGTTTGGAAACGGTATTGCTCTTTGCCAGTCACGACAGTGAATTCGAGCTGACTGTACTCTCAGGCATGAACACATCGACCGTGCCAACATGGCAATCCGAGACATCGAAATCGCATCGGCGTGGCCAGATGGTCATGATCGAAGGCTCGCTGATCGTCTTCGGCGTGATGCTGTCTTACTGGATTGACCTGGGCTTCTCCTTCCTCGACCCCTCGACCATCTCCTGGCGATTCCCCATTGCCTTTCAAATCCTCATGGCTCTGTTTGTCTGTTTCTTGGTCCCAGGCTTGCCGGAATCGCCTCGTTGGTCAGTATCAAGCCTATGTCCAACGATTGATCCCAACGGTGTGCTAAGAACCATGACAGGCTCACACTGCAGGGAAGAGAGGCTGAAGCGCTCGAAGTGCTATGCGCCTTGAACGACACGACGGAAGATGACCCACAGATCCAGAACGAATTCAAAGCTGTCAAGGACACCGTCTTTGAAATGGCAAAGGGAAGCTTCGCCGATGCTTTCAAGTTCAACCGAAATCGCAATTTCCATCGGACTGCGCTGGCTTACGTCAACCAAATGTTCCAGCAGATTTCTGGTCAGTCTTCCTCTACTTATGGCATGTCGGGCTTCTTCGCTAATCTTCTGGACAGGTATCAACATCATCACCTACTACGCCGCCACGATCTTCGAAACGAACATCGGTCTCTCTCCCTTCCTCAGTCGTCTCCTTGCCGCTCTCAACGGCACGGAATACTTCATGGCTTCTTGGGTTGCCATCTTCACCATTGAACGTTTTGGACGCAGAGCGCTCATGTTGTTTGGAGCTGCGGGACAAGCCATGTCGATGGCGGTGTTGGCGGGTACTACGTCGATTCCCAGCGATGATCCTCGAAGCAAACAGGCTGGAATTGCAGCAGCCGTAAGATACTACATGCGCCACCAACCCACCCTGGCTGGACAATCGATTTGCTGACCGTGGGATCACAGGTCTTCCTCTTCGTCTTCAATTCCTTCTTCGCCATCGGCTGGCTCGGTATGACATGGTAAGTAAAATGGATCATACGCGAAAAAAGCACCAAACCATGTCTCCAACGACGCCCGCTCACCTCTCTCTCTCACAAGGTTATACCCGGCCGAAATCACCCCCCTCGACATCCGCGCGCCCGCCAACGCCATCTCGACCACGGCAAACTGGATCTTCAACTTCATGGTCGTCATGGTCACCCCGGTCGCCTTCAACGCCATCGGCTACAAGACCTACGTCGTCTTCGCCGTCATCAACGCCTTCATGTTTCCGTGCGTGTACTTCTTCTACCCGGAGACGGCATACCGGAGTCTGGAGGAGATGGATGAGATTTTCCACGGGGTGCAAGGGTGGAAGGGGGCTTTTACGGTGGTGCAGGTGGCGAGGACGAAGCCGAGACGGTATGGCAAGAAGGGGGAATTGCTGATTGCGTATGAGGAGACGGAGGAGGCGAGGCAGGTGGAGAGGAGGCGGAGTAGTGTTGTTGTGGGTGGTGTTGGGGAGAAGGGGGATGAGACGAGGAGGGAGAAGGTTTGAGGGAGGATGAGATGAGGTTGTGCTTTTTCTGATGTGAGAGGGGCATGTCTGGCATGAGGCGTGTATGTTGTATGTACGGGAACACAGGGCGTACGAAGACACATGTGCAAGTTTTTGAGCAGGTATTCCGACTTTTAGCCGGGCCTCTGAGAGGGCTAGACGACCACGTTTGGGCTTGTTTACGTCGTTTGTGAGATGGTCGTGGCTATTATTCTGTGCGAGCATGGTGGGCAATTGGTACGTACCTATCCCCCCAAAAGTTGTATACCGGTGCAGTGCAAGGTTTCGGCATCGGGATGATGTTGTGGATGGGATGTCCGATATCGGTGTAGATGTGTGACAAGGAGAGAAGAAGCATTGATGAACTGATTTCCCCCCGCCTTTCCTATCCAGATGCAGATGACGAAGTGTCTTTGAAACAGGACTCTGATTGTAGAAGGAGAGGGAAAGTCATGGCAAGAGGCTGGCATGTGCTTACCGACCAGCCGGTAGGTGGGACCACGATGCCGGAAAGCCGGTCTCCGCAGCGGACGGCGGATCTCCGCGAGTAGGATGGGAACGGCGATGTACCGAAGAACGATAAGATGAAGAAGAAGAATCCGGAGATGTTGTATTGTCACGATGAGAATTGTTAGGTCGGACGAGTACTACGTGTGGTTCCGGTACCGCAGCTCTTCTCGGCGGAGGGCGGCGGCGGAGGGCGGCGGCGTTGGGCGGCGTTGGGCGGATGCGATGTGGCTTGCATTGGAGAGTTCAGTGCAATGCACTACTGATGACTGCCCGGTATCCCGGGAGAAGATTCAAGCGTAGTGCCGGGAGATCTTGGCGGCTGTGAAGCAGCAAGCGAGCGTCGAGGTCGAATGGAAGAGCGATTTCTAATAATTCTTTTTTCGAATAAGAAGGAAGGGATGAATGCAGCCTTACCTTACTGTCGCTCTAGGAAGAAGGTAGATTCTGATGAGGAGAGCGGGAAGAGCCAGGACTCGGCAGTGACGCTATATATTATATAAGCCGATTTTCGGCTTCGAGGCAAATTATTGAAGAGGGCAGATTTCAAGGGACTCTCATCGCTCATCACCATCATCATCATCATCATCATCATCATCATCATCAGGCCATTTCTTCCTTTTCGCACCGACAACCATACGACATCTTCACGGCAACACCGTGACGTGTGGAAACAATTGTTTGCTGGGCTTTCTTTGTCCGACGTGCCGTTACTTGATATCCCGCGCCGACGGACGTGCTGCCACCACGCCACGATCAGATAACGGCGACGTGCGCTTTATCTGATCCATCACTCCACCACGTCCGATTTCGTCACTGCCTACTGCCGGCCGCGCTTTTTCGTTTTCGGTGAGTCGACCCCCGCCCTCAGATTCGATAGCGAGAGCGAGAGAGAGAGAGAGAGAGAGAGAGAGGAAAAGACGGAGACATGGCGCGTCACTACTGCGCACATGGCAGTCTGGCAGACACACACACACGCGGGATTTCATGTCCAGACCGCGCAACTCCTCCCGCGCACTCCAATCACGGCGTGATTGCGCTGCCCTGGTGCTGCGCTGTGCTTCCGCTTCGCCTGGCCGGCAACAGCATCATCGAGCGTAGCGCACTTCAACACAACTCTACCGCGGCCCACAGATCGGCCTGCTACACCACACCACACCACACCACCACAGCCACTACACTACCACCACTGCCGCCCACTCATCTCTCACCTCTCATCTTGCATCTCCTCAACGCTCTTCCTCCTCCGCCCATTCCTTGCCCGCATTATCAAGCATCTGACCATTGCTTACCATGTCCCCTCCGACCGCAGAGCCCACACGAAGCGCACATCGGTAACAGTACACAATGTCGACCGCGAATAAGACCCGCGTTCGCCGCCATTCTTTCTCCGCCTTTGGGCACCACCGTCACCGAAATATCCCACACAGCACCACGAGCCATCCCGACAACCCCATTCCCGTCGAGCCCGCCAGAAGCGAGGCCATGCACATTCCCCTCGACGCTCAAGTCTACCTGAGCAACCTGAGCGCCATGGCCACCAGTCCCAGATCCAGCGGCGACAGCCTCTCCCGTTACGCAGACCATGCCACCACCACCAGCAGCGACTCCGACTCTCCCTCGACGCCTGCGACCGAACGGAGCGATCTCGCCGATGACTCGATGATTCAACAGATGAAGCAGCTGTCCCTCGGCAAGCCTTCTCTCCCCAGGAAGCGAAGAGCAAGCACTACCTATGCATCCAACGTTCAAGACATCAGAGATCTGATCGGCTCCGGAGCTGGCACCAAGTTCCTACAGAAATACTGCTGCGGCGAGGGCTGCTGCATGATTGAATCACTCCCACTGCACACGGATGAGGTGACGTTCGCTCCCATCATCACGCCAAGCAACGACGCCTACCGATTCCTCAACCTGGACTTGCGCTCTCTCTCGCTCGACACACAATTGACCAAGATTGTCCATCTTCCCGAGAAGAAGGTGTCCTTCGGCACCGTTAGGAGAGAATCCATCACCGACAAGTTCCCGCAGGAGGCCCAGCACAGGCACGATGCCGTTGAGGTTGGCATGTATCCGCCAGAGTACATGAAGCCACATCCACCTTACAACATCTTCAATGCCCCTCTATATGGAGCCCGTGAGCTCACCAAGCCGGGCGCTGAGAAGAGGACGTTTCACTTCGATATCGATGTCACAGATTATCCCGAAGAAGGTGGCGTGGACTTCAAGGTTGGCGGCGCTGTTGGCGTCTGCCCGCCCAACGACCCCGACGTCGTCGAAGATATCATGAATCAACTCGGCATTCCTCGATTCCAACGAGACAAGGCGATTCGACTACATACGACGGGAGGCCGCTGGCCAACCATCTGGGGCGACGAGCAAGCGAGAGAACTGGTGACCACTCGAAGGGAAGTCTTGACCTGGACTGTTGACATATCGTCTACGGCACCGACGAAGCCCGTGCTCAGGCTCCTTGCTGAGTATGCCTCGGACCCGAACGAGAAGAAGATCCTTCAATACCTTTGCAGCGCTCAAGGCCAGGCCACTTTCTGCGACCTGCGAACGGGTCCTCATACCACTCTGCAACAGCTCTTGCACGCTTTCCCTTCCGCGAAACCGCCTCTCGAGGGCCTTTGCGGCGTTCTGACCCAGCTGATGCCTAGATTCTACTCCTTGTCCAACGACCCTCATGTCTCATCAGCCCGCGAGGGCATTGCTGGTCGCCGTCTGATCGAGGTAGCTGTCACGGTTCACGAGGCCGACAACTACAGCGGTGGCAAGCGCACTGGAGTTGGGTCTGGCTTTTTGGAGAGACTGGCAATGAAATTCATCGAGCATGACGAGAAGGCACAGAAAGAGGCTGCAGCACAAGGCTTCACGCTCAATCCCGGCGTCGGAGGTCGCCGCCTCAACCTGCACCTACCCATGTTCCGCGGTCTGATGTCCAACCCCCTGTCCAAGGAATTCGTCAGCGATGGCCCGATGGTCCTCATCGGCGCTGGGGTTGGCATGGCGCCCTTCCGAGGCTTCATCCTCAACCGACTTAAGAATGCCAGCTGCGCGAACAAGATCTGGCTCATCCAGGGTATCCGCGACAGCATGCTCGACGAAATCTACCGCGGCGAACTTGGAGCTCACGAGAAGGACATCAAGAAGGTCGTTCAATCTCGCGCACAGGCACTGCCTCCGGTATCAGAAACTGAAGATGGTGTCGACCAGCCCAATGACGATGAATCGCGCCCCCCGGAGGTCACCGACCCGAAGAAGCAGAACAAAGTGGCCAAGTACGTCCAGGATGAAGTGCGAATGCAGGCCGACATAGTGTGGTTCGTCATCAACTCCATCGATGGGCGCATCTTCGTCTGTGGCTCTACGAAGGGTATGGGCGAGGGCGTTGAGGAGGCCCTGGTTGACGTGGCCATGGACAAGGGCAATCTGGACTACGAGACTGCCAAGCAGTTCTGGTCTGGAAAGAAAGATGCTGGGCAGTATATTGCCGAGACGTGGTGATTTCTGTTGGTCGCATGTTCGTGACGGTCTCCTTTGCTTGCCAAGCATCGCTGCTTAGCAGAGGGTGACAGGGTCTGCGATTCGTTTTGCGCTGGCGTTAGGGGACAAATGCTCTTTGCGGCAAAAGAAAGCCAGCACATTGGAAGCCCAACTCGGGCTTTGGGTTTGGAACGGGGAGTGCGAACTTCCCACATCCGTCATGGCATGGCCTGTTACATTGGTTGATAGCGTTCTCGCAAACAAGACTTTTCGGTTCAAGGGCAATATTTGTCAGGCTTGGGAGGGGTTTGTACATAGGACCTGGCCGTTCTGGGCCGCGGAAAGGATTTCGATGAAGGAAGCCATGTGTAGACATATAGCACGCTTGTACACTTTTTGATTGCTTACGAGGGTCTTCTGATGACTTTTTCGTTTTGGGTCACGATTCGTCTGCTGTTGAGTTGAGAAGATTTCCTGTCCTTCCCCCATTTTGTAATTAGAGAAGGGGGAATGACTGCTGTTATTGGATCGTACGGTTGGCACTAGGTAAGTAGCTTTACGTAGTAAAGTAAGTAAGGACTACTTCTTTGCTTTTCCTTTTCTCTTTTTTAATTATTAGAGATATCTATATAGAAATATAGACAGATCGATTCCTTACGCTTCTCGAACAAGTAATAGTAATCTATGTTATGAAATGGCAGCTTAGGAGGAAAGTGGGAGCAGGCCTAGCAGTAAGCTGAGTGGTCACGTGACTAGGTCACGTGACACGCCAAGCTTAGTAATAGTAGCTAGAAGGGGGAGAGCGGGCTTCTCTCTCTCCTACCTACTACCTTTATACTAGACTATCTTAGATACCTCTATATAAATCAGGTCCTTCTTCTTCGATTATTAAGTCCTTACTTCCGCTACAAACTACGTAACATATCCTATTCTTAATATTAATTAATACATTAGTTCCTACTACCTACCTACCTTATAGACACCTTCCGCTATAGCTACACCTATACAAAACTGTTGTTAGGACACCTTTTTAGGGACTTAGTATAACAAACTATACTCTTTAATCTACTATTTTATCTTCTATCTATACCTAGTAAGTACTAAGATTTTATAAGAAGTACTAAGTTAGTACTACTTAAATAAAGTCTCCTAAATCGATACTATCTTATCTATTAATGTTTCCCTTACCTAATAGATCTATATTCCTACTAGTTAGGCCCGTATCTTCTTCCGGATCTAGAGAGCTATTTAGTAGTAAGTCGAACTACTATAAAGAAGTAGATAATACGTCGCCTTCCGGATCTAGAGTAGTAGGGGTACTAGAGAAATCTACTTACTTAGTCCGGTAAAAGCTCTTACTACTCTAGTAGATTTCTATCTCTACGTCGTACTATACTTTATAGATAGTACCGAAGTTAGTAACTACCTTCTCTACCTAGTTTCTATAGTATAGGTCCTACTCGGCTTAAGTACCTAGTATAGCGTTAATAATAGTCTATACTAATAGGTCGGTCTATAAGAGACGACTAATAATCGCTTACGAAAGTAGACTACTATACTACCTATATAACCTAATAATAAGAGGTTAGATTATTAGCTTACGGACTATATATAGGTCCGTATACTTAGAGTTAGCTTACTCTAAGAGGTCGGATTATTAGGGCTAGATTATTAGCTTAGGTTTATAGTTAGAACGCTTAGAGTTAAGGTAAGAATACTTAGGGTTAAGGTTAATAAGTAGCGCTCCTATCTTAGAGTTACCGAATAGTCGCTTCTATATATCGCTTTAACTAAGTAGGCTCTTCCGTAGTCCTACTCTACCTATTAGTTAATAGACTTAGTTATAATACTATTAGTAGCTATATCTCGGTACGAATCGCTAGAATTATAATACTAAGAATAGATATATCTAAACTTCGATTACGATCTTAGAGCTACGTAATATAATAGCCGAATCTCTCCTAGCCGATCTAGTAGATACTTCTATCGGTTAAACTTATTTATCGGCTAATAGACTCGATTATATCTATAAAGGCTACTATATTCTAATATATATAGCTAGTATATAGTAGGTACTCTCGGTACGAATCGCTAGAATTGTAACACTAAGAATAGATATATCTAAACTTCGAATCCGACTACTATACTACGTAATATAATAGCTAAATCTCTTCTAGCTAACCTAGTAGATACTTCTATTAGTTAAACTTATTTATCGGCTAATAGACTCGGTTATATTTACGAAGGCCGCTATAATTCGATATATATAGCTAGTATATAGTAGATACTCTTAGTACGAATAGCTAGAATTACGACGCTAAGAATAGATACATCTAAACTTTAACTACGACTATAGTACTACGTAACTTAATAGCCTATCTTTCTCTTAGCTAACTAAGTAATACTCCTATTATTTAAACTTCTTTATTAGTAGACAGACTAGGTTATACTAACTTTATCCCGCTCGGTTACTTATACTTCTCTAAAGACCCGGAGGATACCTATAGTTAAGCTCTCGGCTAGTAGAGTAATATCTATTACCTTCCTAAGTCTAGCGATATATTATCGTACCTCTCTAGGCTGCCTAAATATAGCTAGATACGTCTATAAGTCGCTTACTATTAATTAGACTAAGGACGGCTACTAATTATTAGGATTTATATACTTTAAAGCAATATAGGGTAGATTTATATTAATCGAACCTACTAATATCTATAGAGTATACTTTAAGCGGTTATTCGCGAAATTAACGTATTACTAGAAACGTAGACTAGCAAGTACGAGTTAGATACTAAGAATACTTTCGATCTATAAGCTACCTAAGACTAATACGATCCGAGCTTATTTATTACTTCTAATAAGGTAGGATTCCGATACTAAGAATAGATATATCTAAACTCGCTAGCTACTATTATACCTCGCGACCGTACTATTATTTCTATCTCTCGTTCCTTCTATAGGGGAAAACTATCTATTAGCGGATAGAGTAGGTTATATTTACGTCGGTAGTCGTACCTCGGTACGTAAAGCCCGGATTATAATACTAAGGCTCCGAGGACGTATGTCTTTTATACCTATATCTTCTAATATATACGCTAGATTATAGCTAAACGAAGCGAGCGGGGTCGTAGTATTACGGAGTCTTAGGGCCTGTCGAGAAAAGGGTATAAAATTAATATACGGAGAGTAGGAGGTATATCTTCTAATATATACGCTAGATTATAGCTAAACGAAGCTAGCGGGGTCGTAGTATTACGAAGTCTTAGGGCCTATCGAGAAAAGGGTATAAAATTAATATACCTAGAATAGGTACGTTACGAAACTACGGAAGTAATTACCTCTAACTACTCGTAATTGTCTATAATCCTACTACGAGTAGTTAGGAGTAGTTAGGGCAGTTAGAGTAGTTAGAGCGGCTACTAGTATATTATTCTATCTAGTAGAATTACCTATAGCTAGCCGAGCTTATAATAATAGCTTAATAAAAGTAGAATAAAGTTTATATTACCTATCGTCTCGATCTATATAGCTACTATAGCTAGGCTAGTACCGTAGTCTATCTATTAGGCTTAATAAACTTTAATATAAAAGCTACGTAAAAGTTATATATTATTCGTTAATCTCTATATTCTATATTCGTTTATCGTATATAAGATATAGAGAAACTATATATTCTATTCTATTTATCTATTACGTATAAGTATCGTATTATAGTATAGTTATATTTTATAACTATTCTTTAGGTACTAGATAATACCTAAATTTTAGCCGCGCTAAAATTTAGGTTAAAAGTTACTATAATAGCCGTAATAAGTATATAATTTAGAATAGTAAGATAGTAACTCTATATTAGTATTATAGGTCGCTATCTTTTAAATAAGCTCTACTCTAGGCGCTATTTACTCTAGCTCCTTTAGCTCCTACTACTCCTATTCTAGATTATTTACTATTACTCTAGTATATCTTTTCCTCTTTCCTAATAATATTATACGTACCTTAGTCTATCCTCTCTTATTATTATATATAGAGTTAGTAATCTACTTTCCCTTCTAATACGCTATATACTAGAGTAGATAGTTAGTTCTAGGCTAAGGATCTATATAGTCCTCTATCTACTACTATACTATTACCTAGGTTATTATCTATATAAGCCTAAGTCTCGATATCGGAAACGTACGTAATATACTATATTTATTATACCTACTTATTAGCTATTATATATAGAGTAAGTCTATTAGTATCTATACGTACCTACGTTCTATTCTATCTATATCGACTATCGCTACGTTCCGCCTAGGCTCTAGTACTTAGCTAATAGGGTCCGAGATAGTATAAGGTTCTTTCCCTATACCTATATTAGCTATTTCGCTCTTATACTCGCTCGATCCTTCTAGATCGCCTTTCTCTCTCTTCTACTAGTTATCTCCTTTATTTATATTATTCTAGTATTCTTCTCTATCTATATTACTAGATATAGTACTACTAACCTAGTATAGGCGGTTCTACTACTAGGAAGAGCTACTACTTATAGGCTTATCCGACGTTTAAACTATCCTAGCTATAGAGACATTTATTTAGTACTCTAGCGAAAGCGGACTAAAGAGATCTTTAGAGAAGCTAGAATATAAAGAGCTATCGGACGTAGGCGACGTAGGTATATAAGCTATATTTAGGCTTTAGTACTAACTTAAGTAGGTAAACTTTAAGAGTAGATCTATAAGGCTTCTATGCTATCTATTTCTTATATATACGCTTCGCTAGTAGCTCGGGAAACTCGTTCTCTAATAGGTCGGAAATCTCTAAGAGGTTAGTAGGTAGGTCTTAGCTTACGAAGTTAGTAAAGTTATTATTATTCTCTCTATTATTCTCGAGTATCCTATTCTCTATACGGACCTCTACTCGCGCCTAGAGTTTATCTAGTATCCCTTTTATTCGCTACTTACTAGTCTCTATTTCTAGTATCTATTACTATCTAGTAATAGTAGCCTTAAACTTTAGACTAACTTATAAGCTATCTATAT